AGTCTAGAGGAACACTAACTTCAGCACAGCAACTCGAGGAATGCTCCGTGTACCCCAAATCGTTTCGAGATGAGAGTAGATTCCCTGGCTTAGTCTCAAGACGTATGCCAACTTTCCAGAAGCACCTCAAGAGGAGGCTTCTCTCAGCAATAGGTATGTGGGAGGGACCCCGAGGTTGCTGCCTCAAATGGAATATACAGCGAGAAGCCCTAACTTGAAAGGAGGCCGGATTTCCTTGCAGTGGCTTGAATACAGGCTCGTCTTTCATCTCACAACATGAAGGGATGTCTGAATCCCCTGTGGAGACCTTAGAGAAAGCCCTAGGTCCCTGCCTCCTTTTGACGGAATGCCTCACTTCCCGTGGACACCTCGAGAGGCACTCGGAGTTCACTTCCTCAAAAGGTGACAATGCCTGACTTCTCTTAAATACTGATAGGAATCCCCAAAACCCTGTGCCTACAGGAAAGGGTCCTTGGGTGCCCTGCCTCACCTTGAGAAGCGTCCCTTTTGCCCTGCCAAGCCTCGAAGAGATTCCTCAGGTGTCCCTCGTTACTAGACAAGAGTCCTGACGTCACTGAATAAACAGGTGTTTTGAAGGGCCATCCCCGCTGTAACTCGACAACATACACCAGGTCCCCGCTGCAACTTGAGAAAAACCATGGGACTTCCCCCTAGAGGCGAGATGAGGCCCCATTCCCCTGCAGTGCATGCAGAGCTACTCAGTGATCTCCATCAAACAAGTCAGGAGCTTCGACTTGCTTAATGGAACTCGAGGCAGTCCCCAAGAACACTGTCAACAGTCTAGACGGACGCACAGGTCTACCCAGCAACGCAAAGCAGCTCCATGTGCCCCAAATCAACTCGACAGGAGGCCCGATTCCCCTGCATTGACTCCAGAGCCATCTTCCGTTCTCCATTCTACACGACCTTTGGCTTGACTTCCTTAAGGCATCTCCAGAGATGCCCCGAGAACACTGTCCCAAGTCTAGAGGAACACTAACTTCAGCACAGCAACTCGAGGAATGCTCCGTGTACCCCAAATCGTTTCGAGATGAGAGTAGATTCCCTGGCATAGGCTCAAGACGTATGCCAACTTTCCAGAAGCACCTCAAGAGGAGGCTTCTCTCAGCAATAGGTATGTGGGAGGGACCCCGAGGTTGCTGCCTCAAATGGAATATACAGCGAGAAGCCCTAACTTGAAAGGAGGCCGGATTTCCTTGCAGTGGCTTGAATACAGGCTCGTCTTTCATCTCACAACATGAAGGGATGTCTGAATCCCCTGTGGAGACCTTAGAGAAAGCCCTAGGTCCCTGCCTCCTTTTGACGGAATGCCTCACTTCCCGTGGACACCTCGAGAGGCACTCGGAGTTCACTTCCTCAAAAGGTGACAATGCCTGACTCCTCTTAAATACTGATAGGAATCCCCAAAACCCTGTGCCTACAGGAAAGGGTCCTTGGGTGCCCTGCCTCACCTTGAGAAGCGTCCCTTTTGCCCTGCCAAGCCTCGAAGAGATTCCTCAGGTGTCCCTCGTTACTAGACAAGAGTCCTGAAGTCACTGAATAAACAGGTGTTTTGAAGGGCCATCCCCGCTGTAACTCGAGAACATACACCAGGTCCCCGCTGCAACTTGAGAAAAACCATGGGACTTCCCCCTAGAGGCGAGATGAGGCCCCATTCCCCTGCAGTGCATGCAGAGCTACTCAGTGATCTCCATCAAACAAGTCAGGAGCTTCGACTTGCTTAATGGAACTCGAGGCAGTCCCCAAGAACTCTGTCAACAGTCTAGACGGACGCACAGGTCTACCCAGCAACGCAAAGCAGCACCCTGTGCCCAAAAATCAAATCAAGATGAAGCCCGATTCCCCTGCCTTGACTCCAGAGCCATCCCCATTCAACATTCAACACGCCCAGTGGCTTGACTTCCTTCAGGCAACACCAGAGATGCCCCTAGAACACTGTCCCAAGTCTGGAGGAAGACCACCTTCAGCACAGCAACTCGAGGAATGCTCCGTGTACCCCAAATCGTCTCGAGATGAGAGCTGAATCCCTGGCTTAGGTTCAAGACGTATTCCAACTTTCCAGAAGCACCTCAAGAGGAGGATTCTCTGAGCAATAGTTATGTGGGAGGGACCCCGAATATGCTGCCACATGTGGAATGTACAGCGAGAAGCCCTAACTTGAAAGGAGGCCAGATTTCCTTGCAGTGGCTTGAATACAGGCTCGTCTTTCTTCTCACAACATGAAGGGATGTCTGAATCCCCTGTGGAGACCTTAGAGAAAGCCATAGGTCCCTGCCTCATTTTGACGGAATGCCTCACTTCCCGTGGACACCTCGAGAGGCACTTGGAGTTCACTGCCTCAAAAGGTGACAATGCCTGACTCCTCTTGAATACTGATAGGAATCCCAAAAACCCTGTGCCTACAGGAAAGGGTCCTTGGGTGCCCTGCCTCACCTCGAGAAGCGTCCCTTTTGCCCTGCCAAGCCTCGAAGAGATTCCTGAGGTGTCCCTCGTTACTAGACAAGAGTCCTGACGTCACTGAATAAACAGGTGTTTTGAAGGGCCATCCCCGCTGTAACTCGAGAACATACACCAGTTCCCCGATGCAACTTGAGAAAAACCATGGGACTTCCCCCTAGAGCAGAGATGAGGCCCCATTCCCCTGTAGTGCATGCAGAGCTATTCAGTGATCTCCATCAAACAAGTCAGGAGCTTCGACTTGCTTAATGGAACTCGAGACAGTCCCCAAGAACACTGTCACCAGTCTAGACGGACCCTGTGGTCACCCCAGCAATGCAAAGCAGCTCCCTGTGCCCCAAAATCAAATCGAGATGAGGCCCGATTTCCCTGCATTGACTCCAAAGCCATCCCCGTTCAACATTCAACACGCCCAGTGGCTTGACTTCCTTCAGGCAACACCAGAGATGCCCCGAGAACACTCTCCCAAGTCTGGAGGAAGACCACCTTCAGCACAGCAACTCGAGGAATGCTCCGTGTACACCAAATCGTCTCGAGATGAGAGCTGATTCCCTGGCTTAGGCTCAAGACGTATGCCAACCTTCCAGAAGCACCTCAAGAGGAGGCTTCTCTCAGCAATAGGTATGTGGGAGGGACCCGGAGTTTGCTGCCTCAAGTGGAATATATGGCGAGAAGCCCTAACTTGAAAGGAGGCTGGATTTCCTTGCAGTGGCTTGAATACAGGCTCGTCTTTCATCTCACAACGTGAAAGGATGTCTGAATCCCCTGTGGAGACCTTAGAGAAAGCCTTAGGTCCCTGCCTCATTTTGACGGAATTCCTCACATCACGTTGACACCTCGAGAGGCACGCGGAGTTCACTGCCTCAAAAGGTGACGATGCCTGACTCCTCTTTAATACTGATAGGAATCCCAAAATCCCTGTGTCTACTGGAAAGGGTCCTTGGGTGCCCTGCCTCACCTCTAGAAGCGTCCCTTTTGCCCTGCCAAGCCTCGAAGAGATTCCTGAGGTGTCCCTTGTTACTAGACAGGAGTCCTGACGTCACTGAATAAACAGGTGTTTTGAAGGGCCATCCCCGCCGTAACTCGAGAACATACCCCAGGTCCCCGCCGCAACTCAAGAGAAACCATGAGACTTCCCCCTAGAGGCGAGATGAAGCCCCATTCCCCTGCAGTGCATGCAGAGCTATTCCGTGATCCCCATCCAACAAGTTAGGAGCTTCAACTTGCTTAATGGATCTCGAAACAGTCCCCAAGAACACTATCACCAGTCTAGACGGACCCTGAGGTCAAGCCAGCAACGCACAGCAGCTCCATGTGCCCCAAATCAACTCGACAGGAGGCCCGATTCCCCTGCATTGACTCCAGAGCCATCTTCCGTTCTCCATTCTACACGACCATTGGCTTGACTTCCTTAAGGCAACTCCAGAGATGCCCCGAGAACACTGTCCCAAGTCTAGAGGAACACTAATTTCAGCACAGCAACTCGAGGAATGCTCCGTGTACCCCAAATCGTTTCGAGATGAGAGCAGATTCCCTGGCTTAGGCTCAAGACGTATGCCAACTTTCCAGAAGCACCTCAAGAGGAGGATTCTCTCAGCAATAGGTATGTGGGAGGGACCCCGGGTTGGCTGCCTCAAGTGGAATATACAGCGAGAAGCCCTAACTTGAAAGGAGGCTGGATTTCCTTGCAGTGGCTTGAATACAGGCTCGTCTTTCATCTCACAACGTGAAGGGATGTCTCAATCCTCTGTGGAGACCTTAGAGAAAGCCCTAGGTCCCTGCCTCATTTTAACGGAATGCCTCACATCCCATTGACACATCGAGAGGCACGTGGAGTTCATTGCTTCAAAAGGTGACGATGCCTGACTCCTCTTGAATACTGATAGGAATCCCAAAATCCCTGTGGTTACTGGAAAGGGTCCTTGGGTGCCCTGCCTCACCTCTAGAAGCGTCCGTTTTGCCCTGCCAAGCCTCGGAGAGATTACTGAGGTGTCCCTCGTTACTAGACAGGAGTCCTGACGTCACTGAATAAACAGGTGTTTTGAAGTGCATCCCCGCTGTAACTCGAGAACATACACCAGGTCCCCGCTGCAACTTGAGAAAAACCATGGGACTTCCCCCTAGAGGCGAGATGAGGCCCCATTCCCCTGCAGTGCATGCAGAGCTATTCTGTGATCTCCATCAAACAAGTCAGGATCTTCGACTTGTTTAATGGAACCCGAGACAGTCCCCAAGAACACTGTCACCAGTCTAGACGGACTCTGAGGTCACCCCAGCAACGCAAAGCAGCTCCCTGTGCCCAAAAATCAAATCGAGATGAGGCCCGATTCATCTGCATTGACTCCAGAGCCAATCCTGTTCAACATTCAACACGCCCAGTGGCTTGACTTCCTTCAGGCAACACCAGAGATGCCCCGAGAACACTGTCCCAAGTCTGGAAGAAGACCACCTTCAGCACAGCAACTCGAGGAATGCACCATATACCGCAAATCGTCTCGAGATGAGAGCTGATTCCCTCGCTTATGCTCAAGACGTATGCCAACCTTCCAGAAGCACCTCAAGAGGAGGCTTCTCTCAGCAATAGGTATGTGGGAGGGACCCCGGGTTGGCTGCCTCAAATGGAATATACAGCGAGAAGCCCTACCTTGAAAGGAGGCTGGATTTACTTGCAGTGGCTTGAATACAGGCTCGTCTTTCATCTCACAACGTGAAGGGATGTCTGAATCCCCTGTGGATACCTTAGAGAAAGCCCTAGTTCCCTGCCTCATTTTGACGGAATGCCTCACATCCCGATGACACCTCGAGAGGCACGCGGAGTTCATTGCTTCAAAAGGTGACGATGCCTGACTCCTCTTGAATACTGATAGGAATCCCAAAATCCCTGTGTCTACTGGAAAGTGTCCTTGGGTGCCCTGCCTCACCTCTAGAAGCGTCCCTTTTGCCCTGCCAAGCCTCGAAGAGATTCCTGAGGTGTCCCTTGTTACTAGACAGGAGTCCTGACGTCACTGAATAAACAGGTGTTTTGAAGGGCCATCCCCGCCGTAACTCGAGAACATACCCCAGGTCCCCGCCACAACTCGAGAGAAACCATGAGACTTCCCCCTAGAGGCGAGATGAGGCCCCATTCCCCTGCAGTGCATGCAGAGCTATTCCGTGATCCCCATCAAACAAGTTAGGAGCTTCGACTTGCTTAATGGATCTCGAGATAGTCCCCAAGAACACTGTCACCAGTCTAGACGGACCCTGAGGTCAACCCAGCAACGCACAGCAGCTCCATGTGCCCCAAATCAACTCGACAGGAGGCCCGATTCCCCTGCATTGACTCCAGAGCCATCTTCCGTTCTCCATTCTACACGACCATTGGCTTGACTTCCTTAAGGCATCTCCAGAGATGCCCCGAGAACACTGTCCCAAGTCTAGAGGAACACTAACTTCAGCACAGCAACTCGAGGAATGCTCCGTGTACCCCAAATCGTTTCGAGATGAGAGTAGATTCCCTGGCTTAGGCTCAAGACATATGCCAACTTTCCAGAAGCACCTCAAGAGGAGGCTTCTCTCAGCAATAGGTATGTGGGAGGGACCCCGAGGTTGCTGCCTCAAATGGAATATACAGCGAGAAGCCCTAACTTGAAAGGAGGCCGGATTTCCTTGCAGTGGCTTGAATACAGGCTCGTCTTTCATCTCACAACATGAAGGGATGTCTGAATCCCCTGTGGAGACCTTAGAGAAAGCCCTAGGTCCCTGCCTCCTTTTGACGGAATGCCTCACTTCCCGTGGACACCTCGAGAGGCACTCGGAGTTCACTTCCTCAAAAGGTGACAATGCCTGACTCCTCTTAAATACTGATAGGAATCCCCAAAACCCTGTGCCTACAGGAAAGGGTCCTTGGGTGCCCTGCCTCACCTTGAGAAGCGTCCCTTTTGCCCTGCCAAGCCTCGAAGAGATTCCTCAGGTGTCCCTCGTTACTAGACAAGAGTCCTGACGTCACTGAATAAACAGGTGTTTTGAAGGGCCATCCCCGCTGTAACTCGAGAACATACACCAGGTCCCCGCTGCAACTTGAGAAAAACCATGGGACTTCCCTCTAGAGGCGAGATGAGGCCCCATTCCCCTGCAGTGCATGCAGAGCTACTCAGTGATCTCCATCAAACAAGTCAGGAGCTTCGACTTGCTTAATGGAACTCGAGGCAGTCCCCAAGAACACTGTCAACAGTCTAGACGGACGCACAGGTCTACCCAGCAACGCAAAGCAGCACCCTGTGCCCAAAAATCAAATCAAGATGAAGCCCGATTCCCCTGCCTTGAATCCAGAGCCATCCCCATTCAATATTCAACACGCCCAGTGGCTTGACTTCCTTCAGGCAACACCAGAGATGCCCCGAGAACACTGTCCCAAGTCTGGAGGAAGACCACCTTCAGCACAGCAACTCGAGGAATGCTCCGTGTACCCCAAATCGTCTCGAGATGAGAGCTGATTCCCTGGCTTAGGTTCAAGACGTATGCCAACCTTCCAGAAGCACCTCAAGAGGAGGCTTCTCTCAGCAATAGGTATGTGGGAGGGACCCGGAGTTTGCTGCCTCAAGTGGAATATATGGCGAGAAGACCTAACTTGAAAGGAGGCCGGATTTCCTTGCAGTGGCTTGAATACAGGCTCGTCTTTCATCTCACAACATGAAGGGATCTCTGAATCCCCTGTGGAGACCTTAGAGAAAGCCGTAATTCCCTGCCTCATTTTGACGGAATTTCTCACATCCCGTTGACAGCTCGAGAGGCACGCGGATTTCACTGCTTCAAAATGTGATGATGCCTGACTCCTCTTGAATACTGATAGGAATCCCAAAATCCCTGTGGCTACTGGAAAGGGAACGTGGGTGCCCTGCCTCACCTCGAGAAGCGTCCCTTTTGCCCTGCCAAGCCTCGAAGCGTTTCCTGAGGTGTTCCTCATTACTAAGGAGGAGTCCTGACGTCACTGAATAACCACGTGTTTTGAAGGGCCATCCCCGTCGTAACTCGATAACATACCCCAGGTCCCCGCCGTAACTCGAGAAAAAATATGAGACTTCCCCCTAGAGACGAGATGAGGCCCCATTCCCCTGCAGTGCATGCAGAGCTATTCCGTGATCCCCATCAAACAAGTCAGGAGCTTCGACTTGCTTAATGGATCTCGAGACAGTCCCCAAGAACACTGTCACCAGTCTAGACGGACGCTGAGGTCACCCCAGCAACGCACAGCAGCTCCATGTGCCCCAAAACAACTCGAGATGATGCCCGATTCCCCTGCATTGACTCCAGAGCCATCCCCAGTTCCCCATTCAACACGACCAGTGGCTTGACTTCCTTCAGGCAACTCCAGAGATGCCCCGAGAACACTGTCCCAAGTCTAGAGGAACACCAACTTCAGCACAGCAACTCGAGGAATGCACGGTGAACCCAAAATCATGTCGAGATGAGAGCTGATTCCCTGGCATAGGCTCAAGGCATATGCCAACTTTCCAGAAGCACCTCAAGAGGAGGCTTCTCTCAGCAATAGGTATGTGGGAGGGACCCCGGGTTGGCTGCCTCAAGTGGAATATACAGCGAGAAGCCCTAACTTGAAAGGAGGCTGGATTTCCTTGCAGTGGCTTGAATACTGGCTCGTCTTTCATCTCACAACGTGAAGGGATGTCTCAATCCACTGTGGAGACCTTAGAGAAAGCCCTAGGTCCCTGCCTCATTTTGACGGAATGCCTCACATCCCGTTGACACATCGAGAGGCACGTGGAGTTCATTGCTTCAAAAGGTGACGATGCCTGACTCCTCTTGAATACTGATAGGAATCCCAAAATCCCTGTGGCTACAGGAAAGGGTCCTTGGGTGCCCTGCCTCACCTCTAGAAGCGTCCCTTTTGCCCTGCCAAGCCTCGGAGAGATTACTGAGGTGTCCCTCGTTACTAGACAGGAGTCCTGACGTCACTGAATAAACAGGTGTTTTGAAGGGCCATCCCCGGCGTAACTCGAGAACATAGCCCAGGTCCCCGCCGCAACTCGAGAAAAACCATGAGACTTCCCCCTAGAGGCGAGATGAGGAGCCTTTCCCCTGCAGTGCATGCAGAGCTATTCCGTGATCCCCATCCAACAAGTTAGGAGTTTCGACTTGCTTAATGGATCTCGAGACAGTCCCCAAGAACACTATCACCAGTCTAGACGGACCCTGAGGTCAACCCAGCAACGCACAGCAGCTCCATGTGCCCCAAATCAACTCGACAGGAGGCCTGATTCCCCTGCATTGACTCCAGAGCCATCTTCCGTTCTCCATTCTACACGACCATTGGCTTGACTTCCTTAAGGCAACTCCAGAGATGACCCGAGAACACTGTCCCAAGTCTAGAGGAACACTAACTTCAGCACAGCAACTCGAGGAATGCTCCGTGTACCACAAATCGTTTCGAGATGAGAGCAGATTCCCTGGCTTAGGCTCAAGACGTATGCCAACTTTCCAGAAGCACCTCAAGAGGAGGCTTCTCTCAGCAATAGGTATGTGGGAGGGACCCCGAGGTTGCTGCCTCAAGTGGAATATACAGCGAGAAGCCCTAACTTGAAAGGAGGCCGGATTTCCTTGCAGTGGCTTGAATAGAGGCTCGTCTTTCATCTCACAACATGAAGGGATGTCTGAATCCCCTGTGGAGACCTAGAGAAAGCCCTAGGTCCCTGCCTCCTTTTGACGGAATGCCTCACTTCCCGTGGACACCTCGAGAGGCACTCGGAGTTCACTTCCTCAAAAGGTGACAATGCCTGACTCCTCTTAAATACTGATAGGAATCCCCAAAACACTGTGCCTACAGGAAAGGGTCCTTGGGTGCCCTGCCTCACCTTGAGAAGCGTCCCTTTTGCCCTGCCAAGCCTCGAAGAGATTCCTGAGGTGTCCCTCGTTACTAGACAAGAGTCCTGACGTCACTGAATAAACAGGTGTTTTGAAGGGCCATCCCCGCTGTAACTCGAGAACATACACCAGGTCCCCGCTGCAACTTGAGAAAAACCATGGGACTTCCCCCTAGAGGCGAGATGAGGCCCCATTCCCCTGCAGTGCATGCAGAGCTACTCAGTGATCTCCATCAAACAAGTCAGGAGCTTCGACTTGCTTAATGGAACTCGAGGCAGTCCCCAAGAACACTGTCACCAGTCTAGACGGACCCACAGGTCTACCCAGCAACGCAAAGCAGCACCCTGTGCCCAAAAATCAAATCAAGATGAGGCCCGATTCCCCTGCCTTGACTCCAGAGCCATCACCATTCAACATTCAACACGCCCAGTGGCTTGACTTCCTTCAGGCAACACCAGAGATGCCCCGAGAACACTGTCCCAAGTCTCGAGGAAGACCACCTTCAGCACAGCAACTCGAGGAATGCTCTGTGTACCCCAAATCGTCTCGAGTTGAGAGCTGATTCCCTGGCTTAGGTTCAAGACGTATGCCAACCTTCCAGAAGCACCTCAAGAGGAGGCTTCTCTCAGCAATAGGTATGTGGGAGGGACCCGGAGTTTGCTGCCTCAAGTGGAATATATGGCGAGAAGACCTAACTTGAAAGGAGGCCGGATTTCCTTGCAGTGGCTTGAATACAGGCTCGTCTTTCATCTATCAACGTGAAGGGATGTCTGAATCCCCTGTGGAGACCATAGAGAAAGCCGTAATTCCCTGCCTCATTTTGACAGAATTTCTCACATCCCGTTGACACCTCGAGAGGCACGCGGAGTTCACTGCTTCAAAATGTGATGATGCCTGACACCTCTTGAATACTGATAGGAATCCCAAAATCCCTGTGGCTACTGGAAAGGGAACGTGGGTGCCCTGCCTCACCTCGAGAAGCGTCCCTTTTGCACTGCCAAGCCTCGAAGAGTTTCCTGAGGTGTTCCTCATTACTAAGGAGGAGTCCTGACGTCACTGAATAACCACGTGTTTTGAAGGGCCATCCCCGTCGTAACTCGATAACATACCCCAGGTCCCCGCCGTAACTCGAGAAAAAATATGAGACTTCCCCCTAGAGACGAGATGAGGCCCCATTCCCCTGCAGTGCATGCATAGCTATTCCGTGATCCCCATCAAACAAGTCAGGAGCTTCGACTTGCTTAATGGATCTCGAGACAGTCCCCAAGAACACTGTCACCAGTCTAGACGGACGCTGAAGTCAACCCAGCAACGCACAGCAGCTCCATTTGCCCCAAAACAACTCGAGATGATGCCCGATTCCCCTGCATTGACTCCAGAGCCATCCCCAGTTCCCCATTCAACACGACCAGTGGCTTGACTTCCTTCAGGCAACTCCAGAGATGCCCCGAGAACACTGTCCCAAGTCTAGAGGAACACCAACTTCAGCACAGCAACTCGAGGAATGCACGGTGGACCCAAAATCATGTCGAGATGAGAGCTGATTCCCTGGCATAGGCTCAAGGCATATGCCAACTTTCCAGAAGCACCTCAAGAGGAGGCTTCTCTCAGCAATAGGTATGTGGTAGGGACCCCGGGTTGGCTGCCTCAAGTGGAATATACAGCGAGAAGCCCTAACTTGAAAGGAGGCTGGATTTCCTTGCAGTGGCTTGAATACAGGCTCGTCTTTCATCTCACAACGTGAAGGGATATCTCAATCCCCTGTGGAGACATTAGAGAAAGCCCTAGGTCCCTGCCTCATTTTGACGGAATGCCTCACATCCCGTTGACACATCGAGAGGCACTCGGAGTTCATTGCTTCAAAAGGTGACGATGCCTGACTCCTCTTGAATACTGATAGGAATCCCAAAATAACTGTAGCTACAGGAAAGGGTCCTTGGGTGCCCTGCCTCACCTCTAGAAGCGTCCCTTTTGCCCTGCCAAGCCTCGGAGAGATTACTGAGGTGTCCCTCGTTACTAGACAGGAGTCCTGACGTCACTGAATAAACAGGTGTTTTGAAGGGCCATCCCCGGCGCAACTCGAGAACATACCCCAGGTCCCCGCCGCAACTCGAGAAAAACCATGAGACTTCCCCCTAGAGGCGAGATGAGGCCCCATTCCCCTGCAGTGCATGCAGAGCTATTCCGTGATCCCCATCAAAGAAGTCAGGAGCTTCGACTTGCTTAATGGATCTCGAGACAGTCCCCAAGAACACTATCACCAGCCTAGACGGACCCTGAGGTCAACCCAGCAACGCACAGCAGCTCCATGTGCCCCAAAAGAACTCGAGATGATGCCCGATTCCCCTGCTTTGACTCCAGAGCCATCCCCCGTTCCCCATTCAACACGACCAGTGGCTTGACTTCCTTCAGGCAACTCCAGAGATGCCCCGAGAACACTGTCCCAAGTCTAGAGGAACACCAACTTCAGCACAGCAACTCGAGGAATGCACGGTGGACCCAAAATCATCTCGAGATGAGAGCTGATTCCCTGGCATAGGCTCAAGGCATATGCCAACTTTCCAGAAGCACCTCAAGAGGAGGCTTCTCTCAGCAATAGGTATATGGGGGGGACCCCGGTTTGGCTGCCTCAAGTGGAATATACAGCTAGAAGCCCTAACTTGAAAGGAGGCTGGATTTCCTTGCAGTGGCTTGAATACAGGCTCGTCTTTCATCTCACAACGTGAAGGGATGTCTGAATCCCCTGTGGAGACCTTAGAGAAAGCCCTAGGTCCCTGCCTCATTTTGACGGAATGCCTCACATCCCGTTGACACCTCGAGAGGCACGCGGAGTGCATTGCTTCAAAAGGTGACGATGCCTGACTCCTCTTGAATACTGATAGGAATCCCAAAATCCCTGTGGCTACGGCAAAGTGTCCTTGGGTGCCCTGCCTCACCTCGAGAAGCGTCCCTTTTGCCCTGCCAAGCCTCAAAGAGATTCCTGAGGTGTCCCTTGTTACTAGACAGGAGTCCTGATGTCACTGAATAAACAGGTGTTTTGAAGGGCCGTCCCCGCCGTAACTCAAGAACATACCCCAGGTCCCCGCCGCAACTCGAGGGAAACCATGAGACTGCCCTCTAGAGGCAAGATGAGGCCCCATTCCCCTGCAGTGCATGCAGAGCTATTCCGTGTACCCATCAAACAAGTCAGGAGCTTCGACTTGCTTAATGTAACTCGAGACAGTCCCCAAGAACACTGTCACCAGTCTAGACGGACCCTGAGGTCAACCCAGCAACGCACAGCAGCTCCATGTGCCCCAAATCAACTCGAGATGAGGCCCGATTCCCCTGCATTGACCCCAGACCCATCTTCCGTTCTCCATTCTACACGACCATTGGCTTGACTTCCTTAAGCAATTCCAGAGATGCCCCGAGAACACTGTCCCAAATCTAGAGGAACACCAACTTCAGCACAGCAACTCGAGGAATGCTCCGTGTACCCCAAATCGTTTCGAGGTGGGTGCTGATTCCCTGGCTTAGGCTCAAGAGGTATGCCAACTTTCCAGAAGCACCTCAAGAGGAGGATTCTCTCAGCAATATGTATGTGGGAGGGACCCCGAGTTTGCTGCCTCAAGTGGAATATACAGCGAGAAGCCCTAACTTGAAAGGAGGCCGGATTTCCTTGCAGTGGCTTGAATACAGGCTCGTCTTTCATCTCACAACGTGAAGGGATGTCTGAATCCCCTGTGGAGACCTTAGAGAAAGCCCTAGATCCCTGCCTCATTTTGACAGAATGCCTCACATCACGTTGACACCTCGAGAGGCACGCGGACTTCACTGCCTCAAAAGGTGACGATGCCTGACTCCTCTTGAATACTGATAGGAATCCCAAAATCCCTGTGGCTACTGGAAGGGGAACGTTGGTGCCCTGCCTCACCTCGAGAAGCGTCCCTTTTGCCCTGTCAAGCCTCGAAGAGATTCCTGAGGTGTCCCTTGTTACTAGACAAGAGTCCTGACGTCACTGAATAAACAGGTGTTTTGAAGGGCCATCCCCGCTGTAACTCGAGAACATACACCAGGTACCCGCTGCAACTTGAGAAAAACCATGGGACTTCCCCCTAGAGGAGAGATGAGGCCCCATTCCCGTGCAGTGCATGCAGAGCTATTCAGTGATCTCCATCAAACAAGTCAGGAGCTTCGACTTGCTTAATGTAACTCGAGACAGTCCCCAAGAACACTGTCACCAGTCTATACGGACACTGAGGTCATCCCAGCAACGCAAAGCAGCTCCCTGTGCCCAAAAATCAAATCGAGATGAGGCCCGATTCCCCTGCATTGACTCCAGAGCCATCCCCATTCAACATTCAACACGCCCAGTTTCTTGACTTCCTTCAGGCAACACCAGAGATGCCCCGAGAACACTGTCCCAAGTCTGGAGGAAGACCACCTTCAGCACAGCAACTCGAGGAATGCTCCGTGTACCCCAAATCGTCTCGAGATGAGAGCTGATTCCCTGGCTTAGGTTCAAGACGTATGCCAACCTTCCAGAAGCACTTCAAGAGGAGGCTTCTCTCAGCAATAGGTATGTGGGAGAGACCCCAGGTTGGCTGCCTCAAATGGAATATACAGCGAGAAGCTCTAACTTGATAGGAGGCTGGATTTCCTTGCAGTGGCTTGAATACAGGCTCGTCTTTCATCTCACAACGTGAAAGGATGTCTGAATCCCCTGTGGAGACCTTAGAGAAAGCCTTAGGTCCCTGCCTCATTTTGACGGAATTCCTCACATCACGTTGACACCTCGAGAGGCACGCGGAGTTCACTGCCTCAAAAGGTGACGATGCCTGACTCCTCTTGAATACTGATAGGAATCCCAAAATCCCTGTGGCTACTGGAAAGTGTCCTTGTGTGCCCTGCCTCACCTCGAGAAGCGTCCCTTTTGCCCTGCCAAGCCTCGAAGAGATTCCTGACGTGTCCCTCGTTACTAGACAGGAGTCCTGACGTCACTGAATAAACAGGTGTTTTGAAGAGCCATCCCCGCCGTAACTCGAGAACATACCCCAGGTCCCCGCCGCAACTCGGGAAAAAACATGAGACTTCCCCTATAGGCGAGATGAGGCCCCATTCCCCTGCAGTGCATGCAGAGCTATTCCGTGATCCCCATCAAACAAGTCAGGAGCTTCGACTTGCTTAATGGATCTCGAGACAGTCCCCAAGAACACTGTCACCAGTCTAGACGGACCCTGAGGTCAACCCAGCAACGCACAGCAGCTCCATGTGCCCCAAAACAACTCGACAGGAGGCCCAATTCCCCTGCATTGACTCCAGAGCCATCTTCCGTTCTCCATTCTACACGGCCATTGAGTTGACTTCCTTAAGGCAACTCCAGAGATGCCCCGAGAACACTGTCCCAAGTCTAGATGAACACCAACTTCAGCACAGCAACTCGAGGAATGCTCCGTGCACCCCAAATCGTTTCGAGATGGGTGCTGATTCCCTGGCTTAGGCTCAAGACGTATTCCAACTTTCCAGAAGCACCTCAAGAGGAGGATTCTCTCAGCAATAGGTATGTGGGAGGGACCCCGAGTATGTTGCCTCAACTGGAGTATACGGCGAGAAGCCCTAACTTGAAAGGAGGCCGGATTTCCTTGCAGTGGCTTGAATACAGGCTCGACTTTCATCTCACAACATGAAGGGATGTCTGAATCCCCTGTGGAGACCTTAGAGAAAGCCCTAGGTCCCTGCCTCATTTTGACGGAATGCCTCACTTCCCGTGGACACCTCGAGAGGCACTCGGAGTTCACTGCCTCAAAAGGTGACAATGCCTGACTCCTCTTGAATACTGATAGGAATCCCCAAAACCCTGTGGCTACTGGAAAGGGTCCTTGGGTGCCCTGGCTCACCTCTAGAAGCGTCCCTTTTGCCCTGCCAAGCCTCGAAGAGATTCCTGAGGTGTCCCTTGTTACTAGACAGGAGTCCTGACGTCACTGAATAAACACGTGTTTTGAAGGGCCATCCCCGCCGTAACTCGAGAACATACCCCAGGTCCCCGCCGCAACTCGATAAAAACCATGAGACTTCCCCCTAGAGGGGAGATGAGGCCCAATTCCCCTGCAGTGCATGCAGAGCTCTTCCGTGAAACCCATCAAACAAGTCAGGAGCTTCGACTTGCTTAATGGATCTCGAGACAGACCCCAAGAACACTATCACCAGTCTAGACGGACCCTGAGGTCAACCCAGCAACGCACAGCAGCTCCATGTGCCCCAAATCAACTCGACAGGAGGCCCGATTCCCCTGCATTGAATCCAGACCCATCTTCCGTTCTCCATTCTACACGATCATTGGCTTGATTTCCTTAAGGCAACTCCAGAGATGCCCCGAGAACACTGTCCCAAGTCTAGAGGAACACCAACTTCAGCACAGCAACTCGAGGAATGCTCCGTGTACCCCAAATCATTTCAAGATGAGAGCAGATTCCCTCTCTTAGGCTCAAGACATATGCCAACTTTCCAGAAGCACCTCAAAAGGAGGATTCTCTCAGCAATAGGTATGGGGGAGGGACCCCGATTATGCTGCCACAAGTGGAATGTACATCGAGAAGCCCTAACTTGAAAGGAGGCCGGATTTCCTTGCAGTGGCTTGAATACAGGCTCGTCTTTCATCTCACAACATGAAGGGATGTCTGAATCCCCTGTGGAGACCTTAGAGAAAGCCCTAGGTCCCTGCCTCATTTTGTCGGAATGTCTCACTTCCCGTGGACACCTCGAGAGGCACTCGGAGTTCACTGCCTCAAAAGGTGACAATGCCTGACTCCTCTTGAATATTGATAGGAATCCCAAAAACCCTGTGCCTACAGGAAAGGGTCCTTGGGTGCCCTGCCTCTCCTCTAGAAGCGTCCCATTTGCCCTGCCAAGCCTCGAAGAGTTTCCTGAGGTGTCCCTCGTTACTAGACAAGAGTCCTGACGTCACTGAATAAACAGGTGTTTTGAAGGGCCATCCCGGCTGTATCTCGAGAACATACACCAGGTCCCCGCTGCAACTTGCGAAAAACCATGGGACTTCCCCCTAGAGGCGAGATGAGGCCCCATTCCCCTGCAGTGCAGGCAGAGCTATTCAGTGATCTCCATCAAACAAGTCAGGAGCTTCGACTTGCTTAATGGAACTCGAGACAGTCCCCAAGAACACTGTCACCAGTCTAGACGGACCCTGAGGTCAACCCAGCAACGCACAGCAGCTCCATGTGCCCCAAATCAACTCGAGATGAGGCCCGATTCCCCTGCATTGACCCCAGACCCATCTTCCGTTCTCCATTCTACACGACCATTGGCTTGACTTCCTTAAGCAATTCCAGAGATGCCCCGAGAACACTGTCCCAAATCTAGAGGAACACCAACTTCAGCACAGCAACTCGAGGAATGCTCCGTGTACCCCAAATCGTTTCGAGGTGGGTGCTGATTCCCTGGCTTAGGCTCAAGAGGTATGCCAACTTTCCAGAAGCACCTCAAGAGGAGGATTCTCTCAGCAATATGTATGTGGGAGGGACCCCGAGTTTGCTGCCTCAAGTGGAATATACAGCGAGAAGCCCTAACTTGAAAGGAGGCCGGATTTCCTTGCAGTGGCTTGAATACAGGCTCGTCTTTCATCTCACAACGTGAAGGGATGTCTGAATCCCCTGTGGAGACCTTAGAGAAAGCCCTAGATCCCTGCCTCATTTTGACAGAATGCCTCACATCACGTTGACACCTCGAGAGGCACGCGGACTTCACTGCCTCAAAAGGTGACGATGCCTGACTCCTCTTGAATACTGATAGGAATCCCAAAATCCCTGTGGCTACTGGAAGGGGAACGTTGGTGCCCTGCCTCACCTCGAGAAGCGTCCCTTTTGCCCTGTCAAGCCTCGAAGAGATTCCTGAGGTGTCCCTTGTTACTAGACAAGAGTCCTGACGTCACTGAATAAACAGGTGTTTTGAAGGGCCATCCCCGCTGTAACTCGAGAACATACACCAGGTACCCGCTGCAACTTGAGAAAAACCATGGGACTTCCCCCTAGAGGAGAGATGAGGCCCCATTCCCGTGCAGTGCATGCAGAGCTATTCAGTGATCTCCATCAAACAAGTCAGGAGCTTCGACTTGCTTAATGTAACTCGAGACAGTCCCCAAGAACACTGTCACCAGTCTATACGGACACTGAGGTCATCCCAGCAACGCAAAGCAGCTCCCTGTGCCCAAAAATCAAATCGAGATGAGGCCCGATTCCCCTGCATTGACTCCAGAGCCATCCCCATTCAACATTCAACACGCCCAGTTTCTTGACTTCCTTCAGGCAACACCAGAGATGCCCCGAGAACACTGTCCCAAGTCTGGAGGAAGACCACCTTCAGCACAGCAACTCGAGGAATGCTCCGTGTACCCCAAATCGTCTCGAGATGAGAGCTGATTCCCTGGCTTAGGTTCAAGACGTATGCCAACCTTCCAGAAGCACTTCAAGAGGAGGCTTCTCTCAGCAATAGGTATGTGGGAGAGACCGCAGGTTGGCTGCCTCAAATGGAATATACAGCGAGAAGCTCTAACTTGATAGGAGGCTGGATTTCCTTGCAGTGGCTTGAATACAGGCTCGTCTTTCATCTCACAACGTGAAAGGATGTCTGAATCCCCTGTGGAGACCTTAGAGAAAGCCTTAGGTCCCTGCCTCATTTTGACGGAATTCCTCACATCACGTTGACACCTCGAGAGGCACGCGGAGTTCACTGCCTCAAAAGGTGACGATGCCTGACTCCTCTTGAATACTGATAGGAATCCCAAAATCCCTGTGGCTACTGGAAAGTGTCCTTGTGTGCCCTGCCTCACCTCGAGAAGCGTCCCTTTTGCCCTGCCAAGCCTCGAAGAGATTCCTGAAGTGTCCCTCGTTACTAGACAGGAGTCCTGACGTCACTGAATAAACAGGTGTTTTGAAGAGCCATCCCCGCCGTAACTCGAGAACATACCCCAGGTCCCCGCCGCAACTCGGGAAAAAACATGAGACTTCCCCTATAGGCGAGATGAGGCCCCATTCCCCTGCAGTGCATGCAGAGCTATTCCGTGATCCCCATCAAACAAGTCAGGAGCTTCGACTTGCTTAATGGATCTCGAGACAGTCCCCAAGAACACTGTCACCAGTCTAGACGGACCCTGAGGTCAACCCAGCAACGCACAGCAGCTCCATGTGCCCCAAAACAACTCGACAGGAGGCCCAATTCCCCTGCATTGACTCCAGAGCCATCTTCCGTTCTCCATTCTACACGGCCATTGAGTTGACTTCCTTAAGGCAACTCCAGAGATGCCCCGAGAACACTGTCCCAAGTCTAGATGAACACCAACTTCAGCACAGCAACTCGAGGAATGCTCCGTGCACCCCAAATCGTTTCGAGATGGGTGCTGATTCCCTGGCTTAGGCTCAAGACGTATTCCAACTTTCCAGAAGCACCTCAAGAGGAGGATTCTCTCAGCAATAGGTATGTGGGAGGGACCCCGAGTATGTTGCCTCAACTGGAGTATACGGCGAGAAGCCCTAACTTGAAAGGAGGCCGGATTTCCTTGCAGTGGCTTGAATACAGGCTCGACTTTCATCTCACAACATGAAGGGATGTCTGAATCCCCTGTGGAGACCTTAGAGAAAGCCCTAGGTCCCTGCCTCATTTTGACGGAATGCCTCACTTCCCGTGGACACCTCGAGAGGCACTCGGAGTTCACTGCCTCAAAAGGTGACAATGCCTGACTCCTCTTGAATACTGATAGGAATCCCCAAAACCCTGTGGCTACTGGAAAGGGTCCTTGGGTGCCCTGCCTCACCTCTAGAAGCGTCCCTTTTGCCCTGCCAAGCCTCGAAGAGATTCCTGAGGTGTCCCTTGTTACTAGACAGGAGTACTGACGTCACTGAATAAACACGTGTTTTGAAGGGCCATCCCCGCCGTAACTCGAGAACATACCCCAGGTCCCCGCCGCAACTCGAGAAAAACCATGAGACTTCCCCCTAGAGGGGAGATGAGGCCCCATTCCCCTGCAGTGCATGCAGAGCTATTCCGTGAAACCCATCAAACAAGTCAGGAGCTTCGACTTGCTTAATGGATCTCGAGACAGACCCCAAGAACACTATCACCAGTCTAGACGGACCCTGAGGTCAACCCAGCAACGCACAGCAGCTCCATGTGCCCCAAATCAACTCGACAGGAGGCCCGATTCCCCTGCATTGAATCCAGACCCATCTTCCGTTCTCCATTCTACACGATCATTGGCTTGATTTCCTTAAGGCAACTCCAGAGATGCCCCGAGAACACTGTCCCAAGTCTAGAGGAACACCACCTTCAGCACAGCAACTCGAGGAATGCTCCGTGTACCCCAAATCATTTCAAGATGAGAGCAGATTCCCTCTTTTAGGCTCAAGACATATGCCAACTTTCCAGAAGCACCTCAAAAGGAGGATTCTCTCAGCAATAGGTATGGGGGAGGGACCCCGATTATGCTGCCACAAGTGGAATATACAGCGAGAAGCCCTAACTTGAAAGGAGGCCGGATTTCCTTGCAGTGGCTTGAATACAGGCTCGTCTTTCATCTCACAACATGAAGGGATGTCTGAATCCCCTGTGGAGACCTTAGAGAAAGCCCTAGGTCCCTGCCTCATTTTGTCGGAATGTCTCACTTCCCGTGGACACCTCGAGAGGCACTCGGAGTTCACTGCCTCAAAAGGTGACAATGCCTGACTCCTCTTGAATATTGATAGGAATCCCAAAAACCCTGTGCCTACAGGAAAGGGTCCTTGGGTGCCCTGCCTCTCCTCTAGAAGCGTCCCATTTGCCCTGCCAAGCCTCAAAGAGTTTCCTGAGGTGTCCCTCGTTACTAGACAAGAGTCCTGACGTCACTGAATAAACAGGTGTTTTGAAGGGCCATCCCGGCTGTATCTCGAGAACATACACCAGGTCCCCGCTGCAACTTGCGAAAAACCATGGGACTTCCCCCTAGAGGCGAGATGAGGCCCCATTCCCCTGCAGTGCAGGCAGAGCTATTCAGTGATCTCCATCAAACAAGTCAGGAGCTTCGACTTGCTTAATGGAACTCGAGACAGTCCCCAAGAACACTGTCACCAGTCTAGACGGACCCTGAGGTCACCCCAGCAACGCAAAGCAGCTCCCTGTGCCCAAAAATCAAATCGAGATGAGGCCCGATTTCCCTGCATTGACTCCAAAGCCATCCCCGTTCAACATTCAACACGCCCAGTGGCTTGACTTCCTTCAGGCAACACCAGAGATGCCCCGAGAACACTGTCCGAAGTCTGGAGGAAGACAACCTTCAGCACAGCAACTCGAGGAACGCTCCGTGTACCCCAAATCGTCTCGAGATGAGAGCTGATTCCCTGGCTTAGGTTCAAGACGTAGGCCAACCTTCCAGAAGCACCTCAAGAGGAGGCTTCTCTCAGCAATAAGTATGTGGGAGGGACCCGGAGTGTGCTGCCTCAAGTGGAATATATGGCGAGAAGCCTTAACTTGAAAGGAGGCTGGATTTCCTTGCAGTGTCTTGAATACAGGCTCGTCTTTCATCTCTCAACGTGAAGGGATGTCTGAATCCCCTGTGGAGACCTTAGAGAAAGCCCTAGGTGCCTGCCTCATTTTGCCGGAATGACTCACCTCCCGTTGACACCTCGAGAGGCACGCGGAGTTCACTGCTTCAAAATGTGATGATGCCTGACTCCTCTTGAATACTGATAGGAATCCCAAAATCCCTGTGGCTACTGGAAAGGGAACGTGGGTGCCCGGCCTCACCTCGAGAAGCGTCCCTTTTGCCCTGCCAAGCCTGGAAGAGTTTCCTGAGGTGTTCCTCATTACTAAGGAGGAGTCCTGACGTCACTGAATAACCACGTGTTTTGAAGGGCCATCCCCGTCGTAAGTCGAGAACATGCCCCGGGTCCCCGCCGTAACTCGAGAAAAAATATGAGACTTCCCCCTAGAGACGAGATGAGGCCCCATTCCCCTGCAGTGGATGCAGAGCTATTCCGTGATCCCCATTAAACAAGTCAGGAGCTTCGACTTGCTTAATGGATCTCGAGACAGTCCCCAAGAACACTGTCACCAGTCTAGACGGACGCTGAGGTCACCCCAGCAACGCACAGCAGCTCCATGTGCCCCAAAACAACTCGAGATGATGCCCGATTCCCCTGCATTGACTCCAGAGCCATCCCCCGTTCCCCATTCAACACGACCAGTGGCTTGACTTCCTTCAGGCAACTCCAGAGATGCCCCGAGAACACTGTCCCAAGTCTAGAGGAACACCAACTTCAGCACAGCAACTCGAGGAATGCACGGTGGACCCAAAATCATCTCGAGATGAGAGCTGATTCCCTGGCATAGGCTCAAGGCATATGCCAACTTTCCAGAAGCACCTCAAGACTAGGCTTCTCTCAGCAATAGGTATGTGGGAGGGACCCCGGTTTGGCTGCCTCAAGTGGAATATACAGCGAGAAGCTCTAACTTGAAAGGAGGCTGGATTTCCTTGCAGTGGCTTGAATACAGGCTCGTCTTTCATCTCACAACGTGAAGGGATGTCTGAATCCCCTGTGGAGACCTTAGAGAAATCCCTAGATCCCTGCTTCATTTTGACAGAATGCCTCACGTCACGTTGACACCTTAGAGGCACGCGGACTTCACTGCCTCAAAAGGTGACGATGCCTGACTCCTCTTGAATACTGATAGGAATCCCAAAATCCCTCTGGCTACTGGAAAGGGAACGTTGGTGCCCTGCCTCACCTCGAGAAGCGTCCCTTTTGCCCTGCCAAGCCTCGAAGAGATTCCTGAGGTGTCCCTCGTTACTAGACAACAGTCCTGACGTCACTGAATAAACAGGTGTTTTGAAGGGCCATCCCCACTGTAACTCGAGAACATACACCAGGTCCCCGCTGCAACTTCAGAAAAACCATGGGACTTCCCCCTAGAGGAGAGATGAGGCCCCATTCCCCTGCAGTGCTTGCAGAGCTATTCAGTGATCTCCATCAAACAAGTCAGGAGCTTCGACTTGCTTAATGTAACTCGAGACAGTCCCCAAGAACACTGTCACCAGTCTAGACGGACACTAGGGTCACCCCAGCAACGCAAAGCAGCTCCCTGTGCCCAAAAATCAAATCGAGATGAGGCCTGATTCCCCTGCATTGACTCCAGAGCCATCCCCATTCAACATTCAACACGCCCAGTTTCTTGATTTCCTTCAGGCAACACCAGAGATGTCCCGAGAACACTGTCCCAAGTCTGGAAGAAGACCACCTTCAGCACAGCAAGTCGAGGAATGCTCCGTGTACCCCAAATCGTCTCGAGAAGAGAGCTGATTTCCTGGCTTAGGTTCAAGACGGATGCCAACCTTCCAAAAGCACCTCAAGAAGAGGCTTCTCTCAGCAATAGTCATGTGGGTGGGACCCGGAGTTTGCTGCCTCAAGTGGAATATATGCCGAGAAGCCCTAACTTGAAAGGAGGCCGGATTTCCTTGCAGTGGCTTGAATACAGGCTCGTCTTTCATCTCACAACATGAAGGGATGTCTGAATCCCCTGTGGAGACCTTAGAGAAAGCCATAGGTCCCTGCCTCATTTTGACGGAATGTCTCACTTCCCGTGGACACCTCGAGAGGCACTCGGAGTTCACTGCCTCAAAAGGTTACAATGCCTGACTCCTCTTCAATATTGATAGGAATCCCAAAAACCCTGTGCCTACAGGAAAGGGTCCTTGGGTGCCCTGCCTCACCTCGAGAAGCGTCCCTTTTGCCCTGCCAAGCCTCGAAGAGATTCCTGAGGTGTCCCTCGTTACTAGACAAGAGTCCTGACGTCACTGAATAAACAGGTGTTTTGAAGAGCCATCCCCGCCGTAACTCGAGAACATACCCCAGGTCCCCGCCGCAACTCGGGAAAAACCATGAGACTTCCCCTATAGGCGAGATGAGGCCCCATTCCCCTGCAGTGCATGCAGAGCTATTCCGTGATCCCCATCAAACAAGTCAGGAGCTTCGACTTGCTTAATGGATCTCGAGACAGTCCCCAAGAACACTGTCACCAGTCTAGACGGACCCTGAGGTCAACCCAGCAACGCACAGCAGCTCCATGTGCCCCAAATCAACTCGACAGGAGGCCCCATTCCCCTGCATTGACTCCAGACCCATCTTACGTTCTCCATTCTACACGACCATTGGCTTGAGTTCCTTAAGGCAACTCCAGAGATGCCCCGAGAACACTGTCCCAAGTCTAGAGGAACACCAATTTCAGCACAGCAACTCGAGGAATGCTCCGTGTACCCCAAATCATTTCGAGATGAGAGCAGATTCCCTCTCTTAGGATCAAGACGCATGACAACTTTCCAGAAGCACCTCAAAAGGAGGATTCTCTCAGCAATAGGTATGTGGGAGGGACCCCGATTATGCTGCCACAAGTAGAATGTACAGCGAGAAGCCCTAACGTGAAAGGAGGCCGGATTTCCTTGCAGTGGCTTGAATACAGGCTCGTCTTTCATCTCACAACATGAAGGGATGTCTGAATCCCCTGTGGAGCCCTTAGAGAAAGCCATAGGTCCCTGCCTCATTTTGACGGAATGTCTCACTTCCCGTGGACACCTCGAGAGGCACTCGGAGTTCACTGCCTCAAAAGGTGACAATGCCTGACTCCTCTTGAATATTGATAGGAATCCCAAAAATCCTGTGCCTACAGGAAAGGGTCCTTGGGTGCCCTGCCTCACCTCGAGAAGCGTCCCTTTTGCCCTGCCAAGCCTCGAAGAGATTCCTGAGGTGTCCCTCGTTACTAGACAAGAGTCCTGACGTCACTGAATAAACAGGTGTTTTGAAGGGCCATCCCCGCCGTAACTCGAGAACATACACCAGGTACCCGATGCAACTTGAGAAAAACCATGGGACTTCCCCCTAGAGGAGAGATGAGGCCCCATTCCCCTGTAGTGCATGCAGAGCTATTCTGTGATCTCCATCAAACAAGTCAGGAGCTTCGACTTGCTTAATGGAACTCGAGACAGTCCCCAAGAACACAGTCACCAGTCTAGACGGACCCTGAGGTCACCCCAGCAATGCAAAGCAGCTCCCTGTGCCCAAAAATCAAATCGAGATGAGGCCCGATTCCCCTGCATTGACTCCAAAGCCATCCCCGTTCAACATTCAACACGCCCAGTGGCTTGACTTCCTTCAGGCAACACCAGAGATGCCCCGAGAACACTGTCCCAAGTCTGGAGGAAGACCACCTTCAGCACAGCAACTCGAGGAATGCTCTGTGTACCACAAATCGTCTCGAGATGAGAGCTGATTCCCTGGCTTAGGTTCAAGACGTATGCCAACCTTCCAGAAGCACCTCAAGAGGAGGCTTCTCTCAGCAATAGGTATGTGGGTGGGACCCGGAGTTTGCTGCCTCAAGTGGAATATATGGCGAGAAGCCCTAACTTGAAAGGAGGCCGGATTTCCTTGCAGTGGCTTGAATACAGGCTCGTCTTTCATCTCACAACATGAAGGGATGTCTGAATCCCCTGTGGAGACCTTAGAGAAAGCCCTAGTTCCCTGCCTCATTTTGACGGAATGCCTCACATACCGTTGACACCTCGAGAGGCACGTGGAGTTCACTGCTTCAAAATGTGATGATGCCTGACTCCTCTTGAAACTGATAGGAATCCCAAAATCCCTGTGGCTACTTGAAAGGGAACGTGGGTGCCCAGCCTCACCTCGAGAAGCGTCCCTTTTGCCCTGCCAAGCCTCGAAGAGATTCCTGAGGTGTCCCTCGTTACTAGATAGGAGTCCTGACGTCACTGAATAAACAGGTGTTTTGAAGAGCCATCCCTGCCGTAACTCGAGAACATACCCCAGGTCCCCGCCGCAACTCGGGAAAAACCATGAGACTTCCCCTATAGGCGAGATGAGGCCCCATTCCCCTGCAGTGCATGCAGAGCTATTCCGTGATCCCCATCAAACAAGTCAGGAGCTTCGACTTGCTTAATGGATCTCGAGACAGTCCCCAAGAACACTGTCATCAGTCTAGACGGACCCTGAGGTCAACCCAGCAACGCACAGCAGCTCCATGTGCCCCAAATCAACTCGACAGGAGGCCCGATTCCCCTGCATTGACTCCAGACCCATCTTCCGTTCTCCATTCTACACGATCATTGGCTTGATTTCCTTAAGGCATCTCCAGAGATGCCCCGAGAACACTGTCCCAATTCTAGAGGAACACCAATTTCAGCACAGCAACTCGAGGAATGCTCCGTGTACCCCAAATCATTTTGAGATGAGAGCAGATTCCCTCTCTTAGGCTCAAGACGTATGCCAACTTTCCAGAAGCACCTCAAAAGGAGGATTCTCTCAGCAATAGGTATGTGGGAGGGACCCCGATTATGCTGCCACAAATGGAATGTACAGCGAGAAGCCCTAACTTGAAAGGAGGCCGGATTTCCTTGCAGTGGCTTGAATACAGGCTCGTCTTTCATGTCACAACATGAAGGGATGTCTGAATCCCCTGTGGAGACCTTAGAGAAAGCCATAGGTCCCTGCCTCATTTTGACGGAATGTCTCACTTCCCGTGGACACCTCGAGAGGCACTCGGAGTTCAGTGCCTCAAAAGGTGACAATGCCTGACTCCTCTTGAAAATTGATAGGAATCCCAAAAACCCTGTGCCTACAGGAAAGGGTCCTTGGGTGCCCTGCCTCACCTCGAGAAGCGTCCCTTTTGCCCTGCCAAGCTTCGAAGAGATTCCTGAGGTGTCCCTCGTTACTAGACAAGAGTCCTGACGTCACTGAATAAACAGGTGTTTTGAAGGGCCATCCCCGCTGTAACTCGAGAACATACACCAGGTCCCCGATGCAACTTGAGAAAAACCATGGGACTTCCCCCTAGAGGAGAGATGAGGCCCCATTCCCCTGCAGTGCATGCAGAGCTATTCAGTGATCTCCATCAAACAAGTCAGGAGCTTCGACTTGCTTAATGGAACTCAAGACAGTCCCCAAGAACACTGTCACCAGTCTAGACGGACCCTGAGGTCAACCCAGCAATGCAAAGCAGCTCCCTGTGCCCAAAAATCAAATCGAGATGAGGCCCGATTCCCCTGCATTGACTCCAAAGCCATCCCCGTTCAACATTCAACACGCCCAGTGGCTTGACTTCCTTCAGGCAACACCAGAGATGCCCCGAGAACACTGTCCCAAGTCTAGAGGAACACCAACTTCAGCACAGCAACTCGAGGAATGCTCCGTGTACCCCAAATCCTTTCGAGATGGGTGCTGATTCCCCGGCTTAGGCTCAAGACGTATTCCAACTTTCCAGAAGCACCTCAAGAGGTGGATTCTCTCAGCAATAGGTATGTGGGAGGGACCCCGAGTATGCTGCCTCAACTGGAATATACGGCGAGAAACCCTAACTTGAAAGGAGGCCGGATTTCATTGCAGTGGCTTGAATACAGGCTGGACTTTCATCTCACAACATCAAGGGATGTCTGAATCCCCCGTGGAGACCTTAGAGAAAGCCCTAGGTCCCTGCCTCATTTTGACGGAATGCCTCACTTCCCGTTGACACCTCGAGAGGCACTCGGAGTTCACTGCCTCAAAAGGTGACAATGCCTGACTCCTCTTGAATACTGATAGGAATCCCCAAAAACCTGTGGCTACTGGAATGGGTCCTTGGGTGCCCTACCTCACCTCGAGAAGCGTCCCTTTTGCCCTGCCAAGCCTCGAAGAGATTCCTGAGTTGTCCCTTGTTACTAGACCGGAGTCCTGACGTCACTGAATAAACAGGTGTTTTGAAGGGCCATCCCCGCCGTAACTCGAGAACACATCCCAGGTCCCCGACGCAACTCGGCAAAAACCATGAGACTTCCCCTATAGGCGAGATGTGGCCCCATTCCCCTGCAGTGCATGCAGAGCTATTCCGTGATCCCCATCAAACAAGTCAGGAGCTTCGACTTGCTTAATGGATCTCGAGACAGTCCCCAAGAACACTGTCACCAGTCTAGACGGACCCTGAGGTCAACCCAGTAACGCACAGCAGCTCCATGTGCCCCAAATCAACTCGACAGGATGCCCGATTCCCCTGCATTGACTCCAGACCCATCTTCCGTTCTCCATTCTACACGACCATTGAGTTGACTTCCTTAAGGCAACTCCAGAGATGCCCGAGAACACTGTCCCAAGTCTAGAGGAACACCAACTTCAGCACAGCAACTCGAGGAATGCTCCGTGCACCCCAAATCGTTTCGAGATGGGTGCTGATTCCCTGGCTTAGGCTCAAGACGTATTCCAACTTTCCATAAGCACCTCAAGAGGAGGATTCTCTCAGCAATAGGTATGAGGGAGGGACCCCGAGTATGCTGCCTCAACTGGAATATATGGCGAGAAGCCCTAACTTGAAAGGAGGCTGGATTTCCTTGCAGTGGCTTGAATACAGGCTCGACTTTCATCTCACAACATGAAGGGATGTCTGAATCCCCTGTGGAGACCTTAGAGAAAGCCCTAGGTTCCTGCCTCATTTTGACGGAATGCCTCACTTCCCGTTGACACCTCGAGAGGCACTCGGAGTTCACTGCCTCAAAAGGTGACAATGCCTGACTCCTCTTGAATACTGATAGGAATCCCCAAAACCCTGTGGCTACTGGAAAGGGTCCTTGGATGCCCTGCCTCACCTCGAGAAGCGTCCCTTTTGCCCTGCCAAGCCTCGAAGAGATTCCTGAGGTGTCCCTTGTTACTAGACCGGAGTCCTGACGGCACTGAATAAACAGGTGTTTTGAAGGGCCATCCCCGCCGTAACTCGAGAACATACCCCAGGTCCCCGCCGCAACTCGAGAAAAACCATGAGACTTCCCCCTAGAGGCGAGATGAGGCCCCATTCCCCTGCAGTGCATGCAGAGCTATTCCGTGATACCCATCAAACAAGTCAGGAGCTTCGACTTGCTTAATGGATCTCGAGACAGACCCCAAGAACACTATCACCAGTCTAGACGGACACTGAGGTCAACCCAGCAACGCACAGCAGCTCCATGTGCCCCAAATCAACTCGACAGGAGGCCCGATTCCCCTGCATTGACTCCAGACCCATCTTCCGTTCTCCATTCTACACGACCATTGGTTTGATTTCCTTAAGGCAACTCCAGAGATGCCCCGAGAACACTGTCCCAAGTCTAGAGGAACACCAACTTCAGCACAGCAACTCGAGGAATGCTCCGTGTACCCCAAATCATTTCGAGATGAGAGCAGATTCCCTCTCTTAGGCTTAAGACGTATGCCAACTTTCCAGAAGCACCTCAAAAGGAGGATTCTCTCAGCAATAGGTATGTGGGAGGGACCCCGATTATGCTGCCACAAGTGGAATGTACAGCGAGAAGCCCTAACTAGAAAGGAGGCCGGATTTCCTTGCAGTGGCTTGAATACAGGCTCGTCTTTCATCTCACAACATGAAGGGATGTCTGAATCCCCTGTGGAGACCTTAGAGAAAGCCATAGGTCCCTGCCTCATTTTGACGGAATGTCTCACTTCCCGTGGACACCTCGAGAGGCACTCGGAGTTCACTGCCTCAAAAGGTTACAATGCCTGACTCCTCTTCAATATTGATAGGAATCCCAAAAACCCTGTGCCTACAGGAAAGGGTCCTTGGGTGCCCTGCCTCACCTCGAGAAGCGTCCCTTTTGCCCTGCCAAGCCTCGAAGAGATTCCTGAGGTGTCCCTCGTTACTAGAAAAGAGTCCTGACGTCACTGAATAAACAGGTGTTTTGAAGGGCCATCCCCGCTGTAACTCGAGAACATACACCAGGTCCCCGATGCAACTTGAGAAAAAACATGGAACTTCCCCCTAGAGGAGAGATGAGGCCCCATTCCCCTGCAGTGCATGCAGAGCTATTCAGTGATCTCCATCAAACAAGTCAGGAGCTTCGACTTGCTTAATGGAACTCGAGACAGTCCCCAAGAACACTGTCACCAGTCTAGACCGACCCTGAGGTCACCCCAGCAACGCAAAGCAGCTCCCTGTGCCCAAAAATCAAATCGAGATGAGGCCTGATTCACCTGCATTGACTCCAAAGCCATCCCCGTTCAACATTCAACACGCCCAGTGGCTTGACTTCCTTCAGGCAACACCAGAGATGCCCCGAGAACACTGTCCCAAGTCTGGAGGAAGACCACCTTCAGCACAGCAACTCGAGGAATGCTCCGTGTACCCCAAATCGTCTCGAGATGAGAGCTGATTCCCTGGCTTAGGTTCAAGATGTATGCCAACCTTCCAGAAGCACCTCAAGAGGATTCTTCTCTCAGCAATAAGTATGTGGGAGGGACCCGGAGTTTGCTGCCTCAAGTGGAATATATGGCGAGAAGCCCTAACTTGAAAGGAGGCTGGATTTCCTTGCAGTGTCTTGAATACAGGCTCGTCTTTCATCTCTCAACGTGAAGGGATGTCTGAACCCCTGTGGAGACCTTAGAGAAAGCCCTAGGTCCCTGCCTCATTTTGACGGAATGCCTCACATACCGTTGACACCTCGAGAGGCACTTGGAGTTCACTGCTTCAAAATGTGATGATGCCTGACTCCTCTTGAATACTGATAGGGATCCCAAAATCCCTGTGGCTACTGGAAAGGGAACGTGGGTGCCCGGACTCACCTCGAGAAGCGTCCCTTTTGCCCTGCCAAGCCTGGAAGAGTTTCCTGAGGTGTTCCTCATTACTAAGGAGGAGTCCTGACGTCACTGAATAACCACGTGTTTTGAAGGGCCATCCTCGTCGTAACTCGAGAACATACCCTAGGTCCCCGCCGTAACTCGAGAAAAAATATGAGACTTCCCCCTAGAGACGAAATGAGGCCCCATTCCCCTGCAGTGCATGCAGAGCTATTCCGTGATCCCCATTAAACAAGTCAGGAGCTTCGACTTGCTAAATGGATCTCGAGACAGTCCCCAAGAACACTGTCACCAGTCTAGACGGACGCTGAAGTCACCCCAGCAACGCACAGCAGCTCCATGTGCCCCAAAACAACTCGAGATGATGCCCGATTCTCCTGCATTGACTCCAGAGCCATCCCCCGTTCCCCATTCAACACGACCAGTGGCTTGACTTCCTTCAGGCAACTCCAGATATGCCCCGAGAACACTGTCCCAAGTCTAGAGGAACACCAACTTCAGCACAGCAACTCGAGAAATGCTCCGTGCACCCCAAATTGTTTCGAGATGGGTGCTGATGCCCTGGCTTAGGCTGAAGACGTATTCCAACTTTCCATAAGCACCTCAAGAGGAGGATTCTCTCAGCAATAGGTATGTGGGAGGGACCCCGAGTTTGCTGCCTCAAGTGGAATATACAGCGAGAAGCCCTAACTTGAAAGGAGGCCGGATTTCCTTGCAGTGGCTTGAATACAGGCTCGTCTTTCATCTCACAACGTGAAGGGATGTCTGAATCCCCTGTGGAGACCTTAGAGAAAGCCCTAGATCCCTGCCTCATTTTGACAGAATGCCTCACATCACGTTGACACCTCGAGAGGCACGAGGACTTCACTGCCTCAAAAGGTGACGATGCCTGACTCCTCTTGAATACTGATAGGAATCCCATAATCCCTGTGGCTACTGGAAAGGGAACGTGGGTGCCCTGCCTCACTTCGAAAAGCGTCCCTTTTGCCCTGCCAAGCCTCGAAGAGATTCCTGAGGTGTCCCTCGTTACTAGACAAGAGTCCTGACGTCACTGAATAAACAGGTGTTTTGAAGGGCCATCCCCGCTGTAACTCGAGAACATACACCAGGTCCCCGCTGCAACTTGAGAAAAACCATGGGACTACCCCCTAGAGGAGAGATGAGGCCCCATTCCCCTGCAGTGCATGCAGAGCTATTCAGTGATCTCCATCAAACAAGTCAGGAGCTTCGACTTGCTTAATGTAACTCGAGACAGTCCCCAAGAACACTGTCACCAGTCTAGACGGACACTGAGGTCACCCCAGCAACGCAAAGCAGCACCCTGTGCCCAAAAATCAAATCGAGATTAGGCCCGATTCCCCTGCATTGACTCCAGAGCCATCCCCATTCAACATTCAACACTCCCAGTTTCTTGACTTCCTTCAGGGAACACCAGAGATGCCCCGAGAACACTGTCCCAAGTCTGGAGGAAGACCACCTTCAGCACAGCAACTCGAGGAATGCTCCGTGTACCCCAAATCGTCTCGAGATGAGAGCTGATTCCCTGGCTTAGGTTCAAGACGTATGCCAACCTTCCAGAAGCACCTCAAGAGGAGGCTTCTCTCAGCAATAGGTATGTGGGAGGGACCCGGAGTTTGCTGCCTCAAGTGGAATATATGGCGAGAAGCCCTAAGTTGAAAGGAGGCCGGATTTCCTTGCAGTGGCTTGAATACAGGCTCGTCTTTCATCTCACAACATGAAGGAATGTCTGAATCCCCTGTGGAGACCTTAGAGAAGGCCCTAGTTCCCTTCCTCATTTTGACGGAATGCCTCACATACCGTTGACACCTCGAGAGGCTCGCGGAGTTCACTGCTTCAAAATGTGATGATGCCTGACTCCTCTTGAATACTGATAGGAATCCCAAAATCCCTGTGGCTACTGGAAAGGGAACGTGGGTGCCCGGACTCACCTCGAGAAGCGTCCCTTTTGCCCTGCCAAGCCTCGAAGAGATTCCTGAGGTGTTCCTCATTACTAAGGAGGAGTCCTGACGACACTGAATAACCATGTGTTTTGAAGGGCCATCCCCGTCGTAACTCGAGAACATACCCCAGGTCCCCACTGTAACTCGAGAAAAAATATGAGACTTCCCCCTAAAGACGAAATGAAGCCCCATTCCCCTGCAGTGCATGCAGAGCTATTCCGTGATCCCCATCAAACAAGTCAGGAGCTTCGACTTGCTTAATGGATCTCAAGAGATTCCCCAAGAACACTGTCACCAGTCTAGACGGACGCTGAGGTCACCCCAGCAACGTACAGCAGCTCCATGTGCCCCAAAACAACTCGAGATGATGCCCGATTCCCCTGCATTGACTCCAGAGCCATCCCCCGTTCCACATTCAACACGACCAGTGACTTGACTTCCTTCAGGCAACTCCAGAGATGCCCCGAGAAACTGTCCCAAGTCTAGAGGAACACCAACTTCAGCACAGCAACTCGAGGAATGCACGGTGGACCCAAAATCATATCAAGATGAGAGCTGATTCCATGGCATAGGCTCAAGGCATATGCCAACTTTCCAGAAGCACCTCAAGAGGAGGCTTCATTCAGCAATAGGTATGTGGGAGAGACCCCGGGTTGGCTGCCTCAAGTGGAATATACAGCGAGAAGCTCTAACTTGAAAGGAGGCTGGATTTCCTTGCAGTGGCTTGAATACAGGCTCGTCTTTCATCTCACAACGTGAAAGGATGTCTGAATCCCCTGTGGAGACCTTAGAGAAAGCCTTAGGTCCCTGCCTCATTTTGACGGAATTCCTCACATCACGTTGACACCTCGAGAGGCACTCGGAGTTCACTGCCTCAAAAGGTGACGATGCCTGACTCCTCTTGAATACTGATAGGAATCCCAAAATCCCTGTGGCTACTGGAAAGGGTCCTTGGGTGCCCTGCCTCACCTCGAGAAGCGTCCCTTTTGCCCTGCCAAGCCTCGAAGAGATTCCTGAGGTGTCCCTCGTTACTAGACAGGAGTCCTGACGTCACTGAAGAAACTCGTGTTTTGAAGGGCCATCCCCGCCGTAACTCGAGAACATAGCCCAGGTCCCCGCCGCAACTCGAGAAAAACCATGAGACTTCCCCCTAGAGGCGAGATGAGGCCCCATTCCCCTGCAGTGCATGCAGAGCTATTCCGTGATCCCCATCAAACAAGTCAGGAGCTTCGACTTGCTTAATGGATCTCGACACAGTCCCCAAGAACACTGTCACCAGTCTAGACGGACCCTGAGGTCAACCCAGCAACGCACAGCAGCTCCATATGCCCCAAATCAACTCGACAGGAGGCCCGATTCCCCTGCATTGACTCCAGACCCATCTTCCGTTCTCCATTCTACACGACCATTGAGTTGACTTCCTTAAGGCAACTCCAGAGATGCCCTGAGAACACTGTCCCAAGTCTAGAGGAACACCAACTTCAGCACAGCAACTCGAGGAATGCTCCATGTACCCCAAATCGTCTCGAGATGGGTGCTGATTCCCTGGCTTAGGCTCAAGACGTATACCAACTTTCCAGAAGCACCTCAAGAGGAGGATTCTCTCAGCAATAGGTATGTGGTAGGGACCCCGAGTGTGCTGCCTCAAGTGGAATATACGGCGAGAAGCCCTAACTGAAAGGAGGCCGGATTTCCTTGCAGTTGCTTGAATACAGGCTCGTCTTTCATCTCAGAACATGAAGAGCTGTCTGAATCCCCTGTGCAGACCTTAGAGAAAGCCCTAGGTCCATGCTTCATTTTGACGGAATGCCTCACATCCCGTTGACACTTCGAGAGTCACCCGGAGTTCACTGCTTCAAAAGGTGACGATGCCTGACTCCTTTTGAATGCTGAAAGAAATCCCAAAATCTCTGTGGCTAAAGGAAGGGTCCTTGGGTGCCCTGCATCACCCCGAGAAGCATTCCTTTTGCCCTGCCAAGCCGCGAAGAGTTTCCTGAGGTGTCCCTCGTTACTAGAGTGGAGTCCTGACGTCACTGAATAAACACGTGTTTTGAAGGGCCATCCCCGCCATAACTCGAGACCATACCCCTGGTCCCCGCCACAGCCCGAGAAAAACCAGGAGCCTTCCGCCTAGGGGCGAGTCACATTCCCCTACACTGCATGCAGAGCTATTCCGTGATCCCCATCAAACAAGTCAGGAGCTTCGACTTCCTTAATGGATCTCGAGACAGTCTCCAAGAACACTGTCACCTGTCTAGATGGACCCTGAGGTCACCCCAGCAATGCAAAGCAGCTCCATAGGCCAAAAATCAACACGAGATGAGGCCCGATTCCCCTGCATTGACTCCAGAGCCATGCCCCGTTCAGCATTCAACACGACCAGTGGCTTGACTTCCTTAAGGCAACTCCAGAGATGCCCCGAGAACACTGTCCCAAGTCTAGAGGAACACCAACTTCAGCACAGCAACTCGAGGAATGCTCCATGTACCCCAAATCATCTCGAGATGGGTGCTGATTCCCTGGCTTAGGCTCAAGACGTATACCAACTTTCCAGAAGCACCTCAAGAGGAGGATTCTCTCAGCAATAGGTATGTGGTAGGGACCCCGAGTGTGCTGCCTCAAGTGGAATATACGGCGAGAAGCCCTAACTGAAAGGAGGCCGGATTTCCTTGCAGTTGCTTGAATACAGGCTCGTCTTTCATCTCAGAACATGAAGAGCTGTCTGAATCCCCTGTGCAGACCTTAGAGAACGCCCTAGGTCCATGCTTCATTTTGAAGGAATGCCTCACATCCCGTTGACACTTCGAGAGGCACCCGGAGTTCACTGCTTCAAAAGGTGACGATGCCTGACTCCTTTTGAATACTGAAAGAAATCCCAAAATCTCTGTGGCTACTGGAAGGGTCCTTGGGTGCCCTGTATCACCCCGAGAAGCATTCCTTTTGCCCTGCCAAGCCGCGAAGAGATTCCTGAGTTGTCCCTTGTTACTAGAGTGGAGTCCTGACGTCACTGAATAAACACGTGTTTTGAAGGGACATCCCCGCCGTAACTCGAGATCATACCCCTGGTCCCCGCCACAGCCCGAGAAAAACCAGGAGCCTTCCGCCTAGGGGCGAGTCACATTCCCCTACACTGCATGCAGAGCTATTCCGTGATCCCCATCAAACAAGTCAGGAGGTTCGACTTCCTTAATGGATCTCGAGACAGTCTCCAAGAACACTGTCACCTGTCTAGATGGACCCTGAGGTCACCCCAGCAATTCAAAGCAGCTCCATGGGCCAAAAATCAACACGAGATGAGGCCCGATTCCCCTACATTGACTCCAGAGCCATGCCCCGTTCAGCATTCAACACGACCAGTGGCTTGACTTCCTTCAGGCAACTCCAGAGATGCCCGGAGAACTCTGTCCCAAGTCTAGAGGAACAAAAACATCAGCACAGCAACTCGAGGAATGCACGGTTTACACCAAATCGTCTCGAAATGAGAGCTGATTCCCTGGCTTAGGCTCAAGACGTATGCCAACTTTCCAGAAGCACCTCAAGAGGAGGCTACTCTCAGCAATAGGTATTTGGGTGGGACCCTGAGTGTTCTGCCTCAAGGGGAATATACGGCGAGAAGCCCTAACTTGAAAGGAGGCCGGATTTCCTTCCAGTGGCTTGAATACAGGCTCGTCTTTCATCTCACAACATGAAGGGATTTCTGAATCCCCTGTGGAGACCTTAGAGAAAGCCCTAGATCCCTGCCTCATTTTGACAGAATGCCTCACATCACATTGACACCTCGAGAGGCACTTGGAGTTCACTGCCTCAAAAGGTGACGATGCCTGACGCCTCTTGAATAATGATAGGAATCCCAAAATCCCTGTGGCTACTGGAAAGGGAACGTTGGTGCCCTGCCTCACCTCGAGAAGCGTCCCTTTTGCCCTGCCAAGCCTCGAAGAGATTCCTGACGTGTCCCTCGTTACTAGACAAGAGTCCTGACCTCACTGAATAAACAGGTGTTTTGAAGGGCCATCCCCGCTGTAACTCGAGAACATACACCAGGTCCCCACTGCAACTGGAGAAAAACCATGGGACTTCCCCCTAGACGAGAGATGAGGCCCCATTCCCCTGCAGTGCATGCAGAGCTATTCAGTGATCTCCATCAAACAAGTCAGGAGCTTCGACTTGCTTAATGGAACTCGAGACAGTCCCCAAGAACACTGTCACCAGTCTAGACGGACCCTGAGGTCACCCCAGCAACGCAAAGCAGCTCGCTGTGCCCAAAAATCAAATCGAGATGAAGCCTGATTCCCCTGCATTGACTCCAGAGCCATCCCCATTCAACATTCAACACGCCCAGTGGCTTGACTTCCTTCAGGCAACACCAGAGATGCCCCGAGAACACTGTCCCAAGTCTGGAGGAAGACCACCTTCAGCACAGGAACTCGAGGAATGCTCCGTGTACCCCAAATCGTCTCGAGATGAGAGCTGATTCCCTGGCTTAGGTTCAAGACGTATGCCAACCTTCCAGAAGCACCTCAAGAGGAGGCTTCTCTCAGCAATAGCTATGTGGGAGGGACCCGGAGTTTGCTGCCTCAAGTGGAATATATGGCGAGAAGCCCTAACTTGAAAGGAGGCTGGATTTCCTTGCAGTGTCTTGAATACAGGCTCGTCTTTCATCTCTCAACGTGAAATGATGTCTGAATCCCCTGTGGAGACCTTAGAGAAAGCCCTATGTCCCTGCCTCATTTTGACGGAATGCCTCACATCCCGTTGACACCTCGAGAGGCACGCGGAGTTCACTGCTTCAAAATGTGATGATGCCTGACTCCTCTTGAATACTGATAGGAATCCCAAAATCCCTGTGGCTACTGGAAAGGGAACGTGGGTGCCCGGACTCACCTCGAGAAGCGTCCCTTTTGCCCTGCCAAGCCTGGAAGAGTTTCCTGAGGTGTTCCTCTTACTAAGGAGGAGTCCTGACGTCACTGAATAACCACGTGTTTTGAAGGGCTATCCCCGTCGTAACTCGAGAACATACCCTAGGTCCCCGCCGTAACTCGAGAAAAAATATGAGACTTCCACCTAGAGACGAGATGAGGCCCCATTCCCCTGCAGTGCATGCAGAGCTATTCCGTGATCCCCATCAAACAAGTCAGGAGCTTCGACTTGCTTAATGGATCTCGAGATAGTCCCCAAGAACACTGTCACCAGTCTAGACGGACGCTGAGGTCACCCCAGCAACGCACAGCAGCTCCATGTGCCCCAAAACAACTCGAGATGATGCCCGATTCCCCTGCATTGACTCCAGAGCCATCCCCCGTTCCCCATTCAACACGACCAGTGGCTTGACTTCCTTCAGGCAACTCCTGAGATGCCCCGAGAACACTGTCCCATGTCTAGAGGAACACCAACTTCAGCACAGCAACTCGAGGAATGCACGGTGGACCCAAAATCATCTCGAGATGAGAGCTGATTCCCTGGCATAGGCTCAAGGCATATGCCAACTTTCCAGAAGCACCTCAAGAAGAGGCTTCTCTCATCAATAGGTATGTGGGAGGGACCCCGGGTTGGCTGCCTCAAGTGGAATATACAGCGAGAAGCCCTAACTTGAAAGGAGGCTGGATTTCCTTGCAGTGGCTTGAATACAGGCTCGTCTTTCATCTCACAACGTGAAGGGATGTCTGAATCCCCTGTGGAGACCTTAGAGAAAGCCCTAGTTCCCTGCCTCATTTTGACGGAATGCCTCACATACCGTTGACACCTCGAGAGGCTCGCTGAGTTCACTGCTTCAAAATGTGACGATGCCTGACTCCTCTTGAATACTGATAGGAATCCCAAAATCCCTGTGGCTACTGGAAAGGGTCCTTGGGTGCCCTGCCTCACCTCGAGAAGCGTCCCTTTTGCCCAGCCAAGCCTCGAAGAGATTCCTGAGGTGTCCCTCGTTACTAGACAGGAGTCCTGACGTCACTGAATAAACAGGTGTTTTGAAGAGCCATCCCCGCCGTAACTCGAGAACATACCCCAGGTCCCCGCCGCAACTCGGCAAAAACCATGAGACTTCCCCTATAGTCGAGATGAGGCCCCATTCCCCTGCAGTGCATGCAGAGCTATTCCGTGATCCCCATCAAACAAGTCAGGAGCTTCGACTTGCTTAATGGATCTCGAGACAGTCCCCAAGAACACTGTCACCAGTCTAGACGGACCCTGAGGTCAACCAAGCAACGCACAGCAGCTCCATGTGCCCCAAATCAACTCGACAGGAGGCCCGATTCCCCTGCATTTACACCAGAGCCATCTTCCGTTCTCCATTCTACACGACCATTGGCTTGACTTCCTTAAGGCAACTCCAGAGATGCCCCGAGAACACTGTACCAAGTCTAGAGGAACACCAACTTCAGCACAGCAACTCGAGGAATGTTCCGTGTACCCCAAATCGTTTCGAGATGAGAGCAGATTCCCTGGCTTAGGCTCAAGACGTTGGCAACTTTCCAGAAGCACCTCAAGAGGAGGATTCTCTCAGCAATAGGTATGTGGGAGAGACCCCGATTATGCTGCCTCAAGTGGAATATACAGCGAGAAGCCCTAACTTCAAAGAGGCCGGATTTCCTTGCAGTGGCTTGAATACAGGCTCGTCTATCATCTCACAACATGAAGGGATGTCTGAATCCCCTGTGGAGACCTTAGAGAAAGCCCTAGGTCCCTGCCTCATTTTGACGGAATGCCTCACTTCCTGTGGACACCTCGAGAGGCACTCGGAGTTCACTGCCTCGAAAGGTGACAATGCCTGACTCCTCTTGAATACTGATAGGAATCCCAAAAACCCTGTACCTACAGGAAAGGGTAATTGGGTGCCCTGCCTCAGCTCTAGAAGCGTCCCTTTTGCCCTGCCAAGCCTTGAAGAGATTCCTGAGGTGTCCCTCGTTACTAGACAAGAGTCCTGACGTCACTGAATAAACAGGTGTTTTGAAGGGCCATCCCCGCTGCAACTCGAGTACATACACCAGGTCCCCGCTGCAACTTGAGAAAAACCATGGGACTTCCCCCTAGAGGCGAGATGAGGCCCCATTCCCCTGCAGTGCATGCAGAGCTATTCTGTGATCTCCATCAAACAAGTCAGGATCTTCGACTTGCTTAATGGAACCCGAGACAGTCCCCAAGAACACTGTCACCAGTCTAGACGGACCCTGAGGTCAACCCAGCAACGCACAGCAGCTCCATGTGCCCCAAATCAACTCGATAGGAGTCCTGATTCCCCTGCATTGACTCCAGAGCCATCTTCCGTTCTCCATTCTACACGACCATTGGCTTGACTTCCTTAAGGCAACTCCAGAGATGCCCCGAGAACACTGTCCCAAGTCTAGAGGAACACTAACTTCAGCACAGCAACTCGAGGAATGCTCCGTGTACCCAAAATCGTTTCGAGATGAGAGCAGATTCCCTGGCTTAGGCTCAAGACGTATGCCAACTTTCCAGAAGCACCTCAAGAGGAGGCTTCTCTCAGGAATAGATATGTGGGAGGGACCCGGAGTTTGCTGCCTCAAGTGGAATATATGGCGAGAAGACCTAACTTGAAAGGAGGCCGGATTTCCTTGCAGTGGCTTGAATACAGGCTCGTCTTTCATCTCACAACATGAAGGGATCTCTGAATCCCCTGTGGAGACCTTAGAGAAAGCCGTAATTCCCTGCCTCATTTTGACGGAATTTCTCACATCCCGTTGACAGCTCGAGAGGCACGCGGATTTCACTGCTTCAAAATGTGATGATGCCTGACTCCTCTTGAATACTGATAGGAATCCCAAAATCCCTGTGGCTACTGGAAAGGGAACGTGGGTGCCCTGCCTCACCTCGAGAAGCGTCCCTTTTGCCCTGCCAAGCCTCGAAGAGTTTCCTGAGGTGTTCCTCATTACTAAGGAGGAGTCCTGACGTCACTGAATAACCACGTGTTTTGAAGGGCCATCCCCGTCGTAACTCGATAACATACCCCAGGTCCCCGCCGTAACTCGAGAAAAAATATGAGACTTCCCCCTAGAGACGAGATGAGGCCCCATTCCCCTGCAGTGCATGCAGAGCTATTCCGTGATCCCCATCAAACAAGTCAGGAGCTTCGACTTGCTTAATGGATCTCGAGACAGTCCCCAAGAACACTGTCACCAGTCTAGACGGACGCTGAGGTCACCCCAGCAACGCACAGCAGCTCCATGTGCCCCAAAACAACTCGAGATGATGCCCGATTCCCCTGCATTGACTCCAGAGCCATCCCCAGTTCCCCATTCAACACGACCAGTGGCTTGACTTCCTTCAGGCAACTCCAGAGATGCCCCGAGAACACTGTCCCAAGTCTAGAGGAACACCAACTTCAGCACAGCAACTCGAGGAATGCACGGTGGACCCAAAATCATGTCGAGATGAGAGCTGATTCCCTGGCATAGGCTCAAGGCATATGCCAACTTTCCAGAAGCACCTCAAGAGGAGGCTTCTCTCAGCAATAGGTATGTGGGAGGGACCCCGGGTTGGCTGCCTCAAGTGGAATATACAGCGAGAAGCCCTAACTTGAAAGGAGGCTGGATTTCCTTGCAGTGGCTTGAATACTGGCTCGTCTTTCATCTCACAACGTGAAGGGATGTCTCAATCCCCTGTGGAGACCTTAGAGAAAGCCCTAGGTCCCTGCCTCATTTTGACGGAATGCCTCACATCCCGTTGACACATCGAGAGGCACGTGGAGTTCATTGCTTCAAAAGGTGACGATGCCTGACTCCTCTTGAATACTGATAGGAATCCCAAAATCCCTGTGGCTACAGGAAAGGGTCCTTGGGTGCCCTGCCTCACCTCTAGAAGCGTCCCTTTTGCCCTGCCAAGCCTCGGAGAGATTACTGAGGTGTCCCTCGTTACTAGACAGGAGTCCTGACGTCACTGAATAAACAGGTGTTTTGAAGGGCCATCCCCGGCGTAACTCGAGAACATAGCCCAGGTCCCCGCCGCAACTCGAGAAAAACCATGAGACTTCCCCCTAGAGGCGAGATGAGGAGCCTTTCCCCTGCAGTGCATGCAGAGCTATTCCGTGATCCCCATCCAACAAGTTAGGAGTTTCGACTTGCTTAATGGATCTCGAGACAGTCCCGAAGAACACTATCACCAGTCTAGACGGACCCTGAGGTCAACCCAGCAACGCACAGCAGCTCCATGTGCCCCAAATCAACTCGACAGGAGGCCTGATTCCCCTGCATTGACTCCAGAGCCATCTTCCGTTCTCCATTCTACACGACCATTGGCTTGACTTCCTTAAGGCAACTCCACAGATGCCCCGAGAACACTGTCCCAAGTCTAGAGGAACACTAACTTCAGCACAGCAACTCGAGGAATGCTCCGTGTACCACAAATCGTTTCGAGATGAGAGCAGATTCCCTGGCTTAGGCTCAAGACGTATGCCATCTTTCCAGAAGCACCTCAAGAAGAGGCTTCTCTCAGCAATAGGTATGTGGGAGGGACCCCGAGGTTGCTGCCTCAAGTGGAATATACAGCGAGAAGCCCTAACTTGAAAGGAGGCCGGATTTCCTTGCAGTGGCTTGAATAGAGGCTCGTCTTTCATCTCACAACATGAAGGGATGTCTGAATCCCCTGTGGAGACCTAGAGAAAGCCCTAGGTCCCTGCCTCCTTTTGACGGAATGCCTCACTTCCCGTGGACACCTCGAGAGGCACTCGGAGTTCACTTCCTCAAAAGGTGACAATGCCTGACTCCTCTTAAATACTGATAGGAATCCCCAAAACCCTGTGCCTACAGGAAAGGGTCCTTGGGTGCCCTGCCTCACCTTGAGAAGCGTCCCTTTTGCCCTGCCAAGCCTCGAAGAGATTCCTCACGTGTCCCTCGTTACTAGACAAGAGTCCTAACGTCACTGAATAAACAGGTGTTTTGAAGGGCCATCCCCGCTGTAACTCGAGAACATACACCAGGTCCCCGTTGCAACTTGAGAAAAACCATGGGACTTCCCCCTAGAGGCGAGATGAGGCCCCATTCCACTGCAGTGCATGCAGAGCTACTCAGTGATCTCCATCAAACAAATCAGGAGCTTCGACTTGCTTAATGGAACACGAGGCAGTCCCCAAGAACACTGTCACCAGTCTAGACGGACCCACAGGTCTACCCAGCAACGCAAAGCAGCACCCTGTGCCCAAAAATCAAATCAAGATGAGGCCCGATTCCCCTGCCTTGACTCCAGAGCCATCACCATTCAACATTCAACACGCCCAGTGGCTTGACTTCCTTCAGGCAACACCAGAGATGCCCCGAGAACACTGTCCCAAGTCTGGAGGAAGACCACCTTCAGCACAGCAACTCGAGGAATGCTCTGTGTACCCCAAATCGTCTCGAGATGAGAGCTGATTCCCTGGCTTAGGTTCAAGACGTATGCCAACCTTCCAGAAGCACCTCAAGAGGAGGCTTCTCTCAGCAATAGGTATGTGGGAGGGACCCGGAGTTTGCTGCCTCAAGTGGAATATATGGCGAGAAGACCTAACTTGAAAGGAGGCCGGATTTCCTTGCAGTGGCTTGAATACAGGCTCGTCTTTCATCTCACAACATGAAGGGATGTCTGAATCCCCTGTGGAGACCTTAGAGAAAGCCGTAATTCCCTGCCTCATTTTGACAGAATTTCTCACATCCCGTTGACACCTCGAGAGGCACGCGGAGTTCACTGCTTCAAAATGTGATGATGCCTGACACCTCTTGAATACTGATAGGAATCCCAAAATCCCTGTGGCTACTGGAAAGGGAACGTGGGTGCCCTGCCTCACCTCGAGAAGCGTCCCTTTTGCCCTGCCAAGCCTCGAAGAGTTTCCTGAGGTGTTCCTCATTACTAAGGAGGAGTCCTGACGTCACTGAATAACCACGTGTTTTGAAGGGCCATCCCCGTCGTAACTCGATAACATACCCCAGGTCCCCGCCGTAACTCGAGAAAAAATATGAGACTTCCCTCTAGAGACGAGATGAGGCCCCATTCCCCTGCAGTGCATGCAGAGCTATTCCGTGATCACCATCAAACTAGTCAGGAGCTTCGACTTGCTTAATGGATCTCGAGACAGTCCCCAAGAACACTGTCACCAGTCTAGACGGACGCTGAAGTCACCCCAGCAACGCACTGCAGCTCCATTTGCCCCAAAACAACTCGAGATGATGCCCGATTCCCCTGCATTGACTCCAGAGCCATCCCCAGTTCCCCATTCAACACGACCAGTGGCTTGACTTCCTTCAGGCAACTCCAGAGATGCCCCGAGAACACTGTCCCAAGTCTAGAGGAACACCAACTTCAGCACAGCAACTCGAGGAATGCACGGTGGACCCAAAATCATGTCGAGATGAGAGCTGATTCCCTGGCATAGGCTCAAGGCATATGCCAACTTTCCAGAAGCACCTCAAGAGGAGGATTCTCTCAGCAATAGGTATGTGGTAGGGACCCCGGGTTGGCTGCCTCAAGTGGAATATACAGCGAGAAGCCCTAACTTGAAAGGAGGCTGGATTTCCTTGCAGTGGCTTGAATACAGGCTCGTCTTTCATCTCACAACGTGAAGGGATGTCTCAATCCCCTGTGGAGACATTAGAGAAAGCCCTAGGTCACTGCCTCATTTTGACGGAATGCCTCACATCCCGTTGACACATCGAGAGGCACGTGGAGTTCATTGCTTCAAAAGGTGACGATGCCTGACTCCTCTTGAATACTGATAGGAATCCCAAAATAACTGTGGCTACAGGAAAGGGTCCTTGGGTGCCCTGCCTCACCTCTAGAAGCGTCCCTTTTGCCCTGCCAAGCCTCGGAGAGATTACTGAGGTGTAACTCGTTACTAGACAGGAGTCCTGACGTCACTGAATAAACAGGTGTTTTGAAGGGCCATCCCCGGCGCAACTCGAGAACATACCCCAGGTCCCCGCCGCAACTCGAGAAAAACCATGAGACTTCCCCCTAGAGGCGAGATGAGGCCCCATTCCCCTGCAGTGCATGCAGAGCTATTCCGTGATCCCCATCAAAGAAGTCAGGAGCTTCGACTTGCTTAATGGATCTCGAGACAGTCCCCAAGAACACTATCACCAGTCTAGACGGACCCTGAGGTCAACCCAGCAACGCACAGCAGCTCCATGTGCCCCAAATCAACTCGAGATGAGGCCCGATTCCCCTGCATTTACACCAGAGCCATCTTCCGTTCTCCATTCTACACGACCATTGGCTTGACTTCCTTAAGGCAACTCCAGAGATGCCCCGAGAACACTGTACCAAGTCTAGAGGAACACCAACTTCAGCACAGCAACTCGAGGAATGTTCCGTGTAGCCCAAATCGTTTCGAGATGAGAGCAGATTCCCTGGCTTAGGCTCAAGACGTTGGCAACTTTCCAGAAGCACCTCAAGAGGAGGATTCTCTCAGCAATAGGTATGTGGGAGAGACCCCGATTATGCTGCCTCAAGTGGAATATACAGCGAGAAGCCCTAACTTCAAAGAGGCCGGATTTCCTTGCAGTGGCTTGAATACAGGCTCGTCTATCATCTCACAACATGAAGGGATGTCTGAATCCCCTGTGGAGACCTTAGAGAAAGCCCTAGGTCCCTGCCTCATTTTGACGGAATGCCTCACTTCCTGTGGACACCTCGAGAGTCACTCGGAGTTCACTGCCTCGAAAGGTGACAATGCCTGACTCCTCTTGAATACTGATAGGAATCCCAAAAACCCTGTGCCTACAGGAAAGGGTAATTGGGTGCCCTGCCTCAGCTCTAGAAGCGTCCCTTTTGCCCTGCCAAGCCTTGAAGAGATTCCTGAGGTGTCCCTCGTTACTAGACAAGAGTCCTGACGTCACTGAATAAACAGGTGTTTTGAAGGGCCATCCCCGCTGCAACTCGAGAACATACACCAGGTCCCCGCTGCAACTTGAGAAAAACCATGGGACTTCCCCCTAGAGGCGAGATGAGGCCCCATTCCCCTGCAGTGCATGCAGAGCTATTCTGTGATCTCCATCAAACAAGTCAGGATCTTCGACTTGCTTAATGGAACCCGAGACAGTCCCCAAGAACACTGTCACCAGTCTAGACGGACCCTGAGGTCAACCCAGCAACGCACAGCAGCTCCATGTGCCCCAAATCAACTCGATAGGAGTCCTGATTCCCCTGCATTGACTCCAGAACAATCTTCCGTTCTCCATTCTACACGACCATTGGCTTGACTTCCTTAAGGCAACTCCAGAGATGCCCCGAGAACACTGTCCCAAGTCTAGAGGAACACTAACTTCAGCACAGCAACTCGAGGAATGCTCCGTGTACCCAAAATCGTTTCGAGATGAGAGCAGATTCCCTGGCTTAGGCTCAAGACGTATGCCAGCTTTCCAGAAGCACCTCAAGAGGAGGATTCTCTCAGGAATAGTTATGTGGGAGGGACCCCGAGGTTGCTGCCTCAAGTGGAATATACAGCGAGAAGCCCTAACTTGAAAGGAGGCCGGATTTCCTTGCAGTGGCTTGAATAGAGGCTCGTCTTTCATCTCACAACATGAAGGGATGTCTGAATCCCCTGGGGAGACCTTAGAGAAAGCCCTAGGTCCCTGCCTCCTTTTGACGGAATGCCTTACTTCCCGTGGACACCTCGAGAGGCACTCGGAGTTCACTTCCTCAAAAGGTGACAATGCCTGACTCCTCTTAAATACTGATAGGAATCCCCAAAACCCTGTGCCTACAGGAAAGGGTCCTTGGGTCCCCTGCCTCACCTTGAGAAGCGTCCCTTTTGCCCTGCCAAGCCTCGAAGAGATTCCTCAGGTGTCCCTCGTTACTAGACAAGAGTCCTGACGTCACTGAATAAACAGGTGTTTTGAAGGGCCATCCCCGCTGTAACTCGAGAACATACACCAGGTCCCCGATGCAACTTGAGAAAAACCATGGGACTTCCCCCTAGAGGCGAGATGAGGCCCCATTCCACTGCAGTGCATGCAGAGCTACTCAGTGATATCCATCAAACAAGTCAGGAGCTTCCACTTGCTTAATGGAACTTGAGGCAGTCCCCAAGAACACTGTCACCAGTCTAGACGGAACCACAGGTCAACCCAGCAACGCAAAGCAGCACCCTGTGCCCAAAAATCAAATCAAGATGAGGCCCGATTCCCCTGCCTTGACTCCAGAGCCATCCCCATTCAATATTCAACACGCCTAGTGGCTTGACTTCCTTCAGGCAACACCAGAGATGCCCCGAGAACACTGTCCCAAGAATGGAGGAAGACCACCTTCAGCACAGCAACTCGAGGAATGCTCCGTGTACCCCAAATCGTCTCGAGATGAGAACTGATTCCCTGGCTTAGGTTCAAGACGTATGCCAACCTTCCAGAAGCACCTCAAGAGGAGGCTTCTCTCAGCAATAGGTATGTGGGAGGGACCCGGAGTTTGCTGCCTCAAGTGGAATATATGGCGAGAAGACCTAACTTGAAAGGAGGCCGGATTTCCTTGCAGTGGCTTGAATACAGGCTCGTCTTTCATCTCACAACATGAAGGGATCTCTGAATCCCCTGTGGAGACCTTAGAGAAAGCCGTAATTCCCTGCCTCATTTTGACGGAATTTCTCACATCCCGTTGATAGCTCGAGAGGCACGCGGATTTCACTGCTTCAAAATGTGATGATGCCTGACTCCTCTTGAATACTGATAGGAATCCCAAAATCCCTGTGGCTACTGGAAAGGGAACGTGGGTGCCCTGCCTCACCTCGAGAAGCGTCCCTTTTGCCCTGCCAAGCCTCGAAGAGTTTCCTGAGGTGTTCCTCATTACTAAGGAGGAGTCCTGACGTCACTGAATAACCACGTGTTTTGAAGGGCCATCCCCGTCGTAACTCGATAACATACCCCAGGTCCCCGCCGTAACTCGAGAAAAAATATGAGACTTCCCCCTAGAGACGAGATGAGGCCCCATTCCCCTGCAGTGCATGCAGAGCTATTCCGTGATCCCCATCAAACAAGTCAGGAGCTTCGACTTGCTTAATGGATCTCGAGACAGTCCCCAAGAACACTGTCACCAGTCTAGACGGACGCTGAGGTCACCCCAGCAACGCACAGCAGCTCCATGTGCCCCAAAACAACTCGAGATGATGCCCGATTCCCCTGCATTGACTCCAGAGCCATCCCCAGTTCCCCATTCAACACGACCAGTGGCTTGACTTCCTTCAGGCAACTCCAGAGATGCCCCGAGAACACTGTCCCAAGTCTAGAGGAACACCAACTTCAGCACAGCAACTCGAGGAATGCACGGTGGACCCAAAATCATGTCGAGATGAGAGCTGATTCCCTGGGATAGGCTCAAGGCATATGCCAACTTTCCAGAAGCACCTCAAGAGGAGGCTTCTCTCAGCAATAGGTATGTGGGAGGGACCCCGGGTTGGCTGCCTCAAGTGGAATATACAGCCAGAAGCCCTAACTTGAAAGGAGGCTGGATTTCCTTGCAGTGGCTTGAATACTGGCTCGTCTTTCATCTCACAACGTGAAGGGATGTCTCAATCCCCTGTGGAGACCTTAGAGAAAGCCCTAGGTCCCTGCCTCATTTTGACGGAATGCCTCACATCCCGTTGGCACATCGAGAGGCACGTGGAGTTCATTGCTTCAAAAGGTGACGATGCCTGACTCCTCTTGAATACTGATAGGAATCCCAAAATCCCTGTGGCTACAGGAAAGGGTCCTTGGGTGCCCTGCCTCACCTCTAGAAGCATCCCTTTTGCCCTGCCAAGCCTCGGAGAGATTACTGAGGTGTCCCTCGTTACTAGACAGGAGTCCTGACGTCACTGAATAAACAGGTGTTTTGAAGGGCCATCCCCTTCGTAACTCGAGAACATAGCCCAGGTCCCCGCCGCAACTCGTGAAAAACCATGAGACTTCCCCCTAGAGGCGAGATGAGGCCCCTTTCCCCTGCAGTGCATGCAGAGCTATTCCGTGATCCCCATCCAACAAGTTAGGAGTTTCGACTTGCTTAATGGATCTCGAGACAGTCCCCAAGAACACTATCACCAGTCTAGACGGACCCCGAGGTCAACCCAGCAACGCACAGCAGCTCCATGTGCCCCAAATCAACTCGACAGGAGGCCCCATTCCCCTGCATTGACTCCAGAGCCATCTTCCGTTCTCCATTCTACACGACCATTGGCTTGACTTCCTTAAGGCAACTCCAGAGATGACCCGAGAACACTGTCCCAAGTCTAGAGGAACACTAACTTCAGCACAGCAACTCGAGGAATGCTCTGTGTACCCCAAATCGTTTCGAGATGAGAGCAGATTCCCTGGCTTAGGCTCAAGACGTATGCCAACTTTCCAGAAGCACCTCAAGAGGAGGCTTCTCTCAGCAATAGGTATGTGGGAGGGACCCCGAGGTTGCTGCCTCAAGTGGAATATACAGCGAGAAGCCCTAACTTGAAAGGAGGCCGGATTTCCTTGCAGTGGCTTGAATAGAGGCTCGTCTTTCATCTCACAACATGAAGGGATGTCTGAATCCCCTGTGGAGACCTAGAGAAAGCCCTAGGTCCCTGCCTCCTTTTGACGGAATGCCTCACTTCCCGTGGACACCTCGAGAGGCACTCGGAGTTCACTTCCTCAAAAGGTGACAATGTCTGACTCCTCTTAAATACTGATAGGAATCCCCAAAACCCTGTGCCTACAGGAAAGGGTCCTTGGGTGCCCTGCCTCACCTTGAGAAGCGTCCCTTTTGCCCTGCCAAGCCTCGAAGAGATTCCTCAGGTGTCCCTCGTTACTAGACAAGAGTCCTGACGTCACTGAATAAACAGGTGTTTTGAAGGGCCATCCCCGCTGTAACTCGAGAACATACACCAGGTCCCCGTTGCAACTTGAGAAAAACCATGGGACTTCCCCCTAGAGGCGAGATGAGGCCCCATTCCCCTGCAGTGCATGCAGAGCTACTCAGTGATCTCCATCAAACAAGTCAGGAGCTTCGACTTGCTTAATGGAACTCGAGGCAGTCTCCAAGAACACTGTCACCAGTCTAGACGGACCCACAGGTCTACCCAGCAACGCAAAGCAGCACCCTGTGCCCAAAAATCAAATCAAGATGAGGCCCGATTCCCCTGCCTTGACTCCAGAGCCATCACCATTCAACATTCAACACGCCCAGTGGCTTGACTTCCTTCAGACAACACCAGAGATGCCCCGAGAACACTGTCCCAAGTCTGGAGGAAGACCACCTTCAGCACAGCAACTCGAGGAATGGTCCGTGTACCCCTAATCGTCTCGAGATGAGAGCTGATTCCCTGGCTTAGGTTCAAGACGTATGCCAACCTTCCAGAAGCACCTCAAGAGGAGGCTTCTCTCAGCAATAGGTATGTGGGAGGGACCCGGAGTTTGCTGCCTCAAGTGGAATATATGGCGAGAAGACCTAACTTGAAAGGAGGCCGGATTTCCTTGCAGTGGCTTGAATACAGGCTCGTCTTTCATCTCACAACATGAAGGGATGTCTGAATCCCCTGTGGAGACCTTAGAGAAAGCCGTAATTCCCTGCCTCATTTTGACAGAATTTCTCACATCCCGTTGACACCTCGAGAGGCACGCGGAGTTCACTGCTTCAAAATGTGATGATGCCTGACACCTCTTGAATACTGATAGGAATCCCAAAATCCCTGTGGCTACTGGAAAGGGAACGTGGGTGCCCTGCCTCACCTCGAGAAGCGTCCCTTTTGCACTGCCAAGCCTCGAAGAGTTTCCTGAGGTGTTCCTCATTACTAAGGAGGAGTCCTGACGTCACTGAATAACCACGTGTTTTGAAGGGCCATCCCCGTCGTAACTCGATAACATACCCCAGGTCCCCGCCGTAACTCGAGAAAAAATATGAGACTTCCCCCTAGAGACGAGATGAGGCCCCATTCCCCTGCAGTGCATGCAGAGCTATTCCGTGATCCCCATCAAACAAGTCAGGAGCTTCGACTTGCTTAATGGATCTCGAGACAGTCCCCAAGAACACTGTCACCAGTCTAGACGGACGCTGAAGTCACCCCAGCAACGCACATCAGCTCCATGTGCCCCAAAAGAACTCGAGATGATGCCCGATTCCCCTGCATTGACTCCAGAGCCATCCCCAGTTCCCCATTCAACACGACCAGTGGCTTGATTTCCTTCAGGCAACTCCAGAGATGCCCCGAGAACACTGTCCCAAGTCTAGAGGAACACCAACTTCAGCACAGCAACTCGAGGAATGCACGGTGGATCCAAAATCATGTCGAGATGAGAACTGATTCCCTGGCATAGGCTCAAGGCATATGCCAACTTTCCAGAAGCACCTCAAGAGGAGGCTTCTCTCGGCAATAGGTATGTGGTAGGGACACCGGGTTGGCTGCCTCAAGTGGAATATACAGCGAGAAGCCCTAACTTGAAAGGAGGCTGGATTTCCTTGCAGTGGCTTGAATACAGGCTCGTCTTTCATCTCACAACGTGAAGGGATGTCTCAATCCCCTGTGGAGACATTAGAGAAAGCCCTAGGCACTGCCTCATTTTGACGGAATGCCTCACATCCCGTTGACACATCGAGAGGCACGTGGAGTTCATTGCTTCAAAAGGTGACGATGCCTGACTCCTCTTGAATACTGATAGGAATCCCAAAATAACTGTGGCTACAGGAAAGGGTCCTTGGGTGCCCTGCCTCACCTCTAGAAGCGTCCCTTTTGCCCTGCCAAGCCTCGCAGAGATTACTGAGGTGTCCCTCGTTACTAGACAGGAGTCCTGACATCACTGAATAAACAGGTGTTTTGAAGGGCCATCCCTGGCGCAACTCGAGAACATACCCCAGGTCCCCGCCGCAACTCGAGAAAAACCATGAGACTTCCCCCTAGAGGCGAGATGAGGCCCCATTCCCCTGCAGTGCATGCAGAGCTATTCCGTGATCCCCATCAAAGAAGTCAGGAGCTTCGACTTGCTTAATGGATCTCGAGACAGTCCCCAAGAACACTATCACCAGTCTAGAAGGACCCTGAGGTCAACCCAGCAACGCACAGCAGCTCCATGTGCCCCAAATTAACTCGAGATGAGGCCCGATTCCCCTGCATTTACACCAGAGCCATCGTCCGTTCTCCATTCTACACGACCATTGGCTTGACTTCCTTAAGGCAACTCCAGAGATGCCCCGAGAACACTGTACCAAGTCTAGAGGAACACCAACTTCAGCACAGCAACTCGAGGAATGTTCCGTGTACCCCAAATCGTTTCGAGATGAGAGCAGATTCCCTGGGTTAGGCTCAAGACGTATGCCAACTTTCCAGAAGCACCTCAAGAGGAGGATTCTCTCAGCAATAGGTATGTGGGAGAGACCCCGATTATGCTGCCTCAAGTGGAATATACAGCGAGAAGCCCTAACTTCAAAGAGGCCGGATTTCTTTGCAGTGGCTTGAATACAGGCTCGTCTATCATCTCACAACATGAAGGGATGTCTGAATCCCCTGTGGAGACCTTAGAGAAAGCCCTAGGTCCCTGCCTCATTTTGACGGAATGCCTCACTTCCTGTGGACACCTCGAGAGGCACTCGGAGTTCACTGCCTCGAAAGGTGACAATGCCTGACTCCTCTTGAATACTGATAGGAATCCCAAAAACCCTGTGCCTACAGGAAAGGGTACTTGGGTGCCCTGCCTCAGCTCTAGAAGCGTCCCTTTTGCCCTGCCAAGCCTTGAAGAGATTCCTGAGGTGTCCCTCGTTACTAGACAAGAGTCCTGACTTCACTGAATAAACAGGTGTTTTGAAGGCCCATCCCCGCTGCAACTCGAGAACATACACCAGGTCCCCGCTGCAACTTGAGAAAAACCATGGGACTTCCCCCTAGAGGCGAGATGAGGCCCCATTCCCCTGCAGTGCATGCAGAGATATTCTGTGATCTCCATCAAACAAGTCAGGATCTTCGACTTGCTTAATGGAACCCGAGACAGTCCCCAAGAACACTGTCACCAGTCTAGACGGACTCTGAGGTCACCCCAGCAACGCAAAGCAGCTCCCTGTGCCCAAAAATCAAATTGAGATGAGGCTCGATTCATCTGCATTGACTCCAGAGCCAACCCCGTTCAACATTCAACACGCCCAGTGGCTTGACTTCCTTCAGGCAACACCAGAGATGCGCCGAGAACACTGTCCCACGTCTGGAGGAAGACCACCTTCAGCACAGCAACTCGAGGAATGCACCATGTACCACAAATCGTCTCGAGATGACAGCTGATTCCCTCGCTTATGCTCAAGACGTATGCCAACCTTCCAGAAGCACCTCAAGAGGAGGCTTCTCTCAGCATTAGGTATGTGGGAGGGACCCGGAGTTTGCTGCCTCAAGTGGAATATATGGTGAGAAGCCCTAACTTGAAAGGAGGCTGGATTTCCTTGCAGTGGCTTGAATACAGGCTCGTCTTTCATCTCTGAACGTGAAGGGATGTCTGAATACCCTGTGGAGACCTTAGGGAAAGCCCTATGTCCCTGCCTCTTTTTGACGGAATGCCTCACATCCCGTTGACACCTCGAGAGGCACGCGGAGTTCACTGCTTCAAAATGTGATGATGCCTGACTCCTCTTGAATACTGATAGGAATCCCAAAATCACTGTGGCTACTGGAAAGGTAACGTGGGTGCCCTGCCTCACCTCGAGAAGCGTCCCTTTTGCCCTGCCAAGCTTCGAAGATTTTCCTCAGGTGTTCCTCGTTACTAAGGAGGAGTCCTGACGTCACTGAATAACCACGTATTTTGAAGGGCCATCCCCGTCGTAACTCGAGAACATACCCCAGGTCCCCGCCGTAACTCGAGAAAAAATATGAGATTTCCCCCTAGAGACGAGATGAGGCCCCATTCCCCTGCAGTGCATGCAGAGCTATTCCGTGATCCCCATCAAACAAGTCAGGAGCTTCGACTTGCTTAATGGATCTCGAGACAGTCCCCAAGAACACTGTCACCAGTCTAGACGGATGCTGAGGTCATCCCAGCAACGCACAGCAGCTCCATGTGCCCGAAAAGAACTCGAGATGATGCCCGATTCCCCTGCATTGAGTCCAGAGCCATCCCCCGTTCCACATTCAACACGACCAGTGGCTTGACTTCCTTCGGGCAACTCCACAGATGACCCGAGAACAATGTCCCAAGTCTTGAGGAACACCAACTTCAGCACAGCAACTCGAGGAATGCACGGTGGACCCAAAATCATCTCGAGATGAGAGCTGATTCCCTGGCATAGGCTCAAGGCATATGCCAACTTTCCAGAAGCACCTCAAGAGGAGGCTTCTCTCAGCAATAGGTATGTGGGAGGGACCCCGGGTTGGCTGCCTCAAATGGAATATACAGCGAGAAGCCCTACCCTGAAAGGAGGCTGGATTTCCTTGCAGTGGCTTGAATACAGGCTCGTCTTTCATCTCACAACGTGAAGGGATGTCTGAATCCCCTGTGGATACCTTAGAGAAAGCCCTAGGTCCCTGCCTCATTTTGACGGAATGCCTCACATCCCGCTGACACCTCTAGAGGCACGCGGAGTTCATTGCTTCAAAAGGTGACGATGCCTGACTCCTCTTGAATACTGATAGGAATCCCAAAATCCCTGTGTCTACTGGAAAGGGTCCTTGGGTGCCCTGCCTCACCTCTAGAAGCGTCCCTTTTGCCCTGCCAAGCCTCGAAGAGATTCCTGAGGTGTCCCTTGTTACTAGACAGGAGTCCTGACGTCACTGAATAAACAGGTGTTTTGAAGGGCCATCCCCGCCGTAACTCGAGAACATACCCCAGGTCCCCGCCGCAACTCGAGAGAAACCATGAGACTTCCCCCTAGAGGCGAGATGAGTCCCCATTCCCCTGCAGTGCATGCAGAGCTATTCCGTGATCCCCATCCAACAAGTTAGGAGCTTCGACTTGCTTAATGGATCTCGAGACAGTCCCCAAGAACACTATCACCAGTCTAGACGGACCCTGAGGTCAACCCAGCAACGCACAGCAGCTCCATGTGCCCCAAATCAACTCGATAGGAGTCCTGATTCCCCTGCATTGACTCCAGAGCCATCTTCCGTTCTCCATTCTACACGACCATTGGCTTGACTTCCTTAAGGCAACTCCAGAGATGCCCCGAGAACACTGTCCCAAGTCTAGAGGAACACTAACTTCAGCACAGCAAGTCGAGGAATGCTCCGTGTACCCCAAATCGTTTCGAGATGAGAGCAGATTCTCTGGCTTAGGCTCAAGACGTATGCCAACTTTCCAGAAGCACCTCAAGAGGAGGCTTCTCTCAGCAATAGATATGTGGGAGGGACCCCGAGGTTGCTGCCTCAAGTGGAATATACAGCGAGAAGCCCTAACTTGAAAGGAGGCCGGATTTCCTTGCAGTGTCTTGAATAGAGGCTCGTCTTTCATCTCACAACATGAAGGGATGTCTGAATCCCCTGGGGAGACCTTAGAGAAAGCCCTAGGTCCCTGCCTCCTTTTGACGGAATGCCTCACTTCCCGTGGACACCTCGAGAGGCACTCGGAGTTCACTTCCTCAAAAGGTGACAATGCCTGACTCCTCTTAAATACTGATAGGAATCCCCAAAACCCTGTGCCTACAGGAAAGGGTCCTTGGGTGCCCTGCCTCACCTTGAGAAGCGTCCCTTTTGCCCTGCCAAGCCTCGAAGAGATTCCTCAGGTGTCCCTCGTTACTAGACAAGAGTCCTGACGTCACTGAATAAACAGGTGTTTTGAAGGGCCATCCCCGCTGTAACTCGAGAACATACACCAGGTCCCCGCTGCAACTTGAGAAAAACCATGGGACTTCCCCCTAGAGGCGAGATGAGGCCCCATTCCACTGCAGTGCATGCAGAGCTACTCAGTGATCTCCATCAAACAAGTTAGGAGCTTCGACTTGCTTAATGGAACTTGAGGCAGTCCCCAAGAACACTGTCACCAGTCTAGACGGAACCACAGGTCAACCCAGCAACGCAAAGCAGCACCCTGTGCCCAAAAATCAAATCAAGATGAGGCCCGATTCCCCTGCCTTGACTCCAGAGCCATCCCCATTCAATATTCAACACGCCCAGTGGCTTGACTTCCTTCAGGCAACACCAGAGATGCCCCGAGAACACTGTCCCAAGTCTGGAGGAAGACCACCTTCAGCACAGCAACTCGAGGAATGCTCCGTGTACCCCAAATCGTCTCGAGATGAGAGCTGATTCCCTGGCTTAGGTTCAAGACGTATGCCAACCTTCCAGAAGCACATCAAGAGGAGGCTTCTCTCAGCAATAGGTATGTGGGAGGGACCCGGAGTTTGCTGCCTCAAGGGGAATATATGGCGAGAAGCCCTAACTTGAAAGGAGGCCGGATTTCCTTGCAGTGGCTTGAATACAGGCTCGTCTTTCATCTCACAACATGAAGGGATCTCTGAATCCCCTGTGGAGACCTTAGAGAAAGCCGTAATTCCCTGCCTCATTTTGACGGAATTTCTCACATCCCGTTGACACCTCGAGAGGCACGCGGAGTTCACTGCTTCAAAATGTGATGATGCCTGACTCCTCTTGAATACTGATAGGAATCCCAAAATCCCTGTGGCTACTGGAAAGGGAACTTGGGTGCCCTGCCTCACCTCGAGAAGCGTCCCTTTTGCCCTGCCAAGCCTCGAAGAGTTTCCTGAGGTGTTCCTCATTACTAAGGAGGAGTCCTGACGTCACTGAATAACCACGTGTTTTGAAGGGCCATCCCCGTCGTAACTCGATAACATACCCCAGGTCCCCGCCGTAACTCGAGAAAAAATATGAGACTTCCCCCTAGAGACGAGATGAGGCCCCATTCCCCTGCAGTGCATGCAGAGCTATTCCGTGATCACCATCAAACTAGTCAGGAGCTTCGACTTGCTTAATGGATCTCGAGACAGTCCCCAAGAACACTGTCACCAGTCTAGACGGACGCTGAGGTCACCCCAGCAGCGCACAGCAGCTCCATGTGCCCCAAAACAATTCTAGATGATGCCCGATTCCCCTGCATTGACTCCAGAGCCATCCCCAGTTCCCCATTAAACACGACCAGTGGCTTGACTTCCTTCAGGCAACTCCAGAGATGCTCCGAGAACACTGTCCCAAGTCTAGAGGAACACCAACTTCAGCAAAGCAACTCGAGGAATGCACGGTGGACCCAAAATCATGTCGAGATGAGAGCTGATTCCATGGCATAGGCTCAAGGCATATGCCAACTTTCCAGAAGCACCTCAAGAGGAGGCTTCTCTCAGCAATAGATATGTGGGAGGGACCCCGGGTTGGCTGCCTCAAGTGGAATATACAGCGAGAAGCCCTAACTTGAAAGGAGTCCGGATTTCCTTGCAGTGGCTTGAATACAGGCTCGTCTTTCACCTCACAACGTGAAGGGATGTCTCAATACCCTGTGGACACCTTAGAGAAATCCCTAGGTCCCTACCTCATTTTGACGGAATGCCTCACATCCCGTTGACACATCGAGAGGCACATGGAGTTCATTGCTTCAAAAGGTGACGATGCCTGACTCCTCTTGAATACTGATAGGAATCCCAAAATCCCTGTGGCTACAGGAAAGGGTCCTTGGGTGCCCTGCCTCACCTCTAGAAGCGTCCCTTTTTCCTGCCAAGCCTCGAAGAGATTACTGAGGTGTCCCTCGTTACTAGACAGGAGTCCTGACGTCACTGAATAAACAGGTGTTTTGAAGGGCCATCGCCGGCGTAACTCGAGTACATACCCCAGGTCCCCGCCGCAACTCGAGAAAAACCATGAGACTTCCCCCTAGAGGCGAGATGAGGCCCCATTCCCCTGCAGTGCATGCAGAGCTATTCCGTGATCCCCATCAAACAAGTCAGGAGCTTCGACTTGCTTAATGGATCTCGAGACAGTCCCCAAGAACACTATCACCAGTCTAGACGGACCCTGAGGTCAACCCAGCAACGCACAGCAGCTCCATGTGCCCCAAATCAACTCGAGATGAGGCCCGATTCCCCTGCATTTACACCAGAGCCATCTTCCGTTCTCCATTCTACACGACCATTGGCTTGACTTCCTTAAGGCAACTCTAGAGATGCCCCGAGAACACTGTCCCAAGTCTAGAGGAACACCAACTTCAGCACAGCAACTCGAGGAATGTTCCGTGTACCCCAAATCGTTTCGAGATGAGAGCAGATTCCCTGGCTTAGGCTCAAGACGTATGCCAACTTTCCAGAAGCACCTCAAGAGGAGGATTCTCTCAGCAATAGGTATGTGGGAGGGACCCCGATTATGCTGCCTCAAGTGGAATATACAGCGAGAAGCCCTAATTTGAAAGAGGCCGGATTTCCTTGCAGTGGCTTGAATACAGGCTCGTCTTTCATCTCACGACATGAACGGATGTCTGAATCCCCTGTGGAGACCTTAGAGAAAGCCCTAGGTCCCTGCCTCATTTTGACGGAATGCCTCACTTCCTGTGGACACCTCGAGAGGCACTCGGAGTTCCCTGCCTCAAAAGGTGACAATGCCTGACTCCTCTTGAATACTGATAGGAATCCCAAAATCACTGTGCCTACAGGAATGGGTCCTTGGGTTCCCTGCCTCACCTCGAGAAGCGTCCCTTTTGCCCTGCAAAGCCTCGAAGAGATTCCTCAGGTGTCCCTCTTTACTAGACAAGAGTCCTGACGTCACTGAATAAACAGGTGTTTGGCAGGGCCATCCCCAATGTAACTCGAGAACATACACCAGGTCCCCGCTGCAACTTGAGAAAAACCATGGGACTTCCCCCTAGAGGCGAGATGAGGCCCCATTCCCCTGCAGTGCATGCAGAGCTATTCAGTGATCTCCATCAAACAAGTCAGGAGCTTCGACTTGCTTAATGGAACCCGAGACAGTCCCTAAGAACACTGTCACCAGTCTAGACGGACTCTGAGGTCACCCCAGCAACGCAAAGCAGCTCCCTGTGCCCAAAAATCAAATCGAGATGAGGCCCGATTCATCTGCATTGACTACAGAGCCAACCCCGTTCAACATTCAACAGGCCCAGTGGCTTGACTTCCTTCAGGCAACACCAGAGATGCCTCGAGAACACTGTCCCAAGTCTAGAGGAAGACCACCTTCAGCACAGGAACTCGAGGAATGCACCATGTACCCCAAATCGTCTCAAGATGAGAGCTGTTTCCCTCGCTTAGGCTCAAGACGAATGCCAACCTTCCAGAAGTACCTCAAGAGGAGGCTTCTCTCAGCAATAGGTATGTGGGAGGGACCCGGAGTTTGCTGCCTCAAGTGGAATATATGGCGAGAAGCCCTAACTTGAAAGGAGCCTGGATTTCTTTGCACTGGCTTGAACACAGGCTCGTCTTTCATCTCTCAACGTGAAGGGATGTCTGAATCCCCTGTGGAGACCATAGAGAAAGCCCTAGGTCCCTGCCTCATTTTGACAGAATGCCTCACATCCCGTTGACACCTCGAGAGGCACCCAGAGTTCACTGCCTCAAAAGGTGACGACGCCTGACTCCTCTTGAATACTGATAGGAATCCCAAAATCCCTGTGGCTACTGGAAAGGGTCCTTGGGTGCTCTGCCTCACCTCGAGAAGCGTCCCTTTTGACCTGCCAAGCCTCGAAGAGATTCCTGAGGTGTCCCTCGTTATTAAAGAGGAGTCCTGACGTCACTGAATAAACAGGTGTTTTGAAAGGCTATTCCCGCAGTAATTCGAGAACATACCCGAGGTCCCCGCCGCAACTCGAGAAAAACCATGAGACTGCCCCCTAGAGGCGAGATGAGGCCCCATTCCCCTGCATGCATGCAGAGCTATTCCGTGATCTCCATCAAACAAGTCAGGAGCTTCGACTTGCTTAATGGATCTCGAGACAGTCCCCAAGAACACTGTCACCAGTCTAGACGGACACTGAGGTCACCCCAGCAACGCAAAGCAGCTCCCTGTGCCCAAAAATCAAATCGAGATGAGGCCCGATTCCCCTGCATTGACTCCAGAGCCATCCCCATTCAACATTCAACACGCCCAGTGGCTTGACTTCCTTCAGGCAACACCAGAGATGCCTCGAGAACACTGTCCCAAGTCTGGAGGAAGACCACCTTCAGCACAGCAACTAGAGGAATGCTCCGTGTACCCCAAATCGTCTCGAGATGAAAGCTGATTCCCTGGCTTAGGCTCAAGACATATGCCAACTTTCCAGAAGCACCTCAAGAGGAGGATTCTCTCAGCAATAGGTATGTTCGAGGGACCCCGAGTTTGCTGCCTCAAGTGGAATATACAGCGAGAAGCCCAAACTTGAAAGGAGGTCTGATTTCCTTGCAGTGGCTTGAATACAGGCTCGTCTTTCATCTCACAACATGAAGGGATGTCTGAATCCCCTGTGGAGACCTTAGAGAAAGCCCTAGGTCCCTGCCTCATTTTGACGGAATGCCTCACTTCCCGTGGACACCTCGAGAGGCACTCGGAGTTCACTGCCTCAAAAGGTGACAATGCCTGACTCCTCTTGAATACTGATAGGATTCCCAAAATTCCTGTGCCTACAGTAAAGGGTCCTTGGGTGCCCTGCCTCACCTCTAGAAGCGTCCCTTTTGCCCTGCCAAGCCTCGAAGAGATTCCTGAGGTGTCCCTTGTTACTAGACAGGAGTCCTGACGTCACTGAATAAACAGGTGTTTTGAAGGGCCATCCCCGCCGTAACTCGAGAACATACCCCAGGTCCCCGCCGCAACTCAAGAGAAACCATGAGACTTCCCCCTAGAGGCGAGATGAAGCCCCATTCCCCTGCAGTGCATGCAGAGCTATTCCGTGATCCCCATCCAACAAGTTAGGAGCTTCAACTTGCTTAATGGATCTCGAAACAGTCCCCAAGAACACTATCACCAGTCTAGACGGACCCTGAGGTCAAGCCAGCAACGCACAGCAGCTCCATGTGCCCCAAATCAACTCGACAGGAGGCCCGATTCCCCTGCATTGACTCCAGAGCCATCTTCCGTTCTCCATTCTACACGACCATTGGCTTGACTTCCTTAAGGCAACTCCAGAGATGCCCCGAGAACACTGTCCCAAGTCTAGAGGAACACTAATTTCAGCACAGCAACTCGAGGAATGCTCCGTGTACCCCAAATCGTTTCGAGATGAGAGCAGATTCCCTGGCTTAGGCTCAAGACGTATGCCAACTTTCCAGAAGCACCTCAAGAGGAGGCTTCTCTCAGCAATAGGTATGTGGGAGGGACCCCGGGTTGGCTGCCTCAAGTGGAATATACAGCGAGAAGCCCTAACTTGAAAGGAGGCTGGATTTCCTTGCAGTGGCTTGAATACAGGCTCGTCTTTCATCTCACAACGTGAAGGGATGTCTGAATCCCCTGTGGATACCTTAGAGAAAGCCCTAGGTCCCTGCCTCATTTTGACGGAATGCCTCACATCCCGCTGACACCTCGAGAGGCACGCGGAGTTCATTGCTTCAAAAGGTGACGATGCCTGACTACTCTTGAATACGGATAGGAATTCCAAAATCCCTGTGTCTACTGGAAAGGGCCCTTGGGTGCCCTGCCTCACCTCTAGAAGCGTCCCTTTTGCCCTGCCAAGCCTCGAAGAGATTCCTTAGATGTCCCTTGTTACTAGACAGGAGTCCTGACGTCACTGAATAAACAGGTGTTTTGAAGGGCCATCCCCGCTGTAACTCGAGAACATACCCCAGGTCCCTGCCGCAACTCGAGAGAAACCATGAGACTTCCCCCTAGAGGCGAGATGAGGCCCCATTCCCCTGCAGTGCATGCAGAGCTATTCCGTGATCCCCATCAAACAAGTTAGGAGCTTCTACTTGCTTAATGGATCTCGAGACAGTCCCCAAGAACACTATCACAAGTCTAGACGGACCCTGAGGTCAACCCAGCAACGCACAGCAGCTCCATGTGCCCCAAATCAACTCGACAGGAGGCCCGATTCCCCTGCATTGACTCCAGAGCCATCTTCCGTTCTCCACTCTACACCTCCATTGGCTTGACTTCCTTAAGACAACTCCAGAGATGCCCCGAGAACACTGTCCCAAGTCTAAAGGAACACTAACTTCAGCACAGCAACTCGAGGAATGCTCCGTGTACCCCAAATCGTTTCGAGATGAGAGCAGATACCCTGGCTTAGGCTCAAGACGTATGCCAACTTTCCAGAACCACCACAAGAGGAGGATTCTCTCAGCAATAGGTATGTGGGAGGGACCCCGAGGTTGCTGCCTCAAGTGGAATATACAGCGAGAAGCCCTAACTTGAAAGGAGGCCGGATTTCCTTGCAGTGGCTTGAATACAGGCTCGTCTTTCATCTCACAACATGAAGGGATGTCTGAATCCCCTGTGGAGAAATTAGAGAAAGCCCTAGGTCCCTGCCTCATTTTGATGGAATGCCTCACTTCCCGTGGACACCTCGAGAGGCACTCGGAGTTCACTTTCTCAAAAGGTGACAATGCCTGACTCATCTTGAATACTGATAGGAATCCCCAAAACTCTGTGCCTACAGGAAAGGGTCCTTGGGTGCCCTGCCTCACCTTGAGAAGCGTCCCTTTTGCCCTGCCAAGCCTCGAAGAGATTCCTCAGGTGTCCCTCGTTACTAGACAAGAGTCCTGACGTCACTGAATAACCACGTGTTTTGAAGGGCCATCCCCGTCGTAACTCGATAACATACCCCAGGTCCCCGCCGTAACTCGAGAAAAAATATGAGACTTCCCCCTAGAGACGAGATGAGGCCCCATTCCCCTGCAGTGCATGCAGAGCTATTCCGTGATTCCCATCAAAAAAGTCAGGAGCTTCGACTTGCTTAATGGATCTCGAAACAGTCCCCAAGAACACTGTCACCAGTCTAGACGGACGCTGAGGTCACCCCAGCAATGCACAGCAGCTCCATGTGCCCCAGAACAACTCTAGATGATGCCCGATTCCCCTGCATTGACTCCAGAGCCATCCCCAGTTCCCCATTCAACACGACCAGTGGCTTGACTTCCTTCAGGCAACTCCAGAGATGCCCCGAGAACACTGTCCCAAGTCTAGATTAACACCAACTTCAGCACAGCAACTCGAGGAATGCACGGTGGACAGACAATCATGTCGAGATGACAGCTGATTCCCTGGCATAGGCTCAAGGCATATGCCAAATTTCCAGAACCACCTCAAGAGTAGGCTTCTCTCAGCAATACGTATGTGGGAGGGACCCCGGGTTGGCTGCCTCAAGTGGAATATACAGCGAGAAGCCCTAATTTGAAAGGAGGCCGGATTTCCTTGCAGTGGCTTGAATACAGGCTCGTCTTTCATCTCACAACATGAAGGGATGTCTGAATCCCCTGTGGAGAAATTAGAGAAAGCCCTAGGTCCCTACCTCATTTTGACGGAATGCCTCACTTCCCGTGGACACCACGAGAGGCACTCGGAGTTCACTTCCTCAAAAGGTGACAATGCCTGACTCTTCTTGAATACTGATAGGAATCCCCAAAACCCTGTGACTACAGGAAAGGGTCCTTGGGTGCCCTGCCTCACCTTGAGAAGCGTCCCTTTTGCCCTGCCAAGCCTCGAAGAGATTCCGCAGGTGTCCCTCGTTACTAGACAAGAGTCCTGAAGTCACTGTATAAACAGGTGTTTTGAAGGGCCATCCCCACTGTAACTCGAGAACATACACCAGGTCCCCGTTGCAACTTGAGGAAAACCATGGGACTTCCCCCTAGAGGAGAGATGAGGCCCCATTCCCCTGCAGTGCATGCAGAGCTATTCAGTGATCTCTATCAAACAAGTCAGGAGCTTCGACTTGCTTAATGGAACTCGAGGCAGTCCCCAAGAACACTGTCACCAGTCTAGACGGACCCACAGGTCAACCCAGCAACGCAAAGCAGCACCCTGTGCCCAAAAATCAAATCAAGATGAGGCCCGATTCCCCTGCATTGACTCCAGAGCCATCCCCATTCAACATTCAACACGCCCAGTGGCTTGACTTCCTTCAGGCAACACCAGAGATGCCCCGAGAACACTGTCCCAAGTATGGAGGAAGACCACCTTCAGCACAGCAACTCGAGGAATGCTCCGTGTACCCCAAATTGTCTCGAGATGAGAGCTGATTCCCTGGCTTAGATTCAAGACGTATGCCAACCTTCCAGAAGCACCTCAAGAGGAGGCTTCTCTCAGCAATAGGTATGTGGGAGGGACCCGGAGTTTGCTGCCTCAAGTGGAATATATGGCGAGAAGACCTAACTTGAAAGGAGGCCGGATTTCCTTGCAGTGGCTTGAATACAGGCTCGTCTTTCATCTCACAACATGAAGGAATGTCTGAATCCCCTGTGGAGACCTTAGAGAAAGCCCTAGGTCCCTGCCTCATTTTGACGGAATGCCTCACTTCCCGTGGACACCTCGAGAGGCACTCGGAGTTCACTGCCTCAAAAGGTGACAATGCCTGACTACTCTTGAATACTGATAGGAATCCCAAAATCCCTGTGCCTACAGGAAAGGGTCCTTGGGTGCCCTGCCTCACCTCGAGAAGCGTCCCTTTTGCCCTGCCAAGCCTCGAAGAGATTCCTCAGGTGTCCCTCGTTACTAGACAAGAGTCCTGACGTCACTGAATAAACAGGTGTTTTGAAGGGCCATCCCCAATGTAACTCGAAAACATACAACAGGTCCCTGCTGCAACTTGAGAAAAACCATGGGACTTCACTCTAGAAGCGAGATGAGGCCCCATTTCCCTACAGTGCATGCAGAGCTATTCAGTGATCTGCATCAAACAAGTCAGGAGCTTCGACTTGCTTAATGGAACTCGAGACAGTCCCCAAGAACACTGTCACCAGTCTAGACGGACCCTGAGGTCACCCCAGCAACGCAAAGCAGCTCCCTGTGCCCAAAAATCAAATCAAGATGAGGCCCGATTCATCTGCATTGACTCCAAAGCCATCCCCGTTCAACATTCAACACGCCCAGTGGCTTGACTTCCTTCAGGCAACACCAGAGATGCCCCGAGAACACTGTCCCAAGTCTGGAGGAAGACCACCTTCAGCACAGCAACTCGAGGAATGCACCATGTACCCCAAATCGTCTCGAGATGAGAGCTGATTCCCTGGCTTAGGTTCAAGACGTATGCCAACCTTCCAGAAGCACCTCAAGAGGAGGCTTCTCTCAGCAATAGGTATCTGGGAGGGACCCGGACTTTGCTGCCTCAAGTGGAATATATGGCGAGAAGCCCTAACTTGAAAGGAGGCTGGATTTGCTTGCAGTGGCTTGAATACAGGCTCGTCTTTCATCTATCAACGTGAAGGGATGTCTGAATCCCCTGTGGAGACCTTAGAGAAAGCCCGAAGTCCCTGCCTCATTTTGACGGAATGCCTCACACCCGGTTGACACCGCGAGAGGCACGCGGAGTTTACTGCTTCAAAATGTGATGATGCCTGACTCCTCTTGAATACTGATAGGAATCCCAAAATCCCTGTGGCTACTGGAAAGGGAACGTGGGTGCCCTGCCTCACCTCGAGAAGCGTCCCTTTTGCCCTGCCAAGCCTGGAAGGGTTTCCTGAGGTGTTCCTCATTACTAAGGAGGAGTCCTGACGTCACTGAATAACCACGTGTTTTGAAGGGCCATCCCCGTCGTAACTCGAGAACATAACCCAGGTCCCCGCCGTAACTCGAGAAAAAATATGAGACTTCCCCCTAGAGACGAGATGAGGCCCCATTCCCCTGCAGTGCATGCAGAGCTATTCCGTGATCCCCATCAAACAAGTCAGGAGCTTCGACTTGCTTAATGGATCTCGAGACAGTCCCCAAGAACACTGTCACCAGTCTAGACGGACGCTGAGGTCACCCCAGCAACGCACAGCAGCTCCATGTGCCCCAAAACAACTCGAGATGATGCCCGATTCCCCTGCATTGACTCCAGAGCCATCACCAGTTCCCCATTCAACACGACCAGTGGCTTGACTTCCTTCAGGCAACTCCAGAGATGCCCCGAAAACACTGTCCCAAAGCTAGAGGAACACCAACTTCAGCACAGCAACTCGAGGAATGCATGGTTGACCCAAAATCATGTCGAGATGACAGCTGATTCCCTGGCATAGGCTCAAGGCATATGCCAACTTTCCAGAAGCACCTCAAGAGGAGGCTTCTCTCAGCAATAGGTATGTGGGAGGGACCCCGGGTTGGCTGCCTCAAGTGGAATATACAGCGAGAAGCCCTAACTTGAAAGGAGGCTGGATTTCCTTGCAGTGGCTTGAATACAGGCTCGTCTTTCATCTCACAACGTGAAGGGATGTCTGAATCCCCTGTGGAGAACTTAGAGAAAGCCCTAGGTCCCTGCCTCATTTTGACGGAATGCCTCACATCCCGTTGACACATCGAGAGGCAGGTGGAGTTCATTGCTTCAAAAGTTGACGATGCCTGACTCCTCTTAAATACTGATAGGAATCCCAAAATCCCTGTGGCTACAGGAAAGGGTTCTTGGGTGCACTGCCTCACCTCTAGAAGCGTCCCTTTTGCCCTGCCAAGCCTCGAAGAGATTCCTGAGGTGTCCCTCGTTACTAGACAGGAGTCCTGACGTCACTGAATAAACAGGTGTTTTGAAGTGCCATCCCCGGAGTAACTCGAGAACATAGCCCAGGTCCCCTCCGCAACTCGAAAAAAACCATGAGACTTCCCCCTAGAGGCGAGATGAGGCCCCATTCCCCTGCAGTGCATGCAGAGCTATTCCGTGATCCCCATAAAACAAGTTAGGAGCTTCGACTTGCTTAATGGATCTCGAGACAGTCCCCAAGAACACTATCACCAGTCTAGACGGACCCTGAGGTCAACCCAGCAACGCACAAGAGCTCCATGTGCCCCAAATCAACTCGACAGGAGGCCCGATTCCCCTGCATTGACTCCAGAGCCATCTTCCGTTCTCCATTCTACACCTCCATTGGCTTGACTTCCTTAAGGCAACTCCAGAGATGCCCCGAGAACACTGTCCCAAGTCTAGAGGAACACTAACTTCAGCACAGCAACTCGAGGAATGCTCCGTGTACCCCAAATCGTTTCGAGATGAGAGCAGATTGCCTGGCTTAGGCTCAAGACGTATGCCAACTTTCCAGAACCACCACAAGAGGAGGATTCTCTCAGCAATAGGTATGTGGGAGGGACCCCGAGGTTGCTGACTCAAGTGGAATATACAGCGAGAAGCCCTATCTTGAAAGGAGGCCAGATTTCCTTGCAGTGGCTTGAATACAGGCTCGTCTTTCATCTCACAACATGAAGGGATGTCTGAATCCCCTGTGGAGAAATTAGAGAAAGCCCTAGGTCCCTGCCTTATTTTGACGGAATGCCTCACTTCCCGTGGACACCTCGAGAGGCACTCGGAGTTCACTTCCTCAAAAGGTGACAATGCCTGACTCATCTTGAATACTGATAGGAATCGCCAAAACACTGTGCCTACAGGAAAGGGTCCTTGGGTGCCCTGCCTCACCTTGAGAAGCGTCCCTTTTACCCTGCCAAGCCTCGAAGAGTTTCCTCAGGTGTCCCTCATTACTAGACAAGAGTCCTGACGTCACTGAATAAACAGGTGTTTTGAAGGGCCATCCCCGCTGTAACTCGAGAACATACACCAGGTTCCCGCTGCTACTTCAGAAAAACCATGGGACTTCCCCCTAGAGGCGAGATGAGGCCCCATTCCCCTGCAGTGCATGCAGAGCTACTCAGTGATCTCCATCAAACAAGTCAGGAGCTTCGACTTGCTTAATGGAACCCGAGGCAGTCCCCAAGAACACTGTCACCAGTCTAGACGGACCCTGAGGTCGCCCCAGCAACGCAAAGCAGCACCCTGTGCCCCAAAATCAAATCAAGATGAGGCCCGATTCGCCTGCATTGACTCCAGAGCCATCCCCATTCAACATTCAACACGCCCAGTGGCTTGACTTCCTTCAGGCAACAACAGAGGTGCCCCGAGAACACTGTCCCAAGTCTGGAGGAAGACCACCTTCAGCACAGCAACTCGAGGAATGCTCCGTGTACCCCAAATCGTCTCGAGATGAGAGCTGATTCCCTGGCTTAGGTTCAAGACGTATGCCAACCTTCCAGAAGCACCTAAAGAGGAGGCTTCTCTCAGCAATAGGTATGTGGGAGGGACCCGGAGTTTGCTGCCTCAAGTGGAATATATGGCGAGAAGACCTACTTGAAAGGAGGCCGGATTTCCTTGCAGTGGCTTGAATACAGGCTCGTCTTTCATCTCACAACATGAAGGGATGTCTGAATCCCCTGTGGAGACCTTAGAGAAAGCCGTAATTCCCTGCCTCATTTTGACGGAATGTCTCACATCCCGTTGACACCTCGAGAGGCACGCGGAGTTCACTGCTTCAAAATGTGATGATGCCTGACTCCTCTTGAATACTGATAGGAATCCCAAAATCCCTGTGGCTACCGGAAAGGGAACGTGGGTGCCCTGCCTCACCTCGAGAAGCGTCCCTTTTGCCCTGCCAAGCCTCGAAGAGTTTCCTGACGTGTTCCTCATTACTAAGGAGGAATCCTGACGTCACTGAATAACCACGTGTTTTGAAGGGCCATCCCCGTCGTAACTCGATAACATACCCCAGGTCCCCGCCGTAACTCGAGAAAAAATATGAGACTTCCCCCTAGAGACGAGATGAGGCCCCATTCCCCTGCAGTGCATGCAGAGCTATTCCGTGATTCCCATCAAACAAGTCAGGAGCTTCGACTTCCTTAATGGATCTCGAAACAGTCCCCAAGAACACTGTCACCAGTCTAGACGGACCCTGAGGTCAACCCAGCAACGCACAGCAGCTCCATGTGCCCCAAAACAACTCTAGATGATGCCCGATTCCCCTGCATTGACTCCAGAGCCATCCCCAGTTCCCCATTCAACACGACCAGTGGCTTGACTTCCTTCAGGCAACTCCAGAGATCCCTAGAGAACACTGTCCCAAGTCTAGAGGAACACCAACTTCAGCACAGCAACTCGAGGAATGCACGGTGGACCCAAAATCATGTCGAGATGACAGCTGATTCCCTGGCATAGGCTCAAGGCATATGCCAACTTTCCAGAACCACCTCAAGAGCAGGCTTCTCTCAGCAATAGGTATGTGGGAGGGACCCCGGGTTGGCTGCCTCAGGTGGAATATACAGCGAGAAGCCCTAACTTGAAAGGAGGCCGGATTTCCTTGCAGTGGCTTGAATACAGGCTCGTCTTTCATCTCACAACATGAAGGGATGTCTGAATCCCCTGTGGAGAAATTAGAGAAAGCCCTAGGTCCCTGCCTCATTTTGACGGAATGCCTCACTTCCCGTGGACACCACGAGAGGCACTCCGAGTTCACTTCCTCAAAAGGTGACAATGCCTGACTCCTCTTGAATACTGATAGGAATCCCCAAAACCCTGTGACTACAGGAAAGGGTCCTTGGGTGCCCTGCCTCACCTTGAGAAGCGTCCCTTTTGCCCTGCCAAGCCTCGAAGAGATTCCTGACGTGTCCCTCGTTACTAGACAGGAGTCCTGACGTCACTGAATAAACAGGTGTTTTGAAGGGCCATCCCCGGCGTAACTCGAGAACATACCCCAGGTCCCCCCCGCAACTCGAGAAAAACCATGAGACTTCCCCCTAGAGGCGAGATGAGGCCCCATTCCCCTGCAGTGCATGCAGAGCTATTCCGTGATCCCCATCAAACAATTCAGGAGCTTCGACTTGCTTAATGGATCTCGAGACAGTCTCCAAGAACACTGTCACCAGTCTAGACGGACGCTGAGGTCACCCCAGCAACGCACAGCAGCTCCATGTGCCCCAAAACAACTCTAGATGATGCCCGATTCCCCTGCATTGACTCCAGAGTCATCCCCAGTTCCCCATTCAACACGACCAGTGGCTTGACTTCCTTCAGGCAACTCCACAGATGACCCGAGAACAATGTCCCAAGTCTAGAGGAACACCAACTTCAGCACAGCAACTCGAGGAAGGCTCCGTGCACAACAAATCGTTTCGAGATGGGTGCTGATTCCCTGGCTTAGGCTCAAGACGTATTCCAACTTTCTAGAATCACCTCAAGAGGAGGATTCTCTCAGCAATAGGTATGTGGGAGGGACCCCGAGTATGCTGCCTCAACTGGAATATACGGCGAGAAGCCCTAACTTGAAAGGAGGCCGGATTTCCTTGCAGTGGCTTGAATACAGGCTCGACTTTCATCTCACAGCATGAAGGGATGTCTGAATCCCCTGTGGAGACCTTAGAGAAAGCCGTAGGTCCCTGCCTCATTTTGACGGAATGCCTCACTTCCCGTGGACACCACGAGAGGCACTCCGAGTTCACTTCCTCAAAAGGTGACAATGCCTGACTCCTCTTGAATACTGATAGGAATCCCCAAAACCCTGTGACTACAGGAAAGGGTCCTTGGGTGCCCTGCCTCACCTTGAGAAGCGTCCCTTTTGCCCTGCCAAGCCTCGAAGAGATTCCTGAGGTGTCCCTCGTTACTAGACAGGAGTCCTGTCGTCACTGAATAAACAGGTGTTTTGAAGGGCCATCCCCGGCGTAACTCGAGAACTTACCCCAGGTCCCCGCCGCAACTCGAGAAAAACCATGAGACTTCCCCCTAGAGGCGAGATGAGGCCCCATTCCCCTGCAGTGCATGCAGAGCTATTCCGTGATCCCCATCAAACAAGTCAGGAGCTTCGACTTGCTTAATGGATCTCGAGACAGTCCCCAAGAACACTATCACCAGTCTAGACGGACCCTGAAGTCAACCCAGCAACGCACAGCAGCTCCATGTGCCCCAAAACAAGTCGAGATGATGCCAGATTCCCCTGCATTGACTCCAGAGCCATCCCCAGTTCCCCATTCAACACGACCAGTGGCTTGACTTCCTTCAGGCAACTCCAGAGATGCCCCGAGAACACTGTCCCAAGTCTAGAGGAACACCAACTTGAGCACAGCAACTCGAGGAATGCACGGTGGACCCAAAATCATGTCGAGAAGAGAGCTGATTCCCTGGCATAGGCTCAAGCCATATGCCAACTTTCCAGAAGCACCTCAAGAGGAGGCTTCTCTCAGCAATAGGTATGTGGGAGGGACCCCGGGTTGGCTGCCTCAAGTGGAATATACAGCGAGAAGCCCTAACTTGAAAGGAGGCTGGATTCCCTTGCAGTGGCTTGAATACAGGCTCGTCTTTCATCTCACAACGTGAAGGGATGTCTGAATCCCCTGTGGCGACCTTAGAGGAAGCCCTAGGGCCCTGCCTCATTTTGACGTAATGCCTCACATCCCGTTGACACATCGAGAGGCACGTGGAGTTCATTGCTTCAAAAGGTGACGATGCCTGACTCCTCTTGAATACTGATAGGAATCCCAAAATCCCTGTGGCTACAGGAAAGGGTCCTTGGGTGCCCTGTCTCACCTCTAGAAGCGTCCCTTTTGCCCTGCCAAGCCTCGAAGAGATTCCTGAGGTGTCCCTCGTTACTAGACAGGAGTCCTGACGTCACTGAATAAACAGGTGTTTTGAAGGGCCATCCCCGGCGTAACTCGAGAACATACCCCAGGTCCCCGCCGCAACTCGAGAAAAACTATGAGACTTCCCCCTAGAGACGAGATGAGGCCCCATTCCCCTGCAGTGCATGCAGAGCTATTCCGTGATTCCCATCAAACAAGTCAGGAGCTTCGACTTCCTTAATGGATCTCGAAACAGTCCCCAAGAACACTGTCACCAGTCTAGACGGACCCTGAGGTCAACCCAGCAACGCACAGCAGCTCCATGTGCCCCAAAACAACTCTAGATGATGCCCGATTCCCCTGCATTGACTCCAGAGCCATCCCCAGTTCCCCATTCAACACGACCAGTGGCTTGACTTCCTTCAGGCAACTCCAGAGATCCCTCGAGAACACTGTCCCAAGTCTAGAGGAACACCAACTTCAGCACAGCAACTCGAGGAATGCACGGTGGACCCAAAATCATGTCGAGATGACAGCTGATTCCCTGGCATAGGCTCAAGGCATATGCCAACTTTCCAGAACCACCTCAAGAGCAGGCTTCTCTCAGCAATAGGTATGTGGGAGGGACCCCGGGTTGGCTGCCTCAGGTGGAATATACAGCGAGAAGCCCTAACTTGAAAGGAGGCCGGATTTCCTTGCAGTGGCTTGAATACAGGCTCGTCTTTCATCTCACAACATGAAGGGATGTCTGAATCCCCTGTGGAGAAATTAGAGAAAGCCCTAGGTCCCTGCCTCATTTTGACGGAATGCCTCACTTCCCGTGGACACCACGAGAGGCACTCCGAGTTCACTTCCTCAAAAGGTGACAATGCCTGACTCCTCTTGAATACTGATAGGAATCCCCAAAACCCTGTGACTACAGGAAAGGGTCCTTGGGTGCCCTGCCTCACCTTGAGAAGCGTCCCTTTTGCCCTGCCAAGCCTCGAAGAGATTCCTGACGTGTCCCTCGTTACTAGACAGGAGTCCTGACGTCACTGAATAAACAGGTGTTTTGAAGGGCCATCCCCGGCGTAACTCGAGAACATACCCCAGGTCCCCCCCGCAACTCGAGAAAAACCATGAGACTTCCCCCTAGAGGCGAGATGAGGCCCCATTCCCCTGCAGTGCATGCAGAGCTATTCCGTGATCCCCATCAAACAATTCAGGAGCTTCGACTTGCTTAATGGATCTCGAGACAGTCTCCAAGAACACTGTCACCAGTCTAGACGGACGCTGAGGTCACCCCAGCAACGCACAGCAGCTCCATGTGCCCCAAAACAACTCTAGATGATGCCCGATTCCCCTGCATTGACTCCAGAGTCATCCCCAGTTCCCCATTCAACACGACCAGTGGCTTGACTTCCTTCAGGCAACTCCACAGATGACCCGAGAACAATGTCCCAAGTCTAGAGGAACACCAACTTCAGCACAGCAACTCGAGGAAGGCTCCGTGCACAACAAATCGTTTCGAGATGGGTGCTGATTCCCTGGCTTAGGCTCAAGACGTATTCCAACTTTCTAGAATCACCTCAAGAGGAGGATTCTCTCAGCAATAGGTATGTGGGAGGGACCCCGAGTATGCTGCCTCAACTGGAATATACGGCGAGAAGCCCTAACTTGAAAGGAGGCCGGATTTCCTTGCAGTGGCTTGAATACAGGCTCGACTTTCATCTCACAGCATGAAGGGATGTCTGAATCCCCTGTGGAGACCTTAGAGAAAGCCGTAGGTCCCTGCCTCATTTTGACGGAATGCCTCACTTCCCGTGGACACCACGAGAGGCACTCCGAGTTCACTTCCTCAAAAGGTGACAATGCCTGACTCCTCTTGAATACTGATAGGAATCCCCAAAACCCTGTGACTACAGGAAAGGGTCCTTGGGTGCCCTGCCTCACCTTGAGAAGCGTCCCTTTTGCCCTGCCAAGCCTCGAAGAGATTCCTGAGGTGTCCCTCGTTACTAGACAGGAGTCCTGTCGTCACTGAATAAACAGGTGTTTTGAAGGGCCATCCCCGGCGTAACTCGAGAACTTACCCCAGGTCCCCGCCGCAACTCGAGAAAAACCATGAGACTTCCCCCTAGAGGCGAGATGAGGCCCCATTCCCCTGCAGTGCATGCAGAGCTATTCCGTGATCCCCATCAAACAAGTCAGGAGCTTCGACTTGCTTAATGGATCTCGAGACAGTCCCCAAGAACACTATCACCAGTCTAGACGGACCCTGAAGTCAACCCAGCAACGCACAGCAGCTCCATGTGCCCCAAAACAAGTCGAGATGATGCCAGATTCCCCTGCATTGACTCCAGAGCCATCCCCAGTTCCCCATTCAACACGACCAGTGGCTTGACTTCCTTCAGGCAACTCCAGAGATGCCCCGAGAACACTGTCCCAAGTCTAGAGGAACACCAACTTGAGCACAGCAACTCGAGGAATGCACGGTGGACCCAAAATCATGTCGAGAAGAGAGCTGATTCCCTGGCATAGGCTCAAGCCATATGCCAACTTTCCAGAAGCACCTCAAGAGGAGGCTTCTCTCAGCAATAGGTATGTGGGAGGGACCCCGGGTTGGCTGCCTCAAGTGGAATATACAGCGAGAAGCCCTAACTTGAAAGGAGGCTGGATTCCCTTGCAGTGGCTTGAATACAGGCTCGTCTTTCATCTCACAACGTGAAGGGATGTCTGAATCCCCTGTGGCGACCTTAGAGGAAGCCCTAGGGCCCTGCCTCATTTTGACGTAATGCCTCACATCCCGTTGACACATCGAGAGGCACGTGGAGTTCATTGCTTCAAAAGGTGACGATGCCTGACTCCTCTTGAATACTGATAGGAATCCCAAAATCCCTGTGGCTACAGGAAAGGGTCCTTGGGTGCCCTGTCTCACCTCTAGAAGCGTCCCTTTTGCCCTGCCAAGCCTCGAAGAGATTCCTGAGGTGTCCCTCGTTACTAGACAGGAGTCCTGACGTCACTGAATAAACAGGTGTTTTGAAGGGCCATCCCCGGCGTAACTCGAGAACATACCCCAGGTCCCCGCCGCAACTCGAGAAAAACTATGAGACTTCCCCCTAGAGGCGAGATGAGGCCCCATTCCCCTGCAGTGCATGCAGAGCTATTCCGTGATCCCCATCGAACAAGTCAGGAGCTTCGACTTGCTTAATGGATCTCGGGACAGTCCCCAAGAACACTATCACCAGTCTAGACGGACCCTGAGGTCATCCCAGCAACGCACAGCAGCTCCATGTGCTCCAAATCAACTCGAGATGAGGCCCGATTCCCCTGCATTTACCCCAGAGGCATCTTCCGTTCTCCATTCTACACGACCATTGGCTTGACTTCCTTAAGGCCACTCCAGAGATGCCCCGAGAACACTGTCCCAAGTCTAGAGGAACACCAACTTCAGCACAGCAACTCGAGGAATGCTCCGTGTACCCCAAATCGTTTCGAGATGAGAGCAGATTCCCTAGCTTAGGCTCAAGATGTATGCCAACTTTCCAGAAGCACCTCAAGTGGAGGATTCTCTCAGCAATAGGTATGTGGGAGGGACCCCGATTATGCTGCCTCAAGTGGAATATAAAGCGAGAAGCCCTAACTTGAAAGAGGCCGGATTTCCTTGCAGTGGCTTGAATACAGGCTCGTCTTTCATCTCACAACATGAAGGGATGTCTGAATCCCCTGTGGAGACCTTAGAGAAAGCCCTAGGTCCCTGCCTCATTTTGACGGAATGCCTCACTTCCTGTGGACACCTCGAGAGGCACTCGGAGTTCACTGCCTCAAAAGGTGACAATGCCTGACTCCTCTTGAATACTGATAGGAATCCCCAAAACCCTGTGGCTAATGGAAAGGGTCCTTGGGTGCCCTGCCTCAGCTCTAGAAGCGTCCCTTTTGCAATGCCATGCCTCGAAGAGATTCCTGAGGTGTCCCTTGTTACTAGACCGGAGTCCTGACGTCACTGAATAAACAGGTATTTTGAAGGGCCATCCCCGCCGAAACTCGAGAACATACACCAGGTCCCCGCTGCAAATTGAGAAAAACCATGGGACTTCCCCCTAGAGGAGAGATGAGGCCCCATTCCCCTGCAGTGCATGCAGAGCTATTCAGTGATCTCCATCAAACAAGTCAGGAGCTTCAACTTGCTTAATGGAACTCAAGACAGTCCCCAAGAACACTGTCACCAGTCTAGACGGACCCTGAGGTCAACCCAGCAACGCAAAGCAGCTCCCTGTGCCCAAAAATCAAATCGAGATGAGGCCCGATTCCCCTGCATTGACTCCAAAGCCATCCCCGTTCAACATTCAACACGCCCAGTGGCTTGACTTCCTTCAGGCAACACCAGAGATGCCCCGAGAACACTGTCCCAAGTCTGGAGGAAGACCACCTTCAGCACAGCAACTCGAGGAATGCTCCGTGTACCCCAAATCGTCTCGAGATGAGAGCTGATTCCCTGGCTTAGGTTCAAGATGTATGCCAACCTTCCAGAAGCACCTGAAGAGGAGGCTTCTCTCAGCAATAAGTATGTGGGAGGGACCCGGAGTTTGCTGCCTCAAGTGGAATATATGGCGAGAAGCCCTAACTTGAAAGGAGGCTGGATTTCCTTGCAGTGTCTTGAATACCGGCTCGTCTTTCATCTCTCAACGTGAAGGGATGTCTGAATCCCCTGTGGAGACCTTAGAGAAAGCCCTAAGTCCCTGCCTCATTTTGACGGAATGCCTCACATCCGGTTGACACCGCGAGAGGCACGCGTAGTTCACTGCTTCAAAATGTGATGATGCCTGACTCCTCTTGAATACTGATAGGAATCCCAAAATCCCTGTGGCTACTGGAAAGGGAACGTGGGTGCCCTGTCTCACCTCGAGAAGCGTCCCTTTTGCCCTGCCAAGCCTGGAAGAGTTTCCTGAGGTGTTCCTCATTACTAAGGAGGAGTCCTGACGTCACTGAATAACCACGTGTTTTGAAGGGCCATCCCCGTCGTAACTCGAGAACATACCCTAGGTCCCCGCCGTAACTCGAGAAAAAATATGAGACTTCCCCCTAGAGACGAGATGAGGCCCCATTCCCCTGCAGTGCATGCAGAGCTATTCCGTGATCCCCATTAAACAAGTCAGGATCTTCGACTTGCTTAATGGATCTCCAGAGAGTCCCCAAGAACACTATCACCAGTCTAGATGGACCCTGAGGTCAACCCAGCAACGCACAGCAGCTCCATGTGCCCCAAAACAAGTCGAGATGATGCCCGATTCCCCTGCATTGACTCCAGAGCCATCCCCAGTTCCCCATTCAACACGACCAGTGGCTTGACTTCCTTCAGGCAACTCCAGAGATGCCCCGAGAACACTGTCCCAAGTCTAGAGGAACACCAACTTGAGCACAGCAACTCGAGGAATGCACGGTGGACCCAAAATCATGTCGAGATGAGAGCTGATTCCCTGGCATAGGCTCAAGGCATATGCCAACTTTCCAGAAGCACCTCAAGAGGAGGCTTCTCTCAGCAATAGGTATGTGGAAGGGACCCCGGGTTGGCTGCCTCAAGTGGAATATACAGCGAGAAGCCCTAACTTGAAAGGAGGCTGGATTTCCTTGCAGTGGCTTGAATACAGGCTCGTCTTTCATCTCACAACGTGAAGGGATGTCTGAATCCCCTGTGGCGACCTTAGAGGAAGCCCTAGGTCCATGCCTCATTTTGACGTAATGCCTCACATCCCGTTGACACATCGAGAGGCACGTGGAGTTCATTGCTTCAAAAGGTGACGATGCCTGACTCCTCTTGAATACTGATAGGAATCCCAAAATCCCTGTGGCTATAGGAAAGGGTCCTTGGGTGCCCTGCCTCACCTCTAGAAGCGTCCCTTTTGCCCTGCCAAGCCTCGAAGAGATTCCTGAGGTGTCCCTCGTTACTAGACAGGAGTCCTGACGTCACTGAATAAACAGGTGTTTTGAAGGGCCATCCCCGGCGTAACTCGAGAACATAGCCCAGGTCCCCGCCGCAACTCGAGAAAAACCATGAGACTTCCCCCTAGAGGCGAGATGAGGCCCCATTCCCCTGCAGTGCATGCAGAGCTATTCCGTGATCCCCATCGAACAAGTCAGGAGCTTCGACTTGCTTAATGGATCTCGAGACAGTCCCCAAGAACACTATCACCAGTCTAGACGGACCCTGAGGTCAACCCAGCAACGCACAGCAGCTCCATGTGCCCCAAATCAACTCGAGATGAGGCTCGATTCCCCTGCATTGACCCCAGACCCATCTTCCGTTCTCCATTCTACACGACCATTGGCTTGACTTCCTTAAGGCAACTCCAGAGATGCCCCGAGAACACTGTCCCAAGTCTAGAGGAACACCAACTTCAGCACAGCAACTCGAGGAATGCTCCGTGTACCCCAAATCGTTTCGAGATGAGAGCAGATTCCCTGGCTTAGGCTCAAGACGTATGCCACCTTTCCAGAAGCACCTCAAGTGGAGGATGCTCTCAGCAGTAGGTATGTGGGAGGGACCCCGATTATGCTTCCTCAAGTGGAATATATGGCGAGAAGCCCTAACTTGAAAGAGGCCGGATTTCCTTGCAGTGGCTTGAATACAGGCTCGTCTTTCATCTCACAACATGAAGGGATGTCTGAATCCCCTGTGGAGACCTTAGAGAAAGCCCTAGGTCCCTGCCTCATTTTGACGGAATGCCTCACTTCCTGTGGACACATCGAGAGGCACTCGGAGTTCACTGCCTCAAAAGGTGACAATGCCTGACTCCTCTTGAATACTGATAGGAATCCCAAAAACCCTGTGCCTACAGGAAAGGGTCCTTGGGTGCCCTGCCTCACCTCGAGAAGCGTCCCTTTTGCCCTGCCAAGCCTCGAAGAGATTCCTGAGATGTCCCTCGTTACTAGACAAGACTCCTGACGTCACTGAATAAACAGGTGTTTTGAAGGGCCATCCCCAATGTAACTCGAGAACATACACCATGTCCCCGCTGCAACTTGAGAAAAACCATGGGACTTTCCCCTAGAGGCGAGATGAGGCCCCATTCCCCTGCAGTGCATGCAGAGCTATTCAGTAATCTCCATCAAACAAGTCAGGATCTTCGACTTGCTTAATGGAACCCGAGACAGTCCCCAAGAACACTGTCACCAGTCTAGACGGACTCTGAGGTCACCCCAGCAACGCAAAGCAGCTCCCTGTGCCCAAAAATCAAATCGAGATGAGGCCCGATTCATCTGCATTGACTCCAGAGCCAACCCCGTTCAACATTCAACACGCCCAGTGGCTTGACTTCCTTCAGGCAACAACAGAGATGCCCCGAGAACACTGTCCCATGTCTGGAGGAAGACCACCTTCAGCACAGGAACTCGAGGAATGCACCATGTTCCCCAAATCGTCTCGAGATGAGAGCTGTTTCCCTCGCTTAGGCTCAAGACGTATGCCAACCTTCCAGAAGCACCTCAAGAGGAGGCTTCTCTCAGCAATAGGTATGTGGGAGGGACCCGGAGTTTGCTGCCTCAAGTGGAATATATGGCGAGAAGCCCTAACTTGAAAGGAGGCTGGATTTCCTTGCAGTGGCTTGAATACAGGCTCGTCTTTCATCTATCAACGTGAAGGGATGTCTGAATCCCCTGTGGAGACCATAGAGAAAGCCCTAGGTCCCTGCCTCATTTTGACGGAATGCCTCACTTCCCGTGGACACCTCGAGAGGCACGCAGAGTTCACTGCCTCAAAAGGTGACGATGCCTGACTCCTCTTGTATACTGATAGGAATCCCAAAATCCCTGTGGCTACTGGAAAGGGTCCTTGGGTGCCCTGCCTCACCTCTAGAAGCGTCCCTTTTGCCCTGCCAAGCCTCGAAGAGATTCCTGAGGTGTCCCTCGTTACTAGACAGGAGTCCTGACGTCACTGAATAAACAGGTGTTTTGAAGGGCCATCCCCGGCGTAACTCGAGAACTTACCCCAGGTCCCCGCCGCAACTCGAGAAAAACCATGAGACTTCCCCCTAGAGGCGAGATGAGGCCCCATTCCCCTGCAGTGCATGCAGAGCTATTCCGTGATCCCCATCAAACAAGTCAGGAGATTCGACTTGCTTAATGGATCTCGAGACAGTCCCCAAGATCACTATCACCAGTCTAGACGGACCCTGAAGTCAACCCAGCAACGCACAGCAGCTCCATGTGCCCCAAAACAAGTCGAGATGATGCCAGATTCCCCTGCATTGACTCCAGAGCCATCCCCAGTTCCCCATTCAACACGACCAGTGGCTTGACTTCCTTCAGGCAACTCCAGAGATGCCCCGAGAACACTGTCCCAAGTCTAGAGGAACACCAACTTGAGCACAGCAACTCGAGGAATGCACGGTGGACCCAAAAACATGTCGAGAAGAGAGCTGATTCCCTGGCATAGGCTCAAGGCATATGCCAACTTTCCAGAAGCACCTCAAGAGGAGGCTTCTCTCAGCAATAGGTATGTGGGAGGGACCCCGGGTTGGCTGCCTCAAGTGGAATATACAGCGAGAAGCCCTAACTTGAAAGGAGGCTGGATTTCCTTGCAGTGGCTTGAATACAGGCTCGTCTTTCATCTCACAACGTGAAGGGATGTCTGAATCCCCTGTGGCGACCTTAGAGGAAGCCCTAGGGCCCTGCCTCATTTTGACGTAATGCCTCACATCCCGTTGACACATCGAGAGGCACGTGGAGTTCATTGCTTCAAAAGGTGACGACGCCTGACTCCACTTGAATACTGATAGGAATCCCAAAATCCCTGTGGCTAAAGGAAAGGGTCCTTGGGTGCCCTGTCTCACCTCTAGAAGCGTCCCTTTTGCCCTGCCAAGCCTCGAAGAGATTCCTGAGGTGTCCCTCGTTACTAGACAGGAGTCCTGACGTCACTGAATAAACAGGTGTTTTGAAGGGCCATCCCCGGCGTAACTCGAGAACATAGCCCAGGTCCCCGCCGCAACTCGAGAAAAACCATGAGACTTCCCCCTAGAGGCGAGATGAGGCCCCATTCCCCTGCAGTGCATGCAGAGCTATTCCGTGATCCCCATCGAACAAGTCAGGAGCTTCGACTTGCTTAATGGATCTCGGGACAGTCCCCAAGAACACTATCACCAGTCTAGACGGACCCTGAGGTCATCCCAGCAACGCACAGCAGCTCCATGTGCTCCAAATCAACTCGAGATGAGGCCCGATTCCCCTGCATTTACCCCAGAGGCATCTTCCGTTCTCCATTCTACACGACCATTGGCTTGACTTCCTTAAGGCCACTCCAGAGATGCCCCGAGAACACTGTCCCAAGTCTAGAGGAACACCAACTTCAGCACAGCAACTCGAGGAATGCTCCGTGTACCCCAAATCGTTTCGAGATGAGAGCAGATTCCCTAGCTTAGGCTCAAGATGTATGCCAACTTTCCAGAAGCACCTCAAGTGGAGGATTCTCTCAGCAATAGGTATGTGGGAGGGACCCCGATTATGCTGCCTCAAGTGGAATATAAAGCGAGAAGCCCTAACATGAAAGAGGCCGGATTTCCATGCAGTGGCTTGAATACAGGCTCGTCTTTCATCTCACAACATGAAGGGATGTCTGAATCCCCTGTGGAGACCTTAGAAAAAGCCCTAGGTCCCTGCCTCATTTTGACGGAATGCCTCACTTCCTGTGGACACCTCGAGAGGCACTCGGAGTTCACTGCCTCAAAAGGTGACAATGCCTGACTCCTCTTGAATACTGATAGGAATCCCCAAAACCCTGTGGCTAATGGAAAGGGTCCTTGGGTGCCCTGCCTCAGCTCTAGAAGCGTCCCTTTTGCAATGCCATGCCTCGAAGAGATTCCTGAGGTGTCCCTTGTTACTAGACCGGAGTCCTGACGTCACTGAATAAACAGGTATTTTGAAGGGCCATCCCCGCCGAAACTCGAGAACATACACCAGGTCCCCGCTGCAAATTGAGAAAAACCATGGGACTTCCCCCTAGAGGAGAGATGAGGCCCCATTCCCCTGCAGTGCATGCAGAGCTATTCAGTGATCTCCATCAAACAAGTCAGGAGCTTCAACTTGCTTAATGGAACTCAAGACAGTCCCCAAGAACACTGTCACCAGTCTAGACGGACCCTGAGGTCAACCCAGCAACGCAAAGCAGCTCCCTGTGCCCAAAAATCAAAGCGAGATGAGGCCCGATTCCCCTGCATTGACTCCAAAGCCATCCCCGTTCAACATTCAACACACCCAGTGGCTTGACTTCCTTCAGGCAACACCAGAGATGCCCCGAGAACACTGTCCCAAGTCTGGAGGAAGACCACCTTCAGCACAGCAACTCGAGGAATGCTCCGTGTACCCCAAATCGTCTCGAGATGAGAGCTGATTCCCTGGCTTAGGCTCAAGACGTATGCCAACCTTCCAGAAGCACCTGAAGAGGAGGCTTCTCTCAGCAATAAGTATGTGGGAGGGACCCGGAGTTTGCTGCCTCAAGTGGAATATATGGCGAGAAGCCCTAACTTGAAAGGAGGCTGGATTTCCTTGCAGTGTCTTGAATAAAGGCTCGTCTTTCATCTCTCAACGTGAAGGGATGTCTGAATCCCCTGTGGAGACCTTAGAGAAAGCCCTAAGTCCCTGCCTCATTTTGACGGAATGCCTCACATCCGGTTGACACCGCGAGAGGCACGCGGAGTTCACTGCTTCAAAATGTGATGATGCCTGACTCCTCTTGAATACTGATAGGAATCCCAAAATCCCTGTGGCTACTGGAAAGGGAACGTGGGTGCCCTGCCTCACCTCGAGAAGCGTCCCTTTTGCCCTGCCAAGCCTGGAAGAGTTTCCTGAGGTGTTCCTCATTACTAAGGAGGAGTCCTGACGTCACTGAATAACCACGTGTTTTGAAGGGCCATCCCCGTCGTAACTCGAGAACATACCCTAGGTCCCCGCCGTAACTCGAGAAAAAATATGAGACTTCCCCCTAGAGACGAGATGAGGCCCCATTCCCCTGCAGTGCATGCAGAGCTATTCCGTGATCCCCATTAAACAAGTCAGGATCTTCGACTTGCTTAATGGATCTCGAGAGAGTCCCCAAGAACACTATCACCAGTCTAGATGGACCCTGAGGTCAACCCAGCAACGCACAGCAGCTCCATGTGCCCCAAAACAAGTCGAGATGATGCCCGATTCCCCTGCATTGACTCCAGAGCCATCCCCAGTTCCCCATTCAACACGACCAGTGGCTTGACTTCCTTCAGGCAACTCCAGAGATGCCCCGAGAACACTGTCCCAAGTCTAGAGGAACACCAACTTGAGCACAGCAACTCGAGGAATGCACGGTGGACCCAAAATCATGTCGAGATGAGAGCTGATTCCCTGGCATAGGCTCAAGGCATATGCCAACTTTCCAGAAGCACCTCAAGAGGAGGCTTCTCTCAGCAATAGGTATGTGGAAGGGACCCCGGGTTGGCTGCCTCAAGTGGAATATACAGCGAGAAGCCCTAACTTGAAAGGAGGCTGGATTTCCTTGCAGTGGCTTGAATACAGGCTCGTCTTTCATCTCACAACGTGAAGGGATGTCTGAATCCCCTGTGGCGACCTTAGAGGAAGCCCTAGGTCCCTGCCTCATTTTGACGTAATGCCTCACATCCCGTTGACACATCGAGAGGCACGTGGAGTTCATTGCTTCAAAAGGTGACGATGCCTGACTCCTCTTGAATACTGATAGGAATCCCAAAATCCCTGTGGCTATAGGAAAGGGTCCTTGGGTGCCCTGCCTCACCTCTAGAAGCGTCCCTTTTGCCCTGCCAAGCCTCGAAGAGATTCCTGAGGTGTCCCTCGTTACTAGACAGGAGTCCTGACGTCACTGAATAAACAGGTGTTTTGAAGGGCCATCCCCGGCGTAACTCGAGAACATAGCCCAGGTCCCCGCCGCAACTCGAGAAAAACCATGAGACTTCCCCCTAGAGGCGAGATGAGGCCCCATTCCCCTGCAGTGCATGCAGAGCTATTCCGTGATCCCCATCGAACAAGTCAGGAGCTTCGACTTGCTTAATGGATCTCGAGACAGTCCCCAAGAACACTATCACCAGTCTAGACGGACCCTGAGGTCAACCCAGCAACGCACAGCAGCTCCATGTGCCCCAAATCAACTCGAGATGAGGCTCGATTCCCCTGCATTGACCCCAGACCCATCTTCCGTTCTCCATTCTACACGACCATTGGCTTGACTTCCTTAAGGCAACTCCAGAGATGCCCCGAGAACACTGTCCCAAGTCTAGAGGAACACCAACTTCAGCACAGCAACTCGAGGAATGCTCCGTGTACCCCAAATCGTTTCGAGATGAGAGCAGATTCCCTGGCTTAGGCTCAAGACGTATGCCACCTTTCCAGAAGCACCTCAAGTGGAGGATGCTCTCAGCAGTAGGTATGTGGGAGGGACCCCGATTATGCTTCCTCAAGTGGAATATATGGCGAGAAGCCCTAACTTGAAAGAGGCCGGATTTCCTTGCAGTGGCTTGAATACAGGCTCGTCTTTCATCTCACAACATGAAGGGATGTCTGAATCCCCTGTGGAGACCTTAGAGAAAGCCCTAGGTCCCTGCCTCATTTTGACGGAATGCCTCACTTCCTGTGGACACCTCGAGAGGCACTCGGAGTTCACTGCCTCAAAAGGTGACAATGCCTGACTCCTCTTGAATACTGATAGGAATCCCAAAAACCCTGTGCCTACAGGAAAGGGTCCTTGGGTGCCCTGCCTCACCTCGAGAAGCGTCCCTTTTGCCCTGCCAAGCCTCGAAGAGATTCCTGAGATGTCCCTCGTTACTAGACAAGACTCCTGACGTCACTGAATAAACAGGTGTTTTGAAGGGCCATCCCCAATGTAACTCGAGAACATACACCATGTCCCCGCTGCAACTTGAGAAAAACCATGGGACTTTCCCCTAGAGGCGAGATGAGGCCCCATTCCCCTGCAGTGCATGCAGAGCTATTCAGTAATCTCCATCAAACAAGTCAGGATCTTCGACTTGCTTAATGGAACCCGAGACAGTCCCCAAGAACACTGTCACCAGTCTAGACGGACTCTGAGGTCACCCCAGCAACGCAAAGCAGCTCCCTGTGCCCAAAAATCAAATCGAGATGAGGCCCGATTCATCTGCATTGACTCCAGAGCCAACCCCGTTCAACATTCAACACGCCCAGTGGCTTGACTTCCTTCAGGCAACAACAGAGATGCCCCGAGAACACTGTCCCATGTCTGGAGGAAGACCACCTTCAGCACAGGAACTCGAGGAATGCACCATGTTCCCCAAATCGTCTCGAGATGAGAGCTGTTTCCCTCGCTTAGGCTCAAGACGTATGCCAACCTTCCAGAAGCACCTCAAGAGGAGGCTTCTCTCAGCAATAGGTATGTGGGAGGGACCCGGAGTTTGCTGCCTCAAGTGGAATATATGGCGAGAAGCCCTAACTTGAAAGGAGGCTGGATTTCCTTGCAGTGGCTTGAATACAGGCTCGTCTTTCATCTATCAACGTGAAGGGATGTCTGAATCCCCTGTGGAGACCATAGAGAAAGCCCTAGGTCCCTGCCTCATTTTGACGGATTGCCTCACTTCCCGTGGACACCTCGAGAGGCACGCAGAGTTCACTGCCTCAAAAGGTGACGATGCCTGACTCCTCTTGAATACTGATAGGAATCCCAAAATCCCTGTGGCTACTGGAAAGGGTCCTTGGGTGCCCTGCCTCACCTCTAGAAGCGTCCCTTTTGCCCTGCCAAGCCTCGAAGAGATTCCTGAGTTGTCCCTCGTTACTAGACAGGAGTCCTGACGTCACTGAATAAACAGGTGTTTTGAAGGGCCATCCCCGGCGTAACTCGAGAACTTACCCCAGGTCCCCGCCGCAACTCGAGAAAAACCATGAGACTTCCCCCTAGAGGCGAGATGAGGCCCCATTCCCCTGCAGTGCATGCCGAGCTATTCCGTGATCCCCATCAAACAAGTCAGGAGCTTCGACTTGCTTAATGGATCTCGAGACAGTCCCCAAGAACACTATCACCAGTCTAGACGGACCCTGAAGTCAACCCAGCAACGCACAGCAGCTCCATGTGCCCCAAAACAAGTCGAGATGATGCCAGATTCCCCTGCATTGACTCCAGAGCCATCCCCAGTTCCCCATTCAACACGACCAGTGGCTTGACTTCCTTCAGGCAACTCCAGAGATGCCCCGAGAACACTGTCCCAAGTCTAGAGGAACACCAACTTGAGCACAGCAACTCGAGGAATGCACGGTGGACCCAAAATCATGTCGAGAAGAGAGCTGATTCCCTGGCATAGGCTCAAGGCATATGCCAACTTTCCAGAAGCACCTCAAGAGGAGGCTTCTCTCAGCAATAGGTATGTGGGAGGGACCCCGGGTTGGCTGCCTCAAGTGGAATATACAGCGAGAAGCCCTAACTTGAAAGGAGGCTGGATTTCCTTGCAGTGGCTTGAATACAGGCTCGTCTTTCATCTCACAACGTGAAGGGATGTCTGAATCCCCTGTGGCGACCTTAGAGGAAGCCCTAGAGCCCTGCCTCATTTTGACGTAATGCCTCACATCCCGTTGACACATCGAGAGGCACGTGGAGTTCATTGCTTCAAAAGGTGACGACGCCTGACTGCACTTGAATACTGATAGGAATCCCAAAATCCCTGTGGCTACAGGAAAGGGTCCTTGGGTGCCCTGTCTCACCTCTAGAAGCGTCCCTTTTGCCCTGCCAAGCCTCGAAGAGATTCCTGAGGTGTCCCTCGTTACTAGACAGGAGTCCTGACGTCACTGAATAAACAGGTGTTTTGAAGGGCCATCCCCGGCGTAACTCGAGAACATAGCCCAGGTCCCCGCCGCAACTCGAGAAAAACCATGAGACTTCCCCCTAGAGGCGAGATGAGGCCCCATTCCCCTGCAGTGCATGCAGAGCTATTCCGTGATCCCCATCGAACAAGTCAGGAGCTTCGACTTGCTTAATGGATCTCGGGACAGTCCCCAAGAACACTATCACCAGTCTAGACGGACCCTGAGGTCATCCCAGCAACGCACAGCAGCTCCATGTGCTCCAAATCAACTCGAGATGAGGCCCGATTCCCCTGCATTTACCCCAGAGGCATCTTCCGTTCTCCATTCTACACGACCATTGGCTTGACTTCCTTAAGGCCACTCCAGAGATGCCCCGAGAACACTGTCCCAAGTCTAGAGGAACACCAACTTCAGCACAGCAACTCGAGGAATGCTCCGTGTACCCCAAATCGTTTCGAGATGAGAGCAGATTCCCTAGCTTAGGCTCAAGATGTATGCCAACTTTCCAGAAGCACCTCAAGTGGAGGATTCTCTCAGCAATAGGTATGTGGGAGGGACCCCGATTATGCTGCCTCAAGTGGAATATAAAGCGAGAAGCCCTAACATGAAAGAGGCCGGATTTCCATGCAGTGGCTTGAATACAGGCTCGTCTTTCATCTCACAACATGAAGGGATGTCTGAATCCCCTGTGGAGACCTTAGAAAAAGCCCTAGGTCCCTGCCTCATTTTGACGGAATGCCTCACTTCCTGTGGACACCTCGAGAGGCACTCGGAGTTCACTGCCTCAAAAGGTGACAATGCCTGACTCCTCTTGAATACTGATAGGAATCCCCAAAACCCTGTGGCTAATGGAAAGGGTCCTTGGGTGCCCTGCCTCAGCTCTAGAAGCGTCCCTTTTGCAATGCCATGCCTCGAAGAGATTCCTGAGGTGTCCCTTGTTACTAGACCGGAGTCCTGACGTCACTGAATAAACAGGTATTTTGAAGGGCCATCCCCGCCGAAACTCGAGAACATACACCAGGTCCCCGCTGCAAATTGAGAAAAACCATGGGACTTCCCCCTAGAGGAGAGATGAGGCCCCATTCCCCTGCAGTGCATGCAGAACTATTCAGTGATCTCCATCAAACAAGTCAGGAGCTTCAACTTGCTTAATGGAACTCAAGACAGTCCCCAAGAACACTGTCACCAGTCTAGACGGACCCTGAGGTCAACCCAGCAACGCAAAGCAGCTCCCTGTGCCCAAAAATCAAATCGAGATGAGGCCCGATTCCCCTGCATTGACTCCAAAGCCATCCCCGTTCAACATTCAACACACCCAGTGGCTTGACTTCCTTCAGGCAACACCAGAGATGCCCCGAGAACACTGTCCCAAGTCTGGAGGAAGACCACCTTCAGCACAGCAACTCGAGGAATGCTCCGTGTACCCCAAATCGTCTCGAGATGAGAGCTGATTCCCTGGCTTAGGTTCAAGACGTATGCCAACCTTCCAGAAGCACCTGAAGAGGAGGCTTCTCTCAGCAATAAGTATGTGGGAGGGACCCGGAGTTTGCTGCCTCAAGTGGAATATATGGCGAGAAGCCCTAACTTGAAAGGAGGCTGGATTTCCTTGCAGTGTCTTGAATAAAGGCTCGTCTTTCATCTCTCAACGTGAAGGGATGTCTGAATCCCCTGTGGAGACCTTAGAGAAAGCCCTAAGTCCCTGCCTCATTTTGACGGAATGCCTCACATCCGGTTGACACCGCGAGAGGCACGCGGAGTTCACTGCTTCAAAATGTGATGATGCCTGACTCCTCTTGAATACTGATAGGAATCCCAAAATCCCTGTGGCTACTGGAAAGGGAACGTGGGTGCCCTGCCTCACCTCGAGAAGCGTCCCTTTTGCCCTGCCAAGCCTGGAAGAGTTTCCTGAGGTGTTCCTCATTACTAAGGAGGAGTCCTGACGTCACTGAATAACCACGTGTTTTGAAGGGCCATCCCCGTCGTAACTCGAGAACATACCCTAGGTCCCCGCCGTAACTCGAGAAAAAATATGAGACTTCCCCCTAGAGACGAGATGAGGCCCCATTCCCCTGCAGTGCATGCAGAGCTATTCCGTGATCCCCATTAAACAAGTCAGGATCTTCGACTTGCTTAATGGATCTCGAGAGAGTCCCCAAGAACACTATCACCAGTCTAGATGGACCCTGAGGTCAACCCAGCAACGCACAGCAGCTCCATGTGCCCCAAAACAAGTCGAGATGATGCCCGATTCCCCTGCATTGACTCCAGAGCCATCCCCAGTTCCCCATTCAACACGACCAGTGGCTTGACTTCCTTCAGGCAACTCCAGAGATGCCCCGAGAACACTGTCCCAAGTCTAGAGGAACACCAACTTGAGCACAGCAACTCGAGGAATGCACGGTGGACCCAAAATCATGTCGAGATGAGAGCTGATTCCCTGGCATAGGCTCAAGGCATATGCCAACTTTCCAGAAGCACCTCAAGAGGAGGCTTCTCTCAGCAATAGGTATGTGGAAGGGACCCCGGGTTGGCTGCCTCAAGTGGAATATACAGCGAGAAGCCCTAACTTGAAAGGAGGCTGGATTTCCTTGCAGTGGCTTGAATACAGGCTCGTCTTTCATCTCACAACGTGAAGGGATGTCTGAATCCCCTGTGGCGACCTTAGAGGAAGCCCTAGGTCCCTGCCTCATTTTGACGTAATGCCTCACATCCCGTTGACACATCGAGAGGCACGTGGAGTTCATTGCTTCAAAAGGTGACGATGCCTGACTCCTCTTGAATACTGATAGGAATCCCAAAATCCCTGTGGCTATAGGAAAGGGTCCTTGGGTGCCCTGCCTCACCTCTAGAAGCGTCCCTTTTGCCCTGCCAAGCCTCGAAGAGATTCCTGAGGTGTCCCTCGTTACTAGACAGGAGTCCTGACGTCACTGAATAAACAGGTGTTTTGAAGGGCCATCCCCGGCGTAACTCGAGAACATAGCCCAGGTCCCCGCCGCAACTCGAGAAAAACCATGAGACTTCCCCCTAGAGGCGAGATGAGGCCCCATTCCCCTGCAGTGCATGCAGAGCTATTCCGTGATCCCCATCGAACAAGTCAGGAGCTTCGACTTGCTTAATGGATCTCGAGACAGTCCCCAAGAACACTATCACCAGTCTAGACGGACCCTGAGGTCAACCCAGCAACGCACAGCAGCTCCATGTGCCCCAAATCAACTCGAGATGAGGCTCGATTCCCCTGCATTGACCCCAGACCCATCTTCCGTTCTCCATTCTACACGACCATTGGCTTGACTTCCTTAAGGCAACTCCAGAGATGCCCCCAGAACACTGTCCCAAGTCTAGAGGAACACCAACTTCAGCACAGCAACTCGAGGAATGCTCCGTGTACCCCAAATCGTTTTGAGATGAGAGCAGATTCCCTGGCTTAGGCTCAAGACGTATGCCACCTTTCCAGAAGCACCTCAAGTGGAGGATGCTCTCAGCAGTAGGTATGTGGAAGGGACCCCGATTATGCTTCCTCAAGTGGAATATATGGCGAGAAGCCCTAACTTGAAAGAGGCCGGATTTCCTTGCAGTGGCTTGAATACAGGCTCGTCTTTCATCTCACAACATGAAGGGATATCTGAATCCCCTGTGGAGACCTTAGAGAAAGCCCTAGGTCCCTGCCTCATTTTGACGGAATGCCTCACTTCCTGTGGACACCTCGAGAGGCACTCGGAGTTCACTGCCTCAAAAGGTGACAATGCCTGACTCCTCTTGAATACTGATAGGAATCCCAAAAACCCTGTGCCTACAGGAAAGGGTCCTTGGGTGCCCTGCCTCACCTCGAGAAGCGTCCCTTTTGCCCTGCCAAGCCTCGAAGAGATTCCTGAGATGTCCCTCGTTACTAGACAAGACTCCTGACGTCACTGAATAAACAGGTGTTTTGAAGGGCCATCCCCAATGTAACTCGAGAACATACACCATGTCCCCGCTGCAACTTGAGAAAAACCATGGGACTTTCCCCTAGAGGCGAGATGAGGCCCCATTCCCCTGCAGTGCATGCAGAGCTATTCAGTAATCTCCATCAAACAAGTCAGGATCTTCGACTTGCTTAATGGAACCCGAGACAGTCCCCAAGAACACTGTCACCAGTCTAGACGGACTCTGAGGTCACCCCAGCAACGCAAAGCAGCTCCCTGTGCCCAAAAATCAAATCGAGATGAGGCCCGATTCATCTGCATTGACTCCAGAGCCAACCCCGTTCAACATTCAACACGCCCAGTGGCTTGACTTCCTTCAGGCAACAACAGAGATGCCCCGAGAACACTGTCCCATGTCTGGAGGAAGACCACCTTCAGCACAGGAACTCGAGGAATGCACCATGTTCCCCAAATCGTCTCGAGATGAGAGCTGTTTCCCTCGCTTAGGCTCAAGACGTATGCCAACCTTCCAGAAGCACCTCAAGAGGAGGCTTCTCTCAGCAGTAGGTATGTGGGAGGGACCCGGAGTTTGCTGCCTCAAGTGGAATATATGGCGAGAAGCCCTAACTTGAAAGGAGGCTGGATTTCCTTGCAGTGGCTTGAATACAGGCTCGTCTTTCATCTATCAACGTGAAGGGATGTCTGAATCCCCTGTGGAGACCATAGAGAAAGCCCTAGGTCCCTGCCTCATTTTGACGGAATGCCTCACATCCCGTGGACACCTTGAGAGGCACGCAGAGTTCACTGCCTCAAAAGGTGACGATGCCTGACTCCTCTTGAATACTGATAGGAATCCCAAAATCCCTGTGGCTACTGGAAAGGGTCCTTGGGTGCCCTGCCTCACCTCTAGAAGCGTCCCTTTTGCCCTGCCAAGCCTCGAAGAGATTCCTGAGGTGTCCCTCGTTACTAGACAGGAGTCCTGACGTCACTGAATAAACAGGTGTTTTGAAGGGCCATCCCCAGCGTAACTCGAGAACTTACCCCAGGTCCCCGCCGCAACTCGAGAAAAACCATGAGACTTCCCCCTAGAGGCGAGATGAGGCCCCATTCCCCTGCAGTGCATGCAGAGCTATTCCGTGATCCCCATCAAACAAGTCAGGAGCTTCGACTTGCTTAATGGATCTCGAGACAGTCCCCAAGAACACTATCACCAGTCTAGACGGACCCTGAAGTCAACCCAGCAACGCACAGCAGCTCCATGTGCCCCAAAACAAGTCGAGATGATGCCAGATTCCCCTGCATTGACTCCAGAGCCATCCCCAGTTCCCCATTCAACACGACCAGTGGCTTGACTTCCTTCAGGCAACTCCAGAGATGCCCCGAGAACACTGTCCCAAGTCTAGAGGAACACCAACTTGAGCACAGCAACTCGAGGAATGCACGGTGGACCCAAAATCATGTCGAGAAGAGAGCTGATTCCCTGGCATAGGCTCAAGGCATATGCCAACTTTCCAGAAGCACCTCAAGAGGAGGCTTCTCTCAGCAATAGGTATGTGGGAGGGACCCCGGGTTGGCTGCCTCAAGTGGAATATACAGCGAGAAGCCCTAACTTGAAAGGAGGCTGGATTTCCTTGCAGTGGCTTGAATACAGGCTCGTCTTTCATCTCACAACGTGAAGGGATGTCTGAATCCCCTGTGGCGACCTTAGAGGAAGCCCTAGGGCCCTGCCTCATTTTGACGTAATGCCTCACATCCCGTTGACACATCGAGAGGCACGTGGAGTTCATTGCTTCAAAAGGTGACGACGCCTGACTCCTCTTGAATACTGATAGGAATCCCAAAATCCCTGTGGCTACAGGAAAGGGTCCTTGGGTGCCCTGTCTCACCTCTAGAAGCGTCCCTTTTGCCCTGCCAAGCCTCGAAGAGATTCCTGAGGTGTCCCTCGTTACTAGACAGGAGTCCTGACGTCACTGAATAAACAGGTGTTTTGAAGGGCCATCCCCGGCGTAACTCGAGAACATAGCCCAGGTCCCCGCCGCAACTCGAGAAAAACCATGAGACTTCCCCCTAGAGGCGAGATGAGGCCCCATTCCCCTGCAGTGCATGCAGAGCTATTCCGTGATCCCCATCGAACAAGTCAGGAGCTTCGACTTGCTTAATGGATCTCGAGACAGTCCCCAAGAACACTATCACCAGTCTAGACGGACCCTGAGGTCAACCCAGCAACGCACAGCAGCTCCATGTGCCCCAAATCAACTCGAGATGAGGCTCGATTCCCCTGCATTGACCCCAGACCCATCTTCCGTTCTCCATTCTACACGACCATTGGCTTGACTTCCTTAAGGCAACTCCAGAGATGCCCCCAGAACACTGTCCCAAGTCTAGAGGAACACCAACTTCAGCACAGCAACTCGAGGAATGCTCCGTGTACCCCAAATCGTTTCGAGATGAGAGCAGATTCCCTGGCTTAGGCTCAAGACGTATGCCACCTTTCCAGAAGCACCTCAAGTGGAGGATGCTCTCAGCAGTAGGTATGTGGAAGGGACCCCGATTATGCTTCCTCAAGTGGAATATATGGCGAGAAGCCCTAACTTGAAAGAGGCCGGATTTCCTTGCAGTGGCTTGAATACAGGCTCGTCTTTCATCTCACAACATGAAGGGATATCTGAATCCCCTGTGGAGACCTTAGAGAAAGCCCTAGGTCCCTGCCTCATTTTGACGGAATGCCTCACTTCCTGTGGACACCTCGAGAGGCACTCGGAGTTCACTGCCTCAAAAGGTGACAATGCCTGACTCCTCTTGAATACTGATAGGAATCCCAAAAACCCTGTGCCTACAGGAAAGGGTCCTTGGGTGCCCTGCCTCACCTCGAGAAGCGTCCCTTTTGCCCTGCCAAGCCTCGAAGAGATTCCTGAGATGTCCCTCGTTACTAGACAAGACTCCTGACGTCACTGAATAAACAGGTGTTTTGAAGGGCCATCCCCAATGTAACTCGAGAACATACACCATGTCCCTGCTGCAACTTGAGAAAAACCATGGGACTTTCCCCTAGAGGCGAGATGAGGCCCCATTCCCCTGCAGTGCATGCAGAGCTATTCAGTAATCTCCATCAAACAAGTCAGGATCTTCGACTTGCTTAATGGAACCCGAGACAGTCCCCAAGAACACTGTCACCAGTCTAGACGGACTCTGAGGTCACCCCAGCAACGCAAAGCAGCTCCCTGTGCCCAAAAATCAAATCGAGATGAGGCCCGATTCATCTGCATTGACTCCAGAGCCAACCCCGTTCAACATTCAACACGCCCAGTGGCTTGACTTCCTTCAGGCAACAACAGAGATGCCCCGAGAACACTGTCCCATGTCTGGAGGAAGACCACCTTCAGCACAGGAACTCGAGGAATGCACCATGTTCCCCAAATCGTCTCGAGATGAGAGCTGTTTCCCTCGCTTAGGCTCAAGACGTATGCCAACCTTCCAGAAGCACCTCAAGAGGAGGCTTCTCTCAGCAGTAGGTATGTGGGAGGGACCCGGAGTTTGCTGCCTCAAGTGGAATATATGGCGAGAAGCCCTAACTTGAAAGGAGGCTGGATTTCCTTGCAGTGGCTTGAATACAGGCTCGTCTTTCATATATCAACGTGAAGGGATGTCTGAATCCCCTGTGGAGACCATAGAGAAAGCCCTAGGTCCCTGCCTCATTTTGACGGAATGCCTCACATCCCGTGGACACCTCGAGAGGCACGCAGAGTTCACTGCCTCAAAAGGTGACGATGCCTGACTCCTCTTGAATACTGATAGGAATCCCAAAATCCCTGTGGCTACTGGAAAGGGTCCTTGGGTGCCCTGCCTCACCTCTAGAAGCGTCCCTTTTGCCCTGCCAAGCGTCGAAGAGATTCCTGAGGTGTCCCTCGTTACTAGACAGGAGTCCTGACGTCACTGAATAAACAGGTGTTTTGAAGGGCCATCCCCAGCGTAACTCGAGAACTTACCCCAGGTCCCCGCCGCAACTCGAGAAAAACCATGAGACTTCCCCCTAGAGGCGAGATGAGGCCCCATTCCCCTGCAGTGCATGCAGAGCTATTCCGTGATCCCCATCAAACAAGTCAGGAGCTTCGACTTGCTTAATGGATCTCGAGACAGTCCCCAAGAACACTATCACCAGTCTAGACGGACCCTGAAGTCAACCCAGCAACGCACAGCAGCTCCATGTGCCCCAAAACAAGTCGAGATGATGCCAGATTCCCCTGCATTGACTCCAGAGCCATCCCCAGTTCCCCATTCAACACGACCAGTGGCTTGACTTCCTTCAGGCAACTCCAGAGATGCCCCGAGAACACTGTCCCAAGTCTAGAGGAACACCAACTTGAGCACAGCAACTCGAGGAATGCACGGTGGACCCAAAATCATGTCGAGAAGAGAGCTGATTCCCTGGCATAGGCTCAAGGCATATGCCAACTTTCCAGAAGCACCTCAAGAGGAGGCTTCTCTCAGCAATAGGTATGTGGGAGGGACCCCGGGTTGGCTGCCTCAAGTGGAATATACAGCGAGAAGCCCTAACTTGAAAGGAGGCTGGATTTCCTTGCAGTGGCTTGAATACAGGCTCGTCTTTCATCTCACAACGTGAAGGGATGTCTGAATCCCCTGTGGCGACCTTAGAGGAAGCCCTAGGGCCCTGCCTCATTTTGACGTAATGCCTCACATCCCGTTGACACATCGAGAGGCACGTGGAGTTCATTGCTTCAAAAGGTGACGACGCCTGACTCCTCTTGAATACTGATAGGAATCCCAAAATCCCTGTGGCTACAGGAAAGGGTCCTTGGGTGCCCTGTCTCACCTCTAGAAGCGTCCCTTTTGCCCTGCCAAGCCTCGAAGAGATTCCTGAGGTGTCCCTCGTTACTAGACAGGAGTCCTGACGTCACTGAATAAACAGGTGTTTTGAAGGGCCATCCCCGGCGTAACTCGAGAACATAGCCCAGGTCCCCGCCGCAACTCGAGAAAAACCATGAGACTTCCCCCTAGAGGCGAGATGAGGCCCCATTCCCCTGCAGTGCATGCAGAGCTATTCCGTGATCCCCATCGAACAAGTCAGGAGCTTCGACTTGCTTAATGGATCTCGGGACAGTCCCCAAGAACACTATCACCAGTCTAGACGGACCCTGAGGTCATCCCAGCAACGCACAGCAGCTCCATGTGCTTCAAATCAACTCGAGATGAGGCCCGATTCCCCTGCATTTACCCCAGAGGCATCTTCCGTTCTCCATTCTACACGACCATTGGCTTGACTTCCTTAAGGCAACTCCAGAGATGCCCCGAGAACACTGTCCCAAGTCTAGAGGAACACCAACTTCAGCACAGCAACTCGAGGAATGCTCCGTGTACCCCAAATCGTTTCGAGATGAGAGCAGATTCCCTGGCTTAGGCTCAAGACGTATGCCACCTATCCAGAAGCACCTCAAGTGGAGGATGCTCTCAGCAATAATTATGTGGGACGGACCCCGATTATGCTTCCTCAAGTGGAATATATGGCGAGAAGCCCTAACTTGAAAGAGGCAGGATTTCCTTGCAGTGGCTTGAATACAGGCTCGTCTTTCATCTCACAACATGAAGGGATGTCTGAATCCCCTGTGGAGACCTTTGAGAAAGCCCTAGGTCCCTGCCTCATTTTGACGGAATGCCTCACTTCCTGTGGACACCTCGAGAGACACTCGGAGTTCACTGCCTCAAAAGGTGACAATGCCTGACTCCTCTTGAATACTGATAGGAATCCCAAAAACCCTGTGCCTACAGGAAAGGGTCCTTGGGTGCCCTGCCTCACCTCGAGAAGCGTCCCTTTTGCCCTGCCAAGCCTCGAAGAGATTCCTGAGATGTCCCTCGTTACTAGACAAGACTCCTGACGTCACTGAATAAACAGGTGTTTTGAAGGGCCATCCCCAATGTAACTCGAGAACATACACCATGTCCCCGCTGCAACTTGAGAAAAACCATGGGACTTTCCCCTAGAGGCGAGATGAGGCCCCATTCCCCTGCAGTGCATGCAGAGCTATTCAGTAATCTCCATCAAACAAGTCAGGATCTTCGACTTGCTTAATGGAACCCGAGACAGTCCCCAAGAACACTGTCACCAGTCTAGACGGACTCTGAGGTCACCCCAGCAACGCAAAGCAGCTCCCTGTGCCCAAAAATCAAATCGAGATGAGGCCCGATTCATCTGCATTGACTCCAGAGCCAACCCCGTTCAACATTCAACACGCCCAGTGGCTTGACTTCCTTCAGGCAACAACAGAGATGCCCCGAGAACACTGTCCCATGTCTGGAGGAAGACCACCTTCAGCACAGGAACTCGAGGAATGCACCATGTTCCCCAAATCGTCTCGAGATGAGAGCTGTTTCCCTCGCTTAGGCTCAAGACGTATGCCAACCTTCCAGAAGCACCTCAAGAGGAGGCTTCTCTCAGCAATAGGTATGTGGGAGGGACCCGGAGTTTGCTGCCTCAAGTGGAATATATGGCGAGAAGCCCTAACTTGAAAGGAGGCTGGATTTCCTTGCAGTGGCTTGAATACAGGCTCGTCTTTCATCTATCAACGTGAAGGGATGTCTGAATCCCCTGTGGAGACCATAGAGAAAGCCCTAGGTCCCTGCCTCAGTTTGACGGAATGTCTCACATCCCTTTGACACCTCGAGAGGCACGCGGAGTTAACTGCTTCAAAATGTGATGATGCCTGACTCCTCTTGAATACTGATAGGAATCCCAAAATCCCTGTGGCTACCGGAAAGGGAACGTGGGTGCCCTGCCTCACCTCGAGAAGCGTCCCTTTTGCCCTGCCAAGCCTCGAAGAGTTTCCTGAGGTGTTCCTCATTACTAAGGAGGAATCCTGACGTCACTGAATAACCACGTGTTTTGAAGGGCCATCCCCGTCGTAACTCGATAACATACCCCAGGTCCCCGCCGTAACTCGAGAAAAAATATGAGACTTCCCCCTAGAGACGAGATGAGGCCCCATTCCCCTGCAGTGCATGCAGAGCTATTCCGTGATTCCCATCAAACAAGTCAGGAGCTTCGACTTCCTTAATGGATCTCGAAACAGTCCCCAAGAACACTGTCACCAGTCTAGATGGACGCTGAGGTCACCCCAGCAACGCACAGCAGCTCCATGTGCCCCAAAACAAGTCGAGATGATGCCCGATTCCCCTGCATTGACTCCAGAGCCATCCCCGTTCAACATTCAACACGCCCAGTGGCTTGACTTCCTTCAGGCAACACCAGAGATGCCCCGAGAACACTGTCCCAAGTCTGGAGGAAGACCACCTTCAGCACAGCAACTCGAGGAATGCTCCGTGTACCCCAAATCGTCTCGAGATGAGAGCTGATTCCCTGGCTTAGGTTCAAGACGTATGCCAACCTTCCAGAAGCACCTGAAGAGGAGGCTTCTCTCAGCAATAAGTATGTGGGAGGGACCCGGAGTTTGCTGCCTCAAGTGGAATATATGGCGAGAAGCCCTAACTTGAAAGGAGGCTGGATTTCCTTGCAGTGTCTTGAATACAGGCTCGTCTTTCATCTCTCAACGTGAAGGGATGTCTGAATCCCCTGTGGAGACCTTTGAGAAAGCCCTAGGTCCCTGCCTCATTTTGACGGAATGCCTCACTTCCTGTGGACACCTCGAGAGACACTCGGAGTTCACTGCCTCAAAAGGTGACAATGCCTGACTCCTCTTGAATACTGATAGGAATCCCAAAAACCCTGTGCCTACAGGAAAGGGTCCTTGGGTGCCCTGCCTCACCTCGAGAAGCGTCCCTTTTGCCCTGCCAAGCCTCGAAGAGATTCCTGAGGTGTCCCTCATTACTAGACAAGACTCCTGAAGTCACTGAATAAACAGGTGTTTTGAAGGGCCATCCCCAATGTAACTCGAGAACATACACCAGGTCCCCGCTGCAACTTGAGAAAAACCATGGGACTTTCCCCTAGAGGCGAGATGAGGCCCCATTCCCCTGCAGTGCATGCAGAGCTATTCAGTAATCTCCATCAAACAAGTCAGGATCTTCGACTTGCTTAATGGAACCCGAGACAGTCCCCAAGAACACTGTCACCAGTCTAGACGGATTCTGAGGTCACCCCAGCAACGCAAAGCAGCTCCCTGTGCCCAAAAATCAAATCGAGATGAGGCCCGATTCATCCTCATTGACTCCAGAGCCAACCCCGTTCAACATTCAACACGCCCAGTGGCTTGACTTCCTTCAGGCAACAAGAGAGATGCCCCGAGAACACTGTCCCATGTCTGGAGGAAGACCACCTTCAGCACAGGAACTCGAGGAATGCACCATGTTCCCCAAATCGTCTCGAGATGAGAGCTGTTTCCCTCGCTTAGGCTCAAGACGTATGCCAACCTTCCAGAAGCACCTCAAGAGGAGGCTTCTCTCAGCAATAGGTATGTGGGAGGGACCCGGAGTTTGCTGCCTCAAGTGGAATATATGGCGAGAAGCCCTAACTTGAAAGGAGGCTGGATTTCCTTGCAGTGGCTTGAATACAGGCTCGTCTTTCATCTATCAACGTGAAGGGATGTCTGAATCCCCTGTGGAGACCTTAGAGAAAGCCCTAGGTCCCTGCCTCAGTTTGACGGAATGTCTCACATCCCTTTGACACCTCGAGAGGCACGCGGAGTTAACTGCTTCAAAATGTGATGATGCCTGACTCCTCTTGAATACTGATAGGAATCCCAAAATCCCTGTGGCTACCGGAAAGGGAACGTGGGTGCCCTGCCTCACCTCGAGAAGCGTCCCTTTTGCCCTGCCAAGCCTCGAAGAGTTTCCTGAGGTGTTCCTCATTACTAAGGAGGAATCCTGACGTCACTGAATAACCACGTGTTTTGAAGGGCCATCCCCGTCGTAACTCGATAACATACCCCAGGTCCCCGCCGTAACTCGAGAAAAAATATGAGACTTCCCCCTAGAGACGAGATGAGGCCCCATTCCCCTGCAGTGCATGCAGAGCTATTCCGTGATTCCCATCAAACAAGTCAGGAGCTTCGACTTCCTTAATGGATCTCGAAACAGTCCCCAAGAACACTGTCACCAGTCTAGATGGACGCTGAGGTCACCCCAGCAACGCACAGCAGCTCCATGTGCCCCAAAACAAGTCGAGATGATGCCCGATTCCCCTGCATTGACTCCAGAGCCATCCCCAGGTCCCCATTCAACACGACCAGTGGCTTGACTTCCTTCAGGCAACTCCAGAGATGCCCCGAGAACACTGTCCCAAGTCTAGAGGAACACCAACTTCAGCACAGCAACTCGAGGAATGCACGGTGGACCCAAAATCATGTCGAGATGACAGCTGATTCCCTGGCATAGGCTCAAGGCATATGCGAACTTTCCAGAACCACCTCAAGAGCAGGCTTCTCTCAGCAATAGGTATGTGGGAGGGACCCCGGGTTGGCTGCCTCAAGTGCAATATACAGCGAGAAGCCCTAACTTGAAAGGAGGCCGGATTTCCTTGCAGTGGCTTGAATACAGGCTCGTCTTTCATCTCACAACATGAAGGGATGTCTGAATCCCCTGTGGAGAAATTAGAGAAAGCCCTAGGTCCCTACCTCATTTTGACGGAATGCCTCACTTCCCGTGGACACCACGAGAGGCACTCGGAGTTCACTTCCTCAAAAGGTGACAATGCCTGACTCCTCTTGAATACTGATAGGAATCCCCAAAACCCTGTGACTACAGGAAAGTGTCCTTGGGTGCCCTGCCTCACCTTGAGAAGCGTCCCTTTTGCCCTGCCAAGCCTCGAAGAGATTCCTCAGGTGTCCCTCGTTACTAGACAAGAGTCCTGACGTCACTGAATAAACAGGGGTTTTGAAGGGCCATCCCCGCTGTAACTCGAGAACATACACCAGGTCCCCGTTGCAACTTGAGGAAAACCATGGGACTTCCCCCTAGAGGAGAGATGAGGCCCCATTCCCCTGCAGTGCATGCAGAGCTATTCAGTGATCTCCATCAAACAAGTCAGGAGCTTCGACTTGCTTAATGGAACTCGAGGCCGTCCCCAAGAACACTGTCACCAGTCTAGACGGACCCACAGGTCACCCCAGCAACGCAAAGCAGCACCCTGTGCCCAAAAATCAAATCAAGATGAGGCCCGATTCGCCTGCATTGACTCCAGAGCCATCCCCATTCAACATTCAACACGCCCAGTGGCTTGACTTCCTTCAGGCAACACCAGAGATGCCCCGAGAACACTGTTCCAAGTCTGGAGGAAGACCACCTTCAGCACAGCAACTCGAGGAATGCTCCGTGTACACCAACCAAATTGTCTCGAGATGAGAGCTGATTCCCTGGCTTAGGTTCAAGACGTATGCCAACCTTCCAGAAGCACCTCAAGAGGAGGATTCTCTCAGCAGTAGGTATGTGGGAGGGACCCGGAGTTTGCTGCCTCAAGTGGAATATATGGCGAGAAGACCTAACTTGAAAGGAGGCCGGATTTCCTTGCAGTGGCTTGAATACAGGCTCGTCTTTCATCTCACAACATGAAGGGATGTCTGAATCCCCTGTGGAGACCTTAGAGAAAGCCGTAATTCCCTGCCTCATTTTGACGGAATGTCTCACATCCCGTGGACACCTCGAGAGGCACGCGGAGTTCACTGCTTCAAAAAGTGATGATGCCTGAATCCTCTTGAATACTGATAGGAATCCCAAAATCCCTGTGGCTACTGGAAAGGGAACGTGGGTGCCCTGCCTCACCTCGAGAAGCGTCCCTTTTGCCCTGCCAAGCCTCGAAGAGTTTCCTGAGGTGTTCCTCATTACTAAGGAGGAGTCCTGACGTCACTGAATAACCACGTGTTTTGAAGGGCCATTCCCGTCGAAACTCGATAACATACCCCAAGTCCCCGCCGTAACTCGAGAAAAAATATGAGACTTCCCCCTAGAGACGAGATGAGACCCCATTCCCCTGCAGTGCATGCAGAGCTATTCCGTGATCCCCATCAAACAAGTCAGGAGCTTCGACTTGCTTAATGGATCTCGAGACAGTCCCCAAGAACACTGTCACCAGTCTGGACGGACGCTGAGGTCACTCCAGCAACGCACAGCAGCTCCATGTGCCCCAAAACAACTCTAGATGATGCCCGATTCCCCTGCATTGACTCCAGAGCCATCCCCAGTTCCCCATTCAACACGACCAGTGGCTTGACTTCCTTCAGGCAACTCCAGAGATGTCCCGAGAACACTGTCCCAAAGCTAGAGGAACACCAACTTCAGCACAGCAACTCGAGGAATGCATGGTTGACCCAAAATCATGTCGAGATGACAGCTGATTCCCTGGCATAGGCTCAAGGCATATGCCAACTTTCCAGAAGCACCTCAAGAGGAGGCTTCTCTCAGCAATAGGTATGTGGGAGGGACCCCGAGGTTGCTGACTCAAGTGGAATATACAGCGAGAAGCCCTATCTTGAAAGGAGGCCAGATTTCCTTGCAGTGGCTTGAATACAGGCTCGTCTTTCATCTCACAACATGAAGGGATGTCTGAATCCCCTGTGGAGAACTTAGAGAAAGCCATAGGTCCCTGCCTCATTTTGACAGAATGCCTCACATCCCGTTGACACATCGAGAGGCAGGTGGAGTTCATTGCTTCAAAAGTTGACGATGCCTGACTCCTCTTAAATACTGATAGGAATCCCAAAATCCCTGTGGCTACAGGAAAGGGTCCTTGGGTGCCCTGCCTCACCTTGAGAAGCGTCCCTTCTACCCTGCCAAGCCTCGAAGAGATTCCTCAGGTGTCCCTCATTACTAGACAAGAGTCCTGACGTCACTGAATAAACAGGTGTTTTGAAGGGCCATCCCCGCTGTAACTCGAGAACATACACCAGGTCCCCGCTGCTACTTCAGAAAAACCATGGGACTTCCCCCTAGAGGCGAGATGAGGCCCCATTCCCCTGCAGTGCATGCAGAGCTACTCAGTGATCTCCATCAAACAAGTCAGGAGCTTCGACTTGCTTAATGGAACCCGAGGCAGTCCCCAAGAACACTGTCACCAGTCTAGACGGACCCTGAGGTCGCCCCAGCAACGCAAAGCAGCACCCTGTGCCCCAAAATCAAATCAAGATGAGGCCCGATTCGCCTGCATTGACTCCAGAGCCATCCCCATTCAACATTCAACACGCCCAGTGGCTTGACTTCCTTCAGGCAACACCAGAGATGCCCCGAGAACACTGTTCCAAGTCTGGAGGAAGACCACCTTCAGCACAGCAACTCGAGGAATGCTCCGTGTACCCCAAATTGTCTCGAGATGAGAGCTGATTCCCTGGCTTAGGTTCAAGACGTATGCCAACCTTCCAGAAGCACCTCAAGAGGAGGATTCTCTCAGCAGTAGGTATGTGGGAGGGACCCGGAGTTTGCTGCCTCAAGTGGAATATATGGCGAGAAGACCTAACTTGAAAGGAGGCCGGATTTCCTTGCAGTGGCTTGAATACAGGCTCGTCTTTCATCTCACAACATGAAGGGATGTCTGAATCCCCTGTGGAGACCTTAGAGAAAGCCGTAATTCCCTGCCTCATTTTGACGGAATGTCTCACATCCCGTTGACACCTCGAGAGGCACGCGGAGTTCACTGCTTCAAAAAGTGATGATGCCTGAATCCTCTTGAATACTGATAGGAATCCCAAAATCCCTGTGGCTACTGGAAAGGGAACGTGGGTGCCCTGCCTCACCTCGAGAAGCGTCCCTTTTGCCCTGCCAAGCCTCGAAGAGTTTCCTGAGGTGTTCCTCATTACTAAGGAGGAGTCCTGACGTCACTGAATAACCACGTGTTTTGAAGGGCCATTCCCGTCGAAACTCGATAACATACCCCAGGTCCCCGCCGTAACTCGAGAAAAAATATGAGACTTCCCCCTAGAGACGAGATGAGACCCCATTCCCCTGCAGTGCATGCAGAGCTATTCCGTGATCCCCATCAAACAAGTCAGGAGCTTCGACTTGCTTAATGGATCTCGAGACAGTCCCCAAGAACACTGTCACCAGTCTGGACGGACGCTGAGGTCACCCCAGCAACGCACAGCAGCTCCATGTGCCCCAAAACAACTCTAGATGATGCCCGATTCCCCTGCATTGACTCCAGAGCCATCCCCAGTTCCCCATTCAACACGACCAGTGGCTTGACTTCCTTCAGGCAACTCCAGAGATGCCCCGAGAACACTGTCCCAAAGCTAGAGGAACACCAACTTCAGCACAGCAACTCGAGGAATGCATGGTTGACCCAAAATCATGTCGAGATGACAGCTGATTCCCTGGCATAGGCTCAAGGCATATGCCAACTTTCCAGAAGCACCTCAAGAGGAGGCTTCTCTCAGCAATAGGTATGTGGGAGGGACCCCGAGGTTGCTGACTCAAGTGGAATATACAGCGAGAAGCCCTATCTTGAAAGGAGGCCAGATTTCCTTGCAGTGGCTTGAATACAGGCTCGTCTTTCATCTCACAACATGAAGGGATGTCTGAATCCCCTGTGGAGAACTTAGAGAAAGCCATAGGTCCCTGCCTCATTTTGACAGAATGCCTCACATCCCGTTGACACATCGAGAGGCAGGTGGAGTTCATTGCTTCAAAAGTTGACGATGCCTGACTCCTCTTAAATACTGATAGGAATCCCAAAATCCCTGTGGCTACAGGAAAGGGTCCTTGGGTGCCCTGCCTCACCTTGAGAAGCGTCCCTTCTACCCTGCCAAGCCTCGAAGAGATTCCTCAGGTGTCCCTCATTACTAGACAAGAGTCCTGACGTCACTGAATAAACAGGTGTTTTGAAGGGCCATCCCCGCTGTAACTCGAGAACATACACCAGGTCCCCGCTGCTACTTCAGAAAAACCATGGGACTTCCCCCTAGAGGCGAGATGAGGCCCCATTCCCCTGCAGTGCATGCAGAGCTACTCAGTGATCTCCATCAAACAAGTCAGGAGCTTCGACTTGCTTAATGGAACCCGAGGCAGTCCCCAAGAACACTGTCACCAGTCTAGACGGACCCTGAGGTCGCCCCAGCAACGCAAAGCAGCACCCTGTGCCCCAAAATCAAATCAAGATGAGGCCCGATTCGCCTGCATTGACTCCAGAGCCATCCCCATTCAACATTCAACACGCCCAGTGGCTTGACTTCCTTCAGGCAACAACAGAGGTGCCCCGAGAACACTGTCCCAAGTCTGGAGGAAGACCACCTTCAGCACAGCAACTCGAGGAATGCTCCGTGTACCCCAAATCGTCTCGAGATGAGAGCTGATTCCCTGGCTTAGGTTCAAGACGTATGCCAACCTTCCAGAAGCACCTCAAGAGGAGGCTTCTCTCAGCAATAGGTATGTGGGAGGGACCCGGAGTTTGCTGCCTCAAGTGGAATATATGGCGAGAAGACCTACTTGAAAGGAGGCCGGATTTCCTTGCAGTGGCTTGAATACAGGCTCGTCTTTCATCTCACAACATGAAGGGATGTCTGAATCCCCTGTGGAGACCTTAGAGAAAGCCGTAATTCCCTGCCTCATTTTGACGGAATGTCTCACATCCCGTTGACACCTCGAGAGGCACGCGGAGTTCACTGCTTCAAAATGTGATGATGCCTGACTCCTCTTGAATACTGATAGGAATCCCAAAATCCCTGTGGCTACCGGAAAGGGAACGTGGGTGCCCTGCCTCACGTCGAGAAGCGTCCCTTTTGCCCTGCCAAGCCTCGAAGAGTTTCCTGAGGTGTTCCTCATTACTAAGGAGGAATCCTGACGTCACTGAATAACCACGTGTTTTGAAGGGCCATCCCCGTCGTAACTCGATAACATACCCCAGGTCCCCGCCGTAACTCGAGAAAAAATATGAGACTTCCCCCTAGAGACGAGATGAGGCCCCATTCCCCTGCAGTGCATGCAGAGCTATTCCGTGATTCCCATCAAACAAGTCAGGAGCTTCGACTTCCTTAATGGATCTCGAAACAGTCCCAAAGAACACTGTCACCAGTCTAGAGGGACGCTGAGGTCACCCCAGCAACGCACAGCAGCTCCATGTGCCCCAAAACAACTCTAGATGATGCCCGATTCCCCTGCATTGACTCCAGAGCCATCCCCAGTTCCCCATTCAACACGACCAGTGGCTTGACTTCCTTCAGGCAACTCCAGAGATGCCCCGAGAACACTGTCCCAAGTCTAGAGGAACACCAACTTCAGCACAGCAACTCGAGGAATGCACGGTGGACCCAAAATCATGTCGAGATGACAGCTGATTCCCTGGCATAGGCTCAAGGCATATGCCAACTTTCCAGAACCACCTCAAGAGCAGGCTTCTCTCAGCAATAGGTATGTGGGAGGGACCCCGGGTTGGCTGCCTCAGGTGGAATATACAGCGAGAAGCCCTAACTTGAAAGGAGGCCGGATTTCCTTGCAGTGGCTTGAATACAGGCTCGTCTTTCATCTCACAACATGAAGGGATGTCTGAATCCCCTGTGGAGAAATTAGAGAAAGCCCTAGGTCCCTGCCTCATTTTGACGGAATGCCTCACTTCCCGTGGACACCACGAGAGGCACTCCGAGTTCACTTCCTCAAAATGTGACAATGCCTGACTCCTCTTGAATACTGATAGGAATCCCCAAAACGCTGTGACTACAGGAAAGGGTCCTTGGGTGCCCTGCCTCACCTTGAGAAGCGTCCCTTTTGCCCTGCCAAGCCTCGAAGAGATTCCTCAGGTGTCCCTCGTTACTAGACAAGAGTCCTGACGTCACTGAATAAACAGGTGTTTTGAAGGGCCATCCCCGCTGTAACTCGAGAACATACACCAGGTCCCCGTTGCAACTTGAGGAAAACCATGGGACTTCCCCCTAGAGGCGAGATGAGGCCCCATTCCCCTTCAGTGCATGCAGAGCTATTCCGTGATCCCCATCAAACAATTCAGGAGCTTCGACTTGCTTAATGGATCTCGAGACAGTCTCCAAGAACACTGTCACCAGTCTAGACGGACGCTGACGTCACCCCAGCAACGCACAGCAGCTCCATGTGCCCCAAAACAACTCTAGATGATGCCCGATTCCCCTGCATTGACTCCAGAGCCATCCCCAGTTCGCCATTCAACACGACCAGTGGCTTGAATTCCTTCAGGCAACTCCAGAGATGCCCCGAGAACACTGTCCCAAGGCTAGAGGAACACCAACTTCAGCATAGCAACTCGAGGAATGCATGGTTGACCCAAAATCATGTCGAGATGACAGCTGATTCCCTGGCATAGGCTCAAGGCATATGCCAACTTTCCAGAAGCACCTCAAGAGGAGGCTTCTCTCAGCAATAGGTATGTGGGAGGGACCCCGGGTTGGCTGCCTCAAGTGGAATATATGGCGAGAAGCCCTAACTTGAAAGGAGGCTGGATTTCCTTGCAGTGGCTTGAATACAGGATGGTCTTTCATCTCACAACGTGAAGGGATGTCTGAATCCCCTGTGGAGAACTTAGAGAAAGCCCTAGGTCCCTGCCTCATTTTGACGGAATGCCTCACATCCCGTTGACACATCGAGAGGCATTGCTTCAAAAGTTGGCGATGCCTGACTCCTCTTAAATACTGATAGGAATCCCAAAATCCCTGTGGCTACAGGAAAGGGTCCTTGGGTGCCCTGCCTCACCTCTAGAAGCGTCCCTTTTGCCCTGGCAAGCCTCGAAGAGATTCCTGAGGTGTCCCTCGTTACTAGACAGGAGTCCTGACGTCACTGAATAAACAGGTGTTTTGAAGGGCCATCCCCGGCGTAACTCGAGAACATACCCCAGGTCCCCGCCGCAACTCGAGAAAAACCATGAGACTTCCCCCTAGAGGCGAGATGAGGCCCCATTCCCCTGCAGTGCATGCAGAGCTATTCCGTGATCCCCATCAAACAATTCAGGAGCTTCGACTTGCTTAATGGATCTCGAGACAGTCTCCAAGAACACTGTCACCAGTGTAGACGGACGCTGAGGTCACCCCAGCAACGCACAGCAGCTCCATGTGCCCTAAACAACTCTAGATGATGCCCGATTCCCCTGCATTGACTCCAGAGCCATCCCCAGTTCCCCATTCAACACGACCAGTGGCTTGACTTCCTTCAGGCAACTCCACAGATGACCCGAGAACAATGTCCCAAGTCTAGAGGAACACCAACTTCAGCACAGCAACTCGAGGAAGGCTCCGTGCACAACAAATCGTTTCGAGATGGGTGCTGATTCCCTGGCTTAGGCTCAAGACGTATTCCAACTTTCCAGAAGCACCTCAAGAGGAGGATTCTCTCAGCAATAGGTATGTGGGAGGGACCCCGAGTATGCTGCCTCAACTGGAATATACGGCGAGAAGCCCTAACTTGAAAGGAGGCCGGATTTCCTTGCAGTGGCTTGAATACAGGCTCGACTTTCATCTCACAGCATGAAGGGTTGTCTGAATCCCCTGTGGAGACCTTAGAGAAAGCCGTAGGTCCCTGCCTCATTTTGACGGAATGCCTCACTTCCCGTTGACACCTAGAGAGGCACTCGGAGTTCACTGCCTCAAAAGGTGACAATGCCTGACTCCTCTTGAATACTGATAGGAATCCCCAAAACCCTGTGGCTACTGGAAAGGGTCCTTGGGTGCCCTGCCTCACCTCTAGAAGCGTCCCTTTTGCCCTGCCAAGCCTCGAAGAGATTCCTGAGGTGTCCCTTGTTACTAGACAGGAGTCCTGACGTCACTGAATAAACAGGTGTTTTGAAGGGCCATCCCCGGCGTAACTCGAGAACATAGCCCAGGTCCCCGCCGCAACTCGAGAAAAACCATGAGACTTCCCCCTAGAGGCGAGATGAGGCCCCATTCCCCTGCAGTGCATGCAGAGCTATTTCGTGATCCCCATCAAACAAGTCAGGAGCTTCGACTTGCTTAATGGATCTCGAGACAGTCCCCAAGAACACTATCACCAGTCTAGACGGACACTGAGGTCAACCCAGCAACGCACAGCAGCTCCATGTGCCCCAAATCAACTCGAGATGAGGCCCGATTCCCCTGCATTTACCCCAGAGCCATCTTCCGTTCTCCATTCTACACGACCATTGGCTTGACTTCCTGAAGGCCACTCCAGAGATGCCCCGAGAACACTGTCCCAAGTCTAGAGGAACACCAACTTCAGCACAGCAACTCTAGGAATGCTCCGTGCACCCCAAATCGTTTCGAGATGAGAGCAGATTCCCTAGCTTAGGCTCAAGATGTATGCCAACTTTCCAGAAGCACCACAAGTGGAGGATTCTCTCAGCAATAGGTATGTGGGAGGGACCCCGATTATGCTGCCTCAAGTGGAATATAAAGCGAGAAGCCCTAACTTGAAAGAGGCCGGATTTCCTTGCAGTGGCTTGAATACAGGCTCGTCTTTCATCTCACAACATGAAGGGATGTCTGAATCCCCTGTGGAGACCTTAGAGAAAGCCCTAGGTCCCTGCCTCATTTTGACGGAATGCCTCACTTCCTGTGGACACCTCGAGAGGCACTCGGAGTTCACTGCCTCAAAAGGTGACAATGCCTGACTCCTCTTGAATACTGATAGGAATCCCCAAAACACTGTGGCTAATGGAAAAGGTCCTTGGGTGCCCTGCCTCAGCTCTAGAAGCGTCCCTTTTGCAATGCCATGCCTCGAAGAGATGCCTGAGGTGTCCCTTGTTACTAGACCGGAGTCCTGACGTCACTGAATAAACAGGTATTTTGAAGGGCCATCCCCGTCGTAACTCGAGAACATACCCTAGGTCCCCGCCGTAACTCGAGAAAAAATATGAAACTTCCCCCTAGAGACGAGATGAGGCCCCATTCCCCTGCAGTGCATGCAGAGCTATTCCGTGATCCCCATTAAACAAGTCAGGATCTTCGACTTGCTTAATGGATCTCGAGACAGTCCCCAAGAACACTATCACCAGTCTAGATGGACCCTGAGGTCAACCCAGCAACGCACAGCAGCTCCATGTGCCCCAAAACAAGTCGAGATGATGCCCGATTCCCCTGCATTGACTCCAGAGCCATCCCCAGTTCCCCATTCAACACGACCAGTGGCTTGACTTCCTTCAGGCAACTCCAGAGATGCCCCGAGAACACTGTCCCAAGTCTAGAGGAACACCAACTTGAGCACAGCAACTCGAGGAATGCACGGTGGACCCAAAATCATGTCGAGATGAGAGCTGATTCCCTGGCATAGGCTCAAGGCATATGCCAACTTTCCAGAAGCACCTCAAGAGGAGGCTTCTCTCAGCAATAGGTATGTGGAAGGGACCCCGGGTTGGCTGCCTCAAGTGGAATATACAGCGAGAAGCCCTAACTTGAAAGGAGGCTGGATTTCCTTGCAGTGGCTTGAATACAGGCTCGTCTTTCATCTCACAACGTGAAGGGATGTCTGAATCCCTGTGGCGACCTTAGAGGAAGCCCTAGGGCCCTGCCTCATTTTGACGTAATGCCTCACATCCCGTTGACACATCGAGAGGCACGTGGAGTTCATTGCTTCAAAAGGTGACGATGCCTGACTCCTCTTGAATACTGATAGGAATCCCAAAATCCCTGTGGCTACAGGAAAGGGTCCTTGGGTGCCCTGCCTCACCTCTAGAAGCGTCCCTTTTGCCCTGCCAAGCCTCGAAGAGATTCCTGAGGTGTCCCTCGTTACTAGACAGGAGTCCTGACGTCACTGAATAAACAGGTGTTTTGAAGGGCCATCCCCGGCGTAACTCGAGAACATAGCCCAGGTCCCCGCCGCAACTCGAGAAAAACCATGAGACTTCCCCCTAGAGGCGAGATGAGGCCCCATTCCCCTGCAGTGCATGCAGAGCTATTCCGTGATCCCCATCGAACAAGTCAGGAGCTTCGACTTGCTTAATGGATCTCGAGACAGTCCCCAAGAACACTATCACCAGTCTAGACGGACCCTGAGGTCAACCCAGCAACGCACAGCAGCTCCATGTGCCCCAAATCAACTCGAGATGATGCTCGATTCCCCTGCATTGACCCCAGACCCATCTTCCGTTCTCCATTCTACACGACCATTGGCTTGACTTCCTTAAGGCAACTCCAGAGATGCCCCGAGAACACTGTCCCAAGTCTAGAGGAACACCAACTTCAGCACAGCAACTCGAGGAATGCTCCGTGTACCCTAAATCGTTTCGAGATGAGAGCAGATTCCCTCTCTTAGGCTCAAGACGTATGCCACCTTTCCAGAAGCACCTCAAGTGGAGGATGCTCTCAGCAATAGGTATGTGGGAGGGACCCCGATTATGCTTCCTCAAGTGGAATATATGGCGAGAAACCCTAACTTGAAAGAGGCCGGATTTCCTTGCAGTGGCTTGAATACAGGCTCGTCTTTCATCTCACAACATGAAGGGATGTCTGAATCCCCTGTGGAGACCTTAGAGAAAGCCCTAGGTCCCTGCCTCATTTTGACGGAATGCCTCACTTCCTGTGGACACCTCGAGAGGCACTCGGAGTTCACTGCCTCAAAAGGTGACAATGCCTGACTCCTCTTGAATACTGATAGGAATCCCAAAAACCCTGTGCCTACAGGAAAGGGTCCTTGGGTGCCCTGCCTCATCTCGAGAAGCGTCCCTTTTGCCCTGCCAAGCCTCGAAGAGATTCCTGAGGTGTCCCTCGTTACTAGACAAGACTCCTGACGTCACTGAATAAACAGGTGTTTTGAAGGGCCATCCCCAATGTAACTCGAGAACATACACCATGTCCCCGCTGCAACTTGAGAAAAACCATGGGACTTTACCCTAGAGGTGAGATGAGGCCCCATTCCCCTGCAGTGCATGCAGAGCTATTCAGTAATCTCCATCAAACAAGTCAGGATCTTCGACTTGCTTAATGGAACCTGAGACAGTCCCCAAGAACACTGTCACCAGTCTAGACGGACTCTGAGGTCACCTCAGCAACGCAAAGCAGCTCCCTGTGCCCAAAAATCAAATCGAGATGAGGCCCGATTCATCTGCATTGACTCCAGAGCCAACCCCGTTCAACATTCAACATGCCCAGTGGCTTGACTTCCTTCAGGCAACAACAGAGATGCCCCGAGAACACTGTCCCATGTCTGGAGGAAGACCACCTTCAGCACAGGAACTCGAGGAATGCACCATGTTCCCCAAATCGTCTCGAGATGAGAGCTGTTTCCCTCGCTTAGGCTCAAGACGTATGCCAACCTTCCAGAAGCACCTCAAGAGGAGGCTTCTCTCAGCAATAGGTATGTGGGAGGGACCCGGAGTTTGCTGCCTCAAGTGGAATATATGGCGAAAAGCCCTAACTTGAAAGGAGGCTGGATTTCCTTGCAGTGGCTTGAATACAGGCTCGTCTTTCATCTATCAACGTGAAGGGATGTCTGAATCCCCTGTGGAGACCATAGAGAAAGCCCTAGGTCCCTGCCTCATTTTGACGGAATGCCTCACATCCCGTGGACACCTCGAGAGGCACGCAGAGTTCACTGCCTCAAAAGGTGACGATGCCTGACTCCTCTTGAATACTGATAGGAATCCCAAAATCCCTGTGGCTACTGGAAAGGGTCCTTGGGTGCCCTGCCTCACCTCTAGAAGCGTCCCTTTTGCCCTGCCAAGCCTCGAAGAGATTCCTGAGGTGTCCCTCGTTACTAGACAGGAGTCTTGACGTCACTGAATAAACAGGTGTTTTGAAGGGCCATCCCCGGCGTAACTCGAGAACTTACCCCAGGTCCCCGCCGCAACTCGAGAAAAACCATGAGACTTCCCCCTAGAGGCGAGATGAGGCCCCATTCCCCTGCAGTGCATGCAGAGCTATTCCGTGATCCCCATCAAACAAGTCAGGAGCTTCGACTTGCTTAATGGATCTCGAGACAGTCCCCAAGAACACTATCACCAGTCTAGACGGACCCTGAAGTCAACCCAGCAACGCACAGCAGCTCCATGTGCCCCAAAACAAGTCGAGATGATGCCAGATTCCCCTGCATTGACTCCAGAGCCATCCCCAGTTCCCCATTCAACACGACCAGTGGCTTGACTTCCTTCAGGCAACTCCAGAGATGCCCCGAGAACACTGTCCCAAGTCTAGAGGAACACCAACTTGAGCACAGCAACTCGAGGAATGCACGGTGGACCCAAAATCATGTCGAGAAGAGAGCTGATTCCCTGGCATAGGCTCAAGGCATATGCCAACTTTCCAGAAGCACCTCAAGAGGAGGCTTCTCTCAGCAATAGGTATGTGGGAGGGACCCCGGGTTGGCTGCCTCAAGTGGAATATACAGCGAGAAGCCCTAACTTGAAAGGAGGCTGGATTTCCTTGCAGTGGCTTGAATACAGGCTCGTCTTTCATCTCACAACGTGAAGGGATGTCTGAATCCCCTGTGGCGACCTTAGAGGAAGCCCTAGGGCCCTGCCTCATTTTGACGTAATGCCTCACATCCCGTTGACACATCGAGAGGCACGTGGAGTTCATTGCTTCAAAAGGTGACGATGCCTGACTCCTCTTGAATACTGATAGGAATCCCAAAATCCCTGTGGCTACAGGAAAGGGTCCTTGGGTGCCCTGTCTCACCTCTAGAAGCGTCCCTTTTGCCCTGCCAAGCCTCGAAGAGATTCCTGAGGTGTCCCTCGTTACTAGACAGGAGTCCTGACTTCACTGAATAAACAGGTGTTTTGAAGTGCCATCCCCGGCGTAACTCGAGAACATACCCCAGGTCCCCGCCGCAACTCGAGAAAAACCATGAGACTTCCCTCTAGAGGCGAGATGAGGCCCCATTCCCCTGCAGTGCATGCAGAGCTATTCCGTGATCCCCATCGAACAAGTCAGGAGCTTCGACTTGCTTAATGGATCTCGAGACAGTCCCCAAGAACACTATCACCAGTCTAGACGGACCCTGAGGTTATCCCAGCAAAGCACAGCAGCTCCATGTGCTCCAAATCAACTCGAGATGAGGCCCGATTCCCCTGCATTTACCCCAGAGGCATCTTCCGTTCTCCATTCTACACGACCATTGGCTTGACTTCCATAAGGCAACTCCAGAGATGCCCCGAGAACACTGTCCCAAGTCTAGAGGAACACCAACTTCAGCACAGCAACTCGAGGAATGCTCCGTGTACCCCAAATCGTTTCGAGATGAGAGCAGATTCCCTGTCTTAGGCTCAAGACGTATGCCACATTTCCAGAAGCACCTCAAGTGGAGGATGCTCTCAGCAATAGGTATGTGGGTGGGACCCCGATTATGCTTCCTCAAGTGGAATATATGGCGAGAAGCCCTAACTTGAAAGAGGCCGGATTTCCTTGCAGTGGCTTGAATACAGGCTCGTCTTTCATCTCACAACATGAAGGGATGTCTGAATCCCCTGTGGAGACCTTTGAGAAAGCCCTAGGTCCCTGCCTCATTTTGACGGAATGCCTCACTTCCTGTGGACACCTCGAGAGACACTCGGAGTTCACTGCCTCAAAAGGTGACAATGCCTGACTCCTCTTGAATACTGATAGGAATCCCAAAAACCCTGTGCCTACAGGAAAGGGTCCTTGGGTGCCCTGCCTCACCTCGAGAAGCGTCCCTTTTGCCCTGCCAAGCCTCGAAGAGATTCCTGAGGTGTCCCTCGTAATTAGACAGGAGTCCTGACGTCACTGAATAAACAGGTGTTTTGAAGGGCCATCCCCGCCGTAATTCGAGAACATACCCCAGGTCCCTGCCGCAACTCGAGAAAAACCATGAGACTGCCCCCTAGAGGCGAGATGAGGCCCCATTCCCCTGCATGCATGCAGAGCTATTCCGTGATATCCATCAAACAAGACAGGAGCTTCGACTTGCTTAATGGAACTCGAGACAGTCCCCAAGAACACTGTCACCAGTCTAGACGAACCCTGAGGTCACCCCAACAACGCAAAGCAGCTCCCTGTGCCCAAAAATCAAATCGAGATGAGGCCCGATTCCCCTGCATTGACTCCAGAGCCATCCCCATTCAACATTCAACACGCCCAGTGGCTTGACTTCCTTCAGGCAACACCAGAGATGCCCCGAGAACACTGTCACAAGTCTGGAGGAAGACCACCTTCAGCACAGCAACTCGAGGAATGCTCCGTGTACCCCAAATCGTCTCGACATGAGAGCTGATTCCCTGGCTGAGGTTCAAGACGTATGCCAACCTTCCAGAAGCACCTCAAGAGGAGGATTCTCTCAGCAATAGGTATGTGGGAGGGACCTGGAGTTTGGTGCCTCAAGTGGAATATATGGCGAGAAGCCCTAACTTGAAAGGAGGCCGGATTTCCTTGAAGTGGCTTGAATACAGGCTCGTCTTTCATCTCACAATATGAAGGGATGTCTGAATCCCCTGTGGAGACCTTAGAGAAAGCCCTAGTTCCCTGCCTCATTTTGACGGAATGCCTCACATACCGTTGACAACTCGAGAGGCTCGCGGAGTTCACTGCTTCAAAATGTGATGATGCCTGACTCCTCTTGAATACTGATAGGAATCCCAAAATCCCTGTGGCTACTGGAAAGGGAACGTGGGTGCTCTGCCTCACCTCGAGAAGCGTCCCTTTTGCCCTGCCAAGCCTCGAAGAGATTCCTGAGGTGTTCCTCATTACTAAGGAGGAGTCCTGACGACACTGAATAACCATGTGTTTTGAAGGGCCATCCCCGTCGTAACTCGAGAACATACCCCAGGTCCCCACCGTAACTCGAGAAAAAATATGAGACTTCCCTCTAAAGAGGAGATGAGCCCGCATTCCCCTGCAGTGCATGCAGAGCTATTCCGTGATCCCCATCAAACAAGTCAGGAGCCTCGACTTGCTTAATGGAACTGGAGACAGTCCCCAAGAACACTGTCAGCAGTCTAGACGGACCCTGAGGTCAACCCAGCAACGCAAAGCAGCTCCCTGTGCCCCAAAATCAAATCGAGATGAGGCCAGATTCATCTGCATTGACTCCAGAGCCATCCCCGTTCAACATTCTACAAGCCCAGTAGCTTGACTTCCTTCAGGCAACACCAGAGATGCCCCGAGAACACTGTCCCAAGTCTGGAGGCAGACCACCTTCAGCACAGGAACTCGAGGAATGCAGCATGTACCCCAAATCGTCTCGAGATGAGAGCTGATTCCCTGGCTTAGGCTCAAGACGTATGCCAACCTTCCAGAAGCACCTCAAGAGGAGGCTTCTCTCAGCAATAGGTATGGGGGAGGGACCCGGAGTTTGCTGCCTCAAGTGGAATATATGGCGAGAAGCCCTAACATGAAAGGAGGCCGGATTTCCTTGCAGTGGCTTGAATACAGGCTCGTCTTTCATCTCTCAACGTGAAGGGATGTCTGAATCCCCTGTGGAGACCTTAGAGAAAGCCCTAGGTCCCTGCCTCATTTTGACGGAATGCCTCACATCCCGTTGACACCTCGAGAGGCACGCAGAGTTCACTGCCTCAAAAGGTGACGATGCCTGATTCCTCTTGAATGCTGAGAGGAATCCCAAAATCCCTGTGGCTACTGGAAAGGGTCTTGGGTGCCCTGCCTCACCTCGAGAAGCGTCCCTTTTGACCTGCCAAGCCTCGAAGAGATTCCTGAGGTGTATCTCGTTATTAGACAGAGTCCTGACGTCACTGAATAAACAGGTGTTTTGAAGGGCCATCCCCACCGTAATTCGAGAACATACCCCAGGTCCCCGCCGCAACTCGAGAAAAACCATGAGACTGCCCCCTAGAGGCGAGATGAGGCCCCATTCCCCTGCTTGCATGCAGAGCTATTCCGTGATCCCCATCAAACAAGTCAGGAGCTTCGACTTGCTTAATGGATCTCGAGACAGACACCAAGAACACTATCACCAGTCAAGACGGACCCTGAGGTCAACCCAGCAACGCTCAGCAGCTCCATGTGCCCCAAATCAACTCGACAGGAGGCCCGATTCCCCTGCATTGACTCCAGACCCATCTTCCGTTCTCCATTCTACACGACCATTGGCTTGACTTAATTCAGGCAACACCAGAGATGCCCCGAGAACACTGTCCCAAGTCTAGAGGAACACCAACTTCAGCATAGCAACTCGAGGAATGCTCCGTGTACCCCAAATCATTTCGAGATGAGAGCAGATTCCCTCTCTTAGGCTCAAGACATATGCCAACTTTCCAGAAGCACCTCAAAATGAGTATTCTCTCAGCAATAGGTATGTGAGAGGGACCCCGATTATGCTGCCACAAGTGGAATGTACAGCGAGAAGCCCTAAATTGAAAGGAGGCCGGATTTCCTTGCAGTGGCTTGAATACAGGCTCGTCTTTCATCTCACAACATGAAGGGATGTCTGAATCCACTGTGGAGACTTTCGAGAAAGACATAGGTCCCTGCTTCATTTTGACGGAATGCCTCACATCCCGTAGACACCTCGAGAGGCACGCGGAGTTCATTGCTTCAAAAGGTGACGATGCCTGACTCCTCTGGAATATTGATAGGAATCCCAAAATCCCTGTGGCTACTGGAAAGGGTCCTTGGGTTGCCTGCCTCACCTCTAGAAGCGTCCCTTTTGCCCTGCCAAGCCTCGAAGAGATTCCTGAGGTGTCCCTTGTTACTAGACAGGAGTCCTGACGTCACTGAATAAACAGGTGTTTTGAAGGGCAATCCCTGCCGTAACTCGAGAACATCCCCCAGGTCCCCGCCGCAACTCGAGAGAAACCTAGAGACTTCCCCCTAGAGGCGAGATGAGGCCCCATTCCCCTGCAGTGCATGCAGAGCTATTCCGTGATCCCCATCAAACAAGTCAGGAGCTTCGACTTGCTTAATGATCTCGAGACAGTCCCCAAGAACACTATCACCTGTCTAGACGGACCCTGAGGTCAACCCAGCAACCCACAGCAGCTCCATGTGCCCCAAATCAACTCGAGATGAGGCCCGATTCCCCTGCATTGACCCCAGACCCATCTTCCGTTCTCCATTCTACACGACCATTGGCTTGACTTCCTTAAGCAACTCCAGAGATGCCCCGAGAACACTGTCCCAAGTCTAGAGGAACACCACCTTCAGCACAGCAACTCGAGGAATGCTCCGTGTACCCCTAATCGTCTCGAGATGAGAGCTGATTCCCTGGCTTAGGTTCAAGACGTATGCCAACCTTCCAGAAGCACTTCAAGAGGAGGCTTCTCTCAGCAATAGGTATGTGGGAGGGACCCGGAGTTTGCTGCCTCAAGTGGAATATATGGCGAGAAGCCCTAACTTGAAAGGAGGCCGGATTTCCTTGCAGTGGCTTGAATACAGGCTGGTCTTTCATCTCACAACATGAAGGAATGTCTGAATCCCCTGTGGAGAGCTTAGAGAAAGCCCTAGTTCCCTGCCTCATTTTGACGGAATGCCTCACATACCGTTGACACCTCGAGAGGCTCGCGGAGTTCACTGCTTCAAAATGTGATGATGCCTGACTCCTCTTGAATACTGATAGGAATCCCAAAATCCCTGTGGCTACTGGAAAGGGAACGTGGGTGACCTGCCTCACCTCGAGAAGCGTCCCTTTTGCCCTGCCAAGCCTCGAAGAGATTCGTGAGGTGTTCCTCATTACTAAGGAGGAGTCCTGACGACACTGAATAACCATGTGTTTTGAAGGGCCATCCCCGTCGTAACTCGAGAACATACCCCAGGTCCCCACCGTAACTCGAGAAAAAATATGAGACTTCCCCCTAAAGACGAGATGAAGCCCCATTCCCCTGCAGTGCATGCAGAGCTATTCCGTGATCCCCATCAAACAAGTCAGGAGCTTCGACTTGCTTAATGGATCTCGAGACAGTCCACAAGAACACTGTCACCAGTCTAGACGGACGCTGAGGTCACCCCAGCAACTCACAGCAGCTCCATGTGCCCCTAAACAACTCGAGATGATGCCCGATTCCCCTGCATTGACTCCAGAGCCATCCCCCGTTCCCCATTCAACAAGACCAGTGACTTGACTTCCTTCAGGCAACTCCAGAGATGCCCCGAGAACACTGTCCCAAGTCTAGAGGAACACCAACTTCAGCACAGCAACTCGAGGAATGCACGGTGGACCCAAAATCATATCAAGATGAGAGCTGATTCCATGGCATAGGCTCAAGGCATATGCCAACTTTCCAGAAGCACCTCAAGAGGAGGCTTCATTCAGCAATATGTATGTGAGAGAGACCCCGGGTTGGCTGCCTCAAGTGGAATATACAGCGAGAAGCTCTAACTTGAAAGGAGGCTGGATTTCCTTGCAGTGGCTTGAATACAGGCTCGTCTTTCATCTCACAACGTGAAGGGATGTCTGAATCCCCTGTGGAGACCTTAGAGAAAGCCTTAGGTCCCTGCCTAATTTTGACGGAATTCCTCACATCACGTTGACACCTCGAGAGGCACGCGGAGTTCACTGCCTCAAAAGGTGACGATGCCTGACTCCTCTTGAATACTGATAGGAATCCCAAAATCCCTGTGGCTACAGGAAAGGGTCCTTGGGTGCCCTGTCTCACCTCTAGAAGCGTCCCTTTTGCCCTGCCAAGCCTCGAAGAGATTCCTGAGGTGTCCCTCGTTACTAGACAGGAGTCCTGACGTCACTGAATAAACAGGTGTTTTGAAGTGCCATCCCCGGCGTAACTCGAGAACATACCCCAGGTCCCCGCCGCAACTCGAGAAAAACCATGAGACTTCCCTCTAGAGGCGAGATGAGGCCCCATTCCCCTGCAGTGCATGCAGAGCTATTCCGTGTCCCCATCGAACAAGTCAGGAGCTTCGACTTGCTTAATGGATCTCGAGACAGTCCCCAAGAACACTATCACCAGTCTAGACGGACCCTGAGGTCATCCCAGCAAAGCACAGCAGCTCCATGTGCTCCAAATCAACTCGAGATGAGGCCCGATTCCCCTGCATTTACCCCAGAGGCATCTTCCGTTCTCCATTCTACACGACCATTGGCTTGACTTCCATAAGGCAACTCCAGAGATGCCCCGAGAACACTGTCCCAAGTCTAGAGGAACACCAACTTCAGCACAGCAACTCGAGGAATGCTCCGTGTACCCCAAATCGTTTCGAGATGAGAGCAGATTCCCTGTCTTAGGCTCAAGACGTATGCCACATTTCCAGAAGCACCTCAAGTGGAGGATGCTCTCAGGAATAGGTATGTGGGTGGGACCCCGATTATGCTTCCTCAAGTGGAATATATGGCGAGAAGCCCTAACTTGAAAGAGGCCGGATTTCCTTGCAGTGGCTTGAATACAGGCTCGTCTTTCATCTCACAACATGAAGGGATGTCTGAATCCCCTGTGGAGACCTTTGAGAAAGCCCTAGGTCCCTGCCTCATTTTGACGGAATGCCTCACTTCCTGTGGACACCTCGAGAGACACTCGGAGTTCACTGCCTCAAAAGGTGACAATGCCTGACTCCTCTTGAATACTGATAGGAATCCCAAAAACCCTGTGCCTACAGGAAAGGGTCCTTGGGTGCCCTGCCTCACCTCGAGAAGCGTCCCTTTTGCCCTGCCAAGCCTCGAAGAGATTCCTGAGGTGTCCCTCGTAATTAGAGAGGAGTCCTGACGTCACTGAATAAACAGGTGTTTTGAAGGGCCATCCCCGCCGTAATTCGAGAACATACCCCAGGTCCCTGCCGCAACTCGAGAAAAACCATGAGACTGCCCCCTAGAGGCGAGATGAGGCCCCATTCCCCTGCATGCATGCAGAGCTATTCCGTGATATCCATCAAACAAGACAGGAGCTTCGACTTGCTTAATGGAACTCGAGACAGTCCCCAAGAACACTGTCACCAGTCTAGACGAACCCTGAGGTCACCCCAACAACGCAAAGCAGCTCCCTGTGCCCAAAAATCAAATCGAGATGAGGCCCGATTCCCCTGCATTGACTCCAGAGCCATCCCCATTCAACATTCAACACGCCCAGTGGCTTGACTTCCTTCAGGCAACACCAGAGATGCCCCGAGAACACTGTCACAAGTCTGGAGGAAGACCACCTTCAGCACAGCAACTCGAGGAATGCTCCGTGTACCCCAAATCGTCTCGACATGAGAGCTGATTCCCTGGCTGAGGTTCAAGACGTATGCCAACCTTCCAGAAGCACCTCAAGAGGAGGATTCTCTCAGCAATAGGTATGTGGGAGGGACCTGGAGTTTGGTGCCTCAAGTGGAATATATGGCGAGAAGCCCTAACTTGAAAGGAGGCCGGATTTCCTTGAAGTGGCTTGAATACAGGCTCGTCTTTCATCTCACAATATGAAGGGATGTCTGAATCCCCTGTGGAGACCTTAGAGAAAGCCCTAGTTCCCTGCCTCATTTTGACGGAATGCCTCACATACCGTTGACACCTCGAGAGGCTCGCGGAGTTCACTGCTTCAAAATGTGATGATGCCTGACTCCTCTTGAATACTGATAGGAATCCCAAAATCCCTGTGGCTACTGGAAAGGGAACGTGGGTGCTCTGCCTCACCTCGAGAAGCGTCCCTTTTGCCCTGCCAAGCCTCGAAGAGATTCCTGAGGTGTTCCTCATTACTAAGGAGGAGTCCTGACGACACTGAATAACCATGTGTTTTGAAGGGCCATCCCCGTCGTAACTCGAGAACATACCCCAGGTCCCCACCGTAACTCGAGAAAAAATATGAGACTTCCCTCTAAAGAGGAGATTAGCCCGCATTCCCCTGCAGTGCATGCAGAGCTATTCCGTGATCCCCATCAAACAAGTCAGGAGCCTCGACTTGCTTAATGGAACTGGAGACAGTCCCCAAGAACACTGTCAGCAGTCTAGACGGACCCTGAGGTCAACCCAGCAACGCAAAGCAGCTCCCTGTGCCCCAAAATCAAATCGAGATGAGGCCAGATTCATCTGCATTGACTCCAGAGCCATCCCCGTTCAACATTCTACAAGCCCAGTAGCTTGACTTCCTTCAGGCAACACCAGAGATGCCCCGAGAACACTGTCCCAAGTCTGGAGGCAGACCACCTTCAGCACAGGAACTCGAGGAATGCAGCATGTACCCCAAATCGTCTCGAGATGAGAGCTGATTCCCTGGCTTAGGCTCAAGACGTATGCCAACCTTCCAGAAGCACCTCAAGAGGAGGCTTCTCTCAGCAATAGGTATGGGGGAGGGACCCGGAGTTTGCTGCCTCAAGTGGAATATATGGCGAGAAGCCCTAACATGAAAGGAGGCCGGATTTCCTTGCAGTGGCTTGAATACAGGCTCGTCTTTCATCTCTCAACGTGAAGGGATGTCTGAATCCCCTGTGGAGACCTTAGAGAAAGCCCTAGGTCCCTGCCTCATTTTGACGGAATGCCTCACATCCCGTTGACACCTCGAGAGGCACGCAGAGTTCACTGCCTCAAAAGGTGACGATGCCTGATTCCTCTTGAATGCTGATAGGAATCCCAAAATCCCTGTGGCTACTGGAAAGGGTCTTGGGTGCCCTGCCTCACCTCGAGAAGCGTCCCTTTTGACCTGCCAAGCCTCGAAGAGATTCCTGAGGTGTATCTCGTTATTAGACAGAGTCCTGACGTCACTGAATAAACAGGTGTTTTGAAGGGCCATCCCCGCCGTAATTCGAGAACATACCCCAGGTCCCCGCCGCAACTCGAGAAAAACCATGAGACTGCCCCCTAGAGGCGAGATGAGGCCCCATTCCCCTGCTTGCATGCAGAGCTATTCCGTGATCCCCATCAAACAAGTCAGGAGCTTCGACTTGCTTAATGGATCTCGAGACAGACACCAAGAACACTATCACCAGTCAAGACGGACCCTGAGGTCAACCCAGCAACGCTCAGCAGCTCCATGTGCCCCAAATCAACTCGACAGGAGGCCCGATTCCCCTGCATTGACTCCAGACCCATCTTCCGTTCTCCATTCTACACGACCATTGGCTTGACTTAATTCAGGCAACACCAGAGATGCCCCGAGAACACTGTCCCAAGTCTAGAGGAACACCAACTTCAGCATAGCAACTCGAGGAATGCTCCGTGTACCCCAAATCATTTCGAGATGAGAGCAGATTCCCTCTCTTAGGCTCAAGACGTATGCCAACTTTCCAGAAGCACCTCAAAATGAGGATTCTCTCAGCAATAGGTATGTGAGAGGGACCCCGATTATGCTGCCACAAGTGGAATGTACAGCGAGAAGCCCTAAATTGAAAGGAGGCCGGATTTCCTTGCAGTGGCTTGAATACAGGCTCGTCTTTCATCTCACAACATGAAGGGATGTCTGAATCCACTGTGGAGACTTTCGAGAAAGACATAGGTCCCTGCTTCATTTTGACGGAATGCCTCACATCCCGTAGACACCTCGAGAGGCACGCGGAGTTCATTGCTTCAAAAGGTGACGATGCCTGACTCCTCTGGAATATTGATAGGAATCCCAAAATCCCTGTGGCTACTGGAAAGGGTCCTTGGGTTGCCTGCCTCACCTCTAGAAGCGTCCCTTTTGCCCTGCCAAGCCTCGAAGAGATTCCTGAGGTGTCCCTTGTTACTAGACAGGAGTCCTGACGTCACTGAATAAACAGGTGTTTTGAAGGGCAATCCCTGCCGTAACTCGAGAACATCCCCCAGGTCCCCGCCGCAACTCGAGAGAAACCTAGAGACTTCCCCCTAGAGGCGAGATGAGGCCCCATTCCCCTGCAGTGCATGCAGAGCTATTCCGTGATCCCCATCAAACAAGTCAGGAGCTTCGACTTGCTTAATGATCTCGAGACAGTCCCCAAGAACACTATCACCTGTCTAGACGGACCCTGAGGTCAACCCAGCAACCCACAGCAGCTCCATGTGCCCCAAATCAACTCGAGATGAGGCCCGATTCCCCTGCATTGACCCCAGACCCATCTTCCGTTCTCCATACTACACGACCATTGGCTTGACTTCCTTAAGCAACTCCAGAGATGCCCCGAGAACACTGTCCCAAGTCTAGAGGAACACCACCTTCAGCACAGCAACTCGAGGAATGCTCCGTGTACCCCTAATCGTCTCGAGATGAGAGCTGATTCCCTGGCTTAGGTTCAAGACGTATGCCAACCTTCCAGAAGCACTTCAAGAGGAGGCTTCTCTCAGCAATAGGTATGTGGGAGGGACCCGGAGTTTGCTGCCTCAAGTGGAATATATGGCGAGAAGCCCTAACTTGAAAGGAGGCCGGATTTCCTTGCAGTGGCTTGAATACAGGCTGGTCTTTCATCTCACAACATGAAGGAATGTCTGAATCCCCTGTGGAGAGCTTAGAGAAAGCCCTAGTTCCCTGCCTCATTTTGACGGAATGCCTCACATACCGTTGACACCTCGAGAGGCTCGCGGAGTTCACTGCTTCAAAATGTGATGATGCCTGACTCCTCTTGAATACTGATAGGAATCCCAAAATCCCTGTGGCTACTGGAAAGGGAACGTGGGTGCCCTGCCTCACCTCGAGAAGCGTCCCTTTTGCCCTGCCAAGCCTCGAAGAGATTCGTGAGGTGTTCCTCATTACTAAGGAGGAGTCCTGAAGACACTGAATAACCATGTGTTTTGAAGGGCCATCCCCGTCGTAACTCGAGAACATACCCCAGGTCCCCACCGTAACTCGAGAAAAAATATGAGACTTCCCCCTAAAGACGAGATGAAGCCCCATTCCCCTGCAGTGCATGCAGAGCTATTCCGTGATCCCCATCATACAAGTCAGGAGCTTCGACTTGCTTAATGGATCTCGAGACAGTCCACAAGAACACTGTCACCAGTCTAGACGGACGCTGAGGTCACCCCAGCAACTCACAGCAGCTCCATGTGCCCCTAAACAACTCGAGATGATGCCCGATTCCCCTGCATTGACTCCAGAGCCATCCCCCGTTCCCCATTCAACAAGACCAGTGACTTGACTTCCTTCAGGCAACTCCAGAGATGCCCCGAGAACACTGTCCCAAGTCTAGAGGAACACCAACTTCAGCACAGCAACTCGAGGAATGCACGGTGGACCCAAAATCATATCAAGATGAGAGCTGATTCCATGGCATAGGCTCAAGGCATATGCCAACTTTCCAGAAGCACCTCAAGAGGAGGCTTCATTCAGCAATAGGTATGTGAGAGAGACCCCGGGTTGGCTGCCTCAAGTGGAATATACAGCGAGAAGCTCTAACTTGAAAGGAGGCTGGATTTCCTTGCAGTGGCTTGAATACAGGCTCGTCTTTCATCTCACAACGTGAAGGGATGTCTGAATCCCCTGTGGAGACCTTAGAGAAAGCCCTAGATCCCTGCCTCACTTTGACAGAATGCCTCACGTCACGTTGACACCTTGGAGGCACGCGGACTTCACTGCCTCAAAAGGTGACGATGTCTGACTCCTCTTGAATACTGATAGGAATCCCAAAATCCCTGTGGCTACTGGAAAGGGAACGTTGGTGCCCTGCCTCACCTCGAGAAGCGTCCCTTTTGCCCTGCCAAGCCTCCAAGAGATTCCTGAGGTGTCCCTCGTTTCTAGACAAGAGTCCTGACGTCACTGAATAAACAAGTGTTTTGAAGGGCCATCCCCGCTGTAACTCGAGAACATACACCAGGTCCCCGATGCAACTTGAGAAAAACCATGGGACTTCCCCCTAGAGGAGAGATGAGGCCCCATTCCCCTGCAGTGCATGCAGAGCTATTCAGTGATCTCCATCAAACAAGTCAGGAGCTTCGACTTGCTTAATGGAACTCGAGACAGTCCCCAAGAACACTGTCACCAGTCTAGACAGACACTGAGGTCACCGCAGCAACGCAAAGCAGCTCCCTGTGCCCAAAAATCAAATCGAGATGAGGCCCGATTCCCCTGCATTGACTCCAGAGCCATCCCCATTCAACATTCAACACGCCCAGTTTCTTGACTTCCTTCAGGCAACACCAGAGATGCCCCGAGAACACTGTCCCAAGTCTGGAAGAAGACCACCTTCAGCACAGCAACTCGAGGAATGCTCCGTGTACCCCAAATCATCTCGAGATGAGAGCTGATTCCCTGGCTTAGGTTCAAGACGTATGCCAACCTTCCAGAAGCACCTCAAGAGGAGGCTTCTCTCAGCAATAGGTATGTGGGTGGGACCTGGAGTTTGCTGCCTCAAGTGGAATATATGGCGAGAAGCCCTAACTTGAAAGGAGGCCGGATTTCCTTGCAGTGGCTTGAATACAGGCTCGTCTTTCATCTCACAACATGAAGGGATGTCTGAATCCCCTGTGGAGACCTTAGAGAAAGCCCTAGTTCCCTGCCTCATTTTGACGGAATGCCTCACATACCGTTGACACCTCGAGAGGCTCGCGGAGTTCACTGCTTCAAAATGTGATGATGCCTGACTCCTCTTGAAACTGATAGGAATCCCAAAATCCTTGTGGCTACTGGAAAGGGACCTTGGGTGCCCTGCCTCAGCTCGAGAAGCGTCCCTTTTGCCCTGCCAAGCCTCGAAGAGATTCCTGAGGTGTCCCTCGTTACTAGACAGGAGTCCTGACGTCACTGAATAAACAGGTGTTTTGAAGAGCCATCCCCGCCGTAACTCGAGAACATACCCCAGGTCCCCGCCGCAACTCGGGAAAAACCATGAGACTTCCCCTATAGGCGAGATGAGGCCCCATTCCCCTGCAGTGCATGCAGAGCTATTCCGTGATCCCCATCAAACAAGTCAGGAGCTTCGACTTGCTTAATGGATCTCGAGACAGTCCCCAAGAACACTGTCACCAGTCTAGACGGACCCTGAGGTCAACCCAGCAACGCACAGCAGCTCCATGTGCCCCAAATCAACTCGACAGGAGGCCTGATTCCCCTGCATTGACTCCAGAGCCATCTTCCGTTCTCCATTCTACACGACCATTGGCTTGATTTCCTTAAGGCAACTCCAGAGATGCCCCGAGAACACTGTCCCAAGTCTAGAGGAACACCAACTTCAGCACAGCAACTCGAGGAATGCTCCGTGTACCCCAAATCATTTCGAGATGAGAGCAGATTCCCTCTCTTAGGCTCAAGACGTATGCCAACTTTCCAGAAGCACCTCAAGAGGAGGATTCTCTCAGCAATAGGTATGTGGGAGGGACCCCGATTATGCTGCCACAAGTGGAATGTACAGCGAGAAGCCCTAACTAGAAAGGAGGCCGGATTTCCTTGCAGTGGCTTGAATACAGGCTCGTCTTTCATCTCACAACATGAAGGGATGTCTGAATCCCCTGTGGAGACCTTAGAGAAAGCCATAGGTCCCTGCCTCATTTTGACGGAATGTCTCACTTCCCGTGGACACCTCGAGAGGCACTCGGAGTTCACTGCCTCAAAAGGTAACAATGCCTGACTCCTCTTGAATATTGATAGGAATCCCAAAAACCCTGTGCCTACAGGAAAGGGTCCTTGGGTGCCCTGCCTCACCTCGAGAAGCGTCCCTTTTGCCCTGCCAAGCCTCGAAGAGATTCCTGAGGTGTCCTTCGTTACTAGACAAGAGTCCTGACGTCACTGAATAAACAGGTGTTTTGAAGGGCCATCCCCGCTGTAACTCGAGAACATACACCAGGTCCCCGATGCAACTTGAGAAAAAACATGGAACTTCCCCCTAGAGGAGAGATGAGGCCCCATTCCCCTGCAGTGCATGCAGAGCTATTCAGTGATCTCCATCAAACAAGTCAGGAGCTTCGACTTGCTTAATGGAACTCGAGACAGTCCCCAAGAACACTGTCACCAGTCTAGAGGGACCCTGAGGTCACCCCAGCAATGCAAAGCAGCTCCCTGTGCCCAAAAATCAAATCGAGATGAGGCCCGATTCCCCTGCATTGACTCCAAAGCCATCCCCGTTCAACATTCAACACGCCCAGTGGCTTGACTTCCTTCAGGAAACACCAGAGATGCCCCGAGAACACTGTTCCAAGTCTGGAGGAAGACCACCTTCAGCACAGCAACTCGAGGAATGCTCCGTGTACCACAAATCGTCTCGAGATGAGAGCTGATTCCCTGGCTTAGGTTCAAGACGTATGCCAACCTTCCAGAAGCACCTCAAGAGGAGGCTTCTCTCAGCAATAGTTATGTGGGTGGGACCCGGAGTTTGCTGCCTCAAGTGGAATATATGGCGAGAAGCCCTAACTTGAAAGGAGGCCGGATTTCCTTGCAGTGGCTTGAATACAGGCTCGTCTTTCATCTCACAACATGAAGGGATGTCTGAATCCCCTGTGGAGACCTTAGAGAAAGCCCTAGTTCCCTGCCTCATTTTGACGGAATGCCTCACATACCGTTGACACCTCGAGAGGCTCGCGGAGTTCACTGCTTCAAAATGTGATGATGCCTGACTCCTCTTGAAACTGATAGGAATCTCAAAATCCCTGTGGCTACTGGAAAGGGACCTTGGGTGCCCTGCCTCACCTCGAGAAGCGTCCCTTTTGCCCTGCCAAGCCTCGAAGAGATTCCTGAGGTGTCCCTCGTTACTAGACAAGAGTCCTGACGTCACTGAATAAACAGGTGTTTTGAAGAGCCATCCCCGCTGTAACTCGAGAACATACCCCAGGTCCCCGCCGCAACTCGGGAAAAACCATGAGACTTCCCCTATAGGCGAGATGAGGCCCATTCCCCTGCAGTGCATGCAGAGCTATTCCGTGATACCCATCAAACAAGTCAGGAGCTTCGACTTGCTTAATGGATATCGAGACAGTCCCCAAGAACACTGTCACCAGTCTAGACGGACCCTGAGGTCAACCCAGCAACGCACAGCAGCTCCATGTGCCCCAAATCAACTCGACAGGAGGCCCGATTCCCCTGCATTGACTCCAGAGCCATCTTCCGTTCTCCATTCTACACGACCATTGGCTTGATTTCCTTAAGGCAACTCCAGAGATGCCCCGAGAACACTGTCCCAAGTCTAGAGGAACACCAACTTCAGCACAGCAACTCGAGGAATGCTCCGTGTACCCCAAATCATTTCGAGATGAGAGCAGATTCCCTCTCTTAGGCTCAAGACGTATGCCAACTTTCCAGAAGCACCTCAAAAGGAGGATTCTCTCAGCAATATTTATGTGGGAGGTACCCCGATTATGCTGCCACAAGTGGAATGTACAGCGAAAAGCCCTAACTTGAAAGGAGGCCGGATTTCCTTGCAGTGGCTTGAATACAGGCTCGTCTTTCATCTCACAACATGAAGGGATGTCTGAATCCCCTGTGGAGACCTTAGAGAAAGCCATAGGTCCCTGCCTCATTTTGACGGAATGTCTCACTTCCCGTGGACAACTCGAGAGGCACTCGGAGTTCACTGCCTCAAAAGGTGACAATGCCTGACTCCTCTTGAATATTGATAGGAATCCCAAAAACCCTGTGCCTACAGGAAAGGGTCCTTGGGTTCCCTGCCTCACCTCTAGAAGCGTCCCTTTTGCCCTGCCAAGCCTCGAAGAGATTCCTGAGGTGTCCCTCGTTACTAGACAAGAGTCCTGACGTCATTGAATAAACAGGTGTTTTGAAGGGCCATCCCCGCTGTAACTCGAGAACATACACCAGGTCCCCGATGCAACTTGAGAAAAACCATGGGACTTCCCCCTAGAGGCGAGATGAGGCCCCATTCCCCTGCAGTGCATGCAGAGCTATTCAGTGATCTCCATCAAACAAGTCAGGAGCTTCGACTTGCTTAATGGAACTCGAGACAGTCCCCAAGAACACTGTCACAAGTCTAGACGGACACTGAGGTCACCCCAGCAACGCAAAGCAGCTCCCTGTGCCCAAAAATCAAATCGAGATGAGGCCCGATTCCCCTGCATTGACTCCAGAGCCATCCCCATTCAACATTCAACACGCCCAGTTTCTTGACTTCCTTCAGGCAACACCAGAGATGCCCCGAGAACACTGTCCCAAGTCTGGAAGAAGACCACCTTCAGCACAGCAACTCGAGGAATGCTCCGTGTACCCCAAATCATATCGAGATGAGAGCTGATTCCCTGGCTTAGGTTCAAGACGTATGCCAACCTTCCAGAAGCACCTCAAGAGGAGGCTTCTCTCAGCAATAGGTATGTGGGTGGGACCTGGAGTTTGCTGCCTCAAGTGGAATATATGGCGAGAAGCCCTAACTTGAAAGGAGGCCGGATTTCCTTGCAGTGGCTTGAATACAGGCTCGTCTTTCATCTCACAACATGAAGGGATGTCTGAATCCCCTGTGGAGACCTTAGAGAAAGCCCTAGTTCCCTGCCTCATTTTGACGGAATGCCTCACATACCGTTGACACCTCGAGAGGCTCGCGGAGTTCACTGCTTCAAAATGTGATGATGCCTGACTCTTCTTGAAACTGATAGGAATCCCAAAATCCCTGTGGCTACTGGAAAGGGACCTTGGGTGCGCTGCCTCAGCTCGAGAAGCGTCCCTTTTGCCCTGCCAAGCCTCGAAGAGATTCCTGAGGTGTCCCTCGTTACTAGACAGGAGTCCTGACGTCACTGAATAAACAGGTGTTTTGAAGAGCCATCCCCGCCGTAACTCGAGAACATACCCCAGGTCCCCGCCGTAACTCGAGAAAAACCATGAGACTTCCCCCTAGAGGCGAGATGAGGCCCCATTCCCCTGCAGTGCATGCAGAGCTATTCTGTGATACCCATCAAACAAGTCAGGAGCTTCGACTTGCTTAATGGATCCCGAGACAGACCCCAAGAACACTGTCACCAGGCTAGACGGATCCTGAGGTCAACCCAGCAACGCAAAGCAGCTCCCTGTGCCCAAAAATCAAATCGAGATGAGGCCCGATTCATCTGCATTGACTCCAGAGCCATCCCCGTTCAACATTCTACACGCCCAGTGGCTTGATTTCCTTCAGGCAACACCCGAGATGCCCCGAGAACACTGTCCCAAGTCTGGAGGAAGACCACCTTCAGCACAGGAAATCGAGGAATGCACCATGTACCCAAAATCGTCTCGAGATGAGAGCTCATTCCCTCGCTTAGGCTCAAGACGTATGCCAACCTTCCAGAAGCACCTCAAGAGGAGGCTTCGCTCAGCAATAGGTTTGTGGGAGGGACCCGGAGTTTGCTGTCTCAAGTGGAATATATGGCGAGAAGCCCTAACTTGAAAGGAGGCCGGATTTCCTTGCAGTGGCTTGAATACAGGCTCGTCTTTCATCTCTCAACGTGAAGGGATGTCTGAATCCCCTGTGGAGACCTTAGAGAAAGCCCTAGGTCCCTGCCTCATTTTGACGGAATGCCTCACATCCCGTTGACACCTCGAGAGGCACGCAGAGTTCACTGCCTCAAAAGGTGACGATGCCTGACTACTCTTGAATACTGATAGGAATCCCAAATCCCTGTGGCTACTGGAAAGGGTCTTGGGTGCCCTGCCTCACCTCGAGAAGCATCCCTTTTGCCCTGCCAAGCCTCGAAGAGATTCCTGAGGTGTTCTTCATTACTAAGGAGGAGTCCTGACGACACTGAATAACCATGTGTTTTGAAGGGCCATCCCCGTCGTAACTCGAGAACATACCCCAGGTCCCCGCCGCAACTCGAGAAAAACCATGAGACTTCCCCCTAGAGGCGAGATGAGGCCCCATTCCCCTGCAGTGCATGCAGAGCTATTCCGTGATACCCATCAAACAAGTCAGGAGCTTCGACTTGCTTAATGGATCTCGAGACAGACCCCAAGAACACTATCACCAGTCTAGACGGACACTGAGGTCAACCCAGCAACGCACAGCAGCTCCATGTGCCCCAAATCAACTCGACAGAAGGCCCGATTCCCCTGCATTGACTCCAGACCCATCTTCCGTTCTCCATTCTACACGACCATTGGTTTGATTTCCTTAAGGCAACTCCAGAGATGCCCCGAGAACACTGTCCCAAGTCTAGAGGAACACCAACTTCAGCACAGCAACTCGAGGAATGCTCCGTGTACCCCAAATCATTTCGAGATGAGAGCAGATTCCCTCTCTTAGGCTTAAGACGTATGCCAACTTTCCAGAAGCACCTCAAAAGGAGGATTCTCTCAGCAATAGGTATGTGGGAGGGACCCCGATTATGCTGCCACAAGTGGAATGTACAGCGAGAAGCCCTAACTTGAAAGGAGGCCGGATTTCCTTGCAGTGGCTTGAATACAGGCTCGTCTTTCATCTCACAACATGAAGGGATGTCTGAATCCCCTGTGGAGACCTTAGAGAAAGCCATAGGTCCCTGCCTCATTTTGACGGAATGCCTCACTTCCCGTGGACACCTCGAGAGGCACTCGGAGTTCACTGCCTCAAAAGGTGACAATGCCTGACTCCTCTTGAATATTGATAGGAATCCCAAAAACCCTGTGCCTACAGGAAAGGGTCCTTGGGTGCCCTGCCTCTCTTCTAGAAGCGTCCCATTTGCCCTGCCAAGCCTCGAAGAGATTCCTGAGGTGTCCCTCGTTACTAGACAAGAGTCCTGACGTCACTGAATAAACAGGTGTTTTGAAGGGCCATCCCCGCTGTAACTCGAGAACATACACCAGGTCCCCGCTGCAACTTGAGAAAAACCATGGGACTTCCCCCTAGAGGAGAGATGAGGCCCCATTCCCCTGCAGTGCATGCGGATCTATTCAGTGATCTCCATCAAACAAGTCAGGAGCTTCGACTTGCTTAATGGAACTCGAGACAGTCCCCAAGAACACTGTCACCAGTCTAGACGGACCCTGAGGTCACCCCAGCAACGCAAAGCAGCTCAATGTGCCCAAAAATCAAATCGAGATGAGGCGCGATTCCCGTGATTTGACTCCAAAGCCATCACCTTTCAACATTCAACACGCCCAGTGGCTTGACTTCCTTCAGGCAACACCAGAGATGCCCCGAGAACACTGTCCCAAGTCTGGAGGAAGACCACCTTCAGCACAGCAACTCGAAGAATGCTCCGTGTACCCCTAATCGTCTCGAGATGAGAGCTGATTCCCTGGCTTAGGTTCAAGACGTATGCCAACCTTCCAGAAGCACCTCAAGAGGAGGCTTCTCTCAGCAATATGTATGTGGGAGGGACCCGGAGTTTGCTGCCTCAAGTGGAATATATGGCGAGAAGCCCTAACTTGAAAGGAGGCTGGATTTCCTTGCAGTGGCTTGAATACAGGCTCGTCTTTCATCTCTCAACGTGAAGGGATGTCTGAATCCCCTGTGGAGACCTTAGAGAAAGCCCTAGGTCCCTGCCTCATTTTGGCGGAATGCCTCAGATCCCGTTGACACCTCGAGAGGCACGCGGAGTTCACTGCTTCAAAATGTGATGATGCCTGACTCCTCTTGAATACTGATAGGAATCCCAAAATCCCTGTGGCTACTGCAAAGGGAACGTGGGTGCCCTGCCTCACCTCGAGAAGCGTCCCTTTTGCCCTGCCAAGCCTGGAAGAGTTTCCTGAGGTGTTCCTCATTACTAAGGAGGAGTCCTGACGTCACTGTATAACCACTGGTTTTGAAGGGCCATCCCCGTCGTAACTCGAGAACATACCCTAGGTCCCTGCCGTAACTCGAGAAAAAATATGAGACTTCCCCCTAGAGACGAGATGAGGCCCCATTCCCCTGCAGTGCATGCAGAGCTATTCCGTGATCCCCATTAAACAAGTCAGGAGCTTCGACTTGCTTAATGGATCTCGAGACAGTCCCCAAGAACACTGTCACCAGTTTAGACGGACGCTGAGGTCACCCCAGCAACGGTAGCAGCTCCATGTGCCCTAAAACAACTCGAGATGATGCTCGATTCCCCTGCATTGACTCCAGAGCCATCCCCCTTTCCCCATTCAACACGACCAGTGGCTTGACTTCCTTCAGGCAACTCCAGAGATGCCCCGAGAACACTGTCCCAAGTCTAGAGGAACACCAACTTCAGCACAGCAACTCGAGGAATGCACGGTGGACCCAAAATCATGTCGAGATGAGAGCTGATTCCCTGGCATAGGCTCAAGGCATATGCCAACTTTCCAGAAGCACCTCAAGAGGAGGCTTCTCTCAGCAATAGTTATGTTGGAGGGACCCCGGGTTGGCTGCCTCAAGTGGAATATACAGCGAGAAGCCCTAACTTGAAAGGAGGCTGGATTTCCTTGCAGTGGCTTGAATACCGGATCGTATTTCATCTTACAACGTGAAGGGATGTCTGAATCCCCTGTGGAGACCTTAGAGAAAGCCCTAGGTCCCTGCCTCATTTTGACGGAATGCCTCATATCCCGTTGACACCTCGAGAAGCACGCGGAGTTCATTGCTTCAAAAGGTGACAATGCCTGACTCCTCTTGAATACTGATAGTAATCCCAAAATCCCTGTGGCTCCTGGAAAGGGTCCTTGGGTGCCCTGCCTCACCTCTAGAAGCGTCCCTTTTGCCCTGCCGAGCCTCGAAGAGATTCCTGAGGTGTCCCTTGTTACTAGAGAGGAGTCCTGATGTCACTGAATAAACACGTGTTTTGAAGGGCCATTCCCGCTGTAACTCGAGAAAATACCACAGGTCCCAGCCACAACTCGAGAAAAACCATTTAACTTCCCCCTAGGGGCGAGATGAGGCCCGATTCCCGTGTATTGACTCCAGAGCCATCCCCCGTTCCCAAATTAACACCTCCAGTGGCTTGACTTCCTTCAGGCAACTCCAGAGATGCCCCGAGAACACTGTCCCAAGTCTAGAGGAACACCAACTTCAGCACAGCAACTCGGGGAATGCTCCGTGTACCCCAAATCGTTTCGAGATGAGAGCAGATTCCCTGGCTTAGGCTCAAGACGTATGCCAACTTTCCAGAAGCACCTCAAGAGGAGGATTCTCTCAGCAATAGGTATGTTGGAGGGAAACCGATTATGCTGCCCCAAGTGGAATGTACAGCGAGAAGCCCTAACTTGAAAGGAGGCCGGATTTCCTTGCAGTGGCTTGAATACAGGCTCGTCTTTCATCTCACAACATGAAGGGATGTCTGAATCCCCTGTGGAGACCTTAGAGAAAGCCATAGGTCCCTGCCTCATTTTGACGGAATGCCTCACTTCCCGTGGACACCTCGAGAGGCACTCGGAGTTCACTGCCTCAAAAGGTGACAATGCCTGACTCCTCTTGAATATTGATAGGAATCCCAAAAACCCTGTGCCTACAGGAAAGGGTCCTTGGGTGCCCTGCCTCTCTTCTAGAAGCGTCCCATTTGCCCTGCCAAGCCTCGAAGAGATTCCTGAGGTGTCCCTCGTTACTAGACAAGAGTCCTGACGTCACTGAATAAACAGGTGTTTTGAAGGGCCATCCCCGCTGTAACTCGAGAACATACACCAGGTCCCCGCTGCAACTTGAGAAAAACCATGGGACTTCCCCCTAGAGGAGAGATGAGGCCCCATTCCCCTGCAGTGCATGCGGATCTATTCAGTGATCTCCATCAAACAAGTCAGGAGCTTCGACTTGCTTAATGGAACTCGAGACAGTCCCCAAGAACACTGTCACCAGTCTAGACGGACCCTGAGGTCACCCCAGCAACGCAAAGCAGCTCAATGTGCCCAAAAATCAAATCGAGATGAGGCGCGATTCCCGTGATTTGACTCCAAAGCCATCACCTTTCAACATTCAACACGCCCAGTGGCTTGACTTCCTTCAGGCAACACCAGAGATGCCCCGAGAACACTGTCCCAAGTCTGGAGGAAGACCACCTTCAGCACAGCAACTCGAAGAATGCTCCGTGTACCCCTAATCGTCTCGAGATGAGAGCTGATTCCCTGGCTTAGGTTCAAGACGTATGCCAACCTTCCAGAAGCACCTCAAGAGGAGGCTTCTCTCAGCAATATGTATGTGGGAGGGACCCGGAGTTTGCTGCCTCAAGTGGAATATATGGCGAGAAGCCCTAACTTGAAAGGAGGCTGGATTTCCTTGCAGTGGCTTGAATACAGGCTCGTCTTTCATCTCTCAACGTGAAGGGATGTCTGAATCCCCTGTGGAGACCTTAGAGAAAGCCCTAGGTCCCTGCCTCATTTTGGCGGAATGCCTCAGATCCCGTTGACACCTCGAGAGGCACGCGGAGTTCACTGCTTCAAAATGTGATGATGCCTGACTCCTCTTGAATACTGATAGGAATCCCAAAATCCCTGTGGCTACTGCAAAGGGAACGTGGGTGCCCTGCCTCACCTCGAGAAGCGTCCCTTTTGCCCTGCCAAGCCTGGAAGAGTTTCCTGAGGTGTTCCTCATTACTAAGGAGGAGTCCTGACGTCACTGTATAACCACTGGTTTTGAAGGGCCATCCCCGTCGTAACTCGAGAACATACCCTAGGTCCCTGCCGTAACTCGAGAAAAAATATGAGACTTCCCCCTAGAGACGAGATGAGGCCCCATTCCCCTGCAGTGCATGCAGAGCTATTCCGTGATCCCCATTAAACAAGTCAGGAGCTTCGACTTGCTTAATGGATCTCGAGACAGTCCCCAAGAACACTGTCACCAGTTTAGACGGACGCTGAGGTCACCCCAGCAACGGTAGCAGCTCCATGTGCCCTAAAACAACTCGAGATGATGCTCGATTCCCCTGCATTGACTCCAGAGCCATCCCCCTTTCCCCATTCAACACGACCAGTGGCTTGACTTCCTTCAGGCAACTCCAGAGATGCCCCGAGAACACTGTCCCAAGTCTAGAGGAACACCAACTTCAGCACAGCAACTCGAGGAATGCACGGTGGACCCAAAATCATGTCGAGATGAGAGCTGATTCCCTGGCATAGGCTCAAGGCATATGCCAACTTTCCAGAAGCACCTCAAGAGGAGGCTTCTCTCAGCAATAGTTATGTTGGAGGGACCCCGGGTTGGCTGCCTCAAGTGGAATATACAGCGAGAAGCCCTAACTTGAAAGGAGGCTGGATTTCCTTGCAGTGGCTTGAATACCGGATCGTATTTCATCTTACAACGTGAAGGGATGTCTGAATCCCCTGTGGAGACCTTAGAGAAAGCCCTAGGTCCCTGCCTCATTTTGACGGAATGCCTCATATCCCGTTGACACCTCGAGAAGCACGCGGAGTTCATTGCTTCAAAAGGTGACAATGCCTGACTCCTCTTGAATACTGATAGTAATCCCAAAATCCCTGTGGCTCCTGGAAAGGGTCCTTGGGTGCCCTGCCTCACCTCTAGAAGCGTCCCTTTTGCCCTGCCGAGCCTCGAAGAGATTCCTGAGGTGTCCCTTGTTACTAGAGAGGAGTCCTGATGTCACTGAATAAACACGTGTTTTGAAGGGCCATTCCCGCTGTAACTCGAGAAAATACCACAGGTCCCAGCCACAACTCGAGAAAAACCATTTAACTTCCCCCTAGGGGCGAGATGAGGCCCGATTCCCGTGTATTGACTCCAGAGCCATCCCCCGTTCCCAAATTAACACCTCCAGTGGCTTGACTTCCTTCAGGCAACTCCAGAGATGCCCCGAGAACACTGTCCCAAGTCTAGAGGAACACCAACTTCAGCACAGCAACTCGGGGAATGCTCCGTGTACCCCAAATCGTTTCGAGATGAGAGCAGATTCCCTGGCTTAGGCTCAAGACGTATGCCAACTTTCCAGAAGCACCTCAAGAGGAGGATTCTCTCAGCAATAGGTATGTTGGAGGGAAACCGATTATGCTGCCCCAAGTGGAATATACGGTGAGAAGCCCTAACTTGAAAGGAGGCCGGATTTCCTTGCAGTGGCTTGAATACAGGCTCGTCTTTCATCTCACAACATGAAGGGATGTCTGAATCCCCTGTGGAAAACTTAGAGAAAGCCCTAGGTCCCTGCCTAATTTTGACGGAATGCCTCACTTCCCATGGACACTTCGAGAGGCACTCGGAGTTCACTGCCTCAAAAGGTGACAATGCCTGACTCCTCTTGAATACTGATAGGAATCCCAAAAACCCTGTGCCTACAGGAATGGGTCCTTGGGTGCCCTGCCTCACCTCGAGAAGCGTCCCTTTTACCCTGCCAAGCCTCGAACAGATTCCTGAGATGTCCCTCGTTACTAGACAGGAGTCCTGACGTCACTGAATAAACAGGTGTTTTGAAGGGCGATCCCCGCTGTAACTCGAGAACATACACCAGGTCCCCGATGCAACTTGAGAAAAACCATGGGACTTCCCCCTAGAGGCGAGATGAGGCCCCATTCCCCTGCAGTGCATGCAGAGCTATTCAGTGATCTCCATCAAACAAGCCAGGATCTTCGACTTGCTTAATGGAACTCGAGACAGTCTCCAAGAACACTGTCACCAGTCTAGACGGACCCTGAGGTCACCCCAGCAAAGCAAAGCAGCTCCCTGTGCCCAAAAATCAAATCGGGATGAGGCCCGATTCATCTCCGTTGACTCCAGTGCCATCCCCGTTCAACATTCAACACGCCAAGTGGCTTGACTTCTTTCAGGCAACACCAGAAATGCCCCGAGAACACTGTCCCAAGCCTGGAGGTAGACCACCTTCAGCACAGCAACTCGAGGAATGCACCATGTACCCCAAATCGTCTCGAGATGAGAGCTGATTCCCTCGCTTAGGCTCAAGACGTATGCCAACCTTCCAGAAGCACCGCAGGAGGAGGCTTCTCTCAGCAATAGGTATGTGGGAGGGACACGGAGTTTGCTGCCTCAAGTGGAATATATGGCGAGAAGCCATAACTTGAAAGGAGGCTGGATTTCCTTGCAGTGGCTTGAATACAGGCTCGTCTTTCATCTCTCAACGTGAAGGGATGTTTGAATCCCCTGTGGAGACCTTAGAGTAACCCCTAGGTCCCTGCCTCATTTTGACGGAATTCCTCACATCCCGGTGACACCTCGAGAGGCACGCGGAGTTCACTGCCTCAAAAAGTGACGATACCTGACTCCTCTTGAATACTGATAGGAATACCAAAATCCCTGTGGCTACTGGAAAGGGTCCTTGGCTGCCCTGCCTCACCTCGAGAAGCGTTCCTTTTGCCCTGCCAAGCCTCGAAGAGATTCCTGAGGTGTCCCTCGTTACTAGACAAAGAGTCCTGACGTCACTGAATAAACAGGTGTTTTGAAGGGCCATCCGGGCTGTAAGTCGAGAACATACCACACGTCCCCGCCACAACTCGAGAAAAACCATTTGACTTCCCCCTAGGGGCGAGATGAGGCCCGATTCCACTGTATTGAATCCAGAGCCATCCCCCGTTCCCCATTCAACAAGACCAGAGGCTTGACTTCCTTCAGGCAACTCCAGAGATGCCCCGAGAACACTGTCCTAAGTCTAGAGGAACACCAACTTCAGCACAGGAACTCGGGGAATGCTCCGTGAACCCCAAATCGTTTCGAGATGAGAGCTGATTCCTCGCTTAGGCTCAAGACGTATGCAAACCTTCCAGAAGCCCCTCTAGAGGAGGCTTCTCTCAGCCATACGTATGTGGGAGGGACCCGGAGTTTGCTGCCTCAAGTGGAATATATGTCGAGAATCACTAACTTGAAAGGAGGCTGGATTTCTTTGCAGTGGCTTGAATACAGGCTTGTCTTTCATCTCTCAACGTGAAGGGATGTCTGAATCCCCTGTGGAGACCTTAGAGAAAGCCCTAGGTCCCTGCCTCATTTTGACGGAATGCCTCACATCCCGTTGACACCTCGAGAGGCACGCGGAGTTCAGTGCTTCAAAATGTGATGATGCCTGACTCCTCTTGAATACTGATAGGAATCCCAAAATCCCTGTGCTACTGGAAAGGGAACGTGGGTGCCTGCCTCACCTCGAGAAGCGTCCCTTTTGCCCTGCCAAGCCTCGAAGAGTTTCCTAAGGTGTTCCTCGTTACTAAGGAGGAGTCCTGACGTCACTGAATAACCACGTGTTTTGAAGGGCCATCCCCAAGGGTAACTCGAGAACATACCCCAGGTCCCCGCGGTAACTCGAGAAAAAATATGAGACTTCCCCTTAGAGACGAGATGAGGCCCCATTCCCCTGCAGTGCATGCAGAGCTATTCCGTGATCCCCATCAAACAAGTCAGGAGCTTCGACTTGCTTAATGGATCTCGAGACAGTCCCCAAGAACACTGTCACCAGTCTAGACGGCCGCTGAGGTCACCCCAGCAACGCAGAGCAGCTCCATGTGCCCCAAAACAACTCGAGATGATGCCCGATTACCCTGCATTGACTCCAGAGCCATCCCCCGTTCCCCATTCAACACGACCAGTGGCTTGACTTCCTTCAGGCAACTCCAGAGATGCCCCGAGAACACTGTCCCAAGTCTAGAGGAACACCAACTTCAGCACAACAACTCGAGGAATGCACGGTGGACCCAAAATCATCTCGAGATGAGAGCTGATTCCCTGGCATAGGCTCAAGGCATATGCCAGCATTCCAGAAACACCTCAAGAGGAGGCTTCTCTCAGCAATAGGTATGTGGGAGGGACGCCGGGTTTGCTGCCTCACGTGGAATATACAGCGAGAAGCCCTAACTTGAAAGGAGGCTGGATTTCCTTGCAGTGGCTTGAATACAGGCTCGTCTTTCATCTCTCAACGTGAAGGGATGTCTGAATCCCCTGTGGAGACCTTAGAGAAAGCCCTAGGTCCCTGCCTCATTTTGACGGAATGCCTCACTTCCCGTCGACACCTCGAGAGGCACTCGGAGTTCACTGCCTCAAAAGGTGACAATGCCTGACTCCTCTTGAATACTGATAGGAATCCCAAGAACCCTGTGCCTAAAGGAAAGGGTCCTTGAGTGCCCTGCCTCACCTCGAGAAGCGTCCCTTTTGCCCTGCCAAGCCTCGAAGAGATTCCTGAGGTGTCCCTCGTTACTAGACAGGAGTCCTGACGTCACTGAATAAACAGGTGTTTTGAAGGGCCATCCCCGCCGTAACTCGAAAACATACCCCAGGTCCCCACCGAAACTCGAGAAAAACAATGAGACTTCCCCCTAGAGGCGAGATGAGGCCCCATTCCCCTGCATGCATGCAGAGCTATTCCGTGATCCCCATCAAACAAGTCAGGAGCTTCAACTTGCTTAATGGATGTCGAGACAGTCCCCAAGAATACTGTCACCAGTCTAGACGGACCCTGAGGTCAACCCAGCAACGCACAGCAGCTCCATGTGCCCCAAATCAACTCGACAGGAGGCCCGATTCCCCTGCATTGACTCCAGAGCCATTTTCCGTTCTCCATTCTACACGACCATTGGATTCACTTCCTTAAGGCAACGCCAGAGATGCCCCGAGAACACTGTCCCAAGTCTAGAGGAACACCAACTTCAGCACAGCAACTCGAGGAATGCTCCGTGTACCCCAAATCGTTTCGAGATGAGAGCAGATTCCCTGGCTTAGGCTCAAGACGTATGCCAACTTTCCAGAAGCACCTCAAGAGGAGGATTCTCTCAGCAATAGGTATGTGGGAGGGACCCCGAGTATGCTGCCTCAAGTGGAATATACGGCGAGAAGCCCTAACTTGAAAGGAGGCCGGATTTCCTTGCAGTGGCTTGAATACAGGCTCGTCTTTCATCTCACAACATGAAGGGATGTCTGAATCCCCTGTGGAGACCTTAGAGAAAGCCCTAGGTCCCTACCTCATTTTGACGGAATGCCTCACTTCCCGTGGACACCTCGAGAGGCACGCGGAGTTAATTGCTTCAAAATGTGATTATGCCTGACTCCTTTTGAATACTGATAGGAATCCCAAAATCACTGTGGCTACTGGAAAGGGTCCTTGGGTGCCCAGACTCACCTCGAGAAGCGTCCCTTTTGCCCTGCCAAGCCTCGAAGAGATTCCTGAGGTGTCCCTCGTTACTAGAGAGGAGTCCTGACGTCACTGAATAAACAGGTGTTTTGAAGGGCCATCCCCGATGTAACTCGAGAACATACACCATGTCCCCGCTGCAACTTGAGAAAAACCATGGGACTTCCCGCTAGAGGGGAGATGAGGCCCCATTCCCATGCAGTGCAAGCAGAGCTATTCCGTGATCCCCATCAAACAAGTCAGGAGCTTCGACTTGCTTAATGGATCTCGAGACAGTCCCCAAGGATACTGTCACCAGTCTAGACGTACGCCGAGGTCACCCCAGAAACGCACATCAGCTCCATGTGCCCCAAAACAACTCGAGATGATGCCCGATTCCCCTGCATTGACTCCAGAGCCATCCCCCGTTCCCCATTCAACACGACCAGTGGCTTGACTTCCTTCAGGCAACTTCAGAGATGCCCCGAGAACACTGTCCCAAGTCTAGAGGAACACCAACTTCAGCACAGCAACTCGAGGAATGCACGGTGGACTCAAAATCATCTCGAGATGAGAGCTGATTCCCTGGCATAGGCTCAAGGCATATGCCAACTTTCCAGAAGCACCTCAAGAGGAGGCTTCTCTCAGCAATAGGTATGTGGGAGGGACCCCGCGTTTGCTGCCTCACGTGGAATAAATAGCGAGAAGCCCTAACTTGAAAGGAGGCTGGATTTCCTTGCAGTGGCTTGAATACAGGCTCGTCTTTCATCTCTCAACGTGAAGGGATGTCTGAATCCCCTGTGGAGACTTTAGAGAAAGCCCAAGGTCCCTGCCTCATTTTGACGGAATTCCTCACATCACGTTGACACCTCGAGAGGCACGTGGTGTTCACTGCCTCAAAAGGTGACGATGCCTGACTCCTCTTGAATACTGATAGGAATCCCAAAATCCCTGTGGCTACTGGAAAGGTTCTTTGGGTGCCCTGCCTCACCTCGAGAAGCGTCCCTTTTGCCCTGCCCAGCCTCGAAGAGATTCCTGAGGTGTCCCTCGTTACTAGACAGGAGTCCTGACGTCACTGAATAAACAGGTGTTTTGAAGGGCCATCCCCGCCGTAACTCGAGAACATACCCCAGGTCCCCGCCGCAACTCGAGAAAAACCATGAGTCTTCCCCCTAAAGGCGAGATGAAGCCCCATTCCCCTGCATGCATGCAGAGCTATTCCGGGATCCCCATCAAACAAGTCAGGAGCTTCGACTTGCTTAATGGATCTCGAGACAGTCCCCAAGAATACTGTCATCAGTCTAGACGGACCCTGAGGTCACCCCAGCAATGCACAGCAGATCCATGTGCCCCAAATCAACTCGACAGGAGGCTCGAATCCCCTGCATTGACTCCAGAGCCAGGTTCCGTTCTCCATTCTACATGTCCATTGGCTTGACTTCCTTAAGGCAACTCCAGAGATGCCCCGAGAACACTGTCCCAAGTCTAGAGGAACACCAACTTCAGCACAGCAACTCCAGGAATGATCCGTGTACCCCAAATCGTTTCGAGATGAGAGCTGATTCCATGGCTTAGGTTCAAGTCGTATGACAACCTTCCAGAAGCACCTCAAGGGGAGGCTTCTCTTAGCAATAGGTATGTGGGAGGGACCCCGAGTTTGCTGCCTCAAGTGGAATATATGGCGAGAAGCCCTAACTTGAAAGTTGGCCAGATTTCCTTGCAGTGGCTTGAATACAGGCTCGTCTTTCATCTCACAACATGAAGGGATGTCTGAATCCCCTGTGGAGACCTTAGAGAAAGCCCTAGGTCCCTGCATCATTTTGACGGAATTCCTCACATCCCGTTGACATCTCGAGAGGCACGCGGAGTTCATTGCTTCAAAAGGTGACGATGCCTGACTCCTCTTGAATACTGATAGGAATCCCCAAATTCCTGTGGCTACTGGAAAGGGTCCTTGGGTTCCCTGCCTCACCTGGAGAAGCGTCCCTTTTGCCCTGCCATGCCTCGAAGAGATTTCTGAGGTGTCCCTCGTTACTAGACTGGAGTCCTGATGTCACTGAATAAACAGGTGTTTTGAAGGGCCATCCCCACCGTAACTCGAGAACATACCCCAGGTCCCAGCCGCAACTCAAGAAAAACCATGAGACTTCCCCCTAGAGGCGAGATGAGGCCCCATTCCCCTGCAGTTCATGCAGAGCTATTCCGTGATCCCCATCAAACAAGTCAGGAGCTTCGACTTGCTTAATGGATCTCGAGACAGTCCCCAAGAACACTGTCACCAGTCTAGACGGACACTGAGGTCAACCCAGCAACGCACAGCAGCTCCATGTGCCCCAAATCAACTCGACAGGAGGCCCGATTCCCATGCATTGACTCCAGAGCCATCTTCCGTTCTCCATTCTACACGACCATTGGCTTGACTTCCTTAAGGCAACTCCAGACATGCCCCGAGAACACTGTCCCAAGTCTAGAGGAACACCAACTTCAGCACAGCAACTCGAGGAATGCTCCGTGTACCCAAATCGCTTCGAGATGAGAGCAGATTCCCTGGCTTAGGCTCAAGACGTATGCCAACTTTCCAGAAGCACCTCAAGAGGAGGATTCTCTCAGCAACAGGTATGTGGGAGGGACCCCGAGTATGCTGCCTCAAGTGGAATATATGGCGAGAAGCCCTAACTTGAAAGGAGGCCGGATGTCCTTGCAGTGGCTTGAATACAGACTCGTCTTTCATCTCACAACATGAAGGGATGTCTGAATCCCCTGTGGAGACCTTAGAGAAAGCCCTAGGTCCCTGCCTCATTTTGACGGAATTCCTCACATCCCGTTGACACCTCGAGAGGCACTCGGAGTTCACTGCCTCAAAAAGTGACAATGCCTGACTCCTCTTTAATACTGATAGGAATCCCAAAAGCCCTGTGCCTACAGGAAAGGGTCCTTTGGTGCCCTGCCTCACATCGAGAAGCATCCCTTTTGCGCTGCCAAGCCTCGAAGAGATTCCTGAGGTGTCCCTCGTTACTAGACAAGAGTCCTGACGTCACTGAATAAACAGGTGTTTTGAAGGGCCATCCCCACCGTAACTCGAGAACATACCCCAGGTCCCCGCCGCAATTCAAGAAAAACCATGAGACTTCCCCCTAGAGGCGAGATGAGGCCCCATTCCCCTGCAGTGCATGCAGAGCTATTCAGTGATCTCCATCAAACAAGTCAGGAGCTTCGACTTGCTTAATGGAACTCGAGACAGTCCCCAAGAACACTGTCACCAGTCTAGACGGGCGCAGAGGTCAACCCAGCAACGCAAAGCAGCTCCCTGTGCCCAAAAATCAAATCGAGATGAGGCCGGATTCCCCTGCATTGACTCTAGAGCCATCCCCGTTCAACATTCAACACGCCCAGTGGCTTGACTTCCTTCAGGCAACACCAGAGATGCCCCGAGAACACTGTCCCAAGTCTGGAGGAAGACCACCTTCAGCACAGCAACTCGAGGAATGCTCCGTGTACCCCAAATCGTCTCGAGATGAGAGCTGATTCCCAGGCTTAGGTTCAAGTCGTATGACAACCTTCCAGAAGCACCTCAAGGGGAGGCTTCTCTTAGCAATAGTTATGTGGGAGGGACCCCGAGTTTGCTGCCTCAAGTGGAATATATGGCGAGAAGCCCTAACTTGAAAGTTGGCCAGATTTCCTTGCAGTGGCTTGAATACAGGCTCGTCTTTCATCTCACAACATGAAGGGATGTCTGAATCCCCTGTGGAGACCTTAGAGAAAGCCCTAGGTCCCTGCATCATTTTGACGGAATTCCTCACATCCCGTTGACATCTCGAGAGGCACGCGGAGTTCATTGCTTCAAAAGGTGACGATGCCTGACTCCTCTTGAATACTGATAGGAATCCCCAAATTCCTGTGGCTACTGGAAAGGGTCCTTGGGTTCCCTGCCTCACCTGGAGAAGCGTCCCTTTTGCCCTGCCATGCCTCGAAGAGATTTCTGAGGTGTCCCTCGTTACTAGACTGGAGTCCTGATGTCACTGAATAAACAGGTGTTTTGAAGGGCCATCCCCACCGTAACTCGAGAACGTACCCCAGGTCCCCGCCGCAACTCAAGAAAAACCATGAGACTTCCCCCTAGAGGCGAGATGAGGCCCCATTCCCCTGCAGTGCATGCAGAGCTATTCCGTGATCCCCATCAAACAAGTCAGGAGCTTCGACTTGCTTAATGGATCTCGAGACAGTCCCCAAGAACACTGTCACCAGTCTAGACGGACCCTGAGGTCAACCCAGCAACGCACAGCAGCTCCATGTGCCCCAAATCAACTCTACAGGAGGCCCGATTCCCATGCATTGACTCCAGAGCCATCTTCCGTTCTCCATTCTACACGATCATTGGCTTGATTTCCTTAAGGCATCTCCAGAGATGCCCTGAGAACACTGTCCCAAGTCTAGAGGAACACCAACTTCAGCACAGCAACTCGAGAAATGCTCCGTGCACCCCAAATTGTTTCGAGATGGGTGCTGATTCCCTGGCTTAGGCTGAAGACGTATTCCAACTTTCCATAAGCACCTCAAGAGGAGGATTCTCTCAGCAATAGGTATGTGGGAGGGACCCCGAGTTTGCTGCCTCAAGTGGAATATACTGCGAGAAGCCCTAACTTGAAAGGAGGCCGGATTTCCTTGCAGTGGCTTGAATACAGGCTCGTCTTTCATCTCACAACGTGAAGGGATGTCTGAATCCCCTGTGGAGACCTTAGAGAAAGCCCTAGATCCCTGCCTCATTTTGACAGAATGCCTCACATCACGTTGACACCTCGAGAGGCACGCAGACTTCACTGCCTCAAAAGGTGACGATGCCTGACTCCTCTTGAATACTGATAGGAATCCCATAATCCCTGTGGCTACTGGAGAGGGAACGTTGGTGCCCTGCCTCACTTCGAAAAGCGTCCCTTTTGCCCTGCCAAGCCTCGAAGAGATTCCTGAGGTGTCCCTCGTTACTAGACAAGAGTCCTGACGTCACGGAATAAACAGGTGTTTTGAAGGGCCATCCCCGCTGTAACTCGAGAACATACACCAGGTCCCCGCTGCAACTTGAGAAAAACCATGGGACTACCCCCTAGAGGAGAGATGAGGCCCCATTCCCCTGCAGTGCATGCAGAGCTATTCAGTGATCTCCATCAAACAAGTCAGGAGCTTCGACTTGCTTAATGTAACTCGAGACAGTCCCCAAGAACACTGTCACCAGTCTAGACGGACACTGAGGTCACCCCAGCAACGCAAAGCAGCACCCTGTGCCCAAAAATCAAATCGAGATTAGGCCCGATTCCCCTGCATTGACTCCAGAGCCATCCCCATTCAACATTCAACACTCCCAGTTTCTTGACTTCCTTCAGGGAACACCAGAGATGCCCCGAGAACACTGTCCCAAGTCTGGAGGAAGACCACCTTCAGCACAGCAACTCGAGGAATGCTCCGTGTACCCCAAATCGTCTCGAGATGAGAGCTGATTCCCTGGCTTAGGTTCAAGACGTATGCCAACCTTCCAGAAGCACCTCAAGAGGAGGCTTCTCTCAGCAATAGGTATGTGGGAGGGACCCGGAGTTTGCTGCCTCAAGTGGAATATATGGCGAGAAGCCCTAACTTGAAAGGAGGCCGGATTTCCTTGCAGTGGCTTGAATACAGGCTCGTCTTTCATCTCACAACATGAAGGAATGTCTGAATCCCCTGTGGAGACCTTAGAGAAAGCCCTAGTTCCCTTCCTCATTTTGACGGAATGCCTCACATACCGTTGACACCTCGAGAGGCTCGCGGAGTTCACTGCTTCAAAATGTGATGATGCCTGACTCCTCTTGAATACTGATAGGAATCCCAAAATCCCTGTGGCTACTGGAAAGGGAACGTGGGTGCCCTGCCTCACCTCGAGAAGCGTCCCTTTTGCCCTGCCAAGCCTCGAAGAGATTCCTGAGGTGTTCCTCATTACTAAGGAGGAGTCCTGACGACACTGAATAACCATGTGTTTTGAAGGGCCATCCCCGTCGTAACTCGAGAACATAACCCAGGTCCCCACTGTAACTCGAGAAAAAATATGAGACTTCCCCCTAAAGACGAGATGAAGCCCCATTCCCCTGCAGTGCATGCAGAGCTATTCCGTGATCCCCATCAAACAAGTCAGGAGCTTCGACTTGCTTAATGGATCTCAAGAGATTCCCCAAGAACACTGTCACCAGTCTAGACGGACGCTGAGGTCACCCCAGCAACGTACAGCAGCTCCATGTGCCCCAAAACAACTCGAGATGATGCCCGATTCCCCTGCATTGACTCCAGAGCCATCCCCCGTTCCACATTCAACACGACCAGTGACTTGACTTCCTTCAGGCAACTCCAGAGATGCCCCGAGAAACTGTCCCAAGTCTAGAGGAACACCAACTTGAGCACAGCAACTCGAGGAATGCACGGTGGACCCAAAATCATATCAAGATGAGAGCTGATTCCATGGCATAGGCTCAAGGCATATGCCAACTTTCCAGAAGCACCTCAAGAGGAGGCTTCATTCAGCAATAGGTATGTGGGAGAGACCCCGGGTTGGCTGCCTCAAGTGGAATATACAGCGAGAAGCTCTAACTTGAAAGGAGGCTGGATTTCCTTGCAGTGGCTTGAATACAGGCTCGTCTTTCATCTCACAACGTGAAAGGATGTCTGAATCCCCTGTGGAGACCTTAGAGAAAGCCTTAGGTCCCTGCCTCATTTTGACGGAATTCCTCACATCACGTTGACACCTCGAGAGGCACACGGAGTTCATTGCCTCAAAAGGTGACGATGCCTGACTCCTCTTGAATACTGATAGGAATCCCAAAATCCCTGTGGCTACTGGAAAGGGTCCTTGGGTGCCCTGCCTCACCTCGAGAAGCGTCCCTTTTGCCCTGCCAAGCCTCGAAGAGATTCCTGAGGTGTCCCTCGTTACTAGACAGGAGTCCTGACGTCACTGAAGAAACTCGTGTTTTGAAGGGCCATCCCCGCCGTAACTCGAGAACATACCCCAGGTCCCCGCCGTAACTCGAGAAAAACCATGAGACTTCCCCCTAGAGGCGAGATGAGGCTCCATTCCCCTGCAGTGCATGCAGAGCTATTCCGTGATCCCCATCAAACAAGTCAGGAGCTTCGACTTGCTTAATGGATCTCGACACAGTCCCCAAGAACACTATCACCAGTCTAGACGGACCCTGAGGTCAACCCAGCAACGCACAGCAGCTCCATATGCCCCAAATCAACTCGACAGGAGGCCCGATTCCCCTGCATTGACTCCAGACCCATCTTCCGTTCTCCATTCTACACGACCATTGAGTAAACTTCCTTAAGGCAACTCCAGAGATGCCCTGAGAACACTGTCCCAAGTCTAGAGGAACACCAACTTCAGCACAGCAACTCGAGGAATGCTCCATGTACCCCAAATCGTCTCGAGATGGGTGCTGATTCCCTGGCTTAGGCTCAAGACGTATACCAACTTTCCAGAAGCACCTCAAGAGGAGGATTCTCTCAGCAATAGGTATGTGGTAGGGACCCCGAGTGTGCTGCCTCAAGTGGAATATACGGCGAGAAGCCCTAACTGAAAGGACGCCGGATTTCCTTGCAGTTGCTTGAATACAGGCTCGTCTTTCATCTCAGAACATGAAGAGCTGTCTGAATCCCCTGTGCAGACCTTAGAGAAAGCCCTAGGTCCATGCTTCATTTTGATGGAATGCCTCACATCCCGTTGACACTTCGAGAGTCACCCGGAGTTCACTGCTTCAAAAGGTGAAGATGCCTGACCCCTTTTGAATACTGAAAGAAATCCCAAAATCTCTGTGGCAAAAGGAAGGGTCTTTGGGTGCCCTGCATCACCCCGAGAAGCATTCCTTTTGCCCTGCCAAGCCGCGAAGAGATTCCTGAGGTGTCCCTCGTTACTAGAGTGGAGTCCTGACGTCACTGAATAAACACGTGTTTTGAAGGGCCATCCCCGCCATAACTCGAGACCATACCCCTGGTCCCCGCCACAGCCCGAGAAAAACCAGGAGCCTTCCGCCTAGGGGCGAGTCACATTCCCCTACACTGCATGCAGAGCTATTCCGTGATCCCCATCAAACAAGTCAGGAGCTTCGACTTCCTTAATGGATCTCGAGACAGTCTCCAAGAACACTGTCACCTGTCTAGATGGACCCTGAGGTCACCCCAGCAATGCAAAGCAGCTCCATAGGCCAAAAATCAAAACGAGATGAGGCCAGATTCCTCTGCATTGACTCCAGAGCCATGCCCCGTTCAGCATTCAACACGACCAGTGGCTTGACTTCCTTAAGGCAACTCCAGAGATGCCCCGAGAACACTGTCCCAAGTCTAGAGGAACACCAACTTCAGCACAGCAACTCGAGGAATGCTCCATGTACCCCAAATCATCTCGAGATGGGTGCTGATTCCCTGGCTTAGGCTCAAGACGTATACCAACTTTCCAAAAGCACCTCAAGAGGAGGATTCTCTCAGCAATAGGTATGTGGTAGGGACCCCGAGTGTGCTGCCTCAAGTGGAATATACGGCGAGAAGCCCTAACTGAAAGGAGGCCGGATTTCCTTGCAGTTGCTTGAATACAGGCTCGTCTTTCATCTCAGAACATGAAGAGCTGTCTGAATCCCCTGTGCAGACCTTAGAGAACGCCCTAGGTCCATGCTTCATTTTGAAGGAATGCCTCACATCCCGTTGACACTTCGAGAGGCACCCGGAGTTCACTGCTTCAAAAGGTGACGATGACTGACTCCTTTTGAATACTGAAAGAAATCCCAAAATCTCTGTGGCTACTGGAAGGGTCCTTGGGTGCCCTGCATCACCCCGAGAAGCATTCCTTTTGACCTGCCAAGCCGCGAAGAGATTCCTGAGTTGTCCCTTGTTACTAGAGTGGAGTCCTGACGTCACTGAATAAACACGTGTTTTGAAGGGACATCCCCGCCGTAACTCGAGACCATACCCCTGGTCCCCGCCACAGCCCGAGAAAAACCAGGAGCCTTCCGCCTAGGGGCGAGTCACATTCCCCTACACTGCATGCAGAGCTATTGCGTGATCCCCATCAAACAAGTCAGGAGCTTCGACTTCCTTAATGGATCTCGAGACAGTCTCCAAGAACACTGTCACCTGTCTAGATGGACCCTGAGGTCACCCCAGCAATGCAAAGCAGCTCCATGGGCCAAAAATCAACACGAGATGAGGCCCGATTCCCCTACATTGACTCCAGAGCCATGCCCCGTTCAGCATTCAACACGACCAGTGGCTTGACTTCCTTCAGGCAACTCCAGAGAGCCCGGAGAACTCTGTCCCAAGTCTAGAGGAACAAAAACATCAGCACAGCAACTCGAGGAATGCTCTGTGTACCCCAAATCGTCTCGAGATGAGAGCTGATTCCCTGGCTTAGGCTCAAGACGTATGCCAACTTTCCAGAAGCACCTCAAGAGGAGGCTACTCTCAGCAATAGGTATGTGGGTGGGACCCTGAGTGTTCTGCCTCAAGGGGAATATACGGCGAGAAGCCCTAACTTGAAAGGAGGCCGGATTTCCTTCCAGTGGCTTGAATACAGGCTCGTCTTTCATCTCACAACATGAAGGGATTTCTGAATCCCCTGTGGAGACCTTAGAGAAAGGCCTAGATCCCTGCCTCATTTTGACAGAATGCCTCACATCACGTTGACACCTCGAGAGGCACTCGGAGTTCACTGCCTCAAAAGGTGACGATGCCTGACTCCTCTTGAATACTGATAGGAATCCCAAAATCCTTGTGGCTACTGGAAAGGGAACGTTGGTGCCCTGCCTCACCTCGAGAAGTGTCCCTTTTGCCCTGCCAAGCCTCGAAGAGATTCCTGACGTGTCCCTCGTTACTAGACAAGAGTCCTGACCTCACTGAATAAACAGGTGTTTTGAAGGGCCATCCTCGCTGTAACTCGAGAACATACACCAGGTCCCCACTGCAACTTGAGAAAAACCATGGGACTTCCCCCTAGAGGAGAGATGAGGCCCCATTCCCCTGCAGTGCATGCAGAGCTATTCAGTGATCTCCATCAAACAAGTCAGGAGCTTCGACTTGCTTAATGGAACTCGAGACAGTCCCCAAGAACACTGTCACCAGTCTAGACGGACCCTGAGGTCACCCCAGCAACGCAAAGCAGCTCGCTGTGCCCAAAAATCAAATCGAGATGAAGCCTGATTCCCCTGCATTGACTCCAGAGCCATCCCCATTCAACATTCAACACGCCCAGTGGCTTGACTTCCTTCAGGCAACACCAGAGATGCCCCGAGAACACTGTCCCAAGTCTGGAGGAAGACCACCTTCAGCACAGGAACTCGAGGAATGCTCCGTGTACCCCAAATCGTCTCGAGATGAGAGCTGATTCCCTGGCTTAGGTTCAAGACGTATGCCAACCTTCCAGAAGCACCTCAAGAGGAGGCTTCTCTCAGCAATAGCTATGTGGGAGGGACCCGGAGTTTGCTGCCTCAAGTGGAATATATGGCGAGAAGCCCTAACTTGAAAGGAGGCTGGATTTCCTTCCAGTGTCTTGAATACAGGCTCGTCTTTCATCTCTCAACGTGAAATGATGTCTGAATCCCCTGTGGAGACCTTAGAGAAAGCCCTAGGTCCCTGCCTCATTTTGACGGAATGCCTCACATCCCGTTGACACCTCGAGAGGCACGCGGAGTTCACTGCTTCAAAATGTGATGATGCCTGACTCCTCTTGAATACTGATAGGAATCCCAAAATCCCTGTGGCTACTGGAAAGGGAACGTGGGTGCCCGGACTCACCTCGAGAAGCGTCCCTTTTGCCCTGCCAAGCCTGGAAGAGTTTCCTGAGGTGTTCCTCTTACTAAGGAGGAGTCCTGACGTCACTGAATAACCACGTGTTTTGAAGGGCTATCCCCGTCGTAACTCGAGAACATACCCTAGGTCCCCGCCGTAACTCGAGAAAAAATATGAGACTTCCCCCTAGAGACGAGATGAGGCCCCATTCCCCTGCAGTGCATGCAGAGCTATTCCGTGATCCCCATCAAACAAGTCAGGAGCTTCGACTTGCTTAATGGATCTCGAGACAGTCCCCAAGAACACTGTCACCAGTCTAGACGGACGCTGAGGTCACCCCAGCAACGCACAGCAGCTCCATGTGCCCCAAAACAACTCGAGATGATGCCCGATTCCCCTGCATTGACTCCAGAGCCATCCCCCGTTCCCCATTCAACACGACCAGTGGCTTGACTTCCTTCAGGCAACTCCTGAGATGCCCCGAGAACACTGTCCCAATTCTAGAGGAACACCAACTTCAGCACAGCAACTCGAGGAATGCACGGTGGACCCAAAATCATCTCGAGATGAGAGCTGATTCCCTGGCATAGGCTCAAAGCATATGCCAACTTTCCAGAAGCACCTCAAGAGGAGGCTTCTCTCATCAATAGGTATGTGGGAGGGACCCCGGGTTGGCTGTCTCAAGTGGAATATACAGCGAGAAGCCCTAACTTGAAAGGAGGCTGGATTTCCTTGCAGTGGCTTGAATACAGGCTCGTCTTTCATCTCACAACGTGAAGGGATGTCTGAATCCCCTGTGGAGACCTTAGAGAAAGCCCTAGTTCCCTGCCTCATTTTGACGGAATGCCTCACATACCGTTGACACCTCGAGAGGCTCGCGGAGTTCACTGCTTCAAAATGTGACGATGCCTGACTCCTCTTGAATACTGATAGGAATCCCAAAATCCCTGTGGCTACTGGAAAGGGTCCTTGGGTGCCCTGCCTCACCTCGAGAAGCGTCCCTTTTACCCAGCCAAGCCTCGAAGAGATTCCTGAGGTGTCCCTCGTTACTAGACAGGAGTCCTGACGTCACTGAATAAACAGGTGTTTTGAAGAGCCATCCCCGCCGTAACTCGAGAACATACCCCAGGTCCCCGCCGCAACTCGGGAAAAACCATGAGACTTCCCCTATAGGCGAGATGAGGCCCCATTCCCCTGCAGTGCATGCAGAGCTATTCCGTGATCCCCATCAAACAAGTCAGGAGCTTCGACTTGCTTAATGGATCTCGAGACAGTCCCCAAGAACACTGTCACCAGTCTAGACGGACCCTGAGGTCAACCAAGCAACGCACAGCAGCTCCATGTGCCCCAAATCAACTCGACAGGAGGCCCGATTCCCCTGCATTGACTCCAGAGCCATCTTCCGTTCTACATTCTACACGACCATTGAGTTGACTTCCTTAAGGCAACTCCAGAGATGCCCTGAGAACACTGTCCCAAGTCTAGAGGAACACCAACTTCAGCACAGCAACTCGAGGAATGCTCCGTGCACCCCAAATCGTTTCGAGATGGGTGCTGATTCCCTGGCTTAGGCTCAAGACGTATTCCAACTTTCCAGAAGCACCTCAAGAGGAGGATTCTCTGAGCAATAGGTATGTGGGAGGGACCCCGAATATGCTGCCAAATGTGGAATGTACAGCGAGAAGCCCTAACTTGAAAGGAGGCCAGATTTCCTTGCAGTGGCTTGAATAGAGGCTCGTCTTTCTTCTCACAACATGAAGGAATGTCTGAATCCCCTGTGGAGACCTTAGAGAAAGCCATAGGTCCCTGCCTCATTTTGACGGAATGCCTCACTTCCCGTGGACACCTCGAGAGGCACTTGGAGTTCACTGCCTCAAAAGGGGACAATGCCTGACTCCTCTTGAATATTGATAGGAATCCCAAAAACCCTGTGCCTACAGGAAAGGGTCCTTGGGTGACCTGCCTCACCTCGAGAAGTGTCCCTTTTGCCCTGCCAAGCCTCGAAGAGATTCCTGAGGTGTCCCTCGTTAGTAGACAAGAGTGCTGACGTCACTGAATAAACAGGTGTTTTGAAGGGCCATCCCCGCTGTAACTCGAGAACATACACCAGGTCCACGCTGCAACTTGAGAAAAACCATGGGACTTCCCCCTAGAGGAGAGATGAGGCCCCATTCCCCTGCATTGCATGCAGAGCTATTCAGTGATCTCCATCAAACAAGTCAGGAGCTTCGACTTGCTTAATGGAACTCGAGACAGTCCGCAAGAACACTGTCACCAGTCTAGACGGACCCTGAGGTCACCCCAGCAACGCAAAGCAGCTCCCTGTGCCGAAAAATCAAATCTAGATGAGGCCCGATTTCCCTGCATTGACTCCAGAGCCATCCCCGTTCAACATTCAACACGCCCAGTGGCTTGACTTCCTTCAGGCAACACCAGAGATGCCCCGAGAACACTGTCCCAAGTATGGAGGAAGACCACCTTCAGCACAGCAACTCGAGGAATGCTCCGTGTACCCCAAATCGTCTCGAGATGAGAGCTGATTCCCTGGCTTAGGTTCAAGACGTATGCCAACCATCCAGAAGCACCTCAAGAGGAGGCTTCTCTCAGCAATAGGTATGTGGGAGGGACCCGGAGTTTGCTGCCTCAAGTGGAATATATGGCGAGAAGCCCTAACTTGAAAGGAGGCTGGATTTCCTTGCAGTGTCTTGAATACAGGCTCGTCTTTCATCTCTCAACGTGAAATGATGTCTGAATCCCCTGTGGAGACCTTAGAGAAAGCCCTAGGTCCCTGCCTCATTTTGACGGAATGCCTCACATCCCGTTGACACCTCGAGAGGCACGCGGAGTTCACTGCTTCAAAATGTGATGATGCCTGACTCCTCTTGAATACTGATAGGAATCCCAAAATCCCTGTGGCTACTGGAAAGGGAACGTGGGTGCCCGGACTCACCTCGAGAAGCGTCCCTTTTGCCCTGCCAAGCCTGGAAGAGTTTCCTGAGGTGTTCCTCTTACTAAGGAGGAGTCCTGACGTCACTGAATAACCACGTGTTTTGAAGGGCTATCCCCGTCGTAACTCGAGAACATACCCTAGGTCCCCGCCGTAACTCGAGAAAAAATATGAGACTTCCCCCTAGAGACGAGATGAGGCCCCATTCCCCTGCAGTGCATGCAGAGCTATTCCGTGATCCCCATCAAACAAGTCAGGAGCTTCGACTTGCTTAATGGATCTCGAGACAGTCCCCAAGAACACTATCACCAGTCTAGACGGACGCTGAGGTCACCCCAGCAACGCACAGCAGCTCCATGTGCCCCAAAACAACTCGAGATGATGCCCGATTCCCCTGCATTGACTCCAGAGCCATCCCCCGTTCCCCATTCAACACGACCAGTGGCTTGACTTCCTTCAGGCAACTCCTGAGATGCCCCGAGAACACTGTCCCAATTCTAGAGGAACACCACCTTCAGCACAGCAACTCGAGGAATGCTCCGTGTACCCCAAATCGTCTCGAGATGAGAGCTGATTCCCTGGCTTAGGTTCAAGACGTATGCCAACCATCCAGAAGCACCTCAAGAGGAGGCTTCTCTCAGCAATAGGTATGTGGGAGGGACCCGGAGTTTGCTGCCTCAAGTGGAATATATGGCGAGAAGCCCTAACTTGAAAGGAGGCTGGATTTCCTTGCAGTGTCTTGAATACAGGCTCGTCTTTCATCTCTCAACGTGAAATGATGTCTGAATCCCCTGTGGAGACCTTAGAGAAAGCCCTAGGTCCCTGCCTCATTTTGACGGAATGCCTCACATCCCGTTGACACCTCGAGAGGCACGCGGAGTTCACTGCTTCAAAATGTGATGATGCCTGACTCCTCTTGAATACTGATAGGAATCCCAAAATCCCTGTGGCTACTGGAAAGGGAACGTGGGTGCCCGGACTCACCTCGAGAAGCGTCCCTTTTGCCCTGCCAAGCCTGGAAGAGTTTCCTGAGGTGTTCCTCTTACTAAGGAGGAGTCCTGACGTCACTGAATAACCACGTGTTTTGAAGGGCTATCCCTGTCGTAACTCGAGAACATACCCTAGGTCCCCGCCGTAACTCGAGAAAAAATATGAGACTTCCCCCTAGAGACGAGATGAGGCCCCATTCCCCTGCAGTGCATGCAGAGCTATTCCGTGATCCCCATCAAACAAGTCAGGAGCTTCGACTTGCTTAATGGATCTCGAGACAGTCCCCAAGAACACTGTCACCAGTCTAGACGGACGCTGAGGTCACCCCAGCAACGCACAGCAGCTCCATGTGCCCCAAAACAACTCGAGATGATGCCCGATTCCCCTGCATTGACTCCAGAGCCATCCCCCGTTCCCCATTCAACACGACCAGTGGCTTGACTTCCTTCAGGCAACTCCTGAGATGCCCCGAGAACACTGTCCCAATTCTAGAGGAACACCAACTTCAGCACAGCAACTCGAGGAATGCACGGTGGACCCAAAATCATCTCGAGATGAGAGCTGATTCCCTGGCATAGGCTCAAAGCATATGCCAACTTTCCAGAAGCACCTCAAGAGGAGGCTTCTCTCATCAATAGGTATGTGGGAGGGACCCCGGGTTGGCTGTCTCAAGTGGAATATACAGCGAGAAGCCCTAACTTGAAAGGAGGCTGGATTTCCTTGCAGTGGCTTGAATACAGGCTCGTCTTTCATCTCACAACGTGAAGGGATGTCTGAATCCCCTGTGGAGACCTTAGAGAAAGCCCTAGTTCCCTGCCTCATTTTGACGGAATGCCTCACATACCGTTGACACCTCGAGAGGCTCGCGGAGTTCACTGCTTCAAAATGTGACGATGCCTGACTCCTCTTGAATACTGATAGGAATCCCAAAATCCCTGTGGCTACTGGAAAGGGTCCTTGGGTGCCCTGCCTCACCTCGAGAAGCGTCCCTTTTACCCAGCCAAGCCTCGAAGAGATTCCTGAGGTGTCCCTCGTTACTAGACAGGAGTCCTGACGTCACTGAATAAACAGGTGTTTTGAAGAGCCATCCCCGCCGTAACTCGAGAACATACCCCAGGTCCCCGCCGCAACTCGGGAAAAACCATGAGACTTCCCCTATAGGCGAGATGAGGCCCCATTCCCCTGCAGTGCATGCAGAGCTATTCCGTGATCCCCATCAAACAAGTCAGGAGCTTCGACTTGCTTAATGGATCTCGAGACAGTCCCCAAGAACACTGTCACCAGTCTAGACGGACCCTGAGGTCAACCAAGCAACGCACAGCAGCTCCATGTGCCCCAAATCAACTCGACAGGAGGCCCGATTCCCCTGCATTGACTCCAGAGCCATCTTCCGTTCTACATTCTACACGACCATTGAGTTGACTTCCTTAAGGCAACTCCAGAGATGCCCTGAGAACACTGTCCCAAGTCTAGAGGAACACCAACTTCAGCACAGCAACTCGAGGAATGCTCCGTGCACCCCAAATCGTTTCGAGATGGGTGCTGATTCCCTGGCTTAGGCTCAAGACGTATTCCAACTTTCCAGAAGCACCTCAAGAGGAGGATTCTCTGAGCAATAGGTATGTGGGAGGGACCCCGAATATGCTGCCACATATGGAATGTACAGAAGAAGCCCTAACTTGAAAGGAGGCCAGATTTCCTTGCAGTGGCTTGAATACATGCTCGTCTTTCTTCCCACAACATGAAGGGATGTCTGAATCCCCTGTGGAGACCTTAGAGAAAGCCATAGGTCCCTGCCTCATTTTGACGGAATGCCTCACTTCCCGTGGACACCTCGAGAGGCACTCGGAGTTCACTGCCTCAAAAGGTGACAATGCCTGACTCTTCTTGAATACTGATAGGAATCCCAAAAACCCTGTGCCTACAGGAAATGGTCCTTGGGTGCCCTGCCTCACCTCGAGAAGCGTCCCTTTTGCCCTGCCAAGCCTCGAAGAGATTCCTGAGGTGTCCCTCGTTACTAGACAAGAGTCCTGAAGTCACTGAATAAACAGGTGTTTTGAAGGGCCATCCCCGCTGTAACTCGAGAACATACACCAGGTCCCCGATGCAACTTGAGAAAAACCATGGGACTTCCCCCTAGAGCAGAGATGAGGCCCCATTCCCCTGCAGTGCATGCAGAGCTATTCAGTGATCTCCATCAAACAAGTCAGGAGCTTCGACTTGCTTAATGGAACTCGAGACAGTCCCCAAGAACACTGTCACCAGTCTAGACGGACCCTGTGGTCACCCCAGCAATGCAAAGCAGCTCCCTGTGCCCAAAAATCAAATCGAGATGAGGCCCGATTTCCCTGCATTGACTCCAAAGCCATCCCCGTTCAACATTCAACACGCCCAGTGGCTTGACTTCCTTCAGGCAACACAAGAGATGCCCCGAGAACACTCTCCCAAGTCTGGAGGAAGACCACCTTCAGCACAGCAACTCGAGGAATGCTCCGTGTACACCAAATCGTCTCGAGATGAGAGCTGATTCCCTGGCTTAGGCTCAAGACGTATGCCAACCTTCCAGAAGCACCTCAAGAGGAGGCTTCTCTCAGCAATAGGTATGTGGGAGGGACCCGGAGTTTGCTGCCTCAAGTGGAATATATGGCGAGAAGCCCTAACTTGAAAGGAGGCTGGATTTCCTTGCAGTGGCTTGAATACAGGCTCGTCTTTCATCTCACAACGTGAAAGGATGTCTGAATCCCCTGTGGAGACCTTAGAGAAAGCCTTAGGTCCCTGCCTCATTTTGACGGAATGCCTCACATCACGTTGACACCTCGAGAGGCACGCGGAGTTCACTGCCTCAAAAGGTGACGATGCCTGACTCCTCTTTAATACTGATAGGAATCCCAAAATCCCTGTGTCTACTGGAAAGGGTCCTTGGGTGCCCTGCCTCACCTCTAGAAGCGTCCCTTTTGCCCTGCCAAGCCTCGAAGAGATTCCTGAGGTGTCCCTTGTTACTAGACAGGAGTCCTGACGTCACTGAATAAACAGGTGTTTTGAAGGGCCATCCCCGCCGTAACTCGAGAACATACCCCAGGTCCCCGCCCCAACTCAAGAGAAACCATGAGACTTCCCCCTAGAGGCGAGATGAAGCCCCATTCCCCTGCAGTGCATGCAGAGCTATTCCGTGATCCCCATCCAACAAGTTAGGAGCTTCGACTTGCTTAATGGATCTCGAGACAGTCCCCAAGAACACTATCACCAGTCTAGACGGACCCTGAGGTCAAGCCAGCAACGCACAGCAGCTCCATGTGCCCCAAATCAACTCGACAGGAGGCCCGATTCCCCTGCATTGACTCCAGAGCCATCTTCCGTTCTCCATTCTACACGACCATTGGCTTGACTTTCTTAAGGCAACTCCAGAGATGCCCCGAGAACACTGTCCCAAGTCTAGAGGAACACTAACTTCAGCACAGCAACTCGAGGAATGCTCCGTGTACCCCAAATCGTTTCGAGATGAGAGCAGATTCCCTGGCTTAGGCTCAAGACGTATGCCAACTTTCCAGAAGCACCTCAAGAGGAGGCTTCTCTCAGCAATAGGTATGTGGGAGGGACCCCGGGTTGGCTGCCTCAAGTGGAATATACAGCGAGAAGCCCTAACTTGAAAGGAGGCTGGATTTCCTTGCAGTGGCTTGAATACAGGCTCGTCTTTCATCTCACAACGTGAAGGGATGTCTCAATCCTCTGTGGAGACCTTAGAGAAAGCCCTAGGTCCCTGCCTCATTTTGACGGAATGCCTCACATCCCGTTGACACATCGAGAGGCACGTGGAGTTCATTGCTTCAAAAGGTGACGATGCCTGACTCCTCTTGTATACTGATAGGAATCCCAAAATCCCTGTGGCTACTGGAAAGGGTCCTTGGGTGCCCTGCCTCACCTCTAGAAGCGTCCGTTTTGCCCTGTCAAGCCTCGGAGAGATTACTGAGGTGTCCCTCGTTACTAGACAGGAGTCCTGACGTCACTGAATAAACAGGTGTTTTGAAGTGCATCCCCGCTGTAACTCGAGAACATACACCAGGTCCCCGCTGCAACTTGAGAAAAACCATGGGACTTCCCCCTAGAGGCGAGATGAGGCCCCATTCCCCTGCAGTGCATGCAGAGCTATTCTGTGATCTCCATCAAACAAGTCAGGATCTTCGACTTGTTTAATGGAACCCGAGACAGTCCCCAAGAACACTGTCACCAGTCTAGACGGACTCTGAGGTCACCCCAGCAACGCATAGCAGCTCCCTGTGCCCAAAAATCAAATCGAGATGAGGCCCGATTCATCTGCATTGACTCCAGAGCCAACCCTGTTCAACATTCAACACGCCCAGTGGCTTGACTTCCTTCAGGCAACACCAGAGATGCCCCGAGAACACTGTCCAGAGTCTGGAGGAAGACCACCTTCAGCACAGCAACTCGAGGAATGCACCATATACCGCAAATCGTCTCGAGATGAGAGCTGATTCCCTCGCTTATGCTCAAGACGTATGCCAACCTTCCAGAAGCACCTCAAGAGGAGGCTTCTCTCAGCAATAGGTATGTGGGAGGGACCCCGGGTTGGCTGCCTCAAATGGAATATACAGCGAGAAGCCCTACCTTGAAAGGAGGCTGGATTTCCTTGCAGTGGCTTGAATACAGGCTCGTCTTTCATCTCACAACGTGAAGGGATGTCTGAATCCCCTGTGGATACCTTAGAGAAAGCCCTAGTTCCCTGCCTCATTTTGACGGAATGCCTCACATCCCGCTGACACCTCGAGAGGCACGCGGAGTTCATTGCTTCAAAAGGTGACGATGCCTGACTCCTCTTGAATACTGATAGGAATCCCAAAATCCCTGTGTCTACTGGAAAGGGTCCTTGGGTGCCCTGCCTCACCTCTAGAAGCGTCCCTTTTGCCCTGCCAAGCCTCGAAGAGATTCCTGAGGTGTCCCTTGTTACTAGACAGGAGTCCTGACGTCACTGAATAAACAGGTGTTTTGAAGGGCCATCCCCGCCGTAACTCGAGAACATACCCCAGGTCCCCGCCACAACTCGAGAGAAACCATGAGACTTCCCCCTAGAGGCGAGATGAGGCCCCATTCCCCTGCAGTGCATGCAGAGCTATTCCGTGATCCCCATCAAACAAGTTAGGAGCTTCGACTTGCTTAATGGATCTCGAGACAGTCCCCAAGAACACTGTCACCAGTCTAGACGGACCCTGAGGTCAACCCAGCAACGCACAGCAGCTCCATGTGCCCCAAATCAACTCGACAGGAGGCCCGATTCCCCTGCATTGACTCCAGAGCCATCTTCCGTTCTCCATTCTACACGACCTTTGGCTTGACTTCCTTAAGGCATCTCCAGAGATGCCCCGAGAACACTGTCCCAAGTCTAGAGGAACACTAACTTCAGCACAGCAACTCGAGGAATGCTCCGTGTACCCTAAATCGTTTCGAGATGAGAGTAGATTCCCTGGCTTATGCTCAAGACGTATGCCAACTTTCCAGAAGCACCTCAAGAGGAGGCTTCTCTCAGCAATAGGTATGTGGGAGGGACCCCGAGGTTGCTGCCTCAAATGGAATATACAGCGAGAAGCCCTAACTTGAAAGGAGGCCGGATTTCCTTGCAGTGGCTTGAATACAGGCTCGTCTTTCATCTCACAACATGAAGGGATGTCTGAATCCCCTGTGGAGACCTTAGAGAAAGCCCTAGGTCCCTGCCTCCTTTTGACGGAATGCCTCACTTCCCGTGGACACCTCGAGAGGCACTCGGAGTTCACTTCCTCAAAAGGTGACAATGCCTGACTCCTCTTAAATACTGATAGGAATCCCCAAAACCCTGTGCCTACAGGAAAGGGTCCTTGGGTGCCCTGCCTCACCTTGAGAAGCGTCCCTTTTGCCCTGCCAAGCCTCGAAGAGATTCCTCAGGTGTCCCTCGTTACTAGACAAGAGTCCTGACGTCACTGAATAAACAGGTGTTTTGAAGAGCCATCCCCGCTGTAACTCGAGAACATACACCAGGTCCCCGCTGCAACTTGAGAAAAACCATGGGACTTCCCCCTAGAGGCGAGATGAGGCCCCATTCCCCTGCAGTGCATGCAGAGCTACTCAGTGATATCCATCAAACAAGTCAGGAGCTTCGACTTGCTTAATGGAACTCGAGGCAGTCCCCAAGAACACTGTCAACAGTCTAGACGGACGCACAGGTCTACCCAGCAACGCAAAGCAGCACCCTGTGCCCAAAAATCAAATCAAGATGAAGCCCGATTCCCCTGCCTTGACTCCAGAGCCATCCCCATTCAACATTCAACACGCCCAGTGGCTTGACTTCCTTCAGGCAACACCAGAGATGCCCCGAGAACACTGTCCCAAGTCTGGAGGAAGACCACCTTCAGCACAGCAACTCCAGGAATACTCCGTGTACCCCAAATCGTCTCGAGATGAGAGCTGATTCCCTGGCTTAGGTTCAAGACGAATTCCAACTTTCCAGAAGCAACTCAAGAGGAGGATTCTCTGAGCAATAGTTATGTGGGAGGGACTCCGAATATGCTGCCACATGTGGAATGTACAGCGAGAAGCCCTAACTTGAAAGGAGGCCAGATTTCCTTGCAGTGGCTTGAATACAGGCTCGTCTTTCTTCTCACAACATGAAGGGATGTCTGAATCCCCTGTGGAGACCTTAGAGAAAGCCATAGGTCCCTGCCTCATTTTGACGGAATGCCTCACTTCCCGTGGACACCTCGAGAGGCACTTGGAGTTCACTGCCTCAAAAGGTGACAATGCCTGACTCCTCTTGAATACTGATAGGAATCCCAAAAACCCTGTGCCTACAGGAAAGGGTCCTTGGGTGCCCTGCCTCACCTCGAGAAGCGTCCCTTTTGCCCTGCCAAGCCTCGAAGAGATTCCTGAGGTGTCCCTCCTTACTAGACAAGAGTCCTGACGTCACTGAATAAACAGGTGTTTTGAAGGGCCATCCCCGCTGTAACTCGAGAACATACACCAGTTCCCCGATGCAACTTGAGAAAAACCATGGGACTTCCCCCTAGAGCAGAGATGAGGCCCCATTCCCCTGTAGTGCATGCAGAGCTATTCAGTGATCTCCATCAAACAAGTCAGGAGCTTCGACTTGCTTAATGGAACTCGAGACAGTCCCCAAGAACACTGTCACCAGTCTAGACGGACCCTGTGGTCACCCCAGCAATGCAAAGCAGGTCCCTGTGCCCCAAAATCAAATCGAGATGAGGCCCGATTTCCCTGCATTGACTCCAAAGCCATCCCCGTTCAACATTCAACACGCCCAGTGGCTTGACTTCCTTCAGGCAACACCAGAGATGCCCCGAGAACACTCTCCCAAGTCTGGAGGAAGACCACCTTCAGCACAGCAACTCGAGGAATGCTCCGTGTACACCAAATCGTCTCCAGATGAGAGCTGATTCCCTGGCTTAGGCTCAAGACGTATGCCAACCTTCCAGAAGCACCTCAAGAGGAGGCTTCTCTCAGCAATAGGTATGTGGGAGGGACCCGGAGTTTGCTGCCTCAAGTGGAATATATGGCGAGAAGCCCTAACTTGAAAGGAGGCTGGATTTCCTTGCAGTGGCTTGAATACAGGCTCGTCTTTCATCTCACAACGTGAAAGGATGTCTGAATCCCCTGTGGAGACCTTAGAGAAAGCCTTAGGTCCCTGCCTCATTTTGACGGAATTCCTCACATCACGTTGACACCTCGAGAGGCACGCGGAGTTCACTGCCTCAAAAGGTGACGATGCCTGACTCCTCTTTAATACTGATAGGAATCCCAAAATCCCTGTGTCTACTGGAAAGGGTCCTTGGGTGCCCTGCCTCACCTCTAGAAGCGTCCCTTTTGCCCTGCCAAGCCTCGAAGAGATTCCTGAGGTGTCCCTTGTTACTAGACAGGAGTCCTGACGTCACTGAATAAACAGGTGTTTTGAAGGGCCATCCCCGCCGTAACTCGAGAACATACCCCAGGTCCCCGCCACAACTCGAGAGAAACCAAGAGACTTCCCCCTAGAGGCGAGATGAGGCCCCATTCCCCTGCAGTGCATGCAGAGCTATTCCGTGATCCCCATCCAACAAGTTAGGAGCTTCAACTTGCTTAATGGATCTCGAGACAGTCCCCAAGAACACTATCACCAGTCTAGACGGACCCTGAGGTCAAGCCAGCAACGCACAGCAGCTCCATGTGCCCCAAAACAACTCGACAGGAGGCCCGATTCCCCTGCATTGACTCCAGAGCCATCTTCCGTTCTCCATTCTACACGACCATTGGCTTGACTTCCTTAAGGCAACTCCAGAGATGCCCCGAGAACACTGTCCCAAGTCTAGAGGAACACTAATTTCAGCACAGCAACTCGAGGAATGCTCCGTGTACCCCAAATCGTTTCGAGATGAGAGCAGATTCCCTGGCTTAGGCTCAAGACGTATGCCAACTTTCCAGAAGCACCTCAAGAGGAGGCTTCTCTCAGCAATAGGTATGTGGGAGGGACCCCGGGTTGGCTGCCACAAGTGGAATATACAGCGAGAAGCCCTAACTTGAAAGGAGGCTGGATTTCCTTGCAGTGGCTTGAATACAGGCTCGTCTTTCATCTCACAACGTGAAGGGATGTCTCAATCCTCTGTGGAGACCTTAGAGAAAGCCCTAGGTCCCTGCCTCATTTTAACGGAATGCCTCACATCCCATTGACACATCGAGAGGCACGTGGAGTTCATTGTTTCAAAAGGTGACGATGCCTGACTCCTCTTGAATACTGATAGGAATCCCAAAATCCCTGTGGTTACTGGAAAGGGTCCTTGGGTGCCCTGCCTCACCTCTAGAAGCGTCCGTTTTGCCCTGCCAAGCCTCGGAGAGATTACTGAGGTGTCCCTCGTTACTAGACAGGAGTCCTGACGTCACTGAATAAACAGGTGTTTTGAAGTGCATCCCCGCTGTAACTCGAGAACATACACCAGGTCCCCGCTGCAACTTGAGAAAAACCATGGGACTTCCCCCTAGAGGCGAGATGAGGCCCCATTCCCCTGCAGTGCATGCAGAGCTATTCTGTGATCTCCATCAAACAAGTCAGGATCTTCGACTTGTTTAATGGAACCCGAGACAGTCCCCAAGAACACTGTCACCAGTCTAGACGGACTCTGAGGTCACCCCAGCAACGCAAAGCAGCTCCCTGTGCCCAAAAATCAAATCGAGATGAGGCCCGATTCATCTGCATTGACTCCAGAGCCAATCCTGTTCAACATTCAACACGCCCAGTGGCTTGACTTCCTTCAGGCAACACCAGAGATGCCCCGAGAACACTGTCCCAAGTCTGGAAGAAGACCACCTTCAGCACAGCAACTCGAGGAATGCACCATATACCGCAAATCGTCTCGAGATGAGAGCTGATTCCCTCGCTTATGCTCAAGACGTATGCCAACCTTCCAGAAGCACCTCAAGAGGAGGCTTCTCTCAGCAATAGGTATGTGGGAGGGACCCCGGGTTGGCTGCCTCAAATGGAATATACAGCGAGAAGCCCTACCTTGAAAGGAGGCTGGATTTCCTTGCAGTGGCTTGAATACAGGCTCGTCTTTCATCTCACAACGTGAAGGGATGTCTGAATCCCCTGTGGATACCTTAGAGAAAGCCCTAGTTCCCTGCCTCATTTTGACGGAATGCCTCACATCCCGCTGACACCTCGAGAGGCACGCGGAGTTCATTGCTTCAAAAGGTGACGATGCCTGACTCCTCTTGAATACTGATAGGAATCCCAAAATCCCTGTGGCTACAGGAAAGGGTCCTTGGGTGCCCTGCCTCACCACTGGAAGCGTCCCTTTTGCCCTGCCAAGCCTCGGAGAGATTACTGAGGTGTCCCTCGTTACTAGACAGGAGTCCTGACGTCACTGAATAAACAGGTGTTTTGAAGGGCCATCCCCGGCGTAACTCGAGAACATAGCCCAGGTCCCCGCCGCAACTCGAGAAAAACCATGAGACTTCCCCCTAGAGGCGAGATGAGGAGCCTTTCCCCTGCAGTGCATGCAGAGCTATTCCGTGATCCCCATCCAACAAGTTAGGAGTTTCGACTTGCTTAATGGATCTCGAGACAGTCCCCAAGAACACTATCACCAGTCTAGACGGACCCTGAGGTCAACCCAGCAACGCACAGCAGCTCCATGTGCCCCAAATCAACTCGACAGGAGGCCTGATTCCCCTGCATTGACTCCAGAGCCATCTTCCGTTCTCCATTCTACACGACCATTGGCTTGACTTCCTTAAGGCAACTCCAGAGATGCCCCGAGAACACTGTCCCTAGTCTAGAGGAACACTAACTTCAGCACAGCAACTCGAGGAATGCTCCGTGTACCACAAATCGTTTCGAGATGAGAGCAGATTCCCTGGCTTAGGCTCAAGACGTATGCCAACTTTCCAGAAGCACCTCAAGAGGAGGCTTCTCTCAGCAATAGGTATGTGGGAGGGACCCCGAGGTTGCTGCCTAAAGTGGAATATACAGCGAGAAGCCCTAACTTGAAAGGAGGCCGGATTTCCTTGCAGTGGCTTGAATAGAGGCTCGTCTTTCATCTCACAACATGAAGGGATGTCTGAATCCCCTGTGGAGACCTAGAGAAAGCCCTAGGTCCCTGCCTCCTTTTGACGGAATGCCTCACTTCCCGTGGACATCTCGAGAGGCACTCGGAGTTCACTTCCTCAAAAGGTGACAATGCCTGACTCCTCTTAAATACTGATAGGAATACCCAAAACCCTGTGCCTACAGGAAAGGGTCCTTGGGTGCCCTGCCTCACCTTGAGAAGCGTCCCTTTTGCCCTGCCAAGCCTCGAAGAGATTCCTCAGGTGTCCCTCGTTACTAGACAAGAGTCCTGACGTCACTGAATAAACAGGTGTTCTGAAGGGCCATCCCCGCTGTAACTCGAGAACATACACCAGGTCCCCGTTGCAACTTGAGAAAAACCATGGGACTTCCCCCTAGAGGCGAGATGAGGCCCCATTCCACTGCAGTGCATGCAGAGCTACTCAGTGATCTCCATCAAACAAGTCAGGAGCTTCGACTTGCTTAATGGAACACGAGGCAGTCCCCAAGAACACTGTCACCAGTCTAGACGGACCCACAGGTCTACCCAGCAACGCAAAGCAGCACCCTGTGCCCAAAAATCAAATCAAGATGAGGCCCGATTCCCCTGCCTTGACTCCAGAGCCATCCCCATTCAATATTCAACACGCCCAGTGGCTTGACTTCCTTCAGGCAACACCAGAGATGCCCCGAGAACACTGTCCCAAGAATGGAGGAAGACCCCCTTCAGCACAGCAACACGAGGAATGCTCTGTGTACCCCAAATCGTCTCGAGATGAGAGCTGATTCCCTGGCTTAGGTTCAAGACGTATGCCAACCTTCCAGAAGCACCTCAAGAGGAGGCTTCTCTCAGCAATAGGTATGTGGGAGGGACCCGGAGTTTGCTGCCTCAAGTGGAATATATGGCGAGAAGACCTAACTTGAAAGGAGGCCGGATTTCCTTGCAGTGGCTTGAATACAGGCTCGTCTTTCATCTCACAACATGAAGGGATGTCTGAATCCCCTGTGGAGACCTTAGAGAAAGCCGTAATTCCCTGCCTCATTTTGACAGAATTTCTCACATCCCGTTGACACCTCGAGAGGCACGCGGAGTTCACTGCTTCAAAATGTGATGATGCCTGACACCTCTTGAATACTGATAGGAATCCCAAAATCCCTGTGGCTACTGGAAAGGGAACGTGGGTGCCCTGCCTCACCTCGAGAAGCGTCCCTTTTGCCCTGCCAAGCCTCGAAGAGTTTCCTGAGGTGTTCCTCATTACTAAGGAGGAGTCCTGACTTCACTGAATAACCACGTGTTTTGAAGGGCCATCCCCGTCGTAACTCGATAACATACCCCAGGTCCCCGCCGTAACTCGAGAAAAAATATGAGACTTCCCCCTAGAGACGAGATGAGGCCCCATTCCCCTGCAGTGCATGCAGAGCTATTCCGTGATCCCCATCAAACAAGTCAGGAGCTTCGACTTGCTTAATGGATCTCGAGACAGTCCCCAAGAACACTGTCACCAGTCTAGACGGACGCTGAAGTCACCCCAGCAACGCACTGCAGCTCCATTTGCCCCAAAACAACTCGAGATGATGCCCGATTCCCCTGCATTGACTCCAGAGCCATCCCCAGTTCCCCATTCAACACGACCAGTGGCTTGACTTCCTTCAGGCAACTCCAGAGATGCCCCGAGAACACTGTCCCAAGTCTAGAGGAACACCAACTTCAGCACAGCAACTCGAGGAATGCACGGTGGACCCAAAATCATGTCGAGATGAGAGCTGATTCCCTGGCATAGGCTCAAGGCATATGCCAACTTTCCAGAAGCACCTCAAGAGGAGGCTTCTCTCAGCAATAGGTATGTGGTAGGGACCCCGGGTTGGCTGCCTCAAGTGGAATATACAGCGAGAAGCCCTAACTTGAAAGGAGGCTGGATTTCCTTGCAGTGGCTTGAATACAGGCTCGTCTTTCATCTCACAATGTGAAGGGATGTCTCAATCCCCTGTGGAGACATTAGAGAAAGCCCTAGGTCACTGCCTCATTTTGACGGAATGCCTCACATCCCGTTGACACATCGAGAGGCACGTGGAGTTCATTGCTTCAAAAGGTGACGATGCCTGACTCCTCTTGAATACTGATAGGAATCCCAAAATAACTGTGGCTACAGGAAAGGGTCCTTGGGTGCCCTGCCTCACCTCTAGAAGCGTCCCTTTTGCCCTGCCAAGCCTCGGAGAGATTACTGAGGTGTCCCTCGTTACTAGACAGGAGTCCTGACGTCACTGAATAAACAGGTGTTTTGAAGGGCCATCCCCGGCGCAACTCGAGAACATACCCCAGGTCCCCGCCGCAACTCGAGAAAAACCATGAGACTTCCCCCTAGAGGCGAGATGAGGCCCCATTCCCCTGCAGTGCATGCAGAGCTATTCCGTGATCCCCATCAAAGAAGTCAGGAGCTTCGACTTGCTTAATGGATCTCGAGACAGTCCCCAAGAACACTATCACCAGTCTAGACGGACCCTGAGGTCAACCCAGCAACGCACAGCAGCTCCATGTTCCCCAAATCAACTCGAGATGAGGCCCGATTCCCCTGCATTTACACCAGAGCCATCTTCCGTTCTCCATTCTACACGACCATTGGCTTGACTTCCTTAAGGCAACTCCAGAGATGCCCCGAGAACACTGTACCAAGTCTAGAGGAACACCAACTTCAGCACAGCAACTCGAGGAATGTTCCGTGTACCCCAAATCGTTTCGAGATGAGAGCAGATTCCCTGGCTTAGGCTCAAGACGTTGGCAACTTTCCAGAAGCACCTCAAGAGGAGGATTCTCTCAGCAATAGGTATGTGGGAGAGACCCCGATTATGCTGCCTCAAGTGGAATATACAGCGAGAAGCACTAACTTCAAAGAGGCCGGATTTCCTTGCAGTGGCTTGAATACAGGCTCGTCTATCATCTCACAACATGAAGGGATGTCTGAATCCCCTGTGGAGACCTTAGAGAAAGCCCTAGGTCCCTGCCTCATTTTGACGGAATGCCTCACTTCCTGTGGACACCTCGAGAGTCACTCGGAGTTCACTGCCTCGAAAGGTGACAATGCCTGACTCCTCTTGAATACTGATAGGAATCCCAAAAACCCTGTGCCTACAGGAAAGGGTAATTGGGTGCCCTGCCTCAGCTCTAGAAGCGTCCCTTTTGCCCTGCCAAGCCTTGAAGAGATTCCTGAGGTGTCCCTCGTTACTAGACAAGAGTCCTGACGTCACTGAATAAACAGGTGTTTTGAAGGGCCATCCCCGCTGCAACTCGAGAACATACACCAGGTCCCCGCTGCAACTTGAGAAAAACCATGGGACTTCCCCCTAGAGGCGAGATGAGGCCCCATTCCCCTGCAGTGCATGCAGAGCTATTCTGTGATCTCCATCAAACAAGTCAGGATCTTCGACTTGCTTAATGGAACCCGAGACAGTCCCCAAGAACACTGTCACCAGTCTAGACGGACCCTGAGGTCAACCCAGCAACGCACAGCAGCTCCATGTGCCCCAAATCAACTCGATAGGAGTCCTGATTCCCCTGCATTGACTCCAGAACCATCTTCCGTTCTCCATTCTACACGACCATTGGCTTGACTTCCTTAAGGCAACTCCAGAGATGCCCCGAGAACACTGTCCCAAGTCTAGAGGAACACTAACTTCAGCACAGCAACTCGAGGAATGCTCCATGTACCCAAAATCGTCTCGAGATGAGAGCAGATTCCCTGGCTTAGGCTCAAGACGTATGCCAGCTTTCCAGAAGCACCTCAAGAGGAGGCTTCTCTCAGGAATAGATATGTGGGAGGGACCCCGAGGTTGCTGCCTCAAGTGGAATATACAGCGAGAAGCCCTAACTTGAAAGGAGGCCGGATTTCCTTGCAGTGGCTTGAATAGAGGCTCGTCTTTCATCTCACAACATGAAGGGTTGTCTGAATCCCCTGGGGAGACCTTAGAGAAAGCCCTAGGTCCCTGCCTCCTTTTGACGGAATGCCTTACTTCAAGTGGACACCACGAGAGGCACTCGGAGTTCACTTCCTCAAAAGGTGACAATGCCTGACTCCTCTTAAATACTGATAGGAATCCCCAAAACCCTGTGCCTACAGGAAAGGGTCCTTGGGTGCCCTGCCTCACCTTGAGAAGCGTCCCTTTTGCCCTGCCAAGCCTCGAAGAGATTCCTCAGGTGTAACTCGTTACTAGACAAGAGTCCTGACGTCACTGAATAAACAGGTGTTTTGAAGGGCCATCCCCGCTGTAACTCGAGAACATACACCAGGTCCCCGATGCAACTTGAGAAAAACCATGGGACTTCCCCCTAGAGGCGAGATGAGGCCCCATTCCACTGCAGTGCATGCAGAGCTACTCAGTGATCTCCATCAAACAAGTCAGGAGCTTCGACTTGCTTAATGGAACTTGAGGCAGTCCCCAAGAACACTGTCACCAGTCTAGACGGAACCACAGGTCAACCCAGCAACGCAAAGCAGCACCCTGTGCCCAAAAATCAAATCAAGATGAGGCCCGATTCCCCTGCCTTGACTCCAGAGCCATCCCCATTCAATATTCAACACGCCCAGTGGCTTGACTTCCTTCAGGCAACACCAGAGATGCCCCGAGAACACTGTCCCAAGAATGGAGGAAGACCACCTTCAGCACAGCAACTCGAGGAATGCTCCGTGTACCCCAAATCGTCTCGAGATGAGAGCTGATTCCCTGGCTTAGGTTCAAGACGTATGCCAACCTTCCAGAAGCACCTCAAGAGGAGGCTTCTCTCAGCAATAGGTATGTGGGAGGGACCCGGAGTTTGCTGCCTCAAGTGGAATATATGGCGAGAAGACCTAACTTGAAAGGAGGCCGGATTTCCTTGCAGTGGCTTGAATACAGGCTCGTCTTTCATCTCACAACATGAAGGGATCTCTGAATCCCCTGTGGAGACCTTAGAGAAAGCCGTAATTCCCTGCCTCATTTTGACGGAATTTCTCACATCCCGTTGATAGCTCGAGAGGCACGCGGATTTCACTGCTTCAAAATGTGATGATGCCTGACTCCTCTTGAATACTGATAGGAATCCCAAAATCCCTGTGGCTACTGGAAAGGGAACGTGGGTGCCCTGCCTCACCTCGAGAAGCGTCCCTTTTGCCCTGCCAAGCCTCGAAGAGTTTCCTGAGGTGTTCCTCATTACTAAGGAGGAGTCCTGACGTCACTGAATAACCACGTGTTTTGAAGGGCCATCCCCGTCGTAACTCTATAACATACCCCAGGTCCCCGCCGTAACTCGAGAAAAAATATGAGACTTCCCCCTAGAGACGAGATGAGGCCCCATTCCCCTGCAGTGCATGCAGAGCTATTCCGTGATCCCCATCAAACAAGTCAGGAGCTTCGACTTGCTTAATGGATCTCGAGACAGTCCCCAAGAACACTGTCACCAGTCTAGACGGACGCTGAGGTCACCCCAGCAACGCACAGCAGCTCCATGTGCCCCAAAACAACTCGAGATGATGCCCGATTCCCCTGCATTGACTCCAGAGCCATCCCCAGTTCCCCATTCAACACGACCAGTGGCTTGACTTCCTTCAGGCAACTCCAGAGATACCCCGAGAACACTGTCCCAAATCTAGAGGAACACCAACTTCAACACAGCAACTCGAGGAATGCACGGTGGACCCAAAATCATGTCGAGATGAGAGCTGATTCCCTGGGATAGGCTCAAGGCATATGCCAACTTTCCAGAAGCACCTCAAGAGGAGGCTTCTCTCAGCAATAGGTATGTGGGAGGGACCCCGGGTTGGCTGCCTCAAGTGGAATATACAGCGAGAAGCCCTAACTTGAATGGAGGCTGGATTTCCTTGCAGTGGCTTGAATACTGGCTCGTCTTTCATCTCACAACGTGAAGGGATGTCTCAATCCCCTGTGGAGACCTTAGAGAAAGCCCTAGGTCCCTGCCTCATTTTGACGGAATGCCTCACATCCCGTTGACACATCGAGAGGCACGTGGAGTTCATTGCTTCAAAAGGTGACGATGCCTGACTCCTCTTGAATACTGATAGGAATCCCAAAATCCCTGTGGCTACAGGAAAGGGTCCTTGGGTGCCCTGCCTCACCTCTAGAAGCATCCCTTTTGCCCTGCCAAGCCTCGGAGAGATTACTGAGGTGTCCCTCGTTACTAGACAGGAGTCCTGACGTCACTGAATAAACAGGTGTTTTGAAGGGCCATCCCCTTCGTAACTCGAGAACATAGCCCAGGTCCCCGCCGCAACTCGAGAAAAACCATGAGACTTCCCCCTAGAGGCGAGATGAGGCCCCTTTCCCCTGCAGTGCATGCAGAGCTATTCCGTGATCCCCATCCAACAAGTTAGGAGTTTCGACTTGCTTAATGGATCTCGAGACAGTCCCCAAGAACACTATCACCAGTCTAGACGGACCCTGAGGTCAACCCAGCAACGCACAGCAGCTCCATGTGCCCCAAATCAACTCGACAGGAGGCCTGATTCCCCTGCATTGACTCCAGAGCCATCTTCCGTTCTCCATTCTACACGACCATTGGCTTGACTTCCTTAAGGCAACTCCAGAGATGACCCGAGAACACTGTCCCAAGTCTAGAGGAACACTAACTTCAGCACAGCAACTCGAGGAATGCTCTGTGTACCCCAAATCGTTTCGAGATGAGAGCAGATTCCCTGGCTTAGGCTCAAGACGTATGCCAACTTTCCAGAAGCACCTCAAGAGGAGGCTTCTCTCAGCAATAGGTATGTGGGAGGGACCCCGAGGTTGCTGCCTAAAGTGGAATATACAGCGAGAAGCCCTAACTTGAAAGGAGGCCGGATTTCCTTGCAGTGGCTTGAATAGAGGCTCGTCTTTCATCTCACAACATGAAGGGATGTCTGAATCCCCTGTGGAGACCTAGAGAAAGCCCTAGGTCCCTGCCTCCTTTTGACGGAATGCCTCACTTCCCGTGGACACCTCGAGAGGCACTCGGAGTTCACTTCCTCAAAAGGTGACAATGTCTGACTCCTCTTAAATACTGATAGGAATCCCCAAAACCCTGTGCCTACAGGAAAGGGTCCTTGGGTGCCCTGCCTCACCTTGAGAAGCGTCCCTTTTGCCCTGCCAAGCCTCGAAGAGATTCCTCAGGTGTCCCTCGTTACTAGACAAGACTCCTGACGTCACTGAATAAACAGGTGTTTTGAAGGGCCATCCTCGCTGTAACTCGAGAACATACACCAAGTCCCCGTTGCAACTTGAGAAAAACCATGGGACTTCCCCCTAGAGGCGAGATGAGGCCCCATTCCCCTGCAGTGCATGCAGAGCTACTCAGTGATCTCCATCAAACAAGTCAGGAGCTTCGACTTGCTTAATGGAACTCGAGGCAGTCTCCAAGAACACTGTGACCAGTCTAGACGGACCCACAGGTCTACCCAGCAACGCAAAGCAGCACCCTGTGCCCAAAAATCAAATCAAGATGAGGCCCGATTCCCCTGCCTTGACTCCAGAGCCATCACCATTCAACATTCAACACGCCCAGTGGCTTGACTTCCTTCAGACAACACCAGAGATGCCCCGAGAACACTGTCCCAAGTCTGGAGGAAGACCACCTTCAGCACAGCAACTCGAGGAATGGTCCGTGTACCCCTAATCGTCTCGAGATGAGAGCTGATTCCCTGGCTTAGGTTCAAGACGTATGCCAACCTTCCAGAAGCACCTCAAGAGGAGGCTTCTCTCAGCAATAGGTATGTGGGAGGGACCCGGAGTTTGCTGCCTCAAGTGGAATATATGGCGAGAAGACCTAACTTGAAAGGAGGCCGGATTTCCTTGCAGTGGCTTGAATACAGGCTCGTCTTTCATCTCACAACATGAAGGGATGTCTGAATCCCCTGTGGAGACCTTAGAGAAAGCCGTAATTCCCTGCCTCATTTTGACAGAATTTCTCACATCCCGTTGACACCTCGAGAGGCACGCGGAGTTCACTGCTTCAAAATGTGATGATGCCTGACACCTCTTGAATACTGATAGGAATCCCAAAATCCCTGTGGCTACTGGAAAGGGAACGTGGGTGCCCTGCCTCACCTCGAGAAGCGTCCCTTTTGCACTGCCAAGCCTCGAAGAGTTTCGTGAGGTGTTCCTCATTACTAAGGAGGAGTCCTGACGTCACTGAATAACCACGTGTTTTGAAGGGCCATCCACGTCGTAACTCGATAACATACCCCAGGTCCCCGCCGTAACTCGAGAAAAAATATGAGACTTCCCCCTAGAGACGAGATGAGGCCCCATTCCCCTGCAGTGCATGCAGAGCTATTCCGTGATCCCCATCAAACAAGTCAGGAGCTTCGACTTGCTTAATGGATCTCGAGACAGTCCCCAAGAACACTGTCACCAGTCTAGACGGACGCTGAAGTCACCCCAGCAACGCACATCAGCTCCATGTGCCCCAAAACAACTCGAGATGATGCCCGATTCCCCTGCATTGACTCCAGAGCCATCCCCAGTTCCCCATTCAACACGACCAGTGGCTTGATTTCCTTCAGGCAACTCCAGAGATGCCCCGAGAACACTGTCCCAAGTCTAGAGGAACACCAACTTCAGCACAGCAACTCGAGGAATGCACGGTGGATCCAAAATCATGTCGAGATGAGAGCTGATTCCCTGGCATAGGCTCAAGGCATATGCCAACTTTCCAGAAGCACCTCAAGAGGAGGCTTCTCTCGGCAATAGGTATGTGGTAGGGACACCGGGTTGGCTGCCTCAAGTGGAATATACAGCGAGAAGCCCTAACTTGAAAGGAGGCTGGATTTCCTTGCAGTGGCTTGAATACAGGCTCTTCTTTCATCTCACAACGTGAAGGGATGTCTCAATCCCCTGTGGAGACATTAGAGAAAGCCCTAGGTCACTGCCTCATTTTGACGGAATGCCTCACATCCCGTTGACACATCGAGAGGCACGTGGAGTTCATTGCTTCAAAAGGTGACGATGCCTGACTCCTCTTGAATACTGATAGGAATCCCAAAATAACTGTGGCTACAGGAAAGGGTCCTTGGGTGCCCTGCCTCACCTCTAGAAGCGTCCCTTTTGCCCTGCCAAGCCTCGGAGAGATTACTGAGGTGTCCCTCGTTACTAGACAGGAGTCCTGACATCACTGAATAAACAGGTGTTTTGAAGGGCCATCCCCGCCGTAACTCGAGAACATACCCCAGGTCCCCGCCGCAACTCGAGAAAAACCATGAGACTTCCCCCTAGAGGCGAGATGAGGCCCCATTCCCCTGCAGTGCATGCAGAGCTATTCCGTGATCCCCATCAAAGAAGTCAGGAGCTTCGACTTGCTTAATGGATCTCGACACAGTCCCCAAGAACACTATCACCAGTCTAGAAGGACCCTGAGGTCAACCCAGCAACGCACAGCAGCACCATGTGCCCCAAATCAACTCGAGATGAGGCCCGATTCCCCTGCATTTACACCAGAGCCATCGTCCGTTCTCCATTCTACACGACCATTGGCTTGACTTCCTTAAGGCAACTCCAGAGATGCCCCGAGAACACTGTACCAAGTCTAGAGGAACACCAACTTCAGCACAGCAACTCGAGGAATGTTCCGTGTACCCCAAATCGTATCGAGATGAGAGCAGATTCCCTGGGTTAGGCTCAAGACGTATGCCAACTTTCCAGAAGCACCTCAAGAGGAGGATTCTCTCAGCAATAGGTATGTGGGAGAGACCCCGATTATGCTGCCTCAAGTGGAATATACAGCGAGAAGCCCTAACTTCAAAGAGGCCGGATTTCTTTGCAGTGGCTTGAATACAGGCTCGTCTATCATCTCACAACATGAAGGGATGTCTGAATCCCCTGTGGAGACCTTAGAGAAAGCCCTAGGTCCCTGCCTCATTTTGACGGAATGCCTCACTTCCTGTGGACACCTCGAGAGGCACTCGGAGTTCACTGCCTCGAAAGGTGACAATGCCTGACTCCTCTTGAATACTGATAGGAATCCCAAAAACCCTGTGCCTACAGGAAAGGGTACTTGGGTGCCCTGCCTCAGCTCTAGAAGCGTCCCTTTTGCCCTGCCAAGCCTTGAAGAGATTCCTGAGGTGTCCCTCGTTACTAGACAAGAGTCCTGACTTCACTGAATAAACAGGTGTTTTGAAGGGCCATCCCCGCTGCAACTCGAGAACATACACCAGGTCCCCGCTGCAACTTGAGAAAAACCATGGGACTTCCCCCTAGAGGCGAGATGAGGCCCCATTCCCCTGCAGTGCATGCAGAGCTATTCTGTGATCTCCATCAAACAAGTCAGGATCTTCGACTTGCTTAATGGAACCCGAGACAGTCCCCAAGAACACTGTCACCAGTCTAGACGGACTCTGAGGTCACCCCAGCAACGCAAAGCAGCTCCCTGTGCCCAAAAATCAAATTGAGATGAGGCTCGATTCATCTGCATTGACTCCAGAGCCAACCCCGTTCAACATTCAACACGCCCAGTGGCTTGACTTCCTTCAGGCAACACCAGAGATGCGCCGAGAACACTGTCCCACGTCTGGAGGAAGACCACCTTCAGCACAGCAACTCGAGGAATGCACCATGTACCCCAAATCGTCTCGAGATGAGAGCTGATTCCCTCGCTTATGCTCAAGACGTATGCCAACCTTCCAGAAGCACCTCAAGAGGAGGCTTCTCTCAGCATTAGGTATGTGGGAGGGACCCGGAGTTTGCTGCCTCAAGTGGAATATATGGTGAGAAGCCCTAACTTGAAAGGAGGCTGGATTTCCTTGCAGTGGCTTGAATACAGGCTCGTCTTTCATCTCTGAACGTGAAGGGATGTCTGAATACCCTGTGGAGACCTTAGGGAAAGCCCTAGGTCCCTGCCTCTTTTTGACGGAATGCCTCACATCCCGTTGACACCTCGAGAGGCACGCGGAGTTCACTGCTTCAAAATGTGATGATGCCTGACTCCTCTTGAATACTGATAGGAATCCCAAAATCTCTGTGGCTACTGGAAAGGTAACGTGGGTGCCCTGCCTCACCTCGAGAAGCGTCCCTTTTGCCCTGCCAAGCTTCGAAGATTTTCCTCAGGTGTACCTCGTTACTAAGGAGGAGTCCTGACGTCACTGAATAACCACGTGTTTTGAAGGGCCATCCCCGTCGTAACTCGAGAACATACCCCAGGTCCCCGCCGTAACTCGAGAAAAAATATGAGATTTCCCCCTAGAGACGAGATGAGGCCCCATTCCCCTGCAGTGCATGCAGAGCTATTCCGTGATCCCCATCAAACAAGTCAGGAGCTTCGACTTGCTTAATGGATCTCGAGACAGTCCCCAAGAACACTGTCACCAGTCTAGACGGATGCTGCGGTCATCCCAGCAACGCACAGCAGCTCCATGTGCCCGAAAACAACTCGAGATGATGCCCGATTCCCCTGCATTGAGTCCAGAGCCATCCCCCGTTCCACATTCAACACGACCAGTGGCTTGACTTCCTTCGGGCAACTCCACAGATGACCCGAGAACAATGTCCCAAGTCTTGAGGAACACCAACTTCAGCACAGCAACTCGAGGAATGCACGGTGGACCCAAAATCATCTCGAGATGAGAGCTGATTCCCTGGCATAGGCTCAAGGCATATGCCAACTTTCCAGAAGCACCTCAAGAGGAGGCTTCTCTCAGCAATAGGTATGTGGGAGGGACCCCGGGTTGGCTGCCTCAAATGGAATATACAGCGAGAAGCCCTACCCTGAAAGGAGGCTGGATTTCCTTGCAGTGGCTTGAATACAGGCTCGTCTTTCATCTCACAACGTGAAGGGATGTCTGAATCCCCTGTGGATACCTTAGAGAAAGCCCTAGGTCCCTGCCTCATTTTGACGGAATGCCTCACATCCCGCTGACACTTCTAGAGGCACGCGGAGTTCATTGCTTCAAAAGGTGACGATGCCTGACTCCTCTTGAATACTGATAGGAATCCCAAAATCCCTGTGTCTACTGGAAAGGGTCCTTGGGTGCCCTGCCTCACCTCTAGAAGCGTCCCTTTTGCCCTGCCAAGCCTCGAAGAGATTCCTGAGGTGTCCCTTGTTACTAGACAGGAGTCCTGACGTCACTGAATAAACAGGTGTTTTGAAGGGCCATCCCCGCCGTAACTCGAGAACATACCCCAGGTCCCCGCCGCAACTCGAGAGAAACCATGAGACTTCCCCCTAGAGGCGAGATGAGTCCCCATTCCCCTGCAGTGCATGCAGAGCTATTCCGTGATCCCCATCCAACAAGTTAGGAGCTTCGACTTGCTTAATGGATCTCGAGACAGTCCCCAAGAACACTATCACCAGTCTAGACGGACCCTGAGGTCAACCCAGCAACGCACAGCAGCTCCATGTGCCCCAAATCAACTCGATAGGAGTCCTGATTCCCCTGCATTGACTCCAGAGCCATCTTCCGTTCTCCATTCTACACGACCATTGGCTTGACTTCCTTAAGGCAACTCCAGAGATGCCCCGAGAACACTGTCCCAAGTCTAGAGGAACACTAACTTCAGCACAGCAACTCGAGGAATGCTCCGTGTACCCCAAATCGTTTCGAGATGAGAGCAGATTCTCTGGCTTAGGCTCAAGACGTATGCCAACTTTCCAGAAGCACCTCAAGAGGAGGCTTCTCTCAGCAATAGATATGTGGGAGGGACCCCGAGGTTGCTGCCTCAAGTGGAATATACAGCGAGAAGCCCTAACTTGAAATGAGGCCGGATTTCCTTGCAGTGGCTTGAATAGAGGCTCGTCTTTCATCTCACAACATGAAGGGATGTCTGAATCCCCTGGGGAGACCTTAGAGAAAGCCCTAGGTCCCTGCCTCCTTTTGACGGAATGCCTCACTTCCCGTGGACACCTCCAGAGGCACTCGGAGTTCACTTCCTCAAAAGGTGACAATGCCTGACTCCTCTTAAATACTGATAGGAATCCCCAAAACCCTGTGCCTACAGGAAAGGGTCCTTGGGTGCCCTGCCTCACCTTGAGAAGCGTCCCTTTTGCCCTGCCAAGCCTCGAAGAGATTCCTCAGGTGTCCCTCGTTACTAGACAAGAGTCCTGACGTCACTGAATAAACAGGTGTTTTGAAGGGCCATCCCCGCTGTAACTCGAGAACATACACCAGGTCCCCGCTGCAAATTGAGAAAAACCATGGGACTTCCCCCTAGAGGCGAGATGAGGCCCCATTCCACTGCAGTGCATGCAGAGCTACTCAGTGATCTCCATCAAACAAGTTAGGAGCTTCGACTTGCTTAATGGAACTTGAGGCAGTCCCCAAGAACACTGTCACCAGTCTAGACGGAACCACAGGTCAACCCAGCAACGCAAAGCAGCACCCTGTGCCCAAAAATCAAATCAAGATGAGGCCCGATTCCCCTGCCTTGACTCCAGAGCCATCCCCATTCAATATTCAACAGGCCCAGTGGCTTGACTTCCTTCAGGCAACACCAGAGATGCCCCGAGAACACTGTCCCAAGTCTGGAGGAAGACCACCTTCAGCACAGCAACTCGAGGAATGCTCCGTGTACCCCAAATCGTCTCGAGATGAGAGCTGATTCCCTGGCTTAGGTTCAAGACGTATGCCAACCTTCCAGAAGCACCTCAAGAGGAGGCTTCTCTCAGCAATAGGTATGTGGGAGGGACCCGGAGTTTGCTGCCTCAAGGGGAATATATGGCGAGAAGCCCTAACTTGAAAGGAGGCCGGATTTCCTTGCAGTGGCTTGAATACAGGCTCGTCTTTCATCTCACAACATGAAGGGATCTCTGAATCCCCTGTGGAGACCTTAGAGAAAGCCGTAATTCCCTGCCTCATTTTGACAGAATTTCTCACATCCCGTTGACACCTCGAGAGGCACGCGGAGTTCACTGCTTCGAAATATGATGATGCCTGACTCCTCTTGAATACTGATAGGAATCCCAAAATCCCTGTGGCTACTGGAAAGGGAACTTGGGTGCCCTGCCTCACCTCGAGAAGCGTCCCTTTTGCCCTGACAAGCCTCGAAGAGTTTCCTGAGGTGTTCCTCATTACTAAGGAGGAGTCCTGACGTCACTGAATAACCACGTGTTTTGAAGGGCCATCCCCGTCGTAACTCGATAACATACCCCAGGTCCCCGCCGTAACTCGAGAAAAAATATGAGACTTCCCCCTAGAGACGAGATGAGGCCCCATTCCCCTGCAGTGCATGCAGAGCTATTCCGTGATCACCATCAAACTAGTCAGGAGCTTCGACTTGCTTAATGGATCTCGAGACAGTCCCCAAGAACACTGTCACCAGTCTAGACGGACGCTGAGGGCACCCCAGCAGCGCACAGCAGCTCCATGTGCCCCAAAACAATTCTAGATGATGCCCGATTCCCCTGCATTGACTCCAGAGCCATCCCCAGTTCCCCATTAAACACGACCAGTGGCTTGACTTCCTTCAGGCAACTCCAGAGTTGCTCCGAGAACACTGTCCCAAGTCTAGAGGAACACCAACTTCAGCACAGCAACTCGAGGAATGCTCCGTGTACCCCAAATCGTTTCGAGATGAGAGCAGATTCCCTGGCTTAGGCTCAAGACGTATGCCAACTTTCCAGAAGCACCTCAAGAGGAGGCTTCTCTCAGCAATAGATATGTGGGAGGGACCCCGAGGTTGCTGCCTCAAGTGGAATATACAGCGAGAAGCCCTAACTTGAAAGGAGGCCGGATTTCCTTGCAGTGGCTTGAATAGAGGCTCGTCTTTCATCTCACAACATGAAGGGATGTCTGAATCCCCTGGGGAGACCTTAGAGAAAGCCCTAGGTCCCTGCCTCCTTTTGACGGAATGCCTCACTTCCCGTGGACACCTCGAGAGGCACTCGGAGTTCACTTCCTCAAAAGGTGACAATGCCTGACTCCTCTTAAATACTGATAGGAATCCCCAAAACCCTGTGCCTACAGGAAAGGGTCCTTGGGTGCCCTGCCTCACCTTGAGAAGCGTCCCTTTTGCCCTGCCAAGCCTCGAAGAGATTCCTCAGGTGTCCCTCGTTACTAGACAAGAGTCCTGACGTCACTGAATAAACAGGTGTTTTGAAGGGCCATCCCCGCTGTAACTCGAGAACATACACCAGGTCCCCGCTGCAAATTGAGAAAAACCATGGGACTTCCCCCTAGAGGCGAGATGAGGCCCCATTCCACTGCAGTGCATGCAGAGCTACTCAGTGATCTCCATCAAACAAGTTAGGAGCTTCGACTTGCTTAATGGAACTTGAGGCAGTCCCCAAGAACACTGTCACCAGTCTAGACGGAACCACAGGTCAACCCAGCAACGCAAAGCAGCACCCTGTGCCCAAAAATCAAATCAAGATGAGGCCCGATTCCCCTGCCTTGACTCCAGAGCCATTCCCATTCAATATTCAACAGGCCCAGTGGCTTGACTTCCTTCAGGCAACACCAGAGATGCCCCGAGAACACTGTCTCAAGTCTGGAGGAAGACCACCTTCAGCACAGCAACTCGAGGAATGCTCCGTGTACCCCAAATCGTCTCGAGATGAGAGCTGATTCCCTGGCTTAGGTTCAAGACGTATGCCAACCTTCCAGAAGCACCTCAAGAGGAGGCTTCTCTCAGCAATAGGTATGTGGGAGGGACCCGGAGTTTGCTGCCTCAAGGGGAATATATGGCGAGAAGCCCTAACTTGAAAGCAGGCCGGATTTCCTTGCAGTGGCTTGAATACAGGCTCGTCTTTCATCTCACAACATGAAGGGATCTCTGAATCCCCTGTGGAGACCTTAGAGAAAGCCGTAATTCCCTGCCTCATTTTGACGGAATTTCTCACATCCCGTTGACACCTCGAGAGGCACGCGGAGTTCACTGCTTCAAAATGTGATGATGCCTGACTCCTCTTGAATACTGATAGGAATCCCAAAATCTCTGTGGCTACTGGAAAGGGAACTTGGGTGCCCTGCCTCACCTCGAGAAGCGTCCCTTTTGCCCTGCCAAGCCTCGAAGAGTTTCCTGAGGTGTTCCTCATTACTAAGGAGGAGTCCTGACGTCACTGAATAACCACGTGTTTTGAAGGGCCATCCCCGTCGTAACTCGATAACATACCCCAGGTCCCCGCCGTAACTCGAGAAAAAATATGAGACTTCCCCCTAGAGACGAGATGAGGCCCCATTCCCCTGCAGTGCATGCAGAGCTATTCCGTGATCACCATCAAACTAGTCAGGAGCTTCGACTTGCTTAATGGATCTCGAGACAGTCCCCAAGAACACTGTCACCAGTCTAGACGGACGCTGAGGTCACCCCAGCAGCGCACAGCAGCTCCATGTGCCCCAAAACAATTCTAGATGATGCCCGATTCCCCTGCATTGACTCCAGAGCCATCCCCAGTTCCCCATTAAACACGACCAGTGGCTTGACTTCCTTCAGGCAACTCCAGAGATGCTCCGAGAACACTGTCCCAAGTCTAGAGGAACACCAACTTCAGCAAAGCAACTCGAGGAATGCACGGTGGACCCAAAATCATGTCGAGATGAGAGCTGATTCCATGGCATAGGCTCAAGGCATATGCCAACTTTCCAGAAGCACCTCAAGAGGAGGCTTCTCTCAGCAATAGATATGTGGGAGGGACCCCGGGTTGGCTGCCTCAAGTGGAATATACAGCGAGAAGCCCTAACTTGAAAGGAGGCCGGATTTCTTTGCAGTGGCTTGAATACAGGCTCGTCTTTCATCTCACAACGTGAAGGGATGTCTCAATACCCTGTGGACACCTTAGAGAAATCCCTAGGTCCCTACCTCATTTTGACGGAATGCCTCCCATCCCGTTGACACATCGAGAGGCACATGGAGTTCATTGCTTCAAAAGGTGACGATGCCTGACTCCTCTTGAATACTGATAGGAATCCCAAAATCCCTGTGGCTACAGGAAAGGGTCCTTGGGTGCCCTGCCTCACCTCTAGAAGCGTCCCTTTTTCCTGCCAAGCCTCGAAGAGATTACTGAGGTGTCCCTCGTTACTAGACAGGAGTCCTGACGTCACTGAATAAACAGGTGTTTTGAAGGGCCATCGCCGGCGTAACTCGAGAACATACCCCAGGTCCCCGCCGCAACTCGAGAAAAACCATGAGACTTCCCCCTAGAGGCGAGATGAGGCCCCATTCCCCTGCAGTGCATGCAGAGCTATTCCGTGATCCCCATCAAACAAGTCAGGAGCTTCGACTTGCTTAATGGATCTCGAGACAGTCCCCAAGAACACTATCACCAGTCTAGACGGACCCTGAGGTCAACCCAGCAACGCACAGCAGCTCCATGTGCCCCAAATCAACTCGAGATGAGGCCCGATTCCCCTGCATTTACACCAGAGCCATCTTCCGTTCTCCATTCTACACGACCGTTGGCTTGACTTCCTTAAGGCAACTCTAGAGATGCCCCGAGAACACTGTCCCAAGTCTAGAGGAACACCAACTTCAGCACAGCAACTCGAGGAATGTTCCGTGTACCCCAAATCGTTTCGAGATGAGAGCAGATTCCCTGGCTTAGGCTCAAGACGTATGCCAACTTTCCAGAAGCACCTCAAGAGGAGGATTCTCTCAGCAATAGGTATGTGGGAGGGACCCCGATTATGCTGCCTCAAGTGGAATATACAGCGAGAAGCCCTAATTTGAAAGAGGCCGGATTTCCTTGCAGTGGCTTGAATACAGGCTCGTCTTTCATCTCACAACATGAACGTATGTCTGAATCCCCTGTGGAGACCTTAGAGAAAGCCCTAGGTCCCTGCCTCATTTTGACGGAATGCCTCACTTCCTGTGGACACCTCGAGAGGCACTCGGAGTTCCCTGCCTCAAAAGGTGACAATACCTGACTCCTCTTGAATACTGATAGGAATCCCAAAATCACTGTGCCTACAGGAATGGGTCCTTGGGTTCCCTGCCTCACCTCGAGAAGCGTCCCTTTTGCCCTGCAAAGCCTCGAAGAGATTCCTCAGGTGTCCCTCTTTACTAGACAAGAGTCCTGACGTTACTGAATAAACAGGTGTTTGGCAGGGCCATCCCCAATGTAACTCGAGAACATACACCAGGTCCCCGCTGCAACTTGAGAAAAACCATGGGACTTCCCCCTAGAGGCGAGATGAGGCCCCATTCCCCTGCAGTGCATGCAGAGCTATTCAGTGATCTCCATCAAACAAGTCAGGAGCTTCGACTTGCTTAATGGAACCCGAGACAGTCCCTAAGAACACTGTCACCAGTCTAGACGGACTCTGAGGTCACCCCAGCAACGCAAAGCAGCTCCCTGTGCCCAAAAATCAAATCGAGATGAGGCCCGATTCATCTGCATTGACTCCAGAGCCAACCCCGTTCAACATTCAACAGGCCCAGTGGCTTGACTTCCTTCAGGCAACACCAGAGATGCCTCGAGAACACTGTCCCAAGTCTGGAGGAAGACCACCTTCAGCACAGGAACTCGAGGAATGCACCATGTACCCCAAATCGTCTCGAGATGAGAGCTGTTTCCCTCGCTTAGGCTCAAGACGAATGCCAACCTTCCAGAAGTACCTCAAGAGGAGGCTTCTCTCAGCAATAGGTATGTGGGAGGGACCCGGAGTTTGCTGCCTCAAGTGGAATATATGGCGAGAAGCCCTAACTTGAAAGGAGCCTGGATTTCTTTGCACTGGCTTGAACACAGGCTCGTCTTTCATCTCTCAACGTGAAGGGATGTCTGAATCCCCTGTGGAGACCATAGAGAAAGCCCTAGGTCCCTGCCTCATTTTGACAGAATGCCTCACATCCCGTTGACACCTCGAGAGGCACCCAGAGTTCACTGCCTCAAAAGGTGACGATGCCTGACTCCTCTTGAATACTGATAGGAATCGCAAAATCCCTGTGGCTACTGGAAAGGGTCCTTGGGTGCTCTGCCTCACCTCGAGAAGCGTCCCTTTTGACCTGCCAAGCCTTGAAGAGATTCCTGAGGTGTCCCTCGTTATTAGACAGGAGTCCTGACGTCACTGAATAAACAGGTGTTTTGAAAGGCTATCCCCGCAGTAATTCGAGAACATACCCGAGGTCCCCGCCGCAACTCGAGAAAAACCATGAGACTGCCCCCTAGAGGCGAGATGAGGCCCCATTCCCCTGCATGCATGCAGAGCTATTCCGTGATCTCCATCAAACAAGTCAGGAGCTTCGACTTGCTTAATGGATCTCGAGACAGTCCCCAAGAACACTGTCACCAGTCTAGACGGACACTGAGGTCACCCCAGCAATGCAAAGCAGCTCCCTGTGCCCAAAAATCAAATCGAGATGAGGCCCGATTCCCCTGCATTGACTCCAGAGCCATCCCCATTCAACATTCAACACGCCCAGTGGCTTGACTTCCTTCAGGCAACACCAGAGATGCCTCGAGAACACTGTCCCAAGTCTGGAGGAAGACCACCTTCAGCACAGCAACTAGAGGAATGCTCCGTGTACCCCAAATCGTCTCGAGATGAGAGCTGATTCCCTGGCTTAGGCTCAAGACATATGCCAACTTTCCAGAAGCACCTCAAGAGGAGGATTCTCTCAGCAATAGGTATGTTGGAGGGACCCCGAGTTTGCTGCCTCAAGTGGAATATACAGCGAGAAGCCCAAACTTGAAAGGAGGTCTGATTTCCTTGCAGTGGCTTGAATACAGGCTCGTCTTTCATCTCACAACATGAAGGGATGTCTGATTCCCCTGTGGAGACCTTAGAGAAAGCCCTAGGTCCCTGCCTCATTTTGACGGAATGCCTCACTTCCCGTGGACAACTCGAGAGGCACTCGGAGTTCACTGCCTCAAAAGGTGACAATGCCTGACTCCTCTTGAATACTGATAGGAATCCCAAAATCCCTGTGCCTACAGTAAAGGGTCCTTGGGTGCCCTGCCTCACCTCGAGAAGCGTCCCTGTTGCCCGGCCAAGCTTCGAAGAATTTCCTCAGGTGTTCCTCGTTACTAAGGAGGAGTCCTGACGTCACTGAATAAACAGGTGTTTTGAAGGGCCATCCCCGCTGTAACTCGAGAACATACCCCAGGTCCCTGCCGCAACTCGAGAAAAACCATGAGACTTCCCCCTAGAGGCGAGATGAGGCCCCATTCCCCTGCAGTGCATGCAGAGCTATTCCGTGATCCCCATCAAACAAGTTAGGAGCTTCGACTTGCTTAATGGATCTCGAGACAGTCCCCAAGAACACTATCACAAGTCTAGACGGACCCTGAGGTCAACCCAGCAACGCACAGCAGCTCCATGTGCCCCAAATCAACTCGACAGGAGGCCCGATTCCCCTGCATTGACTCCAGAGCCATCTTCCGTTCTCCACTCTACACCTCCATTGGCTTGACTTCCTTAAGACAACTCCAGAGATGCCCCGAGAACACTGTCCCAAGTCTAAAGGAACACTAACTTCAGCACAGCAACTCGAGGAATGCTCCGTGTACCCCAAATCGTTTCGAGATGAGAGCAGATTCCCTGGCTTAGGCTCAAGACGTATGCCAACTTTCCAGAACCACCACAAGAGGAGGATTCTCTCAGCAATAGGTATGTGGGAGGGACCCCGAGGTTGCTGCCTCAAGTGGAATATACAGCGAGAAGCCCTAACTTGAAAGGAGGCCGGATTTCCTTGCAGTGGCTTGAATACAGGCTCGTCTTTCATCTCACAACATGAAGGGATGTCTGAATCCCCTGTGGAGAAATTAGAGAAAGCCCTAGGTCCCTGCCTCATTTTGATGGAATGCCTCACTTCCCGTGGACACCTCGAGAGGCACTCGGAGTTCACTTTCTCAAAAGGTGACAATGCCTGACTCATCTTGAATACTGATAGGAATCCCCAAAACTCTGTGCCTACAGGAAAGGGTCCTTGGGTGCCCTGCCTCACCTTGAGAAGAGTCACTTTTGCCCTGCCAAGCCTCGAAGAGATTCCTCAGGTGTCCCTCGTTACTAGACAAGAGTCCTGACGTCACTGAATAACCACGTGTTTTGAAGGGCCATCCCCGTCGTAACTCGATAACATACCCCAGGTCCCCGCCGTAACTCGAGAAAAAATATGAGACTTCCCCCTAGAGACGAGATGAGGCCCCATTCCCCTGCAGTGCATGCAGAGCTATTCCGTGATTCCCATCAAACAAGTCAGGAGCTTCGACTTCCTTATTGGATCTCGAAACAGTCCCCAAGAACACTGTCACCAGTCTAGACGGACGCTGAGGTCACCCCAGCAACGCACAGCAGCTCCATGTGCCCCAAAACAACTCTAGATGATGCCCGATTCCCCTGCATTGACTCCAGAGCCATCCCCAGTTCCCCATTCAACACGACCAGTGGCTTGACTTCCTTCAGGCAACTCCAGAGATGCCCCGAGAACACTGTCCCAAGTCTAGATTAACACCAACTTCAGCACAGCAACTCGAGGAATGCACGGTGGACCCACAATCATGTCGAGATGACAGCTGATTCCCTGGCATAGGCTCAAGGCATATGCCAAATTTCCAGAACCACCTCAAGAGTAGGCTTCTCTCAGCAATACGTATGTGGGAGGGACCCCGGGTTGGCTGCCTCAAGTGGAATATACAGCGAGAAGCCCTAACTTGAGAGGAGGCCGGATTTCCTTGCAGTGGCTTGAATACAGGCTCGTCTTTCATCTCACAACATGAAGGGATGTCTGAATCCCCTGTGGAGAAATTAGAGAAAGCCCTAGGTCCCTACCTCATTTTGACGGAATGCCTCACTTCCCGTGGACACCACGAGAGGCACTCGGAGTTCACTTCCTCAAAAGGTGACAATTCCTGACTCTTCTTGAATACTGATAGGAATCCCCAAAACCCTGTGACTACAGGAAAGGGTCCTTGGGTGCCCTGCCTCACCTTGAGAAGCGTCCCTTTTGCCCTGCCAAGCCTCGAAGAGATTCCGCAGGTGTCCCTCGTTACTAGACAAGAGTCCTGAAGTCACTGTATAAACAGGTGTTTTGAAGGGCCATCCCCACTGTAACTCGAGAACATACACTAGGTCCCCGTTGCAACTTGAGGAAAACCATGGGACTTCCCCCTAGAGGCGAGATGAGGCCCCATTCCCCTGCAGTGCATGCAGAGCTATTCAGTGAACTCTATCAAACAAGTCAGGAGCTTCGACTTGCTTAATGGAACTCGAGGCAGTCCCCAAGAACACTGTCACCAGTCTAGACGGACACACAGGTCAACCCAGCAACGCAAAGCAGCACCCTGTGCCCAAAAATCAAATCAAGATGAGGCCCGATTCGCCTGCATTGACTCCAGAGCCATCCCCATTCAACATTCAACACGCCCAGTGGCTTGACTTCCTTCAGGCAACACCAGAGATGCCCCGAGAACACTGTCCCAAGTATGGAGGAAGACCACCTTCAGCACAGCAACTCGAGGAATGCTCCGTGTACCCCAAATTGTCTCGAGATGAGAGCTGATTCCCTGGCTTAGGTTCAAGACGTATGCCAACCTTCCAGAAGCACCTCAAGAGGAGGCTTCTCTCAGCAATAGGTATGTGGGAGGGACCCGGAGTTTGCTGCCTCAAGTGGAATATATGGCGAGAAGACCTAACTTGAAAGGAGGCCGGATTTCCTTGCAGTGTCTTGAATACAGGCTCGTCTTTCATCTCACAACATGAAGGAATGTCTGAATCCCCTGTGGAGACCATAGAGAAAGCCCTAGGTCCCTGCCTCATTTTGACGGAATGCCTCACATCCCGTGGACACCTCGAGAGGCACGCAGAGTTCACTGCCTCAAAAGGTGACGATGCCTGACTCCTCTTGAATACTGATAGGAATCCCAAAATCCCTGTGCCTACAGGAAAGGGTCCTTGGGTGCCCTGCCTCACCTCGAGAAGCGTCCCTTTTGCCCTGCCAAGCCTCGAAGAGATTCCTCAGGTGTCCCTCGTTACTAGACAAGAGTCCTGACGTCACTGAATAAACAGGTGTTTTGAAGGGCCATCGCCAATGTAACTCGAAAACATACAACAGGTCCCTGCTGCAACTTGAGAAAAACCATGGGACTTCACTCTAGAAGCGAGATGAGGCCCCATTTCCCTGCAGTGCATGCAGAGCTATTCAGAGATCTGCATCAAACAAGTCAGGAGCTTCGACTTGCTTAATGGAACTCGAGACAGTCCCCAAGAACACTGTCACCAGTCTAGACGGACCCTGAGGTCAGCCCAGCAACGCAAAGCAGCTCCCTGTGCCCAAAAATGAAATCAAGATGAGGCCCGATTCATCTGCATTGACTCCAAAGCCATCCCCGTTCAACATTCAACACGCCCAGTGGCTTGACTTCCTTCAGGCAACACCAGAGATGCCCCGAGAACACTGTTCCAAGTCTGGAGGAAGACCACCTTCAGCACAGCAACTCGAGGAATGCACCATGTACCCCAAATCGTCTCGAGATGAGAGCTGATTCCCTCGCTTAGGCTCAAGACGTATGCCAACCTTCCAGAAGCACCTCAAGAGGAGGCTTCTCTCAGCAATAGGTATCTGGGAGGGACCCGGACTTTGCTGCCTCAAGTGCAATATATGGCGAGAAGCCCTAACTTGAAAGGAGGCTGGATTTCCTTGCAGTGGCTTGAATACAGGCTCGTCTTTCATCTCTCAACGTGAAGGGATGTCTGAATCCCCTGTGGAGACCTTAGAGAAAGCCCGAAGTCCCTGCCTCATTTTGACGGAATGCCTCACACCCGGTTGACACCGCGAGAGGCAGGCGGAGTTCACTGCTTCAAAATGTGATGATGCCTGACTCCTCTTGAATACTGATAGGAATCCCAAAATCCCTGTGGCTACTGGAAAGGGAACGTGGGTGCCCTGCCTCACCTCGAGAAGCGTCCCTTTTGCCCTGCCAAGCCTGGAAGGGTTTCCTGAGGTGTTCCTCATTACTAAGGAGGAGTCCTGACGTCACTGAATAACCACGTGTTTTGAAGGGCCATCCCCGTCGTAACTCGAGAACATACCCTAGGTCCCCGCCGTAACTCGAGAAAAAATATGAGACTTCCCCCTAGAGACGAGATGAGGCCCCATTCCCCTGCAGTGCATGCAGAGCTATTCCGTGATCCCCATTAAACAAGTCAGGAGCTTCGACTTGCTTAATGGATCTCGAGACAGTCCCCAAGAACACTATCACCAGTCTAGACGGACCCTGAGGTCAACCCAGCAACGCACAGCAGCTCCATGTGCCCCAAAACAACTCGAGATGATGCCCGATTCCCCTGCATTGACTCCAGAGCCATCCCCAGTTCCCCATTCAACACGACCAGTGGCTTGACTTCCTTCAGGCAACTCCAGAGATGCCCCGAGAACACTGTCCCAAGTCTAGAGGAACACCAACTTCAGCACAGCAACTCGAGGAATGCACGGTGGACCCAAAATCATGTCGAGATGAGAGCTGATTCCCTGGCATAGGCTCAAGGCATATGCCAACTTTCCAGAAGCACCTCAAGAGGAGGCTTCTCTCAGCAATAGGTATGTGGAAGGGACCCCGGGTTGGCTGCCTCAAGTGGAATATACAGCGAGAAGCCCTAACTTGAAAGGAGGCTGGATTTCCTTGCAGTGGCTTGAATACAGGCTCGTCTTTCATCTCACAACGTGAAGGGATGTCTGAATCCCCTGTGGCGACCTTAGAGGAAGCCCTAGGTCCCTGCCTCATTTTGACGTAATGCCTCACATCCCGTTGACACATCGAGAGGCACGTGGAGTTCATTGCTTCAAAAGGTGACGATGCCTGACTCCTCTTGAATACTGATAGGAATCCCAAAATCCCTGTGGCTACAGGAAAGGGTCCTTGGGTGCCCTGCCTCAGCTCTAGAAGCGTCCCTTTTGCACTGCGAAGCCTCGAAGAGATTCCTGAGGTGTCCCTCGTTACTAGACAGGAGTCCTGACGTCACTGAATAAACAGGTGTTTTGAAGGGCCATCCCCGGTGTAACTCGAGAACATAGCCCAGGTCCCCGCCGCAACTCGAGAAAAACCATGAGACTTCCCCCTAGAGGCGAGATGAGGCCCCATTCCCCTGCAGTGCATGCAGAGCTATTCCGTGATCCCCATCGAACAAGTCAGGAGCTTCGACTTGCTTAATGGATCTCGAGACAGTCCCCAAGAACACTATCACCAGTCTAGACGGACCCTGAGGTCAACCCAGCAACGCACAGCAGCTCCATGTGCCCCAAATCAACTCGAGATGAGGCTCGATTCCCCTGCATTGACCCCAGACCCATCTTCCGTTCTCCATTCTACACGACCATTGGCTTGACTTCCTTAAGGCAACTCCAGAGATGCCCCGAGAACACTGTCCCAAGTCTAGAGGAACACCAACTTCAACACAGCAACTCGAGGAATGCTCCGTGTACCCCAAATCGTTTCGAGATGAGAGCAGATTCCCTGGCTTAGGCTCAAGACGTATGCCACCTTTCCAGAAGCACCTCAAGTGGAGGATGCTCTCAGCAGTAGGTATGTGGGAGGGACCCCGATTATGCTTCCTCAAGTGGAATATATGGCGAGAAGCCCTAACTTGAAAGAGGCCGGATTTCCTTGCAGTGGCTTGAATACAGGCTCGTCTTTCATCTCACAACATGAAGGGATGTCTGAATCCCCTGTGGAGACCTTAGAGAAAGCCCTAGGTCCCTGCCTCATTTTGACGGAATGCCTCACTTCCTGTGGACACCTCGAGAGGCACTCGGAGTTCACTGCCTCAAAAGGTGACAATGCCTGACTCCTCTTGAATACTGATAGGAATCCCAAAAACCCTGTGCCTACAGGAAAGGGTCCTTGGGTGCCCTGCCTCACCTCGAGAAGCGTCCCTTTTGCCCTGCCAAGCCTCGAAGAGATTCCTGAGGTGTCCCTCGTTACTAGACAAGACTCCTGACGTCACTGAATAAACAGGTGTTTTGAAGGGCCATCCCCAATGTAACTCGAGAACATACACCATGTCCCCGCTACAACTTGAGAAAAACCATGGGACTTTCCCCTAGAGGCGAGATGAGGCCCCATTCCCCTGCAGTGCATGCAGAGCTATTCAGTAATCTCCATCAAACATGTCAGGATCTTCGACTTGCTTAATGGAACCCGAGACAGTCCCCAAGAACACTGTCACCAGTCTAGACGGACTCTGAGGTCACCCCAGCAACGCAAAGCAGCTCCCTGTGCCCAAAAATCAAATCGAGATGAGGCCCGATTCATCTGCATTGACTCCAGATCCAACCCCGTTCAACATTCAACACGCCCAGTGGCTTGACTTCCTTCAGGCAACAACAGAGATGCCCCGAGAACACTGTCCCATGTCTGGAGGAAGACCACCTTCAGCACAGGAACTCGAGGAATGCACCATGTTCCCCAAATCGTCTCAAGATGAGAGCTGTTTCCCTCGCTTACGCTCAAGACGTATGCCAACCTTCCAGAAGCACCTCAAGAGGATGCTTCTCTCAGCAATAGGTATGTGGGAGGGACCCGGAGTTTGCTGCCTCAAGTGGAATATATGGCGAGAAGCCCTAACTTGAAAGGAGGCTGGATTTCCTTGCAGTGGCTTGAATACAGGCTCGTCTTTCATCTATCAACGTGAAGGGATGTCTGAATCCCCTGTGGAGACCATAGAGAAAGCCCTAGGTCCCTGCCTCATTTTGACGGAATGCCTCACATCCTGTGGACACCTCGAGAGGCACGCAGAGTTCACTGCCTCAAAAGGTGACGATGCCTGACTCCTCTTGAATACTGATAGGAATCCCAAAATCCCTGTGGCTACTGGAAAGTGTCCTTGGGTGCCCTGCCTCACCTCTAGAAGCGTCCCTTTTGCCCTGCCAAGCCTCGAAGAGATTCCTGAGTTGTCCCTCGTTACTAGACAGGAGTCCTGACGTCACTGAATAAACAGGTGTTTTGAAGGGCCATCCCCGGCGTAACTCGAGAACTTACCCCAGGTCCCCGCCGCAACTCGAGAAAAACCATGAGACTTCCCCCTAGAGGCGAGATGAGGCCCCATTCCCCTGCAGTGCATGCAGAGCTATTCCGTGATCCCCATCAAACAAGTCAGGAGCTTCGACTTGCTTAATGGATCTCGAGACAGTCCCCAAGAACACTATCACCAGTCTAGACGGACCCTGAAGTCAACCCAGCAACGCACAGCAGCTCCATGTGCCCCAAAACAAGTCGAGATGATGCCAGATTCCCCTGCATTGACTCCAGAGCCATCCCCAGTTCCCCATTCAACACGACCAGTGGCTTGACTTCCTTCAGGCAACTCCAGAGATGCCCCGAGAACACTGTCCCAAGTCTAGAAGAACATCAACTTGAGCACAGCAACTCGAGGAATGCACGGTGGACCCAAAATCATGTCGAGAAGAGAGCTGATTCCCTGGCATAGGCTCAAGGCATATGCCAACTTTCCAGAAGCACCTAAAGAGGAGGCTTCTCTCAGCAATAGGTATGTGGGAGGGCCCCCGGGTTGGCTGCCTCAAGTGGAATATACAGCGAGAAGCCCTAACTTGAAAGGAGGCTGGATTTCCTTGCAGTGGCTTGAATACAGGCTCGTCTTTCATCTCACAACGTGAAGGGATGTCTGAATCCCCTGTGGCGACCTTAGAGGAAGCCCTAGGGCCCTGCCTCATTTTGACGTAATGCCTCACATCCCGTTGACACATCGAGAGGCACGTGGAGTTCATTGCTTCAAAAGGTGACGATGCCTGACTCCTCTTGAATACTGATAGGAATCCCAAAATCCCTGTGGCTACAGGAAAGGGTCCTTGGGTGCCCTGTCTCGCCTCTAGAAGCGTCCCTTTTGCCCTGCCAAGCCTCGAAGAGATTCCTGAGGTGTCCCTCGTTACTAGACAGGAGTCCTGACGTCACTGAATAAACAGGTGTTTTGAAGGGCCATCCCCGGCGTAACTCGAGAACATAGCCCAGGTCCCCGCCGCAACTCGAGAAAAACCATGAGACTTCCCCCTAGAGGCGAGATGAGGCCCCATTCCCCTGCAGTGCATGCAGAGCTATTCCGTGATCCCCATCGAACAAGTCAGGAGCTTCGACTTGCTTAATGGATCTCGGGACAGTCCCCAAGAACACTATCACCAGTCTAGACGGACCCTGAGGTCATCCCAGCAACGCACAGCAGCTCCATGTGCTCCAAATCAACTCGAGATGAGGCCCGATTCCCCTGCATTTACCCCAGAGGCATCTTCCGTTCTCCATTCTACACGACCATTGGCTTGACTTCCTTAAGGCAACTCCAGAGATGCCCCGAGAACACTGTCCCAAGTCTAGAGGAACACCAACTTCAGCACAGCACCTCGAGGAATGCTCCGTGTACCCCAAATCGTTTCGAGATGAGAGCAGATTCCCTGGCTTAGGCTCAAGACGTATGCCACCTTTCCAGAAGCACCTCAAGTGGAGGATGCTCTCAGCAATAGGTATGTGGGAGGGACCCCGATTATGCTTCCTCAATTGGAATATATGGCGAGAATCCTAACTTGAAAGAGGCCGGATTTCCTTGCAGTGGCTTGAATACAGGCTCGTCTTTCATCTCACAACATGAAGGGATGTCTGAATCCCCTGTGGAGACCTTTGAGAAAGCCCTAGGTCCCTGCCTCATTTTGACGGAATGCGTCACTTCCTGTGGACACCTCGAGAGACACTCGGAGTTCACTGCCTCAAAAGGTGACAATGCCTGACTCCTCTTGAATACTGATAGGAATCCCAAAAACCCTGTGCCTACAGGAAAGGGTCTTGGGTGCCCTGCCTCACCTCGAGAAGCGTCCCTTTTGCCCTGCCAAGCCTCGAAGAGATTCCTGAGGTGTCCCTCGTTACTAGACAAGACTCCTGACGTCACTGAATAAACAGGTGTTTTGAAGGGCCATCCCCAATGTAACTCGAGAACATACACCATGTCCCCGCTGCAACTTGAGAAAAACCATGGGACTTTCCCCTAGAGGCGAGATGAGGCCCCATTCCCCTGCAGTGCATGCAGAGCTATTCAGTAATCTCCATCAAACAAGTCAGGATCTTCGACTTGCTTAATGGAACCCGAGACAGTCCCCAAGAACACTGTCACCAGTCTAGACGGACTCTGAGGTCACCCCAGCAACGCAAAGCAGCTCCCTGTGCCCAAAAATCAAATCGAGATGAGGCCCGATTCATCTGCATTGACTCCAGAGCCAACCCCGTTCAACATTCAACACGCCCAGTGGCTTGACTTCCTTCAGGCAACTACAGAGATGCCCCGAGAACACTGTCCCAAGTCTGGAGGAACACCAACTTCAGCACAGCAACTCGAGGAATGCACGGTGGACCCAAAATCATGTCGAGATGACAGCTGATTCCCTGGCATAGGCTCAAGGCATATGCGAACTTTCCAGAACCACCTCAAGAGCAGGCTTCTCTCAGCAATAGGTATGTGGGAGTGACCCCGGGTTGGCTGCCTCAAGTGGAATATACAGCGAGAAGCCCTAACTTGAAAGGAGGCCGGATTTCCTTGCAGTGGCTTGAATACAGGCTCGTCTTTCATCTCACAACATGAAGGGATGTCTGAATCCCCTGTGGAGAAATTAGAGAAAGCCCTAGGTCCCTACCTCATTTTGACGGAATGCCTCACTTCCCGTGGACACCACGAGAGGCACTCGGAGTTCACTTCCTCAAAAGGTGACAATGCCTGACTCCTCTTGAATACTGATAGGAATCCCCAAAACCCTGTGACTACAGGAAAGTGTCCTTGGGTGCCCTGCCTCACCTTGAGAAGCGTCCCTTTTGCCCTGCCAAGCCTCGAAGAGATTCCTGAGGTGTCCCTCGTTACTAGACAGGAGTCCTGTCGTCACTGAATAAACAGGTGTTTTGAAGGGCCATCCCCAGCGTAACTCGAGAACTTACCCCAGGTCCCCGCCGCAACTCGAGAAAAACCATGAGACTTCCCCCTAGAGGCGAGATGAGGCCCCATTCCCCTGCAGTGCATGCAGAGCTATTCCGTGATCCCCATCAAACAAGTCAGGAGCTTCGACTTGCTTAATGGATCTCGAGACAGTCCCCAAGAACACTATCACCAGTCTAGACGGACCCTGAAGTCAACCCAGCAACGCACAGCAGCTCCATGTGCCCCAAAACAAGTCG